GCGAACGACGAGGAGCACGCGACCGTATGGCATTTAATATCTAACTAGACGCAACGTACTTAACTTTTGCAGCATTGCTCAGCAACCCACGCGGAGTTCTTTTGTCTTAAGTGCCGATTCCAAACGTTCTCTGCAGAGGACCTTCAAGCTCATTGGAACACCTCCGTGCTCCACCCATCTTGTCAACAATGCGACAAAGGGTTCTCTGACATCACAGTCTTCAATTCTGTACGCGCAAAGACCTTATAATGTCGGGAAACATTAACAGAAAACGACAGCATATTAACACGGAGCATTCGCCTTGGAAACATGACACCCAGGCCGAAACTCGTGGGCACAACCTGTTGCCCACAACGGACCCAACAGGCACGAAACCAGTTGACGAAACTTTGAAAGAGAAATGGCACACTACACCAGTGAGTGAAGGCCAAAGTATACGAGGACACTATATCCATTAGCAGAACGCAACGACAAATCAGCGCTCCAATGCAAAACAAGGGGGCATGTTACCGATCGGAAAACTCATGGTATGTTTTTAGCCGCCTGCATGAAAGGGGACTGACCCTATGCAGCCTTTTGTGCTTTCTACCGACTACGGCAGCACCGCTCCGACCACGTTATACTCCTCTAAGTGCTGGACTCCGCACAATGAAGCCGTCCCGCGGCCCCTTTCGACACAACATCCTCAGAAAGCAACACTCACACCCCCCCAAGATTTGAACGGAAGATCTACTGAACGGTTTTCGACAGGAAATGGCCTTCGTTGGGACCGTCCACATCCTTACCAACGAACTAGCTCACAAGGAGGACGGGAAACGCGAAATACCTCTGCGCCTCAAACGCATTTTGGCACCTCCCCAGTGCCCGCTACTTATCCTCGCAACCGGGCAGACATGAACCCGCACTTTTCCGGCGTCCAACCAACCCAGGCGCAAACGACGCGAGGGACAAATCACACCACCGCTGAGCATGGCAGGTGAGTCAGGCGCGAGCACCACTCAGCAACACGAAACAAATTAACAGGTTCGACCGCCAACAATTTTTTTGCCCGCATTGTAATGCCGCCCTGGTCACTTTAAAGGTACCGACGGAGGGGAAATGAAGAACGAACAGCACAAGGAAGTTGATCGAGGTGATGAAGTGAGACACAAGTGATGTATATCCATGCCTTCCATACTCCTACTCTCTACACAGAAATTATTGCACAACGTAAGCCGCGAGGCAGAGAAGCGAAGGACGACAACAACACAGAAGAAAGTCGAACGGAAGAAAACGTTCACCCCAATAGACCTAACAATCGCTCGTTGAAGTCCTGTAAGGAATGAAAGAAATAATTTACGGCGCAAAAAAAAAGAAGGGGGTGGGGGAGGATATGTGCTTAACGTGGCGAAGCGCCGCACTGGAACTCGGCGACAGCAAGAAGTAATTTACTTCACGTCAGCAGTGTGACATGATGATTAATACGATCACATCACTGTTTATACATATTTGCAAATCACAGAATCAAAAAACATTTTCAGTCTCAGGACCTTGTCTAAAGCAAGGTGATAATCTTTGGGTATGTACATCTGTCTGCCAACAATCATCCTTAATCCAAATCTTAATTGAACGTTCTGGTTCATGTACATACCCATGAGCAAAGCTTTGGCACTTCACTGGCGCTCTCCTCTCCCCATCACAGACACTCATTGACTCACTGGTCGGATGTCCCCCCCAGTACCGTCAGATGTTAAACCGTCTAAGTCCCAATTCACACGCCGGTGGGCTCGAAATCACGACGGTCCTTGCCAGTGCGCGCCAAATCTTATCCCTGAGTATACCACACAACGGGTTGCATCATATCTGGATGAACTTTTGGGTCGTCCTATCCTCAACGACGAAGTCGATTGGCCTGAACATGACTTCGCCAAGCCAGCCGCCCGGGCCGACGATTCCCTCCGAGTTGGACGTTATGTCATACAAGATTCGGGGAAATCCTCAGACCAGACGGTGCGGACCTGGTCGGCAATGAATCTCACGCCTTTTATTCATTCCAGGACTCGTTTTCTCGGACGCCAGCGCCAGCGCCAGACAAGGGCAACCTTCACTGCCGCGGCCGGCAAAAGCCAGGAAAACCAGGATTGATTTCGGCTTATAATTTGTTCGTGCGGCATGTTGCTTGTCAAGACGCTGTCCAAAGACGAAGGGTGTGGGATTCCAAAGGACTGGATGGGCCGGTCCCACAGGGTACGCGGATCATTCATCCCATGACATTTCGGGCCACTTAGAATCTCCCAAATGGTAGCCCCAAAGTCCGACCCTGCACAGCGGGCGCATCGCACCGCCAAACTTTGGCGTAATCTTACTCCAGAAGAGCGGGAGGTAGGAGCCAAATACAGGCTATAGTCCGACCTTGACATATTTAACCAGCCGTTCCAATTGGAAGCCACTCGACAACGCGAGACATACTTCCAGCAGCTGCAAAGCAGACGGGTTCAAGTTTAGTCAGGAAATGTTAGCCATTAGGTAGCCAAAAATTGATATGCACGCATCTACCAGTGGGGAGCAAGGGCGATAAGTTGGGCCGGCCAGTGCGCTGAACCCATGACTGGAAACCAGGACGTTTTCGCGGCCGTATCTGCGTCGGGTAGCGTAATTACTTGGTTGAAGAAGCCGTCAGCGTGCTTGAAACTTGGGAGACATTGCGATATGGAGGGTTGGAGTCAAGTGGAGGAGATATGTATTAGTCGGAACGATACAACTCGAATTGCAGTCGCTCATTATGCTAGGCGACCCTTCACAAATTCCTTTCCTGCTCTGCGTAAGAGGGCGCGTCTGCCCACTCCCCGTAGATCTATATAGACTAAAGCAATGTTCCGCGCTGTCCCCGTCATTAAAACGGAGCTTTCTGCTGCCTCTGTGCCATATCTAGACAAATGAATTAGCGTCTAGGAATTTGTTGTCAGAGGAAGGCCTTACTTGTGGCCCACCACGGTGCCAACATTCTGGGTGCCTGCATCTAATATTCGCTTGACAGAGTGGTCCATCGTCGCAAGAATCAGGTCGGCAGAGAGAAGGATTCGTGTCTTCTTGGTCAATTTTACTGCAGCTTGTTCACTGCCGATGCGAGGCGGGAGAGCTGGCGGTATCGGTGATGGTGAAGGGCTTCGTCTTGGTGGGAGAGGTGGTTTCTCTAACGACGATGCTGAATAAGGCGGCGGCGGCGGGGCCCCATAAGGTCCGAGAGTGGAACCAGAAGGATTTGGAGAGGGAATGAGTCGTACTCTGTCTTTCTTGGTGTTTCCCATAGCACGTTTGATCATCCCATCAATAGCTTCAACGGTTTTTGCACTAAGTTTCACAGCTTGCCCGCTCACAGAGTGAACAGCCGCAAGCCCTTTGCGGGTACGTGCGGAAGATAGGAATGTGACTGCCCGGGGTGGGAGAGGAGGAGGACCAGATGACGAGGCGAGTGGTTGGGAAGCTGGTTTGGAATGACTGGTATAATATGAAGTACCCGCCGATATTGTTGACAGTAGGAGTGTCGTCGAGCCTGATATTACACGACTGAACATCGTCAGAAGACGAAACCACACGTGACACACAGACAACAGACCTCACAAGAGTGGCCCCCTTGGTTATCCAATCCTGTTGGTCTGGGGGAATCGCCCTTGCGAAAAGCTCCATTGCATTCGCATCGGGGTCCCCATTGTCTAGCAGCTCTATCACAACTGGGTCATTCTCCCTCCCTTTCTTACCGAGGTCGGGATCCTCCTTGACAGTGAACTGCTGGTCGAATTCCCCGATTACCTGACCATTGTCTTGATCAACGAGAACCAAATGGCCACGGAGCTCGTCTGCATCGGCCTTGTCGTTTATGTTTGGTAATACTGCCGGTGTTGCTTGTTCAAATGCGCCTTGAAGGTCCGCATATTGGGCAATGATACTCTCGAAGATCTCTATCTCTTCTAGGAAGCTTGAATCGGGGTAGTTTGGGAGCGCGATGGACAGTGCTAGCTCGAGCGGATCTGCCTCCGTTGGGAGGAAAAGGTATTTCCTTGAGCCGGTTTCAGAGTAGACTGTCCGGACCACTCGGTGCGGGGCAACGGGAATCTCCGTGTCGTTTATGCGGAGAACAAGATAAACTTGCTGCTCGCTGACCCCTGGTAGGACCACGGAAGCGCATTCTAGCGAAACAGTGCCAGACTGTTGGATCGTATTGGTAACGAGTGTGCAGTTAGCAAGGTTGAGCAAGAGGAAAGCCTCTGCGTTCATGATGGTGGATTCGCTCCTGAGTCCGATTTCGGAGGCCAGTTGGAAGGCTATGGACCTCAATGATTGATTTGGAGATGGTCGTTCCCAAAGAGAAGAAATAGATTGACGTCACACAAGATACTCCTCCAACTCCCTTCTTTTCTTCTTTGTTGCTTTAACCCCGCTTCCCACATGCTCTGACCACTGGTCTCCTTGTTTGCACCGGGGCGTCTGTCCCCTAGTCGGCTCTACCTCAACAACATCTTTCTCGAGTGTGTAGAAAGCTATAGCGATCTTCGTTACGGTAATTGTAGCAATAAGATCGCCTATTATCACGTTGCAGTCGTATTAATCGTACTGGGAAAGTTGTGTCTTTATTGAAATCCTGGCAAGATCCTAGTACGATGAGAACATCTATTCCCGGAGTTGCCCTGCAGTGAGAAAGCCCAAATGTTGTCACTTCTCACGTACTCACAGTGACAAGTTGGAGATCACCTCTCATTTCCCTTGTATCAAGACGATTTTGGTTGGACAACTCCAAGTCCGGGTCGATTCAAGAGTCAAGACGGTGGATTGTCGATACTGGCCGTTCTCGTAAGACTACTTACGCTTTGGCTCCAAAACCGCATTGAAGAAGCACATGTTTCGCTCAGGATTCGCGTGGCTCAGCTGACCCCTTCTGATCTCCGTCGCGTCCAACAACGACCCAAAAAGCAGTCGTACGACTTTTTTTATCGACTTGCCAGCTTCCCTTTCCCCCGCCTTCCATGGCCTGGCTGGCTTTGCTCGTGTTGCTCGTCGAGCTCGTCAACGCCCAGAACCCCTCTTGTGTAAATGGAGGGGTGCAAAATGGGTCTAGCTGCTCGTGTCCCACGGGTTTTGGCGGTCCAACTTGCGCGATGCCAGCTTGCGGTGGAAATATATTCCAAGGCTCGACTCGTGCCCTAGGAACGACCCCCTCTGGAGCTTCTTTTGCCAACATATCGAGTTGTGCATGCGAGTCAGGGTGGGGAGGTGAGGGCTGCAATGTCTGTTCAGCTCCCGCGGCTTGTCAAAGCGCATTTACTGCCTCCGGTCGAGCACCGACGACCAACCAAACCGTCGCCAACAGCGTTTCTGGCCAGAATGAAACTCTCACTTGCAACTCGAAGCCGCGAGTCTACGCCTCCAGTCAAATGAGCTGCCGAGTTGAGGTGCGTCGTTTTCTTTCCTGCCTCTGATGTTCGCTCAACTTGCGGTTAGAACCCAACTCTGCAAGGCATCTTCCCCCTCAAATCCTATCTCAATATAATGCGTACATTGCACCCTGAATTATCGCCTATTCCGGGTTCGACTTCATTTGGCGCGAATGGCACGGTTTACGCCCAGCTTTTCTACGAAAACGTAGAGCAGTTCTATTGCAGCGCAGATTCTTGTGTGCAAACGCTCAACGGCGACGCATCCAACTGGATCTGCCAGAACCTCGCTTGCTCTTGCTTCAAAGGTTCGACGTTTTGTGGCTCAGGACCCACCGACATCAGCTGTAAGATGGTCTATTCTGATATTTTGTTACTTTTCTCTAAAAGCTTCGTAGTCGCTATTAATGGCCTGAAAGGACAACTTTCCATCGAGTGCTCCAACGCGACTACCTGCGCGTTCAAGCAACAAGACTTGAACAATGTTTTCGGCTCTGGTGGTCTCGGCATGAATGGTTGTAGCTTTGGGGAGTGTGTTGCTCAGCGTGTCATCGACACGACGTCTGACGGCAATTCGACTGACACCACGAATGGGAGCCACAAAGAGCTAAGTGGTGGCGTTATTGGTGGTCTTGCCGCAGTTGGTGCCTTAGTTCTTATCGCCCTCCTCGCTCTCTGCTTCGGATTTGTCAAGCAACGTTCAGCACGCAAAGCCAAAATTGAGGTTGCGGAAGGCAACCGCATTACGGTCGAGTGGTCTGATGTCTCCTACTCCGTCTTGGGCACCAACGGAGGGTCCCTTTTTCGACGTGCGACCAACGACAAGGTCGTTCTCGACTCTGTCAGTGGTGCTGTCTTACCTGGACAAATGATGGCCGTCCTCGGGCCGAGTGGTGCCGGCAAAACTACGCTCGTGGAACTACTTGCCGGCAAAGCCAAGTCTGGGACAACATCAGGTCGTGTTTCATTCCCTTCAGGGAGCAACTCAACCGCCATTCCGCGCATCGGATTCGTCCCTCAACAAGATGTTTTGCCGCCTATGCTCACTGTCTACGAAGCTCTCCTCTTCGCTGCTCGCCTGCGACTACCAGAGAACGTTTCCGATGTAGACAAGCGGACGCGAGTTGAAGGCATAATGGAGACACTTGGTATCGCTGCCCTGCGTGATGTAAGGATTGGTTGGGGAGGCGATGTTGGTGGTGGAAAGGCTAGGGGAATCAGTGGAGGCGAAATGCGCAGGGTTAGTATCGGCCTTGAGCTTATCGCCAGCCCCGATGTGCTTATTTTGGATGAGCCAACTTCGGGTATGTTATGCCTCCCCCCCTGACCTTTCCAACTAATGATTGCCAAGGACTGGACTCCGTTTCTGCCTCTCGGGTGGCCAGCGTCCTGCACAGTATCGCTCATGATCCCGAAAATCCCATTCCAGTCATTGCTTCAATACATCAACCCTCGTAAGCCCTTTTCGTTGCTTGTCACATCCACTCATTATCAATAGATCGCAACTATATCAACAGTTCGACTCCATCTTGTTGATGTCTCACGGTCGTGCTTTGTACTGCGGTCCCGGTGGTTTTGCGCCCTCCGAATACTTTGCGCGCGAGGCTTCTGGCATTGCGCCTGCCTATCAGCAAGGTTACAATGTTGCCGACTATCTTTTGGAAGTCGCTAGTGACCCACCTGTCGCGCTCTTTAAGATTCCTACGGCCAACTCGTCTTCGGATACTGGCAATGATTTCAAGAAGGGATCTGCACCAACAGCCAGCGACGATGCTACGCTCAACGAAAAGGGCGGCAAACCAGCCGCTCGTGGTCAGACTTCTGCGAGACCCGCCAGTTACGCGACGACCTTCTTGACGCAAATTCAGTACCTTTCTGGTCGCGAATGGAAAATCCTGCGCAGGTTGGTGGCTCTCATCCCAGTTCTTGACTTTCGTTTGACCTCCTTCATAGAGACAAGTCTCTGTTCATCACCCATTTTGCTGTTGCTGCTGTTCTGGGAGTATTCTGTGGTGGACTATATTTCCAAACTGGGGTTTCTATTGCTGGCTTCCAGTCTCGTGTTGGCTGTCTCTTCTTCTTGGTTTGTCATTCCGCCACTTCGTTCTCATTCTTATCCCATTCAGGGTGCCTTGATTGCATTCTCGTCTCTCAGCGCTCTATATAACATTGTCCTAAATCGACCACTGTTCTTGCGCGAGAGATCGGGAGCGTATTATAGCCCGACAGCCTGGCTACTCTCTCGAGTTATCTTCGATGTTATACCTTTGCGGATTGTCCCGACAATTGTTGTTGCAACGATGTGAGGCACTTGCATCCGGTCTCCACTCGTGCTCATCTGGTTGACAGCACCTATTGGATGGCGGGTCTGGCTCACGACGCCGCCCATTACTTCAAGTTCCTGTTCATCCTTGTACTCTTCACACTTGCGATGACTCTTTACGTATGTGCCTTGGTTGCTCTGATTAATGATCCTTACTCTGTTCTAGAATTTCCTGCTCGGAACGTTCTTCCACAACGGTGGCATCGCTATCCTCCTCTCCGCGCTTTCAGCGCTCTACCAGATGACATTTGCCGGCTTTTTCGTGCATCTCGAGTCGATACCTCCTGTCTTAAGATGGCTGCAGTGGCTCTGCCCACTGAAGTTCACTTTAGAAGCCCTGGCCGTGAATGAAGTTGGCTCAGGACTGATGATAGAAGATACGCTCTCGGGAGTACCAGTGAACGTCAGTGCCTCACTGATCATGAATCTGCTCGTAAGTCTCCTAGCTGCAAGATTGATCGGTTCTAATTTGCTCAAATAGTTCGGCTTTGGCTCCAACAACTACTACCGAGATGTGTTGGTGTTGTTTGCGTTCATCGCCGGGTTCGCAGTCGCAGTCATCGGGACTGTATGGTGGAAAGTGCGGGAGAGGCGGTGAGGTAAAATGCTTGATGATCTCACGTAGACAGCGACGACAAACATAAAACTTATAACCTAGTACTAGCATCGACATCGTGTATCTGCATGTGTACGACATTACAATTTCTTTTTTTTCTTGGAGGTATAGCGTCAGACAGGAATCGGTTGTTTGGAAGAGCGGAGCGGAAGTGAAAGCTACTAAACCTGACAAGCAAGGAAAACCAAGTTCAGATGTACATTGTTGACGTTGTTCAACAGAGCAGTGACTAGACCCGCAGCCTAGTTGCTGGGGCGAGAGTGGGGGGCCAGACCAGGTGATTGTCACAGCCATAACAGGTGGATGAAAGTTTCCTGTTCGGGAAACGGTCCAGACCAATAATTGTCACGGCCGCGTGATTGAAAATTTCCTTATCGGGAGACGGTCCAGACCGTCGTTCTCGACCGTTGTCGGGCCCAAGAGGAGGCCACAACAGTTATGCGTGGTCTAGACCCCCGAAAACCTCCACAGAAACTCGACCTTTCTCGAGCTGGTGGGTGAGCTACAAGACGCCAAATCACCGGGGGATGGTGGGGAAGAGTCGAAATAGCCTGCTTGCAATATTTCCGCGCAAGTCCGAGAGCGATTGTCCATAAAGTGCCTGTAAATACCTAAACCGAACAGCATGTTTGAGATCATGCGTTTGCTTATAAGAACGCAGAGGGCTGGGCCTTGGGGTACCTTTCGCGCCTATGGACGAACGATATCGAACCCAGCAGCCATTATTGCCTCTGCTTTCCATTGCCGCCTCCCGAGCCCAATACTCCCCAACACAACAGTGGGCAAGCACAAGTGTAAGTGTCATTTGATTTTGCGACGCGTCTCCGGCTTGCTTTACGCGTCCATGTTCTTTCGTTGATGCCCCTTCCTACAGCAAACCCAACTCCCGGTCAAGCGCGAAAACGGCTCTCCTGAACAGATGGAGCGCAAAGAAAGCCATGAGGACTCCATGTCCTCAACCAGCGACTTCGTCAAGAAGCTCTACAAGTCGGTGTCTCAGTTTCTCAGACTTCGCCTTCTTATCTGCTGCAGGATGCTAGAAGACCAAGCATTTTCCAGTGTCGTTTCCTGGGGGCCTCAGGGAGATTGTTTTGTGGTCAAGGTGCGTTGTAAAAGATTTCAAGCAAGACTGTCCAATTGACAAGATGTAGGACATGAACGAATTCACCAAATCAATACTGCCGCGTATGTTCAAGCACTCCAACTTCGCTAGCTTCGTTCGGCAGCTGAACAAATACGATTTCCACAAAGTCAAGAACACGGACGATAACCAGTTCGGGGAGCATGTGCGTCGCGCTGACTTCCTCCTAATTGTTGTTGCTGACACGCTCGTTGAAGAGCTGGACATTCCGTCATCCTGATTTTCGTGCGGATCGTCGCGATGCACTCGAAAACATCAAACGCAAAGTCCCTGCTCAGCGCAAATCCACCAGCTCTGCTGCCTCTTCAATACCTATGCCGTCTACTTCTTCATATCAACCCACACCTGGCTACCCACAACCTGGCCCTTCCAGCTCGTTTGGGGCCAATCCTTACGAACAGAATGCCAAGGTTGATGCGGTTCAGTCTCAAGTAGCCTCGTTACAAGCACAACTGTCTTCGCTCAGTGCCGCCCACGAAGAAGTCCTTTCACATGTGCGCAACCTCGAGCGGAGTTACCAAGAAGTGCTTGTTGAGATGGTCGGTTTTCAACGAGGGATGGCACAGCAGGACGGACTGATGCAGAACCTGATACAATACTTCCTACGAGAGAACAACGGGAATGGCGCCGGTGAGTAACAGGCTCGCCTTGCTGCTCTCCGTAGTCGGACTCCGCGTCTAATTAATGTCATTTTGTTTTCTTTTTGGTGTTCAAGGCAAAATGAAGCAACTCGATACTGGTCTCGACGGCTTGGACGGACTCGGTAACCCGTTTTTGTTCATGCAAACGCCAGAAGCGCAACGAATGCTCGACAAAAGCTATCCGGAAAGCGACGTGGCCCGCGCATCGCTCATGCAAATGAGCGAAATATCAAGACGGGCAGAGGCGGTGGGGATGTCGTTTGGTGGTCAGAGTAGTGTGCCATCAAGCAGCAGTTCGCGGTTAGGGAGTGGTGTCGGTGCGAGTGGGATTGGCGCTGCCATGAGCCGAATGGACATGCTGGCGAGGATAGAAGAATTGCAAGCCCAACGCGGAAAACGAATCAACACGCCCCTGCCAAACTTCAACTCAACGAACAATCCGCCAGAACTGGGAGGAAGCCAAACTGACTCACCAGAATCCGAGGACTTCGAAGAGGAAGTCGTGCAACCAACACCAACGAATCCGCCAAATTTGGACATGTCAATAACGCCGCCCAGTCCGCCAGATCCCTGGGCACTCAGCGCGGGCGACCAACATGCCGGGCTCGAAGTATATACTGTTGGTCACCTGATGCCACGAGGGAGTACTGGCTTTCCTGGGCTGCAGGGCAATTGGGGGTTCGATACAAGTCCGTCAACACCAGAATTAGTCGGGAAACAAGAATCGCAGGCGGGTCCGAGCAACTTCTCAAACTCGGGAAGTGGAAGCCCACCATCACAGAAGCAAACTCTGCGTGTCCGACGGTCTACTTTCGTTCCTGGTTGGGCTGTTCCTCCCCGGGTTCTGCTGGTGGACGACGATGCTGTGAGCCGAAAACTCAGCAGCAAGTTCCTCCAAGTGTTTGGATGCGCTATCGATGTTGCAGTTGATGGTGTTGGGGCGGTAAACAAGATGAATCTGGAGAAATATGACCTGGTTCTAATGGTATTTAACCTCTTTATTTGATTTGACTCCATTCGCTGACTTCGCGCAAGGATATCATTATGCCTAAGCTCGACGGTGTTTCGGCAACGTCTATGATTCGCAAATTCGACCCACAAACGCCCATCATCTCCATGACGAGCAATTCAAGACCGAACGAGATCATGACCTACTACTCGTCAGGCATGAACGATATATTACCCAAACCATTCACGAAAGAGGGTTTGTTCGAGATGCTTGAAGTGAGACTCTATTCGCTTTCTTTCTTAACCATTTACTAACATACTACCGCAGAAACATCTCGTTCACCTCACCGTCATAAAAGAAAAAATGTCCACCTCGGTGAGGATACCTCGACAACCGAGTGGGATTCCTCCTCTCAACGATGCCGGTTTCGAGGGTGCCCTCCAAGCTGGCGCCGCTTCAATGTCCTCGTCGTCCTCTTCGCCCTCCCTGACCAACTATAACTTTGGATTAAGCAGTCCTGAGCTCAACGATGGTCGGATAAACGTGCTCGCCGGGATGGGTCTCTCTGACGAACAGTACAACATTATGCTGGCGGGTATTGTCAACGGAGATGGCATCACCTTCGGGAGCTCAGAAAAGCGCAGTCTCGAGTTGGGTGATGGCGATCCAGACGGGCCGGAAGGCAAACGCAGTCGTTTCGAGGTCGTTGAGTAGGACGCTCGGTTCACTATACTATTCAGCATCTATTTTTTGTTTGGAAGTCTCTCTACATCCATTTTCTTATTCTCTGCAGATTTGTATCAACCACAATGTACCCCAAGTGCTTCACAGTTTCACTCTCAATTCAAAATTGAATCAATACCGGCTATTATACGCCTTGTTGATCGACTAGCTCTAAGCCTCTAACCGCCTAACTCAGACTGCTAATAAGCGGCGTCGTTTGCGTCGCATGTCGTCTTGGCGAATCACCACGGTATAAGAAGGCAAACTAACTCGAGCCAGGCTCCCTCGTCTTCCTCCTACACACGATGAAATTTGTCTCTGCTCTCGTCCTCTTTTTCGTGGTCGCAGTGGCGAGCTTGCAAGCCGAGGTAAACGCTTCAGATTGCCCATCTATCCTCCCATCTATCCTCTCAGCTTCAGAGCTCTGATTCACCTCAATGTAGCGCCAGGATCAAGAAACCAACCCATGCCCGCCTGCGAACTGGTGTGAGCCGGGAAATCAAAACTGAGCAAGGGAATTGGTGCAACCAGAGAATGTAAGGATATGCCCAAGACAGGCCATCGCGGTCCTGATTCGCCGTAGGATTTGCGGAACACACAGCAGATGCGGTCACGTTTTAGCACCATCAGATGATTTTTTCACGCGTCTGGAATTGTTTGGAAATTTATGATTTGAGCCCAAAATATCTCGTCGCGTGGAGCCGTGGATCTACACGCTCGGAAACAAATCGCTCGTGGGGGTGGGGTACTTGCCGGTGTTTTGAGGAAACACATTTTTCAGCGTGCCTCCAAGTTACCTGCCAGCACTCAATGGACCCAGCTGGCAGTGATGGACGGCTCTGTCTACTAATTCTAAGCGGCGTCGCTCACAACATATATAAGAGGGCAGGAAAGTCGAGTGCCTGACTGAGTTCGCCCCACACCATGAAATTTGTCGCTGCCATTCTTCTCCTCTGCATCGTCGCAGTCACGGGCTCGCAACTTGAAACCAAGGTACGCGTGCAGGAATTTATTATTAGAACGCATGCTGATCCGTCGTGATGCGCGACAGGAAGTTCACGATCAGACCACCAATCCATGCCCACCCGCAAAGTGGTGCACACCCGGAAATTGAAGCGCCGCATGAGCGGTCGACTGTCGTGCCTAGCGTCGGACGTTGGCTGGAACCCGATTCATGAGGGACATGTGGCATGGACTTGAAAGATGCGGTCACGTTTTGTCAACCTGCTATCAATTGTAAATTTCCTATGTGAGCGCATGGAGAGTGGATCGTGTATCAGACCAGGCGTCGACTGCCTACTCGGAACTGCCAGTGGTTCAAAGGGAGATCATGTACCTGACCCGAAAGCCTTAAATACGGCTTCAGTCGACGCTGGTAAGATAACAAACTTCCCCCAGCCATGAAGTTCACCAGCATAATCCTCGCTTTGGTCTCCGCAGGTGTCGCATTCGCTCTGCCCCCCGTTCAACGAGAGGCCAACCCAGTGGAGGTTTGTAATGACCCTGACTCGCCAGAATAACCATGTTGATTCCAAACAGGCACGCATCATCGACCCTTGCCCCCCGCATTTGGTTTGTGGTGCGTGACCCAAGTCCTTGGTCGAGCGAGCATTCTCTTAAGCTACCTTCTGGCAGCAGCCCAAGACTAGGAACACAGATTCTGGAAATGAGATGAGATTACTATAAGCGTCGCACGATACACTAGCGTCGAGTTGTCCAAATATCATTATCTATGCAGGCTCCTGCCGGCGTTTTTCCGCTTCTGGCGGAACCCGTGGGGCGGTTTTGACAATCTTGAGGTCGTTGATGAGCAGCGCAGCAAACAACCCCAAGCCAGCAATGGGTACCCCGATTAGAAAGACGGTTTGCAGCGCCTTCGCATAACTCTTTACGACGCCAGCAATCATCTCTGGTGGAATAGCGGTGTAAATCGCGGTGGGACTTTGCTTGACAATAAACACAGGAGCGTCTGGCGCGTATTTGCGCAAGTTCTTCGCCAGTCGTGTTGCAAACACCGGCTCGGCAATACCCAGTCCCAGAGTCGAGCCAAGGAACTGGCCAAATGTCGCCACGGACGTCGCCTGCCCGACAAACTTGGCTGCCTTGTTGTCCCTGAACTCGACCTGCATCGCAAGAAGCGAGTTTTGCAAGGCCATACCCGTGCCGATACCAGCGATGATCTGGAATCCGATGATGTTGGCGCTGGAGGTTGAGACATCGATGGTGTAGAGCAACCCCATGCCAACGGCGAGGAAAACCGGAGAGATGAGCAAGAGAAAGCGGTAGCGGCCGAAGCGTCCGACGATTTGGCCTGCAATGATGAGCGTGAGAACGGTCCCAAACATGAAGGGGAGCAGGTCAATGCCGGAGTGGGTCGGCGTGTGGTGGCGGACAGCCTGGTAGTAGATCGGGATATAATATAGGACGATGAGTTGGGTGAATCGCAAGAGGAAGCAGTAGGCTATGATGGCGTAGATTGAGAGAGACTTGAAAATGGTGGTTGGGACCATAGCGCGTTCGACGCCAATCCAAATCTCCCAAGCCCCCGTTGCAATCGCCAAAACACCCCCCAAAACGAAGCAGATGATGACACTTTTGTCGTCCCACGGTTTCGTGTTGCCGCCCCATTGCAAGGCTATCAACAAGCAGGTCAATGCACCGGAAACTAGCGTTGCCCCAACATAGTCAAGTCGAAAGACTTGATGCCGGAGAGTGCGCCATGTGCGGTCAGTATCACTCGAACCAAGCGGTGGCGATGCTTTGAGGAACACGGCCACAACAACAATCGAGAGGCCGCCCAGAGGAATATTGATGAAGAAACACCACTACAAAGGTCTTATGGATGCGTAGATTTGAAAGATGAGACCATACCCTCCATGTAACCTATGTTATCTTATGAGTGAATTTTTTATGGAGAATGGAAATCGCACGTGATCCGTGAAGGCACTGCCAATTAATGGTCCGATAACACTGGAAAGGCCAAAAATAACGCCAAACAATCCCAAAAGACGAGGCCGGTCTTCGAGTCGGGTTGCTTGAGCTAGTATCTGGATCATAGAGACGTCTATATCTGGACTGAGTCCGACAAAGTCATGCATCACATAGAGACGCACAAATTCCAGCAGCGCCGACACCCGAAACCGCCCTTCCGGCAATGAGTTGGTTGACATTGCTGGCAGCGCCGCAGACAATGCTTCCAGCCTCGAATATTGTTATGGCTGCAATGAGTGTCCACTTCGCGGAGAAAATGCGCAGTAGCTGTCCATAGAAGAGGAGGAAGACGGTCTGGGTCAAGATGAACGAGGTTGCAACCCATCCTTGGAGGTTGAATGCACTGAAATCCGAGGCAATGCGAGGTAGCGCGGTTGATAAAATAGTTTGGTCTAGTGCGATTAGAAAAAGAGCCAGCAGCCTGTGTGGTTTAATGAGACTCCATGATAAAAGAAATGTCCAGGGAGACAAACATAGCACCAAAGACTACAGCGAGGCGCATTCCACTGAGAATAGTATCCTTGTTGGGAACATAATCGACAAGGCTGTTTTCATCGTGTTTCATGTCGTTGTTGAGAGGGATCTCTCTAGACTGGCGAGGAGAGGGCGTCGACATTGTCTGTGAGCCCATATTCGGGACGGGAGCTTGTTTAAGTAGCAATGAGTTCTCGGAGACGCCGCGGTCTATATGCAATTGACCATTCCGAAAAACGTCATCCTGTCAACAGATTCAGCTATAGACATGAAGTCTTTTGTTATATCCAACCATCGGATTGTGAGGCGGAAGCCTGTAGCACGGTGCATAAGTTTGAAAAAACCCTGGTTTCAGCATTAACATTGGAAGTAGGAACTCGACGTTCAACCCGACATTCGGAAAAGAGCCGCACTAAGCGGCGCACGCTTCCGTGGGGGGGCGCCTTTCCGGATGATGTAAGTGAGCTGACGCTGATGATCAGATAAGATATTGCAGTACGCCAAGGTCTTCGGCCAGAGCAGTGCGCATCAGTAGGCTTGAAAGAAGGAACACCATGCACAGCGTGAGGGATTGAATCATAGTGGAACTGGGATCTGTCAGTCTCCCAGTTTTAGCTATCTTGTCGACACAATTCATTTAGGCATCAGAGCAATGATAAATAGTTCTATTCCAGACATTCAGGCCATGCAGGCCATGGCAAAGGAAGGTCGAACGCAAGCACCTGGGTACTGACACCAGGTATCGGCGCACCATTCGCGAAGCGGATTTGCTGAAGCGGCACGTGACCGGCCCGGTCTTGGACCATGTGGTGGAGATCTTCTTCGACGCTTTTGCCAGTGAAGAGGGCGAAGTCCGAAAGCAGGGGCCAGATATATCGGTCGGGGACCCCATCTATGGTCTGCGGGTGCCCCAGACGGAGAAGCAGAGAGCGCGGCCAGCGGTCTAGAACGACGAGGTTGGTGACGGAGGGGAAGATGCTACAGAGCCTGAGGTATGCATCGCCAGCTTTGAAATTGGGGAAACAGATAGCAAGGGTTGTGACAGAGTCGAAAAGCGGCGCGGGGACATGCTCGAAAACGCTAACCAGGTCAGCGTCAACCATGTCATACAGCGTTAACGACTGCACGGATGGGGCCACAATACTGAGAAGAAGGTCTGAAGCTCGATCCCCCAAGAGCCCAGTTCCACGTATTCGGAGCGAGCGTAGATATGGCAGTCTGATTTCAAAGTCGTCGGGTGTTCTTCCGCGAACAACATCTCCATAGACAGAAAGATTCAAAAGCACCACTGGGGAGGTCAAAAGCTCGCTAAGTTGATCCCAGTTTGGACGGGCAGAGCGTCTGAATTTGTGGAGATGGAGAGTAGTCAAGCCGGTTAAGGGAGGCCAATTCGCATAAAGGTATGTCCCTTCGAGCTCCATACTCGTCAAAAGTGGCGCGCCAGCCAAAAAACAATCCTCAGAGTTACGGAAGCCTTGCGATATCATGGGGCTGTTGTCGTAGGTAGCTCGAATGCGAATTTCCTCCAGCAATGGTGCATGGAGGGGCTCCAGATGCGCTAGCGTGTTGTATAGGACCGCGTCGTTGAGGTCAACGGAGATTGTCAAAGAGCGCCATCGGTCGACTGCGGAGATTAACACGTCCCATACTTGCTGCTCAGGCATCCAGATATCTTTCCCGAAACTGAATTTAATTTCAAGTGGACAAGCCTTGGGATTGTTAGCCACATTCAAGTAATTCAAACGACATACTTTGGCACGGGCCATATAAGCCGCCAGCCAAGGCGAAGTAGACTGCTTCGCACTTGAAACGATGAGGATGTTCCACAACGACGGCGTTTCAATAGCCACAACCCTCCAACGCGCAATTACTTGGCTGACGACAATCTCAAACGGAACATCGCCTGGAGCGTTAAGATTCCTTCCAAACTCGAATATCTTGGCCAGAATTTCGTTGGGTAAGATGGACGATATTAGCGCTGTGCGATTCTTCTCGGCGGAATACTCTGCTCGTGCCCGCGAAAGGGAGAGGTTGACTTGGGCCAGACTTGCCACGAGTTCATCCCGGTCTCGCTGGAGAGACACTATCGTGCGTTGCAGTTCGTCGAGTGTGGCCGACGAAGACATGAGTTGTGGTCGCAGTCATCATGACATTGGTGTGACGACCTGTGACGAGAATTGATCTCACGTGTGGTTTGCCTTCCTCAAACCGCACCTAAGCCCAGACAATGGCAGACAGGACAAACAACGTCTGCCAACCCTAGTTACAGCCACCCGACCTTGAACCTGTATCAACCACGTTTAATTCCAATGCTACGCGACTCGTGGCGACGACGAAATTACAGGAAATTACTCAACTAGGACTTCGACTTGAAAATCTTCTCGACTCTGTCAATGGCGTGAGTGCGTTCTGCAAACCTGGCGCTACATCTCTCCAAGCAGCACGCTTGTCGATTGTTGCACAAAACCTCTATATCTATGTGATAATGTGCCACGGCGAAGGTAAGTAATTGAACAATTTGAACATTGAGGCTCGCCTACCAGTGCGCATTGCGCAACATGTACAGCCACCCGACTTGGACCCTACATCTCGCTTAAGCGAGTGCCTTCTCTGAATCATCGACATTGGGAAGGGTGTAACTTTCTTGCTTTGCACCATGCGACCAGGACGGTAATTGGTGGCCACCATGCCACAACTGCGGTTAGTAGCCGGCGCCGTTCCAGCTCGAGAATATATTCACCCCGTCGATACCCTTTCTGGGACGCGAGGCACCCACGGGGTTGCTTCGATCTGCCCGCTGCCCGGTCTCGGGCCGATTATACTTCTCCCGGTAGGCGGGCCCGCCGCCAATCCGGCGACTTGAAGAAAATGAACGGCGACCTAAAGCATGGGTGGCTGTCGGCGGACAAAAGAAGCACAAAAGTTGAATTGCAGTGGTAAAAGTACATTGCGATTTGGTATCCACTAAAAGCGAAGGATATAGAGTAGGATCAATAACATTTGTTATACTTTATAGCGCTAGATTAGTCCGCGCATGAGCAGCCTCTTGCTCTACTTTCATCGCATGGTCGCCTGGGAGAAGCGTGATGAGAGAACGGACAGAGAAGCGAATGATCAATGTACCTGATAACGGGAAAAAGGCGCTCAGTGTCTTCATGGCGTTGAGAATGACCTCAAGCTCCTGTTCTATGACGGAGAGGGAGTACATGACCACCGATTCTATCTGGTGGCCCGCGATTTTCATCATTTGGATGTACGCGCGAGCAGTGGTTGACCAGCATGACTGAACATTGCTCAGTTAACTGTCCGAAAAGGAAGATGGAAACGCACGCTGAGAATTGGATCAAGATACTCGTAGTCCCCGTCATTGAGCTGTCTGATGTAAGACAGGACCAGGTTTCCTGCCTGGAACGTTTCAGGACCGGGGGAGTCCTTATATAGATGCAAAGTTGCCACATGCATCATCGTATGAACCGCAAACAAGTCGACATCGATTAATGGAGCAGTCGTTCGCCACGCTTCGTAGCCGACAAACGCGGGGAGGTTCATCGAGAATCGCTGCAACGCCAGTTCGGCCGAGTGGTGGTCAGCCCAATAGACGTCAGACTTCTTCGAGGCTGCGGCACATTTCAGCTCCCGACCACCAGAACACACACAGGAACGCACCTGAGGCCAGTCGATAGGTCCGTTCATAGAAGGCAGCAGCTTTGGCGCGTAGAGTGGGCATATGTAATGCATCCGACTCCAGCGATATCACCGGCTGATGCTCGAAAAGCTCGCTAACCGTGTTGGCGGCGGCTCCGAAAAGGGTAGTAGGGGGGACTGGGTCGAACGAAGATGATGGCCACGGAGTAGTTATCCGTACTTGCGGGCAGTCGCCATCTGGAAGGGCCACTGGGAGTCCACTCGCGACGCTCCAACACCGGTCCACCATAAATACCTGCCAGAACGCTGATATCCTATCGGCAACTTCGGCCCGGTCACGCGGCGGGGGAATCGGGATTGGCGTGATATCTTCTACGGCTGCTCCGTTCATGTCGTCGAGCGGTAAGAAACGTTTGATTTGGTGCATTCCCAGACCGACGGCGAGTCGGGCAGCGGAGAAGGAATGACAGTAGCCCTCCAACGAGCGGCAGTTGATGTAAAGGTAGACAGCCAATAGACACGACGCCTGAACAACATCGACCAAGCGATCTGAGTTATCGAGGGCGACTGTTATTTCGTGTAGTGTGCGTGAGAAGAACACGGGTTCGATTTCCGTGCAGTATGGCGATCGCGCGAAATGGCAGGCGAGCAAATACACGGCATTCATGAGAGACGGATGTGGTTCAAAGCCGAACTGATGTGCGGTGTTGGAAAGGGAGAAGCGCTCGACAGAGCCGTCGAACCAACATTGGTGGCGGTGGGCCAGAAATATATCCAATCTAGAGCCGGGTAAGTTTTATCTGACATTGGCGGGAAGCACTAACGACGCACAGAATCTTCTTGCTCTCATAGGGTAGTGGTTCCTGAGGGTTCCATCTCGGCATGTAGGGGAATTCAGAGGTTGAGGCAAGGCTGGAGAAAGGTGACATCTCGAGAAATGGGGGAATGGCTTGGTCGGAGTCATCGTCTAACAGTAGAGTGCTCGGGTCGAGCTCCATATTACCAGGCGTACCATAGCCCGAATTATTGCCATATAATGACGATCCGGACGAGCTGGACCAAGCATTATCGAAGAGGTTATCGAAGTTTCCCCCAAGTAAATCTGAGTCGAGGACCGGAAACATGGTCGGCGACAGAGACAAGGCTGCGGGGATTTCTGGCGACGAATTTTGGGTCAGGGGAAGACCCAGCAGCGAGTTGGAGTCTGAGCCCGAGTCAGGCGACATTGCGCCACCATTCTCTGCCTCCAGTTCTCGGAGTCGTTGTTCCAGCATAGAGAGTTTCTCTTTAAGCTTCTGGGTCCGCGATTTCTGTTTCTTATCGTCGTATTCGCACTCGCGAGTCATTTTGGTGCATTGCGTACAGATTGGCCGTGTCCCATCGCATTTTAGTTTGCGGCGACTGAAATGAGATCAAGGACAAGTTAGAGTGGGTCACAATCAGTGTTAACCACACGCACCGACAACTAAGGCACGCTGAGCCGCGCTGGAGAGGAACAGCACTCGTCGGTTTTCTCGACGGCATAATAAGAGACAGAAGAGGATAGGCGCGCTGTGACAGGTTCATTGCTATTTAACGGAGAAACCTTCTCAACGAAGATCTGGCGAAGATCTCGTTTGAGACACTGTTCTCACAAGTTTACATCATCGGCTACCATAATCAGGACGCTAGGAAACAGCTAGGAAACTTCGTTGTGAACTGTACAGCTACACAATTAAAATCTATGGTTTCCCGACGAAAATCTTGCGAAGATTGTCCCAAACAACAGTCGGGGACTGTGCCGCATCAATCCCGTGCCAAATACCCTTTGCCTTATAATAGTCGACGACGGGTCCAGTCTGGGAGTGGAACGTGCCCAACCGCTTTGTCAAGGTGTCTACATTATCGTCCGACCGCTGAACAAGAGGTTCGCCGGTGACATCGTCCGTCATAGGCTTCTTTGGCGGGCTATATTCCATCAGCCAGAGAAAACTACTGGAAGACCGCACGATACTCACTGGAATTCGCGGTGGTACGTTCTCCCACTGGCAGGGTGGATCAGACGACCAGTAATACGCGAAATGAGCAGCTTGTCGTCTATTTGCAACTGGACAACCGAGTTGAGCTTTTCTTTCCGCGCTTCGAGCATGCCGTCGAGCTTCTGGGCCTGAGGAACAGTGCGGGGGAAGCCGTCCAATACAAAGCTGGGAGACATTTAGCTGCGGTCGACGTTTTATATGACGCCAGCAAACTGACCCGTTCTTGCAGTCCTTGTTGTTTTCCAGTTGGTCCTTGATCATGCCGACCATAATCTCGTCGGAAACGAGGCCACCGGCGTCCATGATCTTCTTTGCCGCGAGTCCGAGGGGAGTCTTCTGGGCCACTTGCTCACGAAGCATGTCTCCTGTGGCCAGATGGCAAACACAGAATTCGTCGCGTATCCGGGGAGCCTGAGTACCCTTGCCTGCGCAGCTTTAGCGAAGGAAATATGAACTGGGTATTAAGAATAACGTACCAGCACCAGGGGGACCAACAAGGATAGTGCGGAGTTGCTCAGAGGGGGTGCGGGTGGACGGTGCCTTCGTGGCAGCCTCTATTTGCTTTATTTTGTCTGTCAGCTGAGAGACCAGCGACTTGAGATGTTCTAGCTCTTCAGCAACGCCCATGGTAGCGAGTACGGCCTAGCGCTGGCCCAGCGGAAGATTTTGCGTGGCGGCAGGAAACGGGATTTGTTGCACGTGCTTTATTCGGAGCAGCCGGAAAATGCCCGATCCGGTTCTCCCCGCATCCTCCGTCTCAAACTCCACCGACCACAATAGTTGTCGCTGTCCCCGCTGTCCTGCTCTTAACTCCACCCAACGTTTCTCACTTACCGCCACAACTGTAATGCATATATCGTAATCTTACCCTCTCAAGATGTCCCTGAACACGCCAGATAGCAAGTTGTTCTAACTTGAAGAATCGTCCACGACTGAAGCGGTCGTTCCGTCTCTTCCTTTTGACTTACTTACGGGTCGACCTTCTCAATACGGCAAATCGTTCGGGCTCACTCGCGATCATACTCTTATGGGGACGACAGAGTACATAACGCCGTCAATGAAGACCAACCACGTTCAAGTTGGCTTCTCTGCCGCCGCGGCATTTTCCATTAATATTTCCGTCCTTTGTGGGTCGATGCACGTCGCAAGGCACCATATTTCGCCGAGGGTTCACAGCCAAGCCTTGCTGTCGCCGGCGGTCGATACTAAACGCCGCGATGGCGCATGAGGCGCATTGCTTATCTCCCTCGTCTTGAACGACAGGTGGTCCAACTCTTCGCTTTCCCCTTCTCTCTTTACCCACAAGCCTCGTGCGGACGGAAGGACGGAATGAAACAATCACTTTTCACGTTTCAGTTGCCGAGTGCGGCGAGCACCCACTATTCAAAAGCAGACTTGCTTTACTGCAACAGGCTACATTGTCCCTCATCTTTGGCACCTTAGAAGCCACCCGCAAGGCTGGACTGTACGACACCGTGATCCCCGCCCGATATCTGTTGCCCTTGGGCATCAGAGAACAAACCAACAAAATGCAACTGGCTGTGGTCTTCGATATCAACATTCGGACTCATCGGACGACAATGCATACCAGCCGCCACTCGTTTCTTCTGACAACTGCATATCCCCATCACATGAAACATGGCTCACAGGTTGCCGAGTACCCGGAAGTTAGCGCTGTAGAGCTACACTGCCCTCCGTCTTCTATTGATGAAAGTCCGGTCAATCCACAGCGAAAATCTTCCGCATCCTCGAGGGACAATCTTTGTCGGCATCCGGACACAGCTATCTGACAAACCCCCAAACACACTGGAACGGAAGGATCCAAGGGGTTTATCGTGACGCGACGACTACTACTCCAAGAAAGCACTTGTTACGATGATCATTCTAAGGGAAGTTGTTGTGTCGATACGATAATGGTGCAAAATATACTAAATGCACACCACATTACATCATGGCATACAACACAAACGCAGGACGACTAAACTAAGTAGCCGATGCCTCGGTCGGACTAACTAATCGCTTGAACGAAATTGGCGAGGCAAGGGATCAATCCTACCATTCGTGGCGAGTCTACGAATGGACGAAATTCTACACATGAGCCTCTGTTGTGGAGGATTTTGAGGTGGCTTTGGACGGTTTCGTCAGGATAAGGGTCGCCTTGCCGCTGTCTCGTCCTGAATAGATGTATTCAAATTGTTGCAAGGCCGAGGATGTCCCATGCGCTTCTGTTCACTTGTTGGATATATGTGTGACTGGGAGTAAAGAGACACAATGTCGTTGATCCAATGGTTTATGGTGACTTGTTGGAATCGAAAACATGCATGTGCAGTCGAGGCGAAGGGAATCGGAGGTTCGGAAAAGCCGTCCCAAGTCAGAGAGCTGGTTGAACTGGCGGGCTTCCAATCCAATCTAGCCGGCGCCAAGGTATCAGAGAGAATCCAATACAATAATGCTCTCCCAGACGTTCGTCGGATGATTCACTGAAAGGAAAAAAGTCACGAAAAAGTTTAGAGTGTAGCCACAGTTACATAGGAAATCAATGGCTGCCAGTGTCCCTGAGAATAGTTGCTTCCTCCAAAACGAAAAGGCACACATGCGAGGATTTCACGACATCTCGTCAGAGCCCGGACCGTTTCGTCGAGAAGATACTTGGTTTCTAGAACGGTATCCCACGTGTATTCAAACCGACGGAGGCTTGTCGCCGGCCAATCATCTGCCGTTCGCGCAAACAGAAGAGAGATGATGTTCATGAGCGATGCCTCCTTCGGTGATGTTTGGGAGTGCAAGACAATTGCATGCAGTCGCGGCAGTGGGGTCCCGGTGTCTGAAGTCTGGATTAGCGGCACGATATTGGAGTCCTCATGAAACCAGAATATTTCGAGGTGCTCTAGTAGAGGGAAGAGAGAGTAGTGCAGCATGATCCTATCCCATTCGCTGACGGACGTGTTGGCGGAGATGAGGAGGTGGGTGAGTGAGCATGAAGACCTCGAGAGGAAACGTCGGAAGGCGGGCCACACGATATCGCCTGGGGCATTTTGCGTCTTTGATCCCAAAGCCAATTTTCTGAGGGTGGGGACAGTGAGTAACGACATTACTGGTGCGCATGTGTGCAATGGAAACGAGTCGAGGCGAAGAACTTGAAGTGATGGAGCAACCACATACTCATACGAGTTCCCTTCAATGATATCGTCGAATTCGCATTCGGTAAGGCGCGTGGCCTGGAGCAAAACGAACAAACACTCGTCAGTAGCGAACGGTCGACCGCGGAAGACCGTCAACTGGGCCCAAGGAAGACTAATTCCCTGGACATTAACTGTTTGGTCGGCGTCCAGCGTTATATCGACAGCCCTCAGCTGAGGAGCCGTCATGAAGGTCGTGACTCTGTGGTCCGGAACGTACTGTTCACCTTCATCACGTCCCATCTTGAGCCGTTCTAGCATCACCAGTGCCCCACGATGTTGAATAGGGAGGCGCCAAAGGATCGTGAATGGTATGTTGAGAGTCACATCCTGCCATCGATGGGCGTGTCGGCACAGTTCCTCGTAGAATGCCCATCGTTGCAGGTCAGGCTCGGAGACACTGGAATCTTCAACGTATATCGACAAAGGAAGGTTTTGCGATCGCGAGAGCCACAAGTTCGCATTGTTAGGCGATAAAATCTTCTTGTCGGATACCAACTCGATGGAGAAGGCCGCCCACAGCACTGGGGTAGCAAAGGCAAGATCGCGCCAGAGTCGGCAGACACGCGTCAGAAGCAGCGGCGAGTCATGGATGCTGGCGTTTGAATGTGTTTCTGGCATAGAATGCACGAAAATCTCGGACAGCAGCTCAACTGGCAGACTGGCCATGGTCGTTGTCGTCATGTTGGTTCACGGTCATGTGATACATTTCGTCAGCATTGGCCTGCATTGGGCTCATTTTATTTTTGAGTGTTTGTCGTCTAGCTATAGCAGTAATGTTTCGGTCGATAGGTGCTGAAGCTGCTTTGGCTGTGGACTGCCCCTTGGATAGGACGTGTCTCTGCTCATTGAGTTAATCCCATGAAACGGGGTCGAGCGGGAATTTGCCTGAACAAACATGTGATGTCACGCCGTGACAATCCTCGATCACAGGTATATTTTCATCCGTCATGTCCTCCTCCTCCGCAGCCTCTTCATCCTCGCGCGCGTCATCTGAGGACCTCCCAGAACACCTGCCACTCGCCAAAGGCAACAAGTCTAAAGCTGCACAGAAAGCCAAGCAGGCAGACGCGGGCAGAAACGAAGGCGTCGATGAAAACTGGGCATACAAGCCTCCGCCCGGCGCCGTTTTACTGGACACGTCTGCTGACCTCGGCGAATTTGACTGGGACGCGCTGAATGCGGACGAGGACAACGAGCTGTGGCTGATCCGGATTCCAGACGGGGTGCGTTTTTTGTTCTCTTCTTTGTTTTTCTGACGGGGATCTCAGGTGAAGCCGAAATACTTAGAGAGCGCGGAGCTTCACGTGCCGAAGGAGGCGGGCAAGACGGCGAAGATTGGGACAATACCGCGGAAGCGGATGGCGTACGATGTGTGGACATTGGGCGAGTCGGACGAGACTGAGCTGCCGGTGTGTGGGGAGGAAATCAAGGGTGTCTCGTGTCTGCTGCCGCGAAGGAGCAAGAAGGGGCGGCTGTATGCCGGTGAGTTTTGGCATCAAGCCATCTATCACGCCGAGTTAATTTTCTTCCAGCCCCCAAAGCCATAGCCCGTACCCTTGTGATCGCTGCGCAAGAGGCGACACCGACAGGGAGTATGCCCGTCTACCAGAACCCGCCACGGGAGATGCACCCAAAGGAGTTGCTAAAACACTCATTTGTACCGTATGGTGCGGGCTTTGGCAAGAGGAAGACTGGTGAACAGGAGGAAGTGGAGCAACCAAAAGTAGTGGAGAAGATCAGGTCGAAAAAGCGCAAGGGCGATGAGGGTACTGAAACTCCCAAGAAAAAGAAAAAAACCAAGGCTTCATGACCAGCCACTTCCATAATAATATTCATTCACTGAAGTGATACTTAGACAACAGCTCGATACGCCTCCATTGAACCGATGAAAATGCGCACTCCTTGGTCACGAAGCACAGCGACACGAGCCCAGACCGTTTCGTCGATTGCAACGAGATATTCAGTGTCTAAAGTGATGTCCCACTTGTACTCAAACCGACTCAGTCTTGTCGCTGGCCAGTCCTCCGCCGTTCGCGCAAACAAAAGAGAGATGATGTTCATGAGCGATGCGTCCTTTGGTGACGTCTGGGAGTGTAAGACAACCGTATGCAGTCGCGGCAGTGGGGCCCCGGCGTCCGAAGTTTGGATTAGTGGCGCGAGGTTGGAGTCGTCATGAAACCAGAATATTTCGAGGTGCTCTAGTAGAGGGAAGAGAGAGTGGCGCGACACGAGCTGGTCCCATTCGCTGAACGACGTGTTGGCGGAGATGTGGAGGTGGGTGAGGGCACATGAGGACCGCGAGAGGAAACGACGGAAGACGGGCCACGTGATGTGGTCCGGGGTGGTTTGTGTCTTTGACCCCAAGGCAAATTTCCTGAGGTTGGGGACCGTCACCCACGACATTAAACGCGTGCACTTGTGCAGCCCAGACGCGTCTAACCGAAGTACTTGGAGTGACGGGGCGACTACCCCGTCGCCTGGGACATACCCGCCAACAACATCATTGAATTCGCATTCCGCAAGACACGTGGCCTGCGCCAAAACGTATAGACACTCGTTCCAGTTGAACAGCCGGCCACGGAAGACAGACAACTGGGCCCACGGGAGCGCGAGTCCCTGGGCAGTCATTACCTCGTCTACATCCAGAACGATATCCGCAACGCGCAGTCGAGGAGCTGTCATGAAAGCGGTGATTTGGCGGTCGGAGACTGACTGACCCTCCTCATCGCGCCCCATTTTGAGGCGCTCCAGCATTTCCAAAGGCTGTTGAATAGGAAGACGCCAAAGAAGGGTAAAAGGGATGTTGAGGGTCACATCCTGCCATCGCTGCGCATGGCGACACAACTGCTCATAGAATGCCCAGAGGTGTGGGTCCGGGTCGGTGGACTCGTAGTCGATAGAATCGTCAACGTAGATCGACAGCGGGAGATTTTGCGATCGCGACAGCCACCGTTCTACGATTTCGAGCGGTAAAATGTTCTTGCTGGACGCAAACGTGGTCGAGAAGGTCGCCCACAGCACTGGAGTGGCAAGTGCAACATCGTGCCAGAGCCGACTGACACGTGTCAAGAGCAGCGGAGAGTTGTGTATTCTGGGACTCGAGTGTAGTTCTGGCAAGGAATGCGCGAATATCTCAGCCAGCAGCTCGGCTGGCAGACTGGAGATGGTGGTTGAGGTCATGTTGTCATGTGATACAAAGGTCGCATTTTCAAAATATATCATAATATTTCTTTGAAGAAACAGAGCATCAACTAACAAACAGCCTCCCTACTACCAGTTCGGCGTCTGCCCAGCGGGCGTAAGGAAGGGCGCCGATATCGTCATCCGACGCTGACTCCCCTCGCCCTCCGACGGTGTAGCAGCACGTGACGGAATGCGGAATGCATCCTCCTCTTCTTCCTGCTCCTCCTCCTGCTCCTCTTCCTCTGGCTCGTCATGGTAGTACTTGGAGATGTCTTCCCGCGGCTCCTGCTGATACTCCCCCGCTCAGACTCCGTCATCTCCTGTTCATCCTCCTCCTCTTCTTCTTCCTCGGGATATTCCTCCTCTGAATCTTCCTCTTCCTCTTCCTCCTCCTCTTCCTCCTCCAACTCTCCCAACGGCTCTTCGTGCTGACCAAGCACAATGTCATCCTCATCACTCGGCGGCCGCGGCATACGGATCTCCTCGTCATACGCCGACTCACCATCCGCCTCCTCCTCCTCGTAGTCCGAAGAGTCCGAGTCCGAGTGCCGAACAACCCCCTTCTCCATGTCGTCCAGCTCGTTGTTGAGGTTGCGGCTGACGTCAGACGACGAGTCAAGATTCGCCTTGCTCGCGTTGCGGAACAGCGCCATCCGTTTGCGCGTAAGGCGGAACGCGTCAGAGTCTTCCATCACCGTGGCACTTGGAATAGTCTGTAGAGCTTTTAGATGATTATACAAGCTGCGATGGCACTTACGCGCGTGAACGGACGCGTGAACGGCGTCTGCGACATGATGGGCTCCGGAGCGGGTTCGGGCCGCATGCAGAGGATATGCAGCATAGTGCACGCGTAGACTGGCGCCAGAAGCATGCCGCAGGGGATCCATACTGCTATCGTTAAGTTTCCTAGTCATAATATTAAAACAAACTGACCTCGCCACTCCGAGACAGGGCCGAACGCTGTCGCGAAACCAACAACGACCAGGACAAGCATGAGCGCCCCGGTTTCGATTAGGCCCCGCACAAATCGTTTGGGCCAGCTACAATTCATGTTAACTCGAGCCACACCAAAACAAGGAAACCTACATTGATTGCGGAGACAAGTAGTCGCTCCCTTCTCGTTTGCGATGGATGAACATCAGAAGCGTCGTCAAGAAGGTCTCCAGCGTCGTCCCCACCAGCGCCCCGCCGAAGAAGATGACCGTCAAGTCGTTCGTCTCGAAGTCGGGAAGAATGATAAGCAGGATGCCCGTGGCGATGATGCCCGCGACCGACGCAAGGTAGATGACGAATATGAAGCAGAACACCGAGTAGTGTCTCGTTCTAGGGCATGGGTAAGCTCAGATGAGAGCAAGCAGCGCCATACTCACAAACACAAGTATCGGACAATCATGAACAGCTGCGAGATCGCAACGACCACGCCGGTGGCAAACACCACCACGAAAACGGGCCATTTCCTTTGGGCAAGCTTGTCCTCGTTCCCCTGACCATCTCAGTCTGAGAAGCAAATGGGAAGATGCACGCACCCAATAGGAGACGGTATACAGATATGTCGCCGCACAAGAAGCGGCGGTCCCCGCCAGGTTCGCAAGCAAGTCGATGATGAGGCCGAACTTGAGCAACCAGTGGTCGGACTTCCCGTTCTTCGACGAGAAGTATTTTCCGAGCAGGAAAACCTGCGCGGTGAGAAAGAGGACAGCGAGCCAACTCCCAACAATGAGGGGTCTGTGGAGGAGTCGTTAACCGGAGACTAAACGGGCTATAGACATTAAGTCCTACGTGAGATGGTTTGAGGTGAGGAACGGTGTGTCCATGGTCACGGTCGAATTGGAGCTCATGATGAATGTGCGAAGACAAACGACGAATCAAGCGGTGACGTTAGCCCCCGCTTTATAGCGGCTGGCGGTCTGAAACAGCCCTCTCTTTTCCGCCTGACTTCCGCGAGTCTTGATTCTGAGTTGCATCCGCGGGGTCTTACAACATAGCATTCACCGAAGAGTGTCAGTACAGTGTACAACGAGAAAAAACATACGTTCAACTCCCTCCCCCGCCACAACCGCCTCCTCCACAACCTCCACCTCCGCAACCACCACCTGAAAGAAGCATTAGTCGAACGATATGAGGTTGAGCGGATATGGAAACATACCACAGCCAGCCCCTCCACAACCTCCAGCTATGAAACGTGGCTTCAGCTTGCCAGATCACTCAAAAACGAGGAAATTCACCTGAACCGCAAGCGGCATTACCAGAACTACAAGCTCCCACTCCCTATCGGACCATCAGGGCGAAAGAAAGACTGACAAAAAAAAGGGTACCGCAGCACAAGCTCCCACCCCAATACCTCCATTCACGACACTCCCTCCAAAAGCAGCGCAACCAGCGACACCAGCCCCATAGTAAAGGGGCACTGGGACGAGGAAGGCCGGGTCATGGACGACGTCACGCTTCTTTGTCCCATTCGCCTCATCTCGCTGGGCTCGCTTGGCGATCTTCTCCCGACGCCGCCGTTGTGCCGCTTCGCTTTGCGCCTTGTGATGAAACGCAAATACCGCATTGTGGTCAGAAGGGTGGGTGGCAGCTAGAATATCGTCCCGATTGGGAGGAACAAGATATGATGGATTGGAACCATGTCCAACGAGGCGGGAGAGACGCTGACCAAGCGTCTCTCCGGGAAGTGGACATCCACAATGATGGTAAGAAACGCCGAAACGATTCTTCCAAGCACGGCAGGTAACATCGAAAGATGTTGCTAGGAGTGACTCCTCGACATTGCCGCTGCTACAAGCCAACAAGTGAGCACCTCAAGAATACGATGCGGGATTTCCTTACTGGTCAATAAAGCGACCGACATATTTAGTAGTGTCCTCGGCATACTACATGGTAAACGTCAGTATCTTCACGAGAAAATAGAACAACAAGTCATACAATCCGGGGTTGCAATTGATGAGTATGCCAGGCGAGATCGATGTCGAGAGTTGGGACGAAGAAGGAGGCAGGCGAGGAGGACATGAGGTCAATGAACCTAAGAACCAGATTAGATGACAGGGAAAAAAGGCGGTCATAAAACATACGCATGATATCGAGCAATAGTATGCTGCAACGCGATTTCATCCTCCGCGCTGTCAAAAAAGCCCGGTTGGGTCCACTGGAGATCATACATCTTGCCCACAAAGGAGCCTTGTCGAAGAACGGAGCCAACAAGCTCAACGGAGAAGATCTTATCATCTGAGTAAGCGCTTGAGATTCTGCCAATCCTAAGATTCGTCAGTTTCTAGGGCTTCAATCAAGTAGTAAGAAATTACTTACAGTCGACCACCTTGACCTTTCATCTGCATCGCACACAGAGACTTCAGCCGACTAAGCTGCCAATTGGCCTTTTCCATCAGGAAAAGAGCATATTGCTCGTCCGACATAGGTTCCTTGGTTCCCGTCTTTGTCGGACGCCTCATGCTGTATGCTTGCAACATGGTGGCTTTGACAATGTGTCCTCGACTGAGATCCTTGACATTAGTCGCAGTATGGACAGTCCCGCTGTTAAGCTTTCAATATTCAGTCAGTAGATTGGACAAAACGACTCACGCCATCATACTAGGTGCTTTACCAGTGTCTGGTTTTGCCAAATCGTTGGCAAACTTGCGGAGAGCGAGAGTATCACGTGTTATTTCGCAGGTGCAATTATCTCGAGAACACGCGATACTGAAGCCCTCCTGCAGATACCCGGTTCCCTCTTCCGTCATATACGCTGAAATCAAGGTCAAATAAAGGCTTGGAGACAGACGCTCAACAAACATACGAGCATAAACAACGGCGCGGCATCTTGGGCAAGCAACTTCCTTGGTAACCATTTGGCTAGACGCCTCCAATGGGTCGTAAGGGGTAAGTGTGGCCTTGAGCCAGTGGTCCAGGCGCTGTTGCAGCGGCTCAGTAGAAAGGATTTCGCTCAGTTGACCATCCTAAAAATTGGAATTAATTTTTTTTGGCTCGCAGTTGTGCAATTCAAACTTACCAAAGAAGCGCCAAAAGCAATGCTCGCATTAGCTAGCCCCTTGAGTGCATCATGTCGGAGGACATCCTCATCAAACCAACTGTTGACTAGTTCAAGATATGAAAGAAAGTTAAAATAGCGCCACAAGCCTGGGATTGAGTAGATACGAGTGCCAGACCTACACAGATAAGCAACGGTCAGTAGAAGGAAGCTAGAAGGGTACCATGATAACGTCGACCGGGGGCAGGAGCGTCGCGAGGCCTTTCTCATACTCAGCAGGTTCCAAGGTTTTGCACCATTTCTCGAATCTAGGAAACACCGTAAGCGACAAGAGGGCGGCAAACCCAACGGTGAACGCGAACCTCTCCACAGCCAACCCAACGAAATACGCCCATCGCCTATCTTTATCTGTAGGAAGACGCTGCACCGTTGCCTCTTGGGCGGAAAGACCTTCAACCTTGAGTTTGAGCTCCGCAAATTCGTGCATAAGGGCCAGATGGCCCTTCAGTTGAGAAACATTGACGAATGGCCGCTTTGTTTGCTTGCCGCCGACATTGAATGTGTCTGGAGCAGAATACGCAGGCGGTGCTTCGGAAACGCCTGAAGGAGCATCAGCGCTAGTGCGCTCAGCAGTGTAGACTGGAGGAGCTTGCATGGTCCACGACGTGGAAGAAGAGCGGAAGCCCCCTGGCGCGTTTAAATGTGGTCCCTGGAGGTAGAGCTGTCACGTGTGACCATCCATCAAATACAGCTTTCCACCTGTTGACCGTGGTCCTCAAACTACACATTGCTGCGGCCTTCCCGCTTGTCAGATTTAGCACGCTTTCCCTGATCAATGCCCTGCTCTACGACACACCTGCAAGTATACCCAACTCACACCGACTGTCCAGTAGCACGTCTTGACTAGTCGGCAGCGCCACTACTCATATGTCACATTCGGAAACAGCACTCCTTCAATGTAAACTGAAGGTCAAGCAAGCAACTACCTGTGAGCCGGTGTGACGCCCATATCCAGACGACTCACGAGACTCTGCAGCCTGAGTGGGATTTCCGCTCATGATACGGGTTCTGAGGGAGACCTGTGCGCATTTGAATCCATTCACACTTCCCCATCCAATACGACTCGGCACAAAACCTGCGGCTTCCAAGTGCCGTGTTCTAAAAATGGTACATATCATCAAAACAGCAACCTCCGGGTATCTGCGTGGCGAGTGCTTGAATACTGAGAATCGAATTGCCAATGGGCAGTCCGGCCCATGCTAGCTTTTTGGCCTTCCAAGTTTCCGCAACGAAAAAGCAAATCTAGGTTACGGCTCCTAGTCAATACGCTTTCCGACAGTCATCACGTCCTTCGTCACCGCTCATTCTTGTCATTTGGCAGTGGCTGATTTTTAGCACCAGAACGACTCGAGGTCAATTAGACTCAGAAATACTAGTACCTTCGAGTGGCCTTGCGGTATTAATATTGATGCTGCTTTTTTCTAGGTTCTATTTTAGCCGAAAGTTGAACATGTGGTTCAACTTGGCATTTCATGTTCACAATTTCATTCCAAGATTACGCAAACAAGAAGCAAAGCAACCGGGAACAAACCACAACAACCTTCGCTATTGCTGCATCAATCCTCAAACTCCTGCGCGAGGATGGATTTGAGCCTTTCATAGCGTTCCTACCGTGAACGGTTGTCATCCGAAGAGTATCTAGCCTTCGCGAAAACTTACTTCTCTTTTGTGCAGTGCCCTTCTTTCGCGCTCAAGCTTCACTTTATTAGCCTGAAGACGGATCAGCACATCGGCATAATTTTCTGAGCACTGGCACCTTGATCGTCCGTCGGAATCGCTCTCGTAGAGCGTGTTCCTCGTCCCTTTTAATCCTTTTGGTCTGTCATTGATGAGCATTAGACACGAATCAAACTCGAGAGCCCATCTACTGTTTCAATTTCTTCCAGTTGGCCTTTGAGCAGTGTCTATCGAGCATTGGATCAAAGCGAGGGTCGAGTTGCCACGATACTCACATGCTCTTTGATTAGCTCACCCCCAGAGTCCGAGTCAGACTCCTCGTCCTTGGATTGACTCCGCTTGCGCTTTAACTTTGAACTTGAACTGCCGCTGGTGTTGGGAGGTGTTTCTACGCAGACGGAGTTTGCCCAAGCCTGCTAGCTCTGTGAGTATCACACTCGAATGTATAACGGTTTCGTCACCTCGATTGGTGCACTGGGACGGGAACTTGAAGTCACTAAAATCAAAGCTCAAAATCGGTTGGCACCTATCACTGAGAGCCCACCCCGAGATAAATTTTCGTCGCCTCGGGACTCGACTATATTGCCGTCTAATTCAATAGAGTCCAGTTCCGTGAGCTCCGACTCGCTATTGACGTCGATTTCCTCTCTGCTTGAAGTGTCGGGCTCTAAATTAAAGCGGAAGATGAGCGCCGTGTCACCATTCAGTCTCAATCTTGGGAGTCCTGCACGACAATGCTGTTGGACTTCAAGATTGGTGATCTCTTCTTGCGTTGGCGGTTGCACGAGGCTCCAGAGCCTCAATTCGACTTTATCTATCGCCATCGTGAGTGTCAGTGTCCGGATGACAGACAGGATTTGGCGCGACATACCTGAGCTTCCCCGCTTTCGCAGCCAGATATCTATGTCCTTACGCGGGGGCCAGCGCACTCTACCTTTGGTGGAACACTTGATTTGGGTTGAAGGCACGTTTTCGCTCATGAAGCACGCGGCTGTTACTGGCCACGGCTGTTGGGGGTGCTTTCTTACGGGCCGGACCACCTCGCAGAATGTGTTTACGGATGTCAATTTGGCGCCGAACTCCTTATTCTTCCAGTAGACGTGGTACGACTTAATGGCCATGTCGTATGAGGCTGAGCAACGCGACATAGTAATACGGGCTTACCTGTGTCGCAGGAAGCCTCACCGTGCCCGAAACCTGACGTCGGGAGTCGATCGATGGCGACCAGATCTGCAATGGATTTCCGTGATCGTCCTCCAGCCATACTTTGAAACCATCGTATGAAAGGGCGGTGGTTATCACTGTGCTCATCTTCAGCAAGTGAGTCGTCGTGGTCAAGAACAGAGATATTTGGGTGACATGGGAACATCGTCTTCAAACGATCGCGATGATTAAACCGTGAGAACTTGCTGACTTGCTGTTGTTGAACGAGACATGCATGAATCGAAGCCCATTGGATCTGAGACAGATTTGGCCCGGGGCACCTTTACAAGCTATAAGCATCCACAAGTCAGTGATATTTAGTTGAATGGAAAAGATTCAAAAGAACAAAGATCCAGCGCAGATAATCTTGATTCAAGTAGCGTAAAACAGCCAGATCTAGAATTCCAAGTTTGGAGTCGACATTATAGCGTCTTCATTATACACACACACATGCATTCATTGCTTTAGGTGTTGAACCATCATCATCGAGCTTGAGTTGCTCCCTCCGAGTCATTTCCTCTTTCCTCTAAAGAATGGATCTTAATTTCTTGTTCCGTTCCTGTGTTAAGTTTTCAAGTTAGCAAATGATCCTCACGCAGCAAAGAGACTCGGAACCTCTAGTTTTATGACCAACTGTACGTCTTTCTTGAGCTTTTCTTTTTTGCTCTGAAGGAATGTTAGCATGTTGGTGAAGCGCACAGTGCCTGCTCATTCACATCGATCTTCTCCTGGATGCGCTTCCTAAGAGCATGCCCCTCGGCACGCTGTGAAATTTTTCTCTGTTATCTCGACATTGAGTTTCTGTCCAGCACAGTCGAATCTCAACTGGACGCACTTCTCTCATCCTATTCAGTTCTTTGTCGAGTCGAGTCTACACAAATGTAGGTTTCGAGTTGTGTGCTGTTGGTGACTTACATGCTCATTGATAAGTTCAGTGCCCGAGTCTGATTCAGAATCTTCCTGGTTTCTGGTGGAAGCGCGGGTGTTGTGCCGCTTGTGCTTTGCTCTCAAATTCCGAGCATATGCGGAGACAGTCTAAGTAGCAAGCTATTATGTTATGAGTTGGCGAGGGGGAAATGGCGAGGAGAGTCACCGGTACACTCTTTTCAGAATCAGAATCTGAGACAATATTCGTCCGCGTTTCCAAGTCCTGACCTACGAATTTCCCATATGAGCGCTAGACAGCTCCTTGCCGAAACCTACTTGCTTCATTTGAACTCGATGGTTCGGCAGACCTTCCAGAACTATTTTCGGCATAACCTTCCAAGTTGAAGTGGAAAACGACATCTGGCGGGGAACGCTGGCAAGGGTGGGCACTATTGCTCTGGCCATCATGATGCGATGTCTCTACAGCCTGCATTTCGTCATATGTCGGTGGTTGTTCAAGGCGCCATATTCGCAGCTGGATTTGATCACGTTCTACTACGAATGAGGTATATCGGACTGGAGTCTTCGCTGACGTACCGTCATTGTTGTCTCTGCGCAGTTTGATTCCCATTCTCGGTCTTACTGGCCACCGCACTCGATCTTGCGAGGAGCTCATTTGCGACGACGACATGCCATGAGAGCGCGCAAAGCTTGCGGCCAGCGTCATCCACTCCGAGCGTTCCAGGCCACGGCTTGCAGCGGCGGTTATTGACCGAGAAACCTCGCCGAGCGAATACAAACAATTTTCAGAATCATTGGTATAGCTCCAATAGATGTTGAAAGACTGGAGAATGAGATCAGCCCTAAATATGAGTAAGGGGACATACCTGAGAGTCGGAGAGTCGGATGGTACCGAACATGGTGTTGGTGAGACGGTCAATTGAAGGAGACCATATCTGCAACCGGCTCCCGTCGCGCTGGTCGACCAACCACGCATCACAGTCTCTGTATGAAAGGGCGGTACTTCCTAGCGTGGCCATTTCGTGGCCTAGCGTGTGGTCGTCAGAAGCAAGAGCGGCGAAAACCTGAATCCAACCGCAGTTGAGCTTATTTGCCCAATTGTATTGAAACGGTGACCGAAGTTGGTGAATTTTGCTCGACTTGAAGTCATCTCCAAGCTTTTGTGGTAGCATGGCGTTCTGGAAGGTCTACTCATTATGAGGGCGTTCAAGTTGAACAGTGTTTCTGAACATTTGTTCATGCCAACTTCATGGTAATCATATGACACAGATACGGGCAAGAACCGGTCGCCAGAAGGCCGGCGTATATATACGAACAGGAAAGACATGTGGCAGTGGGTGTTGGAGGGATAAAAAACTGGAAGGAAGGAAGGTAGTTGATCTTGATTTCGAGTTGGAAGGAACGATCGAAGTCACGGTCTGACTCATCAAATAGTGCCTTTTATAAGGACGACGAGGTCGCTGGTCGAGCAACTGCCCCCAATCCACGCCAATCCGCCGGCGGGTGAACGAACCTCCCTTCGAACGTTAATAATAGATAGACGGATTCTTTTTTGGACTCACACGTATGCCCATCATATCGCTTGGTTGATGTCGAGGACCGCCTGACTGTGTGGTTTGCTGCAGAGCTCCGACCTTGACTGGCGCACTGGCGCTCAGTGTCATTGCTGACGTTGTCACGGCCATGGAGTTCTGTTCACCTCCCTCTACTTCATCGTCTGTCTCTTCTTCACCCCGGCTGTCTTCACTAAGCAGCACTTCGACATCGACATCGCTTGGCTCCGCTTTTTCGAGCTCGGAAATATCATCACTACCATCTCCTTCCCTTTCACCACCCCCCCCGCGACACTTTCCCCGAGTTCTCCAGCCCTGGAGCAAAAACTCACGCGTTTTTCGCCTCTCCATTCGCACCTCGCCCTCCCTCACCACTGTCCCACACCCATAATGCCAGTACAAGCACAATCACGACCTCTGAGCCGACGAAGCAACGCCACGACTCGCTCTGGTTAGATCTGAAACCAGACAGCATCCATGACCTCGCCGATGTTCCGACCCCAGCCTCTATCCAAACTCCCGATGAAAGCACACCAAAGTTGCCTGGACTTGCCCCAACTCCACAACTCCTAGTTCAGGAGGAGCTCACTGTTGGGGCCATTATCCGTGCAACGACATCTCCGCGTTCTAGAACAGTCTCTACTCATGACTCGGGTATCTTAACCAACCTGCCATTGCCAGTCTCTGGCCTCCCGGAAACTATCAACTCGCATTCCGTGTCCTTTCCCGGCCTTCCACCTGAGGCTCTCGATAGCCGACTCCCAATACTGACAGTCGAGCCTCCCAAACCATCCGGTACAACGTTACGGCTGGTGGAGCCCTTGGGTACCGGCGCTTTTTCGAGTGTCTGGTTGGCGGAGGATTTATCGGATGACCCGCTCGTTTTGCGTAGTCGACGCAGTTTGCGGAACTTGCGTCGAGAAGGGTCTCTTTCCTTATCGCGGAACAACTCGCTTTCCAGAAATAATTCTCTACGCAAGGTCCGCGTACCTGGGGTCCGCCCAGTTGGAGCTGCTGGCAAGCAGATTCTGACATATCACGACCGTAACGGGACGTTGTCTGTGGGGGTAACCGTTGCCGCCACTCGTCTCGTGGCACTCAAGATGACTGCACGTTCGATGTTTATTGCCTGTTCAGGACGAGAACAGGAGTTACAGCGAGACCGGACCCGTGTGAGTTTTGTTCGCGAGGTCGAAGTTCTCCGACATATCTCCCACCCAAACATCACCAAACTCCTCACCCATCTCACTACTCCTTCCTATCATATCCTGGTTCTACCCTATCTCCCCGGTGGTGACCTTTTGGGTGTTGTCAACAGTGACGCTGCCCATGAACAGCTCGGCGAGTCATTAGTCCGACGGATATGGACTGAGCTGTGCAAAGCTGTTGGCTGGATGCACGGAGTTGGCCTTGTTCATCGTGACGTGAAGCTTGAGAGTGCGGAATTTTTCCTTTCCCATTGCTGATTCTTGTTATTGATATCGATTTCAGATGTCCTCCTTACATCCCCATTTCCATTTACCGCTGCTCCTCCATCCGGCCCGCTAATCAAGCTGACTGACTTTGGACTATCGCGTTTCATCGATACCGACGCTCCACTTCTCAGCACTCGTTGCGGGAGCGAGGCATATGCGGCACCCGAGCTTGTTATCAGCGGTGGGAAATATGACGCTAGGGAGACTGACGCGTGGGCTTGTGGGGTGGTACTCTATGCGATTTGTCTTCGGCATCTACCATTTGGCGAAGGAGCGGCGACGCCCGGCGTTGGTGGTCGAATAGGCCGTGAAGGCGGCGAAAGAGCTGCTCATGCTGCTCGCAGACGGTGGCTGATGCAAATAGCCAAAGGAGAGTGGGAATGGCCTGATTCCCCAGAACAACCTGCGACTATAGATGGACTGCTTGTGAATGAAGCACCCGGAGAACTTATGGGTGCCAAATTGGTGGAAAGTGTTGGGGCACGAAGAGTCGTCGGGAAGTTACTGGTGCGGGAGCGAAGCCGCCGAGCAAAAATCAGCGATCTATGGGACGACCCATTCATGAGGGGAAGTTTCGGGACAAGCATCGAGAATCCTACAACAACAAAATCCGAACTAATCAGCGCCGAGTACGAGACTCAGAGCCCGACCAAAGACACATTCGACTTTTCGAGCAACAGCTCAGATGCGGATAGCGTTAAAAGCTATGACGTGGAGGGATTCGACGACGAGGACCTGGAGGAGGAAGATGACGACCTCGACGACGATGGGCTGTTGCTGGACCAGGATACAATCGACAACATCGCACGCCAAGAGGTTCAATAACACCGGCTTTCTTTTTTTTTATAATGGTGCCGTTAAATTTTATTGGTCCTGGTCCTGTACTTATTAAGTATTCCCTGCCCCACCTTCCATACAGTAAAAATAGAGTCTGGTCGTCTCTGTAGCTGTCTGTACTTACAGTAATTGTAGTCCAAGTTGTGCTTGAGAAGTTTCATTGCTTAGTCACGCCAAAGTGAACTTAAGCTTGTTCTTCAACCATCGACTACTAGAAACTTTCTAGCACATACCATCTATGCCCGACACCGTCACTCATCGCGGCTTCTGTGTATGGCTACGCGACGATAAGGGGAAACACTTGAACCTGGGACGACCACAATTTGTGAACGCAGCGCGAGACGAAGTCGTTTCAACTGTTGAACTGCAAAAGAAAACGGTGAGTCTGATCTTGCTCTTTGGCAACAGGTATATCTCGGTTGTTTTACCATGAATCGAGTTGTATGCCATCGACTGGTGTAAGGTTGAAGGCGCACCCCGAATCAATGCGCGTTGCGACATTTTCAGACCCGACAAGGAAGGAAAGCCTTTTAGGATTGGGAACCATTCTATGTCGGCAGAGGAGCCGGAATCCCAAAAGCGAACATCATTTGGGAGACTCGAAGAACCTTTGCGGAAAGACTCGTGGCTGTCGTCCCATCATGGTGCAGGTGCCTCAGATGTTTTCGTCCAACCACTTTCAGCCCGACGCCTTTTGCCAGGTTGTGTCTCGCTGGCAATCCGTCGACTGCGTTCTCCTCCAGAAGAAACGATCAGCCCCCTCACCTCGAAGACTGATAACTATGAAATGATTCTGGACTATCTGGACTCCGATGACCCGGAAATGATAGACGAAGTGACGGGCCAGCCAATGCGGCCCTATGTGAGTTTTGTGTTCAAATTTAAAATGCTGAAGGAGCATGGAGCAGGTGGGTTCATCTTCTTCAGGTGGAATAAAAATACAACGTCTTTTTTTTCCAGTACCACTGTCGATTACGAATTCAGAGGCGGATACCATTGTCATTGAGACTCCTGGTCGCAACTCTACGCAAGAAATAGATTCACCAACACCTCCGAGTCTTTCGGGAAGCGTAAGTTCAGTGCTGCTCTTGGGGGAGAAACTGAAGGCATTTTGTAGATTCCAAGTCCGAGAAAGCGACCACCACGGGACCATCTGTACGACTCGGAGGTCGAAACTTTACTGGAGAGAAGGGTCAGTGGATCGTGTCATGTTCTCAAGGCGACGGTTGTTCAATGCAGTAAGTATAGAAACGAACCAAAACCCGAATGGATCAAGTCCAACAGGTCAGTTCAACGCGGAACAGTAATAGTCTTGAGGCTGCTCACCCTGTGGCGCAAGGAAAATTTGCAACGACGCGAAGAAATACGGCAGCTCTTGGAAGGCCTGCGACAAACCGTAAAGGTCGGCTGACTCTTCTTCTGCCCATACTGGATGAGATCAACTCTGTTAGTCGGAGGAAACGGCACTGGTTCGCGCGGAACAGGAGTCCCAGGATCTCAAAGTAAGCGTTAGGCTATCTGCGACAGGCATTTATGGGCTGGTTTAGAGCCAGCTCCAAAAACTTCAGACCAGTATTCAAGGTTATTGAGATCCGAGTCGATCGGCTTTGAACTTTAGCTTGAAGTTGACTGTAGAGGTGGAGCGAGGCGCATTTTGAAACGCGAGGAAATGACTGCTTTGTGCTACCACACTGGCAGATTGTAGCATAAAATTGATGTTCGGCAGGTCTGCACATGCCCCCAACAACCATCATAAAGTATCGATATTCAACACACATATATTCCTCTGTCAGTGGCCTTCCTTACTTAAACGGCAAATGCATGCGAGACAACAAGATCCTCGTGCTGCTCGACTTTTGGGACGTGCAGATCGTAACTTGACTGCTTCTCCCGTTCGAGTTCCAGGACACTCAGCGATTCCGATGTCGTCGTGGCTGCAGACGTGTTGTCGCGGGGGCCAGCAAACCGAATGATTGTGGTGTTTTCCACCACCGGTCGTGATGTGCTGCTCCCATGGCTTGAGGAATGGGAGTGTTGTGTTCCTGGATAAGTGACCCGGGCTCGGGAGTTGAAGATCTACAACCAGCAATCAGCATTGAACGGTACCATTAGGAGAAAATGCACCAGTAATATGCTGTTGGAGTAGAATTTGGACAGCTCGAAGCATGTCGCGAGATGCAAGTTGGTTTTCTTGTACGCGAGAAAGAGGTATAGGTCAACTACCACGACAATTGTACATATCATTCCTGTCTCCACGGTGAGCTAGAAAAGCTCAGTCAGGCCACCACCAAACGGAATATAAGATTGATGAATCACCAGAAGGACTTTGGAGATCGTGGAATTGATGCGATTGAACTCGCGCTGCCGCGATTTGAGGAGATTGTAGACCATGCCAAACATGATAAGCAAGTCGCAAATCAAGGTAGACGACAGCCAAAGCTATAACGGAGGTTAATAAAACACAGATGGACGAAGACTCAGAGAAAACTGAACAGCTGTCGGAACCAAGATGTCGTGCTCTTGTAATGCGGAGAATCGACCCGCCTTGCACATATTGACAGCACCCCATACACCCGCCCCCAGTTGTAACATTGAGGTCTAAAATGGATGAACTAAGCGCTAGCAAGGGGGTTGGGCTCACCAGGTATACCAAGATGGGAAGATAGACACTCTGCCCGATGAGATAGATCCTGTACGCAAAGAAGCCCTGTCCAATCGATGAAACTGAGAGGCGTTTAGCTTATGTGACTTGATGTGAACTGGAGGGGAGAAGACTCACTAAATGGCCCAAGCACCGGAGTGCTAAACCATGCCCAGCCCACTCTGTCCAGCGCCTCCATATCCCCCCAGCCAAGACCGAATATTTCGATCATGTCATGAAAATTGGAAAATGTTTCCAGAAGTTCAGCGAACAGAACAATCGCAACACCGCGTTTGGCCCAGTTTGGATCTTGGGGAAATGCAGCATAATATATGTCTGTTTGAATGGAAAATGAACCCGGAATAGCAGAAATCGCAGAACAAACATATTTGCACCAGAAGAATTCCAAGAAGGAGCCAGTTTACGACGATGCCGATGAACTACCAAAAGGATGATTTCTTGGTTCCGGGCCAGTCAAGTGGGAAGGCCTAACCATAGGCAGAGTTCTGCGGCCGGTCTGATGAGGACGAAATATTCCATGACCACAAAACACTCACAATAGAGCAACCGTGACGGCCATGGCTTCAGGGAGACTCACAGAGACGCGAGGAAGATGAGGACGTCCTTTAAGCCGGGAGACGAATGCTGTCGAAAATAGCCACCAAGGTGATGATGTTGATAGTTTACCGTGAACCTGAGTTACCTGCAGATTGTCAGTTGGCACGGAGCCGTTCATTGGTGGAGAAAACCATCGCACGCATGCAAAGCACATCTCGAGGAGGGCTTGATGTGATATGAGCTTTATTCCAGCTCACCTCCACGAATTATATGCCTGGTAAGGTAATGTTCGGGATAGCATGGTGGTCGTCAAGAAGCAGAAGAAGTATCGAGAAATTATTAATACTCGGCTCAGGCGCTCAAGCTGGGCGCAAGCTTCAGCTGAGGGGTTTCATTTGTGTGTTTAGGCATGCTGATGTTAGAGGAGTGTCTCGACGGTTCAGGTCTGCCGTCGCAGTCGACGTAGAGAGAGAAAGAAACACAGACTCACAGTGTCAATGATGTCATCATGATGATGATAGTGTTGGACACTCACTCAATGAGCTGAAGTTCCAAAGGGCAGGCAGTCTTCTTTCCCTCCGAGTCAGCCAAAGCAACGTCACCACCTATTGACTGAAACGCCACGGTCATGGCCTGACGACGAAGCGGAGTTACAGTTACAAGCTACAAGCAGCTAAAAAGCGGAAGCCCTCGGTGTCCCAATGTGAATATCGACTCCACGTTCGCGAAGAACTTCGACTTGATGCTTTATCACTCCGTCAGGATGAGTGGTTCCCGAAACGATTCCCCAGGTGTATCTAAATCGCCGCAAACATATTCGATCTGTCGAAGCCCACTCTTGTGAGGTCCGCAAAAACAGAAGAGTGATGAGGTTCATGATTGACGAGTTTTTCGGCAACGTGCCGGAGTGCAAGGAGCCGCCACCCTTCTCATGACGGTACAAGAGATGGCAATTGCCAGCGCAGCCTTAACTAAATTGCTGGCACTTGCCAGCCGCTGGCAAGGTCAGCATTCCCTTATTGGGAGGTCTGTTTGAATTTCGTCAGCACCTTGACGAAGCTGCAGCGATCCAAAAAGGGTTGGAGGGGGGGGGTCTGTGTCGAGAACATTTGATCTGGATCAATGGGTGTCTCCCCATCATTTGGTGTAGAAAATGAGAAATTAGAATGGGGATGCATTGTAGCTTAGTCACCTCGCGATATTCATCCACGGGGATATCCGGCAGCTGGCTGCGGGTGGTCGGCTGGCCCCTTGTTGGGCTCCAGCTGCGGCAGCCTTGCAGCCATGCTTTCACTTTGTACAAAGCAAGTAACCATAGTATCTTTATACGCAATCAAATGATTGAAAGTGGATTTGTGGGTGGGACATCACAGCAAGCCGGCTCGGCTTGATCACCTGCCGCCGCATCCGATATAGATCTATGCTCGGCTTGGTGTCCCCAAGCACGGTCGGGTCGTCAATCATTTGACGGCATCATGCCTTGATTCTGCGGCACCCGTAGAATTGATGATATCATTGGATCCTGTTCGATACTTCCATCATCATACCCTAAGTGCGCTTTCCTCGACTTTACGACCACACGTTTCTGCGTGTCGGTGCAGGAATTCGCCTTGGATTCACCTGGCCGCCCTCTGCCGGTTGAACAGCCTTTCAAATCACTATTGGGCACTGGCAGCGCGATAAAAGCCAACCCTTGCCCTTGCTCATGGCTTTGGCAGCGTAGCCGACGTCCTTAGAACTTAACCCTTGCCCTCGCACCGCTCATGGCTTCCCCCGACACCGACACCTGCTGCCTCCCACCTCTGTTCTTCAGCCCCAACTACCAAAGTATACCCCAGCACGACGCTTCAGACAAGCTGTACTGGGTGGTCCCAGATCTAGGAATCTTCACGCTATAGTGAGTCCACCGACTCATACAGCTTTCGACGACTCATATCGCATGATAGCAGCGCTGCAGCAAAGGCAGCAAAACAGAAACGGGTCTCTATCACCGCGGCCACGGGTCACCAGACTTGGACTGGAGCTCGACTCCAGTGGGACTTACGCTGCGCTCTCGACCACGATGATCCAACTGGTCGTCATCTTCCTCTCCATGCCATTCCCAAGAAAAAAAATGCCTCACTGTCCCCCAAGCGCTCGATACTTGTTATCTGCTGCTCACGCTTCCGACAAGCTCGTAACACCCATCTCCCAGGTGCAAACAACACATGGGGACTCGATATCCACCGTGGCCATCAGTCGCCAACCTCCAGTCAGCGCGTCACCATCCTCTACATCATCCAGCCCAGGCCCACCGCCAACGTCTCGTTCATCCTCTACATCATCCAGCCCAGGCCCACCGCCAACGTCTCGTTCATCCTCTGTGTCTGCCTTGACTACTTCCCCTTCTGCCATGGCCACCACGGCCCCTGACCGACGCGAAACTATCTTCGCGTTTAACGAAGAAACCAGTACTATCTATCGAGACGCGTAAGTGGCTCTTAGATACAGCGACAAATCACTAACCGCAGTCCCAGCAACGCGGCACTGAACCATTTGAGTGTCACTGGCCGTATCCAAATGCTCAGCCGCTCAGAGCTGCGAGCGAGAATGTTTACTAGTCGGTTGGGCAGTGACTGAACTCCGTATCAACCTGTCCATAGTCGATGTCTCAATATCACTGCAAACGTTCATTTAAAACTTCAAACTTGTATGATTCACAGCAGCACATTTGATTCAGATTCAGAGCATGGCGACAAACAAGCAAAGCAGAGCAACACAAAGTACTAAGTATTGAGTCGGTTTCTTTTCGATGTGAAAGTCCATTTTAGCAAACAGAACGCAAGCCAGCCCACAGACCACCAATAACCGTCCGCACAGTCGACATTCCCTGCTGACGCCCTTGCTCCATAGAGTTCAAATTGTCCGAACTTGACGAGGACGACCAGAAAGGCGGGGGACCATTATCCTCTTCCTTCTTCACAACCCGCGTTTCCAACAGCATGGTCTCTTCCTCTTCCGCCTTCACAACTTGTTTAGGCCCAGCCGTCATTGTGGTTGAGACGTTGCCATCGGGCGTCGTCGGGCGCGGGGGCCGGAATCAATCGGAGACGGTCGTTCATCTGCCACTGCCATCTCGACTTATCCACGCTCACGTGAATTTCACGAGTTCTGACTTTTCAGGTCTCTATGTAGCTACACGATGATATGTATGTGAGTTAACTATTTTCGCCTTTTAAACTCTTCGTAGTGTGTCGCCATACCTTCCAACATCCAACCAACGTCTGCTAAAACCGCCTGCCATTCTTCCTGCTCCACCCCCTTCTTCTTGATTGAAATTCCCCACATGTAAAGTGCACAGACAATGCCAACGACTCCGCCCGGTCCCCATGAATATAGCCGTCCCCAATCCCTCCCTGTTCCTCCATATGACCCCGAGATGCTCCAGTCTCCCGTCATCTCCCGCTTACGCCATCGGGGTTGGAGACTGTCCCACCATGTTCGGAACTCTCCCTTGAGGACGGCCAATTGGGCTTGCGTGAGCTTTTCCGTGTCTTTTGCGCTCGATTGCAACCAGGGCTTGACAAGTGCAGGAGAATGAAGGGCCGGCAAAATGTCGATCTCAGATATCACGAAATCGGACGCAGTTTCCATCCTCAACCACGAGTTGAAGATTCCATCGAATTGAGGACCGAGCTCACGTCGAGAGAGACGATGGTGGAAGAATATGAACCACTCTGGCGCTTCAACCGGACAGGGTCTACGTTGTAGGGCTACGTCTGCCTCGGCTTTTCGAGAGCTGCGACGTGGCGCTGCTGGGTTGACCGCGTTGACCTGCTTCACTGTCTTTGGCTTGGGCTTAACCTGAGAGCCACGCGGAGTTGGAGCAGGGGTCTTGCCCGCTGCGAAGGTGTTTGGCGGCTGCAGAGGTGGTGGGCGAAGTGGAGCCGTTGGTGAAGTCGAAAGAAGTTGTGAGCTTGGTGAAGGTGGACGAGGGGGAATAGAAGGCTCGGTCGCGGATATGGCAAGCGAGAAAGGCGTAGTCGACGAGCTTGCTGAAGAGAGCCGGGGAAAAACGGAAAGCTCAGTTGCGGAATTCGCAAACGAGAAAGGGGAAAGGCGTAGTCGATGAGCTTGGTGCAGATGGGCCGGGGAAAATAGAATGCTCGGTGGCAGATGTCGAAGTCGAAAGAAGTTGTGAGCTTGGTGAAGGTGGACGAGGGGGAATAGAAGGCTCGGTCGCGGATATGGCAAGCGAGAAAGGCGTAGTCGACGAGCTTGCTGAAGAGAGCTGGGGAAAAACGGAAAGCTCAGTTGCGGAATTCGCAAACGAGAAAGGGAAAGGCGTAGTCGATGAGCTTGGTGCAGATGGGCTGGGGAAAATAGAATGCTCGGTGGCAGATGTCGCAAGTGAGAAAGGCGAAGTCGATGAAGTCGAAGAGGGTAAGCTGGGGGAAGGCCGAAATACTAGGGCTGGCCCAGGGAAAAGGGTTGTCGAGGATGACGAGACTGAAGCTTGAGAAGGGCTTGGCATCATCTGCGGAGCCGACACTGTAGGGTGAGGGGAAATGGCGAATGGCCTTTCCACGTTCCCAGTCATAGTGGTGGAGAATGGCGCAGAGCTGACAGACGAGCTGCTGAAGGGGATCTTGCGAGACTCCGACTGGTCCACCGCCATCTCGCTGTGAGCGTCGTTGAAAGAATACATTCCGTCAAAGTTGTATGGCAACTTGGGTGAAGGCGGAGGTTGTGGGTTAACGCTGAAAGCCGAGTGTGACGTAGATGGGATAGCAGATGCGGCGGGATTTGGGCGACTAGTGGTGGCGGCATTTTGTCGAGCCGCTACTTTTCTCTTCTTTTTTGGCGCCTCGTCTCCATCTTTGCGAGACTCCGACTGGTCCACCGCCCTCTCGCTGTGATCGTCGTCGAAAGAATACATTCCGTCAAAGTTGTAAGACAACTTGGGTGAAGGCGGAGGTTGTGGGTTAACGCTGAAAACCGAGTGTGACGTAGATGGGATAGCAGATGCGGCGGGATCTGGGCGACTAGTGGTGGCGGCATTTTGTCGAGCCGCTACTTTTCTCTTCTTTTTTGGCGCCTCGTCTTCATCTTCTGTCTCGGTTTCCGGGTCAGGCCCGAGAGGAATCTCTGTCGACATCCACGCTGGTGGTACGGCAGTGCCAACCGCTCGAGGGGGGGGATTTTGAGGGTCATACGGAAAGTTGGTTTCGCTGGTTTCAAGGGCAGAGCTGGCACACTGTTCGGCAGCTGAACAAAGTCAGGAAGTGTTGAAGAGAATAAGAGAGGTGAATGACGCACTATAAGCAGTTTGGAGGTATTCGACGAAAAATTCCAATATTTTTTTGAAACGGGCAGGATCCCATTGAGCCCAGTGAGGTCCTGCAGCTGTAAGGTTTCGTCCAAAGGAAAAGCTGTGGGTATGTTAGCGGTTACTGCTAGAATAAGAGCGCGTCGACCTACTACTGAACACTGATATCGCCATTGAGTTCGGGTTGGGGCCCACCCACGAAGAGGGTAGAGTGGCAACCTGTAACGTTGAACAGTTCTTGGAGTACCGGGCCAATGAAGGCCGCCAGCCCGACGCAATGCGCTGCAAGTTGTTCAGAAAAAAGTTGTTTGTAAGATTGAGATGACCCACTTGTGTCGAGCCTCTGGCGATGTATCTGGCGGCGCTCTCGCCATCTCGTCGAATTGAGCCTTGAGTTCATCCGCCTCAGCCTTGGCTCGGGCCTGATAATCGTCCTGTTGCTCCTTCGGTAATGTCTTGAAGATTCGTCTGACGACCGAGGCCCGAAAGTCCGCGTCAATGCACTTTTTTTTGAAGCCAGGAGCCTGCTTCGCCTGAAGCCATTCGCGTTGGATAATCGGAGTGAGGAAGGGACGTTGCTCCTTCATGAACTGTTGGAAGGGTTGGCGGCGTTTCTTGGCTTTCGAGATGCCCGACAGCTCTAGAAGGAAGAGCGCATATGGATCATTGGCCGCGTTGCGCGTCCCACGTCCGTCGATGGCGATTCTTCTCCTTGACTCGAGTGAAGAGCCAACGACGGATGCTCTGGAGAAGGTGAGCACGTGACAAATCCCTTTTGAATCAACAACTCACTGGTGTCAAGGCCTCGATAATGCGATCTTTCTGAGCTTGCAACTCTGGAGACAAGTTCTCCATGGGCAATGGCGCATTGGGGTCGTAACCGCGATCTTCAGGCTCCATGACCGACGGGGGAGTTGTCCAGTGAATACGAGCAAAATACTCGCGCAAAGACTCGACGCATAACTGATTGTTCTGCATCTTTGCTGCGGTCCAGGGCTGCTGAATACTCGGGAATATACTGCGCCAATATGCGCGCGCGTAACCCATTGGCCCATCCACGTTTATGCTGAACAACAACAGGTGCTTCTTTGACGACAACCATAGAAACTTCAGAATTTTAGTGAACGGCGCTGGCTAGCAAGTGCGCATAAGTACCTCGTTGGAGACAACTGGGTTTGCGAGCAGAAGGGTCGATTGCGGGCGGAAGTCAAGAGCAGAAGGCCCCAGAATGAAGTCGCGAAGGAAGGGTTGAATGTTAAGGGCAATAAACCTGGGTTATTTCCCCCCCGGCTAACCTCTTCATTCCCCTTTTGTGCGCGCCGAAAAACTTGGGAATGCCGCCTCCCGGCGATCAACAAGCATCAAACATCACTCTGAGCACTATAAAAGCTCTTCGGTACTCGTCAATTGGCATAAACCTTTCTTTCCTCTTCTCCACAATGACCGGTCGCAACTTCATCGGTGAACACCAAGGTATTGCCTTAGCCTTGACCCTGCCTCGATTCCTCTGACGGCTTCCCTCCAGATCAAGCAATCGGGGCCCTTCAGCATCTCCTTGTCGAGCTCCGCAACGCCAACAAAAGCTACCCAGGCTCGTCACTCATCTTTGGCTACCGTCGCTCTCGACTAACTCCTCACCAGACACCACCGTCTCAGCGTTGGTTTCTTCATGCAACCTGGATGGTATGTCGCAGTCGCCTTCCCTGGTTGACAATATGCTGACGCTTAGGATCCCAGACACGTCAATCTTTACGCTCCAAGTGCTCGTTGGCGCGCTCAACATAATCAGTGGGTTCATTGACTATATACTTCATTCTAATTAACATGTTACTCTAGACGACCAGGCAGCTAGCGCTGTCGCCTCCTTGTTGTCCCAAGGGGCTGTCACTCGCGGGTCGGGCTTTCTCTCAGCCTCCGCCCTCGGCTTCATCCGCCCCCGTCCTCGCGCCTATCGTTGCTTCGGCCCCCGTCATTTCAGCTCCTACCCCGGCTCAAGGCTCCACCCTTGCTCACGATAGTCTTCCCCCAGCTGTCCCAGCTGTTACTTTCTCGGACGGCGCGCCATGGGTCGTTGGGCACCTTTACACCCAACGTCCGACAGAGCTACTCGGCGCCGCTTCTACCGCCAATCTCAACCCCCATACACGTTGGTACTCCGTCACGATTGGGCGTCATGTAGGGATCACCACCATCAACAACTACGCAAGCCAGGCAATTAAGGGGGTCACCGGTGGCCGCATGCTCGTCTTCGCGTCCCAGGAACTCGCCCTCCAGGATTTCCATATCAGTCAGCGCGCTGGAGTTGTTGTGGTTGTTCCTGGCGCGGCCCCCTTGCCTGATGACCACTAGACGGACGCGTGTGCCTTAGAAAAATTTACTTAGCCCCAAACGTAGTACAAACCCCCACTCTTTCGTCTGCAATAAAATTTGTCGCCCCGCTCGCGTGAGCATTTAAATGTTTGAACGGTCAAAACTCTTTAGCGAGGAGGAAACACGCAGTTTTTTGTCTTGCGACTCCGCTTCACGACAGATAGGCCCGGGCTGCAGGTCAAATGAATGATGATAACATGGAAATTTGCTTCCAGAATGTCGTAAGAAAAACTAGACGGAACTCTAGCGAAAGCTTCCCTCTCATCAATGTCCAGTTGACGTCGATCTGGGCACGTTCCACTTGGATCCGGAGTCGATCCGTTCATCCGGACTTGATTTTGCCGACGGCATAAAAAGTTTCCGCGGAGGCAAGTGGCAGACCCAAGCGGCCAAGCCTGGCAACAAATTCGACCGAATTTGGAAGCTTCTCACGCTGGAGTCTGGACTGGACCGACTGGTGAGGCGAAACACGCGATGATATTCAGTAGTTGTGAGCGAAATGACATTGGAATAGCTTATGCAAAGACACTCCCCCATGGTGGCATTCGATAGTGACCTCCCCAATGCTTAATCCAGACAGCTGTGCCCCGACATACACACGCGCGCAGCCGGGGCAGGAAGCTTCCCGGCAGGTCTTGAAGGAGCACGGCCCGTCCTCTGGGGGCGCTTGGGAGTAGTCCCACTTCCGCTTATTGAAGTCGCTGTGCTTGTCGACCCAGCCGCCCTGGTTGTCGGCATTAGAAAGTGTTGGTGTTGAGTGGGTTTGGGTGAGCTGTCGTCGCGCAACATCTAGCTGCGACAGTAACGATGGCCCCTTCAACTTCGCCTTGGCCTTGACCAGGCTCGCCTTCGCCTTCGCCTTCGAGTACGGGTGGCCCTGGGGAGGTGGTTTACGACGAGCAGCCGTTAATTGTTCGATAAGTGGGGGTCGATGAAGAGCAAGTAATGGACTTGTGATGTGGTTCTGTGGAGACCGATAAGAGCCCCGAGATCCAGATAGATCGGGATATCTCCCCAGCGTGCTCGACGAGGTCGTGGCCTGTTTTCGAGTCGGTGTCGCTGGAGAATACGAGTAGTTGGCAGCGTCTGTAAGTCGTTTTTTTTGAACAGGCAATGCAGAAGCTTTTTGTTGAATGCGCTCGGGGGTTCTGGGGGTCCGGGGGAAGTGAGGCTGGTGGAGAGTGAATGCGCTGGACTGGTTGTGAAGGTTGTCGTTTCTCGGGCACATTCCTATAATCCAAGTTAGCATGTCAATGAGTTCGGGATGAATCCCGACCTTGAAGCTATCGTTTTCTTAGATTTTTCGCTGGCAGGGTGACTGGCAAGTGCTAGAGATGAATCTGGAGCACAGTAAAAGTATACTGAGTTACTCACGTTTCCCTATAAATCCGCGACGCTCTTCTTTCTCGTTGTCGATAGTGTTCCCGTGCTTCCAAAGGACCATTCCTGATTGCTTCCCGTTGCCTTCGCATCCAGTCTTTCTTACTCTGAAGCCGTTTGGACCGATGCCTTTGTGGGTCAACAGTCAGTTGCAAAAGTATGATGTCGGCGAGGAGACTGACTTCTGGTCTGATAACCGCCGCGACTCTCTGCGGCGTTGAAGGCGCTCATCCGCTGGAAGCGGTTTCCGTCCCATGGGCAGAGGAAATGAGACCCAGCAACGACTTGAGGAGCGAGTGGGTGACAGTCAAGAAGAGGTTAAATAACGCGGGTCACAAATCTAAGTCCAAACTGTAGTGCCTCTACGCCCTAGCAAATGACTAGCAATGACGAATAGAATTTGGTTGGAGGGCAAGGGAAGGGAAGGGAAAGCAGTGGTGGTATAGTAAGGAGTATATGTTGCGATGAGCACACATTCTAGTAAGTGGTCAAAGCTTTGCAGTAGTAGATATCGGTTCGCGATTGAGAACACAGTGTTGTCATATCAGTGGACGACACTTATTTCACACTTTCGACGTTTTTTTGCACCTCTCGAGTGCTTGAAAGCGTTGAATAAATTCTGAGTGATAGATTGAGGTCTACTTTAGTTGTTCTGCCACTTCTGAGTGCAGGGAGGGACTGGATATTTTATTATTAATTTTTCTCGCTGAAAAATACAAAGTTTTCCTGTGTATTGCAACGACTCTGGAGAAGAATCTGGCACATTTTGGGAGAGCGAGCTGCACTATACATCTCGAAAATGTTCTTCTTACATCAGTGGACGACACTTACATCAGTGGACGACAGAAAAAGTCAGTGAACGACACTTAATCGCCTCAGTGGACGACACTAATTGCCTCAGTGGACGACAGAAAACATCAATAGAGGACACTAATTGCCCAAATTCTCAAAGAGCGACACAAAAACACCCAAAGCGAGTTCCATTCAACCAAGAATTCATGTTACAGTAGCCTCCATGTCCGCAATACTATCTAAAGTTATGATTTCTCTAAGGGCTCTACTCTCCCCAACTGCCCACTTGATTCTGAAATGCATCATAATCTGCTCATTCTGCGAGGCTCGTCGTAAAGCATACGAGCGCAAACCCGCAGCGATACTCGAATCATCGAGCCCAGCCCGCGATACTTGTGCTCTCCACCATTTGGCCTCCCAGGTCAAGAACCTCAGAACGCGCCGCATTTCCTCCTCGACCAGCAGCACTTCTTCAGTCCATCGGCGTTTCCGTGCCAAAGCTCGCGACCATTCGACACGCATGGCTAGAAAGAGATGTGATGTAAGTGTACTGGATCAGTCAGAAAGATTTAAGTCGTACTCTCGTGCAGAGATCTCTCTTCGTCAGCGAAAGCGCCAGGCGCAGTCCAAATCCATGACAAGACTTGTCTCGACCTGCTTGGCATGGTGCGAGGCAGTCGGGCCCCGCGTATAAGCCCTGTTGATGCGAGTTTTCGACTGGCGTCCATGTCCGCGACATCGATATCGTTCTCGAGTCGGACATCTTGTTGTCTCAATTCACGAAGTTGCGGGTACTTGTCCAACACATTCAAGCCCGATAAAGCAGTATACCCTCGCCAGTACCGCCGGTAGAGACCAGTGGCGCGATCTCCGACAGACTGGATCAACTTCGCGGACTTGGTAGTCTGGCGTTGGCCAGTAACATGAGCATTGCGATAAGCAATAAGCCATCGCTTGCCGTGGAGGGTGAACCGGAGTTGACTGAGAGTGTTTTCGCACTGGGAGACGCGTAGCCTCTCCTCGAGGGCGACCAGACCCGGAAGGCATCCATTTACTCCGTCAGGCGTCCGCGGCATCTGGCTCGGCATCCAGAGCTTAACCTCCTCAGCAGGTAGCGCAGGTACATTGCTGTCGCGTTCGATCTCCGCAGCTGCCATCAGAGGGGCAACGCCCGGCATATACACCACTTGTAGTTGGCGGAAACGATTGATTTTGCGAAGGAGAGCATCGCGCTTCTCGTCGATCTTGATTTTACGCTCCGAGCTGAGCAGAGCAGCTTCTTTGAGTTCTACTTTGAGTCGTTCTCTGGAGCTGGGTTAACTGAGGTGTAGATAGAGAGACGGATGATCACTAACTGCGAGTCCTCAATTTGAATGCCGGGCGGAAAGGAATGCGGTCGCACTGCTACCTGCGATTTGTGCTCGACCATCGGTGTTTTGCTGTCGTTCTTCTTGCTGCAGTTGGTGACGAATGTCAGCTTCAGTGGGCAAACCTAAAAAGAGAGTCAAGTCGGATTTGAAGATAGTTGATAGCAACACACCGTTGGTCGGGAGAACATATGGGTTTGGACAGTTGTTGTCGGCTTCCCAATTATGTATCATCATTTTCCACTCTTTCTGCAAGTCCGGCTCAATTGCCTCGCAGACTGATTGGAAAGCCTCGATTTGCGTTTTTTGTTCGTTGCGGGCAATAAGAAGGCGACGCTGTAAAGTGGTACCTAAGGAAGGGCGATGAGGATCTGGAAAGATATGATTCCATTAGCTCACCAAGCATCATGTTTTTGAGAAAGTTGTGGTTATCCACACGATCGTCGAGTGTGTCGGCTCGATTTCCGAGACCCATTTCCTTGGTAGCAAGAGCAGCAGGATTCAGTACCGACCAAACCCGTTCGATAGCTTCACCGTCTGTTTTGGCTACGCCGGGTTTGTAGTCCAATTTGTTGGTATCGCGACAAGATTTCGTATGTGATTCCGCATGCCATATGGGAAGACCAAATTGGACCTTGGTTGCGTCGGGATCGAGTGTCATATTTGAGGGCAGGCGCATCATTCGCTGGTTCAGGTGAACTTTCCATTGACACGCGATATCGTACGAGATAGTGATCCATAGTAAGGTGAGAGCCATAATCGCAGAGAACAATATCCAATCCATGTTGCAGTACCTATGAAACGTGTTAAGGCAATCAAATGGATGCAGACGCTACTGACCGTTCTCCCTTCTGCAGGTCCCCAAGCCCATTTGGCCGAACAATTTCGTGCCGCGCGCACACGCATCCGCCGACGCCTGAGACACGAAGGCCCGTAGTCATTCGGGTATCTTTCTGGAGAAGAGCCGCAAAGGCAATACATGAGCTCATCTATCGAGGAATCAGTGAAATCATAGAGAAAAAAATTTGTGCTGACATCTGATTCGCTCACGTATTTTTTCACGTGTTCTTGGTAGCCGTTCGGTTCGACCCAATACGCCCAGCCGGGTCCTAATGGTGGGTCATCAATCTCGTTGTTCCGAATGCGATTCTTCAGTCGGAAATTGGCGTCCATCGCGAGAACCATCATATAAAGGAATCTACCAAGTCGGTCAGTATTGATAAAGAGGACAAAAGGAAACTGACTGCATTTCGAGGGGGGCAGCGCGCCAGTTCGGAGGCAAGTTCTTGTTTTCCTGAGGACAGGCCCAACAAAGAACGGCGCATGCACCAAGTGGGGTCGCGTCGATTGCCACTGGAACTTGTGTACGACCGGAGCGTTTGAGTCTGGATAAGTGCGCCCATTGGCGAGACATTCTATGGAATTGACGAGTCGGTTGCTGAAACTTTGCGTCAGAGAACTAAGACAAAAACAGGGAAGGAAACACAAACCGGGACGGCCTCGACACCACTCACAGCCATGGCACTGGACATGCGTTCCAAAGCGGTGATAAAATCGGTGACATTGAGGTTACCGACTACGTTGAATAGTCGAAAGGCTTTGAGTGTTCGGAATGTCGTGCAAGTAGCGGGTTCTAGAACGGTTGCTGGGTACCATGCGTTGCGTAGGATTTGTTGCACGTTATTAGCGTTGCGAGAGTGGGGACAATTGCAATAGCGAAGGTCAATCTTGTGGATGAAGGGTAAGTCGATAACTATCATTTCATGAGTGCGAAGATCTGGGAATGGGCAGCGAAAGCCGCCGTGTCCAAGCTGATACACGAGGCCGATTTGTTGGAGCGTCTTCTTCACCCAAAAAGTTCCCATTCCACATCTGAAAGGCATAAGCAAGGAGGTCGTAAGAGCTAGATGGAAAATAACAGTACCTGGAGGGAGTGTAGTGGGAACCGCTCATGCCACGATAAGCAACATTGCTGACACTGAAGATGTTGGCCACAGTCTTCGCATTGGAAATACGACGGAGCGTCTTCTGACGCCAGGTTACGATGACAGTGTGCACATTGAGGGGCTTCCAAATTATTTCCAAGACTCTCATGTCGAAGTATTTCATCCAGAAACAGGGATCTGAGAGTTCGCCATTGAGCCATGGGATTTCCCTGTAGAAGGTTGAGAGTTTGGTTTGCACATGAAAAGTGGCACACACCGAGGGAGAGCTAGCGGCTGGAATGGTGCTTTCAACTGGGGGTGGCTCGTTCCGCTCTATAGTACCAACAGCGTCCAGCATAGGTCGCCAACCAGCCAGTGGATCTCCTTCTTGAGTAATAGTCGCGACCCGCTGTCGTTTGACTGTGACAGCCGCACGCCGCCCTCGTTGTATATGGCCTTCGTTGGATATGAAGATGCCTTGTGCGTGAGCGGAGCCATGGATGGTATGTCGACCAATATCGAGGTCCACAGCGACACGACGTTTTCGTTTATTCATCTCGGGTGGCTGGGAAGGGGGCGAAGACTCGGAAAAGCCACCATGAGGGCTTAGGGCTCAGGGCGTTGACGGTTGACAAACGCCCTGAGCCCAATGGTTGCTTGTGCTGCTAGGGGAAGTGCACGTGCTCGATGGCGCACGTGCTCGATGGGATGGGATCATTGATGCGCTGCAATCATGATCCAATCAATCGTAAACTTTGGCAAGAATTCGAAGAAAGGACACAAAACGGCTCATCATATGTAGCATTTGAGACTTTAAATTACTGCATCCGTTGTAGGGAATACCAAGCCATGCCAGGAGTAGTCTACGGTACTCGAATCTGCATGAACGGCGACATATTCGTCCGCCAGCCATGACTCCAAATAGGCATTGCGAGCAGGTGGATTGCGAAGGACATCCTTGCAGATGGGGCATTTCCAGCTACGCTGAAGCCAAAGTCGAAGACAAATAAAACAGTGCGTATGTCCGCATGCCGAACTATCAATGGGTGAGTGCAATGCGACAAGGCCGTTGAGACGCGTACGTGACGGGATGGCGCTTTACACCATGGCATATGGAGCACCTATGGTTTTCAGAGCGAGGCTTGATAAATGCTGGCAGCACTCCAGATTCGACAACATGCGTCAGCGGAATCGTAGGGCCTCTATAAAGTCGCCATCCAGTGTGAATTTGACCGCGTGAGGGTCGTTGAAGAGAAAGGCGGAGATGCTGGGGCCTGCGGACAATTAAAATTTTCGAGCGACCCTGTGGACCGGTGCCCAGAGTACAAAAAGGTCGGGCATCGACGCGCTTGGGGGGGGTAGGACTTTTTTGAAGCTCTGCGATTCGGGCCATGAGGGTGGCAAGGTCAGACATCGCATTTGGGCCTGTTTTAATATGGTGAATACACGTCGTGAGGGTAGAACAAATTATCACGGCTGCCGTCCTTTGCATGGTCTTCGGAATGGTGCTCGCGAAATGGATCGGTATTGAGTGGAGCTTCAGATATGTGAGGGCAAAGAGACGGCAACGGAGCGAAGAAAGACTTACGCTCGTCGGCCATGCTGAGGCGTGGAAAGAATGAGTTATGTGCTGGAAGTTGGTCGAAAAGCGTTGACGGGTCACGGATTCCGGAAAGTCACAAAGAATTTATTGAACTGATGAAAGACAAGTCCCGAGCAAGGGGCAAGCACTGGGTCGACGGCGCCTCCAAACTACTAATCCCCTATTTGCATCATTAGTGCTGAGCAGGCAAAAAAATAACTGAGACACACCCAAATCAATCGCGACCACCTGACTAATAGTATTCTGGTCCGCGTTGGTGTCCGTCCTGTATCATAATCTGAGCATTTCGTTCTATTCCATTGTTCTGGAAACACACAAAGCGAAAAACCACGCCCGCTCAATCTCCTCTCCTGTACAGGGATAGACGGCGGGTTGGCGATGAGAGACTTGCTGGGTATCTTCTGGGATCATGTAATTTCGCAGCCTTCTTACTGCGCGAGTGAGGAGATTCCGAAGGAGGCGGTACATGGCGCTGGCGGGGAAGAGAAGTCAGAATTCCGGACCGTTGCGAACCGCTCTGTTGTCGCGAGCCTGAGCTTGAGGGTAAACCCTTGCCCTCCTCAATAGTGGAGCAAGTTCGCCCGTGCCCTGGTCATGATCAGTCTAACCCTCGACAACGCAACCCTCGACAGTTCTAACCCTCGACAGTTCTAACCCTCAACATTTCCAACCCTCGACAGTTCAAACCACCGACCTGAATCGGGTTTCGTGAATCTTATTTCTTGAAGAGTCTCGCTCGCTCGCATCCTGTTTGTTTCGCTGCCCAGCATGTCAACTCCTCACACTTCACCAATCAAGAAAACCCATATGCTCACTCGCTCTGCTGGCGGGATTTTCTACTTCCAACGCGACCCGCCTGTCTCCCCGATCCAACCCAAATCGCACTTGTCCCTGCGCGGCGAGTTGGATATGTCCCATAGAATCACCCAGTATATGGAGGACAATGACCGGGTCTATCGAGGAGAGGCAAGTTCCAAGCTCTGCATTCTGGTGGATTTTAATAGCAAACGCAGTCACCCTGCCCGCCGGACTACGCACCTTTGACCACCGAGGGAACGGAAGAAATTATTGCCCAGTTGCCGGAAGACAATGGCTTGACCGTCTTGTCGGGGTCCGCAGCCGACTTTGCCGACTTTTTCGAAGAACCACTTCCCGTCCCCGTCCCAGCTCAGACATACGCTGGTCAACGATCGACTTTGACAGCGACAGCAAGCACAAGTGGCGAGGGGACTGCTTCAGCTTCCGTCATGTCGCTCAATGGCCAGAGCGCTTCCGCGACAGCAAGTTCGGTCACAGGGGCAAATGCGACAGCGACGGTATCGGTGTATGAGGAATCCCCTCGTCGTTCAACTCGTCTGGGCAACTCCGACGCGAAGGAACCTGCGCAACGCAGTGTTGTTCCCGTTCTTCGTCGCAAGTATCAAGTTCTGAACGCTTATCCAAACGCGTACGTGCTATTTTCACGCAGAACGTGTCGATGTGACTAAGCGCTGGTGTTGTTGCAGAGTGCTTCCGACTCCATTCGTCGACTCCGAAGACTTGGTTGTTTCCGTAATGCTGCGTGGTCCGTCTCGCAAAAAGCCCAAATGGACTTCAGCATGTGCCGAACTAGCGCATGTGTTAGATGTCATCGCTCCGCGGGCCTTTGGCCTCAGTGGAGGAAGGGCACGTTGGGGGGTCACTTTTGCCTTCGATGACCAAAAGTACAAAAAGGTGTGTCCTCGTCGTCACCCATCCTATTCATGCTCATAAGATATAGAGTATCCTTACACTCAAGCAACAAGCTCTCACCTATCGTTCTCGCGACTTGACCACGGACGCAACATTGGAATGGATTGCGGCCTATCAGAATCGTGAGTATGAACCAAGCCAAAAGTATGCAACTCACCCCTTGAATATAGACGCATTGGAACAGTTTTATCCAAACGTTAAGAGTGCTATGTTGGTGCTCGTAGACGAGCTCAAGGCACATGGGTTCTCGACTCCATTTCCCGGCTCGGCGTTCTCTACCTGCGAATTTCGCGACCTAACCCGTGCGCCTATGACCACGCCACAAAAGCAGTGGCAAGTCCGCTTTTGCGACATCCAGGCACTGACAGTGTTGGGTCATTGGAATGGGGAGATGGGCGGCCATCTGATATTGCATGGGGAGGGGAGGATCGTGAAGGTGAAACCGGGAGACACATTTTTGCTCCCGGCTGGCGCTCAGGCATACACTTTTGTTCCAGTGCGAGCTCAGGTTGGCGAGCGACAGTATGTTTTTTCCCAGTTCTTCCACGCTTCTGTGGCGCGGTGGGTTGAGAAAGGGGGGAAAACGGACAAGGAGCTCGAGGTTAAAGCCAGACACTTGCGAGATAAGGCCGCATTGTCTCGTTTGCACCAATGGTCGCGGGCACGGGAGTCGAGGGCCGATCGGACCAAGAAGCAGTTTTTGAAGATGGACGACGTTAGTATTGCGATGTAATCATACACTGTGGGGCAGAAAGCCCGCGAATAAGAGAAAGTCTTCTCCAGTTTTTGTCGAGGGTTGAGGAAAACATGAACTGCGTGTGAACTTTTCAAGGAGTACAAATTGTCATTGTGCTGTTTTTGTGGGTCATGATCCAAGAGCAAACTAGTGATAACAATGTGATAGCGCGACGAGTACAGTTGAGTAAAATGCTACGAGGATTGAAGACGAGTTGTGTGATATATACGATGGAGTAGCGCATTGTTCCAACGCGTAGTAGAGTCACCTGGACTGCCAGCTTCAGTTTGAGGTCGAACAAATAGTGGCATGCTTAATTCAGGAAGCGGTGGAAGGGTAGGAGGAGCAGGCTCGTTTTTGTGCCAACGTTCTCGTCGCTCAACATACTTCTGATATTGAGCAACACCATACCGCTGACAGTATATCTCCGCTCGTCGTATCGCTTCGCCCAGTTGTATAGCTTCACGATGTCTGCGCAGTGTATGTGTAAGTCAACAGGCATGAGGCGAAACGAAATTGCGCACCGGAATCGATAACGGGCCTGGTAAATACGCGCTCGCTCCCCAAAGGCCTTTTTCTCCTCCAAAGTGGCCTGTTTCAGGGCTTCTCGTCTTCTGTGAAGGCTTGTATGAGAGAGAATCTCTACTACATAGGCGGCTTATTCACTTGGCTTGATGCTTCCTGGCCTTTTCGTTCCGCTTCTGGCGCTGAGCCATGCTGAGGGACCAAGGCATTAGTATAGTGCTGAATGGTCTACGGTTTGAAATACGCACGCTATTTCATAATCCAAGGGTCGCAAGTGGCGCGGTAAGACACGGGGAGCAGATTCAGGTGGGTTGGGAGCAGGTTCGAGTTGCGGTGTCGGCTGAATCAGCTCTGCATTGGTGGGCATAGTGGTTGAGGAATGAGGAGGAATATGATCACGAGACGATGATCAAAAAGTGGCAACACAGAAGATGCATGAATTTGGAAATACGACCGAGTACAAGACGACCCAAAACTAGATGCTACTTCAAATGTGCGTGATTTTACAGTACATTAAAGTATAATCGAGGGGAGGATGCGGATTGGTGTGGAAATCAAGGCAGTGCGTGCACATAGAAGTATGGACCGTTTGAGAGCAGAAAAAAGTACAAGGGAGATCAGAGTATGCAGAGCCGTCCATCGCCTTGACTTCGATACGACGCTTGCGACCGCCGCTGGCAATCAACTGAGTTCGAAGGTAGTGGAATTCGATGGCATGGGTCAGGATGTCGTGGCAGGGGAGTCGAATAACTTGGATCAACGGCAAAGTTGTGCAGCGGAGGGCAAAACGGCCAAAGGACTCCCAATCGCAAGCACCGTAACCAACGTGAACTCCAGTGAAATCGAGGACCTGAACCCGGGTCATCAGTCGCAAAGACAAGACGGCGCCAAAATGCATCCAATGACCGCCAAGTTGAAGCTCCTGTGCAACACGAAGCTTGTCCCCGTTCACCCCAATGAAATGCTCCGCGCCATCGCCATGAGCGATAAAGACCGCCAAGGATTCGAGCAGCGGGGTTTCGAGATGTGAAATCACCCCACCGCAGCGATGACTGCATCGCACATCGGTCCAGGTGCAGGAATAGTTCAGAGACCGAAGGTTGAGGAGCTTCACATGGTGTAAATCGTGGTCACGGGCAGAGTCCACGTCAGAGAGGCGGAGGCAAGTAAGCTGGGGGCACTCCTCAAGTGCGTGGAGAATGATTTGACCAACACTCCGCGGGTTGCCCATACTTCTCCCTATCGCGAGTTCTGCCGATCCGGTTAACGCCAGGGACGTGAGTTGTGAAGAAAGCGAAGTAAGGGCATAAAGATGTGTGATTGCCCTGAAAGAGACTTCGCGGAGAGCTGGGGTATATTCCGGATCTGCGAAAGACAGGATTCCAGGAGAGTCGATCCGACCGCGACTGCGGGAAGCTCGAACGGAGAGAGAGATGAGGGAAGGAAATGCGATGGGTCCGATGCGGTCAACAAGAGCATTCCAGTCGATGGAGTTGTCGATAGTCACGGAGATACGACGGATCGTTTTTGCATGTGTCCGAATTGCCGTCGCAAGAGCAAGAGTGAAGAATGGATGACGGTATGGCACATCGTTTGCGTGAAGATTTGTGGCCAAAGTGAAGACGACCGTTTTTTGGGTGTCGCGAGCGTTTTCGAATACCCGCGCAACGTAGCGGGGTCCCATACAGACAGCAAGGTGGATATGGCTCCAGAGAGTGGGATTGTGGTCCACGGTTAATTGCCACCCACGGGAGACCAAGCGAGACACCCGTTTCATGTAGGCGACACCGCGCCAGCCCTTGTTCACGCTGAACAAAAACATCAGGATGCGAATCAAGACGTCATGGCCAGCGGAGAGGCATCGTTCACGAGCAGTGGGTTCTGTGAAACGGTTAAGGAGCGGAAAAGGGTAAATATCGGAGGTCTTACCTGTTGTTAGAACTACTTGTGAGCGGAGTCGACGACGGACAGCGAGAGCTGGCATGATGGCGGCGAGGCAAGAGACACAGAGAGAAATTCGAGTAAAGTAGCGAGAAGGCAAAGACTGGCGACGCGTTGGACCGGAAAGCTGAAATTGGGCAGCATTTATAGCTCCCAGCCCGAGTAGGGCAAAGTTTCCTGTTTGATTTGAGCGACAGTTAGGGCATAAGACCAGGGCAGCTTCAAGTACCACGCGAGGGTCGAGGGTTGTCAGCGGTCACAGGGAATTTCTGCACCGTAACGCATAATTTGCAGTTGATCCCAGTGTTCGCCAGTCCTTTGCCGACCATAAAAAAACGATGGGGCCCCTTGTTGACCTATTTGGGACTCTGGCTAGAGAACAGTCAGAGTGCGTTCGTCAAGAGAGAGGTTGATGGGTCACGTGTGCATCCAAATGGGGACAATATTTTCATTTTGAGTCGTGCCATTCACCAGCTCTGGCAATTGACGGTACAATAGGATCAAGGTAAGGTGGCAACTGCCAGAAACTAAAGATACGGCCTAGAGCCACGGGTGGTGCAAGACAAGTGTCTGCAGTCGCGGCAGGAGTGCGTCGGATGTTTGGAGTAGTGGGGAGAGGTCGGAGTGTTGGTCAAAGCAGAATATCTCAAGATGCTCCAGCGATGGAAAGAGGGGGAGACAAAGCATCAGTTTACCCCACTCACTGGTCGACGTATTCACGGAAATGTGGAGGTGGGTGAGGGAGCAAGAAGACCGCGAAAAGAAGTCACGGAAGGCTGCCCATCCTATAGGGTCCTCGTGCATTTGCGATCCCAAAGTGAAATGACTGAGGTGAGGCACAGTCAGCCACGCTAGTGTTCGGGTACAGTTTTCTATGTTGGACGCCGCATCCAATCGAAGAACTTGGAGAGACGGGGGGACCACATTTTCGCCTGAAAAAGTCCCCCCAATAATATCGTTGAACTCGCATTCGATAAGGTTGGCAGCCTGGGTCAAAACGAAGCAACACTCGTCGGTGGCGAACAGTTCACCGCGAAACACCGTCAACTGGGTCCACGGGAGACAAATTCCTTGGACTTTTAGCACCTCGTCTGATTCCAGCACGATATGGACAGCCCTCAACCGCCTTGCCGTGGTGAAAGTGGTGACTCGGCGGTCTGGGACGGACTGCCCTTCGTCTTCACGCCCCATTTTTAGCCGCTCTAGCATGTCAAGCGGCTGTTGAATAGGAAGGCGCCAAAGAACGGTGAATGGTACTTCGAGAGTTACATTCTGCCACCGATGGGCATGTCGACAAAGTTCCTCGTAAAATGCCCAGCGTTGCGGTTCAGGTTCCCCGCCAACAGCCTGACGGTCGTCAACGTAGATAGTCAAAGGAAGTTTTTGCGATCGCGAGAACCACAGTTTCATCACTTCTGGCGGTAAAACGTCCTTGTTTAAGATGAATTGCGCGGAAAATGTCGCCCACAATCTTGGTGTAGCAAGCACGACATCATGCCAGAGTCGACAGACGCGCATCGGGAGTAGCGGAGACTGATTTATTCTGGGATTCCTGTGAGCTTTTGGTAGAGAATGGACGAAAATCTCGGCCAGCAGCTCGATAGGCAGACTAGACATGGTTGTTGCGGTCATCTTCCACGATCATGTGATACACAGCACTGGGAAGTCCTCATGAGAAATACTAAAGTACAGTACTGACTTTTGAATGCATTTATGAGCTCGGAAGCTTATGATATGACAATACACAAGTGTGAATTGTGAGACTTTGAATGCAGAGTGTTGTTGTAACGTTTTTCTCTGGCGTAAGCGTTGTTTTCAAACAACAAAGGCATCCTCGCGTTTGCCAATTTGCGCATCCTCTTCATGGTGCTCCACTAGCACCTTGGGGTCGCGGAAATCATATTGCTTCCCCGCCTCAAGCACACCCATTTCGCTGGATTCCGTCGTCGTCACCGCAAACGCGCTATCACGGCCAGCAAACCGAATTGTGGTCGTATTTCCAGGCCCCGGGCGTGACAATCTGCTCCCAGAATTGAGATGTGGGGTCGAGTAGCGCGAGTTCTGCGTGCCGGGGTAGGTAACCCGCGCACGGGAATTGAATATCTACAGAAAATAGTCAGTCTCAGCGATACCTGAGTGGAGAAACGCACCAGTAGTATGCTGTTGGAGTATATTTTGGACAGGGGGTCGCACATGGCGAGATGCAAGTTGGTTCCCTTGTGTGACACAAAGAGGTACAGATCGACGAGTACAAAGATGGTGCAAATCATTCCCGTCTCCACAGTGACCTAGAAAGCAGGTAAGTCGTCACTGGTAGCAAGGAAGGGTGATAATCACCAAAAGGACCTTGGAGATCGCAGGATTCAGGCGGCTAAACTCGCGCTGACGCGATTTCAGGAGATGGTAAACCATTCCGGCCATGATGAGCAAGTCACAGACTGAGGTGGACGCCAGCCAGAGCTGAAATGGACGTTAAGCGGCGCAGAGTGACGAACAGGAGATTTTACAGTCGTGGCTACTGTGTTGTCTTCTTGTAATAATGAGAACCGACCGGCCTTGGCTATATTGACGCCAGTCCATATTCCCGCCCCCAGTTGCAATGTGGAGGTCTGGAATGCGCGTGAAGTAGGCACCGGTAGGCGTGTTGGGACTCACCAGGCATACTAAGATGGGGAGGTAGATGCTCTGCCCGATAAGATATATCCTATAGGCAAAAAAGGCTTGCCCAATCGATGAAACTGGATTTAGGAGTCAGTTGAGTAAGATAGAGGTTGAAATACGCACTCAGTGGCCCGAGTACGGGGACGCTGAACCACGCCCAGCCCACTCTATCTAACGCCTCAAGATCTCCCCAGCCAGAACCGAATACGCCTATTACATCGTGAAGATTGCCAAATGTTTCGACAAGTTCGACGATGAGAACAAGGGCAACACCCCGTTTAGCCCATCGTGGATCCTGCGGAAATGCTGCATAATATATGTCTATCGAACAACAATTCAGCGCGGACTGGTCGCGACGAAAATGAGACCAACATATTTGCACCAAAAGTGTTCCAAAGAGAAGCCAGTTGACGAGGGTGCCGATGAACTACCAAAAATATGACTTTTTGGCGTTGGTAAAGTTGGAAGGCCTAACCATAGGCAGGGTTCTGTGGGAAATTTTATGAGAAGGGCGCATCCGATGACGACAAAACACCTACAATAGAGCAATCGGGACCGCCATAGCCGTGGGTTGAAGTTCACAGGGACGCGCAGAAGCAAAGAGCGACCCCTTCCCATGCTTTTAAGTCCACAGGCCAATACTGCCGATCCAGAGGGAGGAAATCGCCACAAAGGTGATGATGATGTTTGTTGACGGGACGATATCTGCTGATTGTCAGTTCGCACGAAGCCGTTCATTGGTTGAGAAGCCATCCGCACACAGCCTAGGCGTGTCTCAAGGGGCGCTTGCCCTCATATGAGCTCCAGTACTGCTCCACAGAACTTCCAGCGGAAACTACCTGGTCGCTTTCGGGTCAACTGTGGTGCTTGAGCAACAGCAGTCCTTTCGGTTCTGTCTTCGAATGTACGACCACCGCACGTAGTAATGCCGGTGGCGCAAGCGCTCAAGCCCGACAGAGTCAGACAGACGACCAAACATGGATCGGTTGTAGTCGTGATCTTGGCTTGATTGGATGGAGGAGAGGAGGATGGTACATAGCTGTACTTGAATGTGGATGAAGATAGTGAGCTTCTTCAGCTGTATCTCGGTTCATGACGGTCCACCCTCCGAAGCGGGGAAAGAAAGGCTGTAGAGAAAAACCTGGAGTCACATTGATGCGGGGCGTGACAGCTAAAAGGAAGCAACCTCAACCCACGACCATGAGTACTGTTGGCGAGTTAATGAGCCCTGGTTGTATCTGTGCTGTGTCTGCGAACGCTTACCGGTGCACCAATGTTTGGATAGTTGCTGGGGTTTGATGCTAGCGTCAAAGTCACATGATTGGACATGAATCGAACGACCATGTCACCCAGGTGGTCTAGTCTACCAGTTGAGCTGCTCACTGAAATATTCCCCCACGCTCTTCCGGAAAGTAATTCGCAACGGCATTTATCTCCCTCTGCAGCTCTGCTTGTCCTCATGCGTGTTTGCCGATTGTGGTACAATATTACACTTGCTACACCAGCACTGTGGGCAACATTCGCGGTTAAGTTCGGGGCGGTAGAAGATATGATGCCGCTATCCGGTGTTAGGTTATGGCTCTCTCGCTCCCAAAGCCTTCCATCAACAATTTGCGTGGACTCTGTTGACTAGATTATCCATCTTCGCTCTTGACTGAACTTGAATTTCTCCTTGTTCTCTTCTAGCTATAGGCAAAAGTCCGATCAAAAGAAAAGAAAAGTCACACCCGCACTGCATTGTAAGCTGTCTGCCATCTCGCCTCCACGACAACACTGACCTACAATTCAAGTACTTTGCCACCCGAGGTGCTTCTTTGATTCTGACGCGAACGCACTACAGCCCGTACAATGAGTACTATCAAGTATTTCAATCCCGAGTACTGCAAGACTAAAATACGACATGATGCATTTATTTCTCGCCAGCGCACTCTTGCCTCTGCTCTCCATTGTCTTCAGCCGTGTACTGACTCTTGGGTCTGTTCTTTCGCTGTGGGCAAGGCTGGCAGAGCAATAACATAGTGATTTCAGGGCTCAACTGCAATCCTAGTCTATGCTGGATACTATCACTTCCTCCGAGCCGAGCGCTACTCCAACAGCTACGAGCCCTAAGCCACCGTCAACAAGCCTGACGGGAACAGTCGCAGGTTGTGCCTTGGGTGTTGTCGTTCTTCTTTGCGCTGTCTTGGCCTTCCTCGTTCGAATACGCGTCCTCGGCGCAAATCGCAGGCATCAGACCAAGACGAAGAAGGGAAAACGCGCCAAAAGACAGAACACCGTTCGTTTAGAGCAACTGCCGACGACCATGGGTATTGGGTCATCCCACTGGCAGCCAATAAGCGTTGAGTTCCGGAGGACGTCAACGGGGAGCAGCACTATTCTTATCCCTCATAACGACCAGGGAGCCGCAAGAGATGAAGAGGAGCGGATCGGAGACACAGGACCATCGCCCTGCCCACTAGCAGCGCCACCAGTAATTCCTCCTGCTCACTTTTCTCTGTTCGACACTGCACTGCCGGCAACCCGGCTTCCGCCGATATACTTTCCGGCGGATGATCCGCTTTCTACTGCTCGGCCAGTGACGCTTCAGCATGTGCGGTTTGCCCTTCCATCACGTGCTACTCAGGCCATGAAAAGTCCCTAGTGTCGACAATTGCTGAAATAAGTAGACGTCAGGAAAGTAGACTGTATTTAAAACTTGAAATTGTACAATAGAACGGGAAACTCGGTTTTCCAGATAGACAAGCTTTGGCATCATTTCAACTTGCAAGGCTCGTTCAGAATGTCTGAAGGCTACTTTTTCAGCTGCTGATAATCTCTAAAAGACGCTAGTAGAATACTGTTACAACAACATGAGAAATACATACAGCACAAAATTATCCTCTGTTTGACCTCCGACTTGCCCTAGATCGTCCTCTCGGTTCATCTTCTTCCTCGTCACTACTTGCGCTGCCAGTCGATCTCCTATCGTCTTCATCAGTCACACTCTCGACTGTTGCCCGCTGCGATCTTCTCCTGGCGGCGCGATCCCGCTCTCTCGCCGCATCCAAATTACGCTGCAAAGCTTCCTGCGCTCTGACCTCCTCGGCAGTCATCAAGTATCGTTTGACACACACAAGCTCGAAGCTGCAAGGAAGCAGCTCCCCGCCGCATCTGACACGAGCCAGACGGTCGTTTTCCCTCACGCCGCCAAACATGGTGTCCTGCCCAAGCCAGTCGAGACGGAGCATGCCGGGATTGAGCCCCCCGCCTGGCACGCCGTTGGCACGTGAGCGATTGTGGCGGTAGGCCTCGGCAACGAGGCTCTTTTGGCCAGAAGGGAGCATTCGGAACTCGTCCTCTCCGGTAAGGCCATACATACTCTGGCTAACGGCATCAATGACGTCCCCACAGGACACACCGAGATCACGATTTCGCGCAGACACGTTAATCGGCCACGGAAATGTAGTGGAGACAAGGCGGAGGAAAGTTACGCGAGGGAATGTCGCTGGCTCGCCGCGACCCTTGGACCACGAGATATGGGGCGGGTCATCAGAGCGGGTGCACTGATTGGCCGCGAAGAGCATGTTCCATTTGAGATACGGCAAGGTGGTGGAGGACGTGTCGGCGGGAGCGAGAAGGGGGTTAAGTCTCACGTGAGCGTGGACTGCTTTCACGAGGAATGGCTCCAACACCGGGCCGTAATGCGGGCCTTCCATAAATTCACCGACTCTGTCTCCGCCTTGTCCCATTGCGCGGGCGGGAGGCTCTGCAATCGATGGCTGCATTGGGATGCCATAGCCAAATCCAAGGCCCTGTCCAAAACCACCGGGCATGCCTCCCATTCCCATTCCCATTCCCATTCCCATTCCCATGTTATGCATTTGTTGCTGAGCCCAAGGAGGAGGGGCTGCTGGGGCTGCCCATGGATCATGACCCATCGGAGCGGCAGGCGTAAATGGCGCGCCGGCTCCAGCCCCGCCAAAAGCCATTGGGCGGGCAAATGGCCCACCCATTGTTGGAGGAGGCATCGCAGCTGCTCCAGCGGGTGGGTAGGGTGATGCATAAGGATTACCATGGGCCCAGGGTGTACCAGGGGCTCCCCAAGGCGTCATATTTGGTGGTGGTACGAAAGGTGATTGATGTTGCATCATTGGCGGCATGAAAGGCGGGTACTCGGGAGGTAACGGTCGGGCAACTCCAGGCGGCCCAGTTGTGGGAAAATATTGCGCAGCACCTTGTGCAGCAGGCGTATTGATGACAGAAGCGGGAATAAAGGGTGTACCCTGTGCGGCACTGTAGGGAGTGTTGGGATAGATTATAGGTTGTTGAGGTGCGCCGAAAACAGGATAGTTGCCAGCAGACTGGGGATGAGCTGCCCACGGCGGATAAGCGGGGTTTGGCCCTGTAGGCGCTGGTGGAACTTGGGGGGGCTGGGGAGCACTGGCAGGGCCAGGACTGGGAGTTCCGAGTGGGGGTATAAACGGGGTAACGGGAGGGCTGGCCATGGCTTTATAATCGAGAACGCGTCAGACGCGCTCAACAGCCTGAGTCACTGAGCGATCGGGAAAGGAAGGTGCGTATACTCACAGATCGTTAGTAGTCGTGAAAAAGAGAGATAGCTGACCCAAACAACACGTGCAAATCGCGTGCGGACCTTATTCCCGATTTGCGATGACCCTGTCGTAATCAGAGTACGCGTCTTGTGGGCGCTTCCGATTGCGATCTTCCCGCTCCAAGTCGACGGTCGTGGTTTTGAATGAGGTCGTGATATGTGCGTGACTGAAGTGTTACAGACATGTCCTCAACCACCATGTCCACCGCTCCTGCGCTCAGAATCCTCGCCATCAACACGGTACCTGGCCTCGAAGAGTTCCTTCAAGTTACCAAAGAGACAGGAACTCAGTCCCTCAAAGTCAAGGCATGTTTTGACTCTGTCGTCTCAGACGACATTTTCTCATAAAATATCCACAGGACCCACTCAGCGTTGTGGAGATGGCTCTTGAAGTCGAAGTCGAGCGCTCACGCGCAACTGAAGCTCTCGCCGCTCGTGATGCCGCCATTCATCGACTCCACGAAGCCTGCGCCTCGATTCGTCAAAAGATGATTCTGATTGAGCAGCTGCAGCAAAACTTGCCATCCGGTTCTCTCATCTCAAGCCCCAATCCCCTCAACGAGCAAGTAGTCATGCTGGAAGCTACTATCAAGGCCCTCCGTGAAGAAATTGTTGCGTTGCGCAGTGCCAAGGCCGTCCAGCCACCACCATATGATGAAGTGCGTCTCACTTGTTAATTTCTCAAGCGACCTTATCAACGTCTCATAGAATGGAATCGAACACCCTGCTCTTGCCAAAGCCCCGCTAATTCGCCCTGCAAGCTCGGCTGCTCCCTTGCGTCTCCCTCCGACTCGTGACCTTGTGCCTCGTCCAGCAACTGCATCTTCCATCCAAGAAAACATTGTCAATTCAACCTTCGCACAAGACAACAACGAAGAGGTACCAACTCTACAAGCTTACAAAACATACGTGTCGACTTTTTTCTAGTCATCCAAACCTCTTGAACCCGAAGATATCATCAAAGCTCGACATGCGCTTCTCGCAAAGATCCCACTGCCCCTCGAGCCGCCAGATGACACTCTCAAGCCAATCATTCTTCCACCACCATTCACGCTGCATGAATTCCTTGCTAATGCTTCTGGAGTATCTGACATCTCCTTTTGTAATGCCTCCGACTGATTTGTATCGTTTTTCTAGTCCCTTCGCGTTGTGTAAGCTCCCATTTCCTGCTTCATAGTCCCCGTATTCTCATTGCTCCATCGTAGTCTGTCTAATTATCGTGTCCTGCAAGAACTCACGACCTCTTGGTGTCCTGAGCGCGAAGAACATGGATATATGCTTACGCCCGTCTTCAAATGCAGTACAAACCCGCGCGTAGCTACTGCTCATCGTTGGAATATGGTTGATGTCATGGCACGGATGGCCAAACCGACTGGTGAACAGGCTTAATCGTTCAAGATGCCCACTTTTCTGATCCCAAGATAGAATGTTTCTATAACAAGGATGGGAACTGGTTCGGCTCCTTCTCTGTCATTTGCCCTTGTGGCTGATTGCCTTTTCGTTTGGTCAGGTACTACGCTGGCGTCTACCAAGGTTTCAGACTGGCGGATCTGACGGCCAAAGAATGGGAGGCACTTTCCAGCGAGGTTCGTTGCAGCTTCGTGTTTTACCCTTTAGACAACGCTAACATGCTTTTAGACGACCCAAGCGCTTGTCAAAGAAACCATTTCAGCCCGCAAAAATATATCGCCACAAAATGTTTACGAAACCTCGCAGCTCTACACCGCCGGCGCGCTGAAGGTCGCGTGTATCGGCCTTCAATGCGTGGGGTTCAACAAGGCGGTATACCACGCGGTTCTGGAGCAGGCTGCAAGGCTGGCCGCGGCGACGGCGACCACCACTACGACGAAATGGACGGCGCAGAATGGAACGAAAGTTGGGTTGGGCAATGGCGGCGGGGTATGGAATGTTAGTGCTGCGGTGGCTGGTGAGGGCGGGCTGGTTGAAGGGATCGGAGGAATGAGACTGGGTGTCAATGGTGAGGAGAACTTGAATGGTGCACACACAGCGTTGTTGAAGACGTTGATTTGAATGGATATCGTGAACAACGGTAGATTATTGAACTACATTCCTAATGATTACTTAGTTGGGAAATACATGTTTTTACAGACCCAATATGGCTCCGGTTCAGCACGTGACAACGAGACTCCAACCACAACCGGCATCGACCTGGAGCAGCCAATCGAGCCATGTAACATCTTCATTCACTCTTTCCCCTATACAAGAATTTCGGCGTCTAAAGAAGGCATGTTGACAAAAAGAAGCCCTGCTTAGCCTTTTTCTCTTTTCAGTCAACACTTGACCACACACCTCATGGCGACCCAGTTCCCCTTCACCCACTCAGTCTCTGCTTTGCCTGGCGCTGAGACCCTCACCATCGTGCCTCCCGGGCCTGCCTGCCCACCCAATGCGAACACACTGAACTTTAATGTCATCGGCAGCTGCGACAAGTTCTTCATCGACGATACCCACACCGTAATCTTCCTCTCCATTGCCCCGCGCATCATCCTCGTGTTCGAAATCGAGCTAGTTGATGGTCTCTGGGCAATTAACAGCGCCAGACCACTCGATGTCGCGCTTTTCGTCCGCGGACGCAACACAATGCCTAGCTCCACGCCTCATTGGCAGAAGTATCCCCAGCGCGCACAGAACATCCACCTGGTCTCGGCACTTACTCCCCAAGTCATCACGTCGATAAAGACCATATTGGGCGGCCCCCCTTCTCCGAACTCGCCAGAGACACGCGGTATCCGATTCACCGGTGAGCCCAAAGGAATACCTTCGGTTATCCTGCTCGATATGGACACATGGGAGATGGTGCCTGCGCGCTACAGCCGCTTAGGCAGCTGGGACCGTGACGGAGGCGGCCTTGTCGAGTCTAAAACGATCCAAGGGGGCCCACAAATCGAGACACGGATGTACTTCCATTGAAGGCATGCCCTGCGTGATTAGTTGGTCTTTTTGAGCTGATATAGACTTCATAGGGCTGCACAAGAACGTCAAGCGATGGACGGTATGTAAACCGAATCAAGTAAATTCTGTTGTACAGTCTTCAATTTTGACCACTCGCCATCAGCGTGAAAGTCGAATCACGCTTGACTTTAGAGTAAATGAGTAGTACTTGATAATTTTCCGCGGGTATAAGTAGCAGGCTTTATAAGACTGTTGCAGAAGAAAGATATCATTCAAGCCATGAACTTGTTGAGTGAATGCGCCGCATGATTCAAACGATTCGAATCGCCGTTGTCTGAACGACTCCCAATGGGCATCCAAGAAATAAGTAAATTCAAGTTTGCTAGACAATAGTATCATGAATTTTTTTGGTCTCGTCGTGCGATTGCGACGAATCCAGCTCGCCGTGATCAGTCGCACTGGTCGTGCCACTGGCAGTCGCTAGGCTTGGACGCGCGAATCGAATTGACGTCACCGTCTTGTCAACCGCGACCGAGATATTCACGTCCTCAGGCTGGATGACGCGATAGCTGATCGTTGCGCGGGAGTTGAATATCTGGAAGAAGTCAGATATGTGGCAGACACTGGAGGAGGAAACAGACAAGTAGTATACTGTTCGAGTAAATCTTGGAGAGCTCGATGCATAACGAGAGATGCAGGTTGGTGCCTTTGAAGGCGAGGAAGAGGTACAAGTCGACAAGGACGACGATGGTGCATAGTGCCCCGGTTTCGACGGTAAGCTGGTCATCATCAGAAAGGAGAAGAACGGTAGGATTGCATACGAATAAGATCCGCGAGATAGCCGAGTTCATGCGGGTGAACTCGCGTTGACGGGCCTTGGAGAGATAGTAGACCATCCCGGCGAGGATCAGCACGTCGCAGAGGGAGGTCGACGCAAGCCAGAGGGACGTGGCGGGGACATTCGTGTTTTGCAATAAGGAGAATCGGCCGGCCTTCGCGATGTTCACCCCTGTCCATACTCCAGCGCCGAGCTGAACTACTGAGGTCTAAGTTGGAGTTAACTATCTGGGTGTCTTTGTGCAAGTAACGCTCACAAAGCAAATCAGAATAGGAAGGTATATTGTTTGTCCGATGAGGTGTATTCTCCAGCCGAATACGAATTGCCCGATGGACGCAACTGAGTAGACTGTCAGTATCCATGAAAGCAGCCACCGAATGCAACGCACTGACTGGCCCCAAGACGGGCACCGCAAACCAAGACATTCCAATTTCGTCGAGCGCTTCGAGGTCGCCCCACCGTAAGCCGAACGTGTTAACCATTTCACGCAAGTCTGCCACCGTTTCGAGGATTTCGAGGAGTATGACGGCGGCGACACCGAGCTTGGCCCATCGTGGGTCGTGGGGGAATGCTGCGTAGTATATATCTAAAGCACCCGTGAGTTGCGAGGAGTGCGTTGACAATGTTGTGACGGACAGACTTGCACCAAGAGAACTCCAAACAAGAGCCAGTTTACAATCGTGCCGATAAACTGAAAAAGGCGATGTTATCCACTGGTCCATGTCTGGGAGTTGTATTAACCAAAGGGAGTGTTCTGGAATGGTTGAGGAGGAATGCGGCGGTGCGTATATCGAACTTACAATTGAACAACTTGAATCTGAACTGTCATACTAGTAAGAGGGTGAAAAGAAAGCGAGGACGCCAAACACGCCAATCCCTTATAAACGGTGTCGATATTTATGGAACCAAATATACTGGGTGGGAGCGCCACCACGCTGCAGAGCATCTCTTGATTGAGGCAGACCTGTGCCGAAGTTTTATCTGGGAGAAGAAGCCTCCCGCAGTGACAGAAGCCATGGTTTCAAGCAGCTGGATCTTAATAGAGCAGGAGGGCGAATGAAAAGAGGCCCCAGTATAGGTTCGCAAGGGAGCTGTTGTCTGCTGTTGTACATGGAAGCAACGCCAGTGCCGTTGTGACAGTCTGTGACATAATATTCACGTGAATGACGAAGAATGTGACCTAACGTACTGGAATGAACGTTAATCCTTATTGGAGTCGCCTTCATGCAACTCTCGATGATGTCGAGTCCAATACCTCCTACTTCCTGTACCGCCGTGATCCCAGAAGCCTCTATATCCCTGGCGACATCGTTATGACCCAAGTGAATACCAAGCTGGCATTCATCTTTCTCGAATACCTTCGCTCGCACAACATTCGATTCAACAGGCAGGAACGCGCTATAGAGAAGACGATGGGAGGCGCTGGGTCCGAAGTCGAGCGCCCTTGCCTCATTCTTGACTACGACGCTCACGATCCGGCCTCACGCGTTGTTTGCTTTCTTGCAACGGTCAGGTCCTCGGATTCTGATGAGCTTTTGCCTCTCTTTCATCACCTGTAAGTTCGGACTCTCCTCCTTCCCTCAATTTATGCTTCCCAGTGGGATCCCTTTTGGAAATTCTACAGAGGGTGGAATTACCTTGTCCCCCCCGCTATCGTCACGCTTGCTCTTTGGGCTCCCTGTACTGCGCAGTACCAGCAACATGAGGCCATATTGGATGCCCGTGGAAAAGCGCTTGCCTCAGGACCGACACATATGGGTAAGCAACCAGCTGGCTTACGGCGAGCTCGAGCGCACCAGACAGGCCGTTGCAGAGAAGACACAGGTATGTCAGCGGTCGGTGTGCAAAGCATGTCTGATAAAGAAATCTAGTCTCTTCCCACACTTCTTCCGACCATTCGTAGCGAGAGCGCTGCATGGTACCGGGAGCAGGCCCGCATTGGCATGCGCTCAAGGCGTCGCGCAATTCTCCCCCTCTGGCAAACAATAAGACAGCAGGCATGGCACACAGGCCAACCGCGGTTTCGCGATCTTACACACCCATGCCCCCACCTGTCACCTCCTCGGTCCCTGCCTCCCATGGACAACAACATTGCTTCAATCGTAAACGATCCCAAACTGGATGCAGCCTCGGCATATCTAAGCCAAGCTCTGCCGCTTCCCCGTCCACCATTCCATCTTCCACAACCCGTAAACATAGTTTTACAACGGACAGCGAGTACTCTCACCCGCGGCATGATCCGATGAGCCCATTTTTATACCCAGAGAACTCATTGTAGCATTAATGTAGATGACCACTCATACGTGTAACACACTTGGTCGGGTATAAAACACTGTTCCTTCTCGCGCTTTCAGCCACAAGTGTTGCAATTGTTGAAGCGATACGGGTTTCCCTTCCACGCTGCGCCGGCCCGAATGTCCTTGTGCTTTCCCGAACCTCCAATCGAACCCATCTGCGAAGCCCCCCGCGGTCGTTCGCCGGGGCTAAGCACCCAAACTATGCCTGCAAACACGCCAAGCGTCGCGACAACTTTGTAGAGATAGACCTGGGTCTGGAGGTAGTACTGCTTTGTCGTCAAAAGCGCGGAGGCCAGCGTTTCGGTCGCCGGGTGAGATGCGAGCAGTTGTAGTGTGGGTGGGGAGAATAGCGCGACAGTTGAGGCAAGGAGAAGGATGGGGAGGATGTAGGACGCCAACGGCCGTCCAAAGAGAACGTATTGAGTCATTTCGAGGCCGCAGTGAGTTTAGGCGCCCGTTGGAGGTTGTGGTGAGAAGAAACGAATGGAATCAGCGGGGTCACGCGGGTCACATCGTGTTCGTTCAGGTTATCTCCATACTGAGTCCAGCTAAACTAAGCTCTCATCTACAGCGCTGGCGCTTAAATCGCAAAATCCGCAGACTCGGAGCAACAAGAATGACGAGTCCCGAGTTTCTTGTCGAGCTAATTAATACCATCCTCCACCCCGTCCCCAACGAGCCCTGTTAGCTCGTTCATAAGCTTCCTGGTTATAATCGTCCCAGGTCGCCTGAATTCGAGTTGGGGGACCCACCCACTGACCCTCAAACGCAAGATCTGGGCCGCAAGCAGGCACGGAATTCAGTTTACCCTTCAGTTTAGGACCCGTAAACTTGATGAAGCCAGTCCTCCCGTTGGTCGGACAACAAACTGGGCCCTCCTCTTCTTTGCCAGCCCACTCAAGGGTAACATACGCGCCGTCAGCCCGAGGCTCGACACGATTACTGCGCATCAAGCCGTGGATGATGCCTAACTCAAACTCGCACTCGAAGGTCGTTCCGCGACTGACAATGTTAAACGAGAAATCTTCGTGGTCCCATTCTTGCGTGATGTAGGGGCAGGTAATCGTCCAATAGCCCGAAGTTGCATCAGTCTGTCTCGGCATGCCTTGAGAAGACGATGCGGCGTTAACTCCAACAGGTCGTTTTGGAGCGGCACGTCCAGTGCTTTTCCTGGCAGTCTGGACAGTGCGTCTGACAGGCTCACCAGCTCCAAAGGGGTTGAAGGTATGGGGCATATCTTGACGAGCTGACGGTCCAGTCTTCTTTGCAGTTTGTTTGACTGGTTTTGCGTCCTCAAAATCGACATCCATGGGAGTGGGAGCTGGCGTTGGTGTCGCCTTCTTTGCACGCGGTTTCTTAGGCGCGTCTAAAGTCGTAGTCGCTTTTACGCGTTGTTTCTTCTGGGGCGAGCCTTCAACAGCAGATGTCTTTCCCTTCGCTTCTGTATGCTTTCTTTTCCCACCCCCAGCCCCACTGGTTTTCTCGCGAACCTGCGCATTCAACTCCCGAAACTCCTGGTTCGATTGATACTCCATATCCAGCAGCTCTTGCGTCACGGCCAACTTATTCGACCGCAGTGCGTCTTCAAGCTGGCCCCGAATCTGTTGGATCGACATCGACTTGGTGTGTTTGAGCCCATAGAAAACGGCCTGCGCGCTCCACCACGCCTTGGGCCTGGAGTGACCTCAACCAGAAGATTAAAATGAATAGACTGCCGACGCACCTTTCTCGATCCGTTATCCCATTTCTCGCGCCACTGGGAAGTAGCAAAGTGCGGAGAACGTCTGGGGCAACGCGTTCTTGGTTGTCATAGCGCAAACCCGTGCCAGCACAGGTAAACTTTTCGATAACGATTGGCGGGATAACGATGGGCTCGAGAGTTGCTGCCATGACTCGAGAGGATAGGAGGTGAGATCACATGTGACCGTGACCTTGTCCAGATTTCCTTTGAACGCGAATGCAGCGACTAAACGAAGCTATGATATGAAAGAGATGAAAGGAAAACAATAAGACCCAAAAGAAGGTGTAACTAAAATGTGCGTGCAGTGTGGGGTTGTGATTAGTAGAGGTAAGATACTTGTTTTTCACTCCTTATGCCGACTGATTTTCTCCACGCCAGCGCTCAGCGCTGTTGCCCGTCGTTGCTCGATCTCCTCCTCTAGATCGCTCTCTGTGTCGCTTTCCGCTGGATTGTCCTTCACATCGTCATCGTCGTCTCCCGAGTCAGAGTCAGAGTCGGAATCTGAGCTAGTGTGATGAGATGGCTTGGCGGAAACAGCATTGTCGTCCGCCGCCGGGCTACCGCTGCCAAGAGGATTTGAGCTTGAGCGATGGTGATGGTGGTGCCCACGGAAACCCGCTGGCAGTGTTACAGCACGGAGTACATGCTGCTCTTCGTCCAGCGTTGTTGAAGAAGCGGAATCCAAAGCAGGCGTCGAATCTGTTGCGGTAGGTGTTGTTGACTCTTCTGGCGTGTTCTCTTCAGCCTCCTTTGCCTCCCTCTCTGCCCGTTCTTTTGCTTCTCGTTCCCTTGCCTCTCTCCTCTTGCGAACCCAGCCCATTCCGCTCCCATCATCTCCATCTTCATCTCCATCACCCACCACACCCATTCCAATATGAACATCGCCGCTGTTGGCCGCTGTCCCGCTCGTTCTTGGCGCGCCACCAGCCTGCACCCTATTCCATGCCGAGTTCCCAGCGCCGTTACGCACCGAGCCCATCCCACCATATCCCCACTCAACGAATTCAGGTTCTTCATCTCGCGCATTACCGAAGGGGTTATGGGTGCCTAGATGATTGAGAAAACACGCCGTAAGCTTTTTACAGGAACACACGTACCGTCAGCATTTCGCGAGCCATAGACGCGTCCATTCAACATTCGAGTTCCGCGTTTGGTCGCAAGCGAATTGGCAAACGGGTTCCGCGGAGTGGCCTTCCCCTTGTCGTTGCCGTTGCCGATGCTGAACAGCGAGCGGGTTCGCTTTGTGCTGCTTGCATTGCTTGTCTGGCTTTGAGTTCGCGCCAGAGGGGATCCAAGACTGCTTCCCGAGGACCAGCGCTGCAGGGAGGCGCCCCAACTGGCATCTGGGGCACTGTCGAGAGAGCGGCTCGAAGTGAGACCAACTGCATTTCCCTTTCGCAAAGCGCGTAAAAGACTCTTCGGCTTGCCCCAACTTGGCGATGCAGAAGGCGAGGGGGAAGAGGGGCGAGCCGGGCAAAATGCAGGAGAAGCGGGTCGGTTAGGCAATGGGCTTGGCGGTGGCGGCATGTCTTCAGACTCTTCGGCAATGTCGACTGGTTCATCTCGGCGGGGGTCGGGAAGGGGTGCGAAACGTATTTTCCTTTGCTGGTCTTTGTTCATCGCAGTAGGGGTGCTAGCATAGCTAGCGGATGTGTGTGACGACGAACTCGAAGCGCCTAACGAGGAGACCGAGGAACTACTGGCGGCAGGTTAGTCGAGGATGGGCTGGGTAGAAGAATTGATTGTGGTCGTGGCTGTGAGGAGGAGGGGCAAGGACATGGCAGAAGAAAGGGCGGAGTGAGGCGACAAAAATTGTAAGTAGTCACAATACATCAACTTTTATTATCGTTTACGTTGGCCATCTAGTATACATTTGTATCTACGCCGGCACGTCGCACGCATCGGCGGCTCCACACCGCATGCCGTCCCTCGGCTCGTCCTCCTCCTCCTCGTCTTCCGCACGCACGCCGTCCACGCACGGCTTCTCGGCTCCCCTGCCAAACGCGGTCACGTGACGCTAAATTCACCAAGTTCACCCTTAGCATTCCTTCGTTAGATTCTTATTTTGGCGCTAGAAAATGGTCAGTGTCCGGTTCGTGGCTTAAACGCGTTAATTAAGGCATTCCAACGCGTGTCCTGGGTAGGCATTCCCATTCTGCACTTTCTTCAACCTCCGTGCATGGTCTCCCCTCCCGAAGGTAGCGCAGCAAGGGCAACAAAAAAAAAAGACAAGACAAGACTCACCGACTGCGACCTGCAGCGCGTACGAGACTTGAGCTTGGTCATGCCATCTTCAACACAGCGCGGCTGACGGGTTAGATGACTCCGCGTGAGGGCGCGCTTCGAGACTTGGGCTTGGCGGGCAAAACATCGTGATGTCGAGCAAGGAGGGGAGGGGATGGCACCAGTCGCATCAGGTGGAGGCAGGGAAGCTTGCACCACTTCTGCAAAGCAATCAGCAAGGACACAATCATAATGTAAACTCGGGTCTTACATACCTCAATTCAAGTGCCGTCGAGCAGCTGGATTTCCAGGAAAGAGATTCCTCGCTGGGACGCCGAAATGCAGGCCGGGGTGGAGATGGCGACAGGCCGGGCCGGGTAAGCACGAATTGGCAAAATGGCCATCGTGGAAACCGTTCACCACAGCCCGCGCCGAGTAGTTTGTGAATGGTCGATGACCGCGGAGAATGGGTCAGAGGCGTGAATTTGACTTGGACGGAGCTGGTGTTGCGGCTGAGGTTCAGCATCGCCAACGCACGCTTGTCGGATTCATCGTGATGGCAATGTGTCCGCCTGGCATTGACGCGGTGGTAGAAAACCTCGGGTCGACAGTCCGAGGGGATGGTTGTGGCAGCGAATGATGGAGCCAGAGACAGGCCCGAGCTGAGCGAATTGGCGTAATGCCCAAGGCTGGCCAGCGAGGGCACGGCTTTGTCATCGTGGACAGGTCTCTCGAGGGATATAACTTGGCGAATGGATTGTGGTTGAGACGTGAAAATAGAATTGGGCCTTGGCGGTAGCGGAGACGGCGCCGCGCTATCGAGAGCTGTACGGCTTGGTTGCTGACGACGGGGGAGTTGGCGAAGGCATGCGGTTGTCGCTAGATGGAGGACTATGACGGCGGCGGGGAGTCAAGGGCGCGAGCCGAAGACCATGCCGCGTGAATGGCAGCTCGACGCCATGCCAAATCTAATCTTGTGAGTGCTTGTTTAGACTCTGAAACATGCTACTTACGACCAGAGCGACATGCGAGCGAACGGAGCGCCAAGACTTGAACGACTGCAGCGAACGTAAACGCGCCGGAGGGCACTGTGAACGCGCAGTTGTCGCCAACGAGGCCTGTTGGAGCCGCATTTCGAGCGGGCGGGGTGATGGCGGGATTAGAAGCGCAGCAAGTCGTGTGGGCTGCCGTCAAAATACCACAAGTCGCTGTGTTCGAGGGACAGCGTGTCGAGGCACTTGGTGGAGGGTAACTGGATCCGGACGCGTCGCGCCAGGGCCGTTGCAGAGACAAACCCACAAAGTGAGCGACCAGTCGCTGTGGTCATAAGTGCTGCAAAGACGATGAGCCAGTGCCAGTGCTGAAAGGGCAGAAAATAAACTCACCTGTGGATGGAACACGGATTGCAAGTGGTGGTAGAGAAAGAAAAAGAGGCGATAGTGTGACCTGATGTTACGCCGCGCGTAAGTCTGGCGTAAGTTATAAGCGACATCGTTGACCGAGTTCAGCGGAAAGCAATAGCCACACAGCGCCGCTGAACTTTTGCTGTCCTGCAGCCTGCTCGTTCAAGCCAGAGTTTTGTCGTCAAAGGGCTAGGAAAACTGGCCACTAGAGCAAGCAGAGTTGCTAGTGCGCTTGAAGAGCTTGCCAAGGCTTGTCGTACAGTTGCGTAAAGGCGGGCGGTGAGCTCGACCATGTCGTCAACATGACCGCGAAACGCAAGCGTGTCACACATCAGTTCCGATCACGTCTTGACACAATATTTTGGAGAGGATAGAGAGGCTGAAAACAACAGAGACCTCCAATGGTCAATAAACAAACCAGTCCTAGGTTCGCTGCTTCTGGAGTTTCCCTAAGCTCCGACGCACGAAATCATCAATTTTGATGTCGGCAAGCAAATGCCGTGGTGATAACTAACTATGAGCGGAGATCCGACTCCGGCGGGCAGTGTACGTTTGAGCGCTGCCAATGAGAATGGTCTGCGGCAAGCCAAGCCCGCGCAGAGATGCAAATTCGGAGCGGCGAACTTGAAGCAACGGAACACTGGAGTAGTGGTTATGCTGCAGTCCTGCCACGCTGCTGTTTTCCTCGTTCCATTTACCTTTTGTTCATACCTCCCCCTTAGAAAAGAAATTTTGCTAGTGTGACAATTTGTAAGGGTTTTTGCTCCATTTTCCGGCACTAAACATGTGGTCACGTGATCGCCCACCACAGGACTAAAAAGGAAATTCCTTGAATCTCTGGCCTTGAAAATGCTCTAATTTGGAGAAAATGTGTTGACAAGTTGACTAGGGACATGTAATATGTAACCCAAAAATGTGTATATTTTCGGCACCATAAATTTGCACCTTTTTGCCATTTGTGTATGCAATCCTCCTCTAATTAGCTCAAATTTACACAGGAATGTTCATTACGTAAAGATCAAAGTTTCCCAAATGACAAATCATGAGAAACTCAAAAATTTATTATATAGTTGTCAAAGAATTAATAAATACCAACTTCCCTTCTATACATTGTTTCCAGGTCAGATCTCATCAGGCAACTGTCCGATGATAAAGTATAGGAACTGCTTTTTTCTCATTCTATTTCCTTAGACAGGCCTCTCACCCTCAGTTAGAATGGCTGGACAAATGTTTTGAATGATGTATTTTGAATATATTTCTAATTCCTAGATATTCTCTCTGATGCCTTGGTCACACAACTCCTATACTGTTGTCAAACATGGCCTCAAATTTTCATAACTGTATCCACAGGCAATGGTGCTCTATCCTCAGCACAAGCTTTGACATATCTTATCAAATTGTCTGCGATCTGACATTGGTGGCTATGCTAATGTCAGTTCTCACGTTAATTCCTAGTATATCTGCTCTCCTGCAGTAGACTGTTTCTCAAGGTATCACTTCGGACAGTTGGGAAACTGTGCAGGCATTTATATCCAAGAAGAATCTAGATGCCATATACATCAATACCCTTTGTTTATTTGAACAGTCTTCAAAACTACCAAATTTACAACCTTTGTCAAGAAAGTAATAGAAAGTACTATACAAATATGTTCCTGGATATCTTTTCCACATAACAGTTCAGTAAAATGCCTGAGAATATGCCTAGTAGGGTTTTTATAAAAAAAAAACAACTGTAATAGAAAAAGGTTGAAATAAAGCTCCAGCTGGCTATCATGTGATCCGAGGCCAAAAATGGAAATCTTGGATTTGTGTGAGTCTTGAATCCATTCAACATTCACAAATTCTGTGCATTTTTATGACACTCAGGCTATATTTCACGCTCAGGTCACATCTTACACTGAAAAAATTAAGTTCAAGTCTCAAAACTGAGCTCCGGCGGGCGGTCACGTGACCTTATCGCAGGCTACCGCTGACGACCAAAAATGGAAATTTTGGATGTGGCCCGCGTTCTATGGCTAGAAGTGCTCCGATTTGGCTGAAATTTGAAGATCACGTGCTTACGTAAGCTCTCTGGCGAAACATACTTTCCCCCTTGCCCCCAAAGAACAGGAAATATATGATATTCTGCAGGTATGTGGTCGGCCTGATTCCTGGAATTCTGTGTCCGGGAGTCGGCCGATTGCCATCGGCTTTAGATCAGTGCACGTGGTAGCAAATACCAGCGAGCTAGTGCGCTCCGATCCTCCACAGAGCGGTCTAGTCCGCCTTAATTTCATTCATCCTGCAGAATTCCCCCGTTCTCAACGGCGGAACTCGCGGGATTCCACCATGAAACGCCCAGGAGTGACGGCACCATCATCCCTTCTGTCACTCGCTTGCACCTTGGGCGCTCCGTCGTCTTGGTATGTCGTATTTCCCTTGCAACCTCCAAATCTACTTTCTTATACTTTGGTCTCTGAGAGCATGGAACCTTATGCTAAAACATGTCTGAACACACAAAAACAAAACATCATATTGAATATTTATATACATGCTATCTGCTCACTACTCGACTGCAATGCTCTCCAAACCAGATTCCACGCTGTAACGGCAGTGGCAAGATTGCTAGGTCCACCTGTCAGCGGTGCGTCTTTCCGGAGAGCAATCCCCTAACATATCGTAAGCTGCTTTCGCCGAGCGCCGACGGGTACTGGGTATAAAACCCAGACCCAATTCGTCTCTCCCATCATCCCCCCTTCCTCTCTCCCCCTTCTCTGCGTACTCCGCCTGCTCGTCGCCGATGTTGGAAACGTGGTAGCTTGAGGGTCACCGTCGTTGTCGTCTATGGCCTTGAGCCGTCGTGGTTGTTGTGGACGCAGGCAATCTTGCGGTTGACGGCTGCACTGGCTGGACTTGTGCTTGTCGGCAGGTGAGTGTCCGCTTCGGGTTACTCAAGCCAATCACTGACCAGTTCTAGCCCGGCCTCTCAGCGACATTGTTGCGTCAGACTAGGTGAGTCGGCATCCTTGTTCCTCTCCTCCTCTTGCTGATTGAATCAGAAGCCTCTTTTGCGCCGAGACCGTCGATATTACTGACTTGTCCAGTTTGCGCCGAGTTGCCAGGGGAGAAGGGTTCGGGATCTAGAAGCCGAGTCGGGACTGTGTTTCGCGAGGAGTTATCGGTGAGTGCTGATGTTGCCGTTCTTATCTCTGCGCTGAATTCCCCAGTTTGCGCTTGCTGAAGCCAAGGAAGCAGCCTGTCGAGACTGGACATCCGTTGGAAGGTGACCACCATTCTTCATCGTCTCCACCATCGATCCACCACTCGCCCGTTCCCAACACGTCCGTCGTCATTGTCAAGATCGGGGCCATTTCGATTGAGGTCGTTGTCAGCCCTAACGAGCTCGTCGCTGTGTCAGACTGAAGGCCTTGACTTGGGCAGTATGTCTTGCGGTTATTCGCCGAGCTTTCTTGTGCTAACTTGATTGTAGCGGACATTAGTGGTGGTCGTGAGACGACGACGGGGGATGCAGAGTCGATGGTGCCATAGTTGTTGCCAACGATGTTGACGTCGTTGTCCCCGACCTTCACAACTGGTGAGTGGTTTGTTATCCACATTGACAGCTGGACTGACCTTGCTCGCAAGTTCTCCACACAATGGATTGTGGCAGGCGTTGGTGGGGTAGTCGTTTGGGAGTCGTCGTATTCTTCTCATCGCCGACAACAGCATGTGGTACTCGTCGTTGTTGGCGGTGATAATGGTTGACGTGGTCATTGGGTTTGGCGGAGAGCGGGTGAAGTTGTTCTCAGGTGAGTTGTGGGTCGTACTGCATTCTTGAGCTCATGTTCGAGAAGACCGTCGTCGTCGTCAGAGTCAACGCCCGCGCAGACAGTGGTTGGAGTTGGTTGGGCGTCGGCGTTTCTTTTCTGCTCCCACTTGCATGTGACTCTGCAATTGCGGGCCGAGTAGCGTATTGACCCGCTTAACTCGCCTTTTTCCAGCCTCTTGTTGTAGCCGTAGATCGCGAGACAAGGCGCTTAGTGCCGCTGCATGGTGCCGGGACTTGAGGAGATTGCAAAGGGCTGTTGGAGCAGGGGATAAGTAAGTGGATTAGTCCGCTGAGCTAGTATAACTCACCTGTTTGAAGCCTTCGTTGAGGTGGTCTTGATGTCGTTGTAGCCGTAGACTTCGTGAGACAAGGCCCGAGAGCGCCGGAGCAAGCTTGAGAGAGAGCGCCCGAGTGCTTGTTCGTTTGCTGAATGCAGCTTGAGGCGGGAGACTGAGAGTGCCGACAAGGATGAAGTCAAGATTATCGCGTGCCGTCACACGGATCGTCACTTGTCTTTCGACCACCACGGTCAGTCTTCTGGCCCCGCATGTCAAACGCTTGCTTACCATATTGCAGCTCGGCCCACATACTTTACCTGCGTCAAGTTAAATGCCCGCGTCGGGCTCGGCCGCGACAAGAGGGAGTGTTATCAGGTGTGTAACTCGTTTGCGCTGCCAACAAGCCTACATATCTAACCGCCAACGCCAGAATACCGAGCGACCGGGGCTTAACACCCGCGACGAGGTCAAGCGAAAGGTGGTTGTTAGGGTCGTTCAGCTGGGAGATCTCGACAAAAGGTGCGTGCCTTGTTGACACTGTACCCACACATCTTCAACAAGTCTGTACTCTTCTCATTTCCTCCCAGCCGGCCCGCCCCGCCCTACACACATACAACGACATGTTTTGGAAGCATTCCGAGATGCCAAATTCGGTCTTCGGCCTGACTTCGCCCCACCTCTGGCCCAATTTCCGCGAAGACTAGACGGGATTTTGCTTGTATAGCTGTGCTTACGTAAGCATTTTGGCGCGTTTTTTTTGCCTTTCAAGACTCACTTTTTCGCAGGATTTTGCCGCCGGAGGCGTGAATAACGCCCTGGACTTGAACTTGGCGGACTTACAGCAAGACCTCTCGCCGCCGTTGTTTGCGAACGCGAGGAAAGCGCCGTTAGGCGCTTCGAGTTTGTAGGTCAGCCTTGGTGGCCACCGCTGAGCGTGAGGGCATGCGCCGGCAGGCGCATCAGAGAATGGCACTGAAGAAAACGTGCGTGAGTTTGCTCAGACTTCACTTACCGCTCGTTGACTTCTCTCTTTAGATACCTCCCTTAATCATAACCAGGTGGTCGTCGTGGAGAACGCGGGGAGGCGAGCACAATGCATGGCGCATCGATAAAACGTGTGTTTTCTGCTCATTTAATTCATTTACCATCTGCTGAATTGCCTTCAGACATGCAGGTGGTTATCGCATCGAGCGTGACGGATCCGCACAAGACCCATAGGTTCTGTTTGGCCACGACGACATGGTGAGTTTATGGTACATTTTGGCTCTTGATTAACTAGCTCTAGGATTCAAGATTGTCATCGTTACTTGGACGATCAAGGGCAAGTCACGACGTTTGCACGTTCGCTGTCGGTGAGTTGTTATGTTTTCACAACTTGTAGCGCCGTCGTTCAACGGTGCTTGACTTTTCTTGTTGTGTTGTCTACTTACTTCAACTTATTCTTAGTATCTTCGTTCACGCGCGACCCGTAGCGCGTCTCTTCAGACTTGACTCGTTGTCCGCCAACCAGTTAAATGCCCGTGTAGGGGCTTTTATAAGGCATGTTACGAATGCGCTTAGACGCGGCGAGTTTATGTGGGCTCGCCTTGGTGGCGAGCACAAAGTATGCGCCGCCAGGCGCATCAAGAAAACGTGAGTTGTCTGCTCATCCTACTGATTTCCCGTTTACTGATTTCTCTTCAGACATGCAAGAACCGACGCGCGCGAAGGATACGCGCAAAGTCCACGGGTTTTGGAACGTAGTTTTAACTCGGTCGCTGACGGACGTGAAGCATGCGCCGTTAGGCGCATCAATAAAAACGTGGGTTTTATGCTTGTTTCTAATTCATATGCCGTTCGCTGACTTCTCTTCAGACAATACTCCGGTGGTCGTCGCGGCGAGCGTGACGAGAAAAGTAGCCAGATCTTTTAGTTACGCTGTACAATAGTACCACATGAACGACTTTTCCAAACAAAGCCTGGTTTGATTTATATTACATATCTTATTCGACCCTGCGCGCAGGCCTGGAGTAACCTTCAACCAGAAGATAACGTCTGGAGCAACGCGTTCTTGGTTGTCATAGCGCAAACCCGTGCCAGCACAGGTAAACGATTGGCGGGATAACGATGGGCTCGAGAGTTGTCGAGAGGATAGGGGGTGACCGTGACCTTGGATGTTTCGACTAAACAAAGCTATGATATGAAAGAGATAAAAGCAAAACAATAAGACCCAAAAGAAGGTGTAACTAAAATGTGCGTGCTGTGATTAGTAGAGGTAAGATACTTGTTTTTCACTCCTTATGCCGACTGATTTTCTCCACGCCAGCGCTCAGCGCTGTTGCCCGTCGTTGCTCGATCTCCTCCTCCTCTAGATCGCTCTCTGTGTCGCTTTCCGCTGGATTGTCCTTCACATCGTCATCGTCGTCTCCCGAGTCAGAGTCAGAATCTGAGCTAGTGTGATGAGACGGCTTGGCATCGTCGTCCGCCGCCGGGCTACCGCTGCCAAGAGGATTTGAGCTCGAGCGATGGTGATGGTGGTGCCCACGGAAACCCGCTGGCAGTGTTACAGCACGGAGTACATGCTGCTCTTCGTCCAGCGTTGTTGAATCCAAAGCAGGCATCGAATCTGTTGCGGTAGGTGTTGTTGGCGTGTTCTCTTCAGCCTCCTTTGCCTCCCTCTCTGCCCGTTCTTTTGCTTCTCGTTCCCTTGCCTCTCTCCTCTTGCGAACCCAGCCCATTCCGCTCCCATCATCTCCATCTTCATCTCCATCACCCACCACACCCATTCCAATATGAACATCGCCGCTGTTGGCCGCTGTCCCGCTCGTTCTTGGCGCGCCACCAGCCTGCACCCTATTCCATGCCGAGTTCCCAGCGCCGTTACGCACCGAGCCCATCCCACCATATCCCCACTCAACGAATTCAGGTTCTTCATCTCGCGCATTACCGAAGGGGTTATGGGTGCCTAGATGATTGAGAAAACACGCCGTAAGCTGTTTACAGGAACACACGTACCGTCAGCATTTCGCGAGCCATAGACGCGTCCATTCAACATTCGAGTTCCGCGTTTGGTCGCAAGCGAATTGGCAAACGGGTTCCGCGGAGTGGCCTTCCCCTTGTCGTTGCCGTTGCCGATGCTGAACAGCGAGCGGGTTCGCTTTGTGCTGCTTGCATTGCTTGTCTGGCTTTGAGTTCGCGCCAGAGGGGATCCAAGACTGCTTCCCGAGGACCAGCGCTGCAGGGAGGCGCCCCAACTGGCATCTGGGGCACTGTCGAGAGAGCGGCTCGAAGTGAGACCAACTGCATTTCCCTTTCGCAAAGCGCGTAAAAGACTCTTCGGCTTGCCCCAACTTGGCGATGCAGAAGGCGAGGGGGAAGAGGGGCGAGCCGGGCAAAATGCAGGAGAAGCGGGTCGGTTAGGCAATGGGCTTGGCGGTGGCGGCATGTCTTCAGACTCTTCGGCAATGTCGACTGGTTCATCTCGGCGGGGGTCGGGAAGGGGTGCGAAACGTATTTTCCTTTGCTGGTCTTTGTTCATCGCAGTAGGGGTGCTAGCATAGCTAGCGGATGTGTGTGACGACGAACTCGAAGCGCCTAACGAGGAGACCGAGGAACTACTGGCGGCAGAAGACAAGCTGTTACTCGAGGATGGGCTGGGTAGAAGAATCGATTGTGGTCGTGGCTGTGAAGAGAGGAGGGGCAGGGACATGGCAGAAGAAAGGGCGGAGTGAGGAACATGACGGCTACAAAAATTGTAAGTAGTCTCAAGATTTGATGGGAAAAAACACATCAACTTTTCTTATCGTTTACGTTGGCCATCTAGTCCGCTCCACTCCGTGTCGAGCACGACATTCCCGCAAAGGCGCACGTTCTGCCTCGATATACTTCCGTGATGGACACTTTGCCTTGAACTTTTCTCTTTCATGGCTTATCGTCATACCGCATCGCTGATTTTGGCTGGCCGTGGCTACCGGTCTATCTTCGTACTCTTCTGCTCGCTTTTTCCAGGCAACGTGTCCTCTGGAAGATAAACAACAGCCTCCCACCGGTTTTAGCATCTCAGGGAATGCCGGCAACTGACGCGTATACTTAGTCCTTCACTTCTAACTCCGTCCGCACGTTCGCTGTTTGTGGGTCCACGGTGCGAGCCCACAAAGTTAATCCTAGCTCTCTCCTTTACACGTCTCTGCGACCAGTAAGGAGGCAGCACATTCCTGCATCCAACTTGGTTGTTCTTGTGCCCCTCGACGTTGGCTTGAAGTTGACTGCCCCTCAATGCAATTCTTCGGAGCCGAATCCTCTCACAAATGAACCTTGGCGACAACGACAAGCCAACGACGGTCTCGGGTAGATCCGAGATTGACGCGCCCTGAGTGCGCCAAGATGATCTCCAAGCGGTGCATGTCATTTTGTCGACTTCTTCCAGTCTTCTTCTTGCTTTCTGTTCCGCCTTGGGGTTGCTATCGGTCCAAAGATACATCTACAGCATTAGCTCTTATCCTGGCCACAAGCCATCCCCCAAAATAAGCTTTCAAGGAAAGTTAGATGCTCCTTATCGACGACAACAGATCGAGAAAATCTTTCCGTGGTCCGCGTCGGCCAACTCTCTGTCTCGTGACAACATACGAAAACGGATGCGACGCCACCCATGAATGAAACAACCATTCATCCAATACAAGTCGCTGTTGTCGATAAGACTTAGTATGAGGTATCCTATCCACAATTGAACGGAACTTGCAAGTTTCCACTCCGCTGTTCGAATCTGAATATGATTTTGCTGCTCATTTTCAGCGTCTACAACTAGTGTCTAGATTGTGGATCAAACCGCCTACAATTAGGTGCTAGGTCCGGTAGTTCTCCGATGGAGGCATGTACCGTATTACAAACAAACAAACAAAACCTGGGCAATACCACCACGCCGCACTGCCTATACAGATGGTGAACAGTTCAAGAAGTGACTGTGAGCTGACTCAGGCTGGTGCTCAATCCACTCGTAGAGTCTAGACATGCTAGTGTCGTTGGATCAACGCACCTTCAGGTTGGTCTTCTCCGCGATAGCCAGTTTGATCCACTCCCCGTCATGGCTCCTCTTGTGCATGGTTTTCGCTTGAATGGCTGTTGAGTGGTATCTAACAAAAGCAATTGAAGGCGTGAGCTGAAAGGTGCACGATGTGTGATGGGTGAAACATTCCTCTCAAGTTGAGCGTCACGGAGGCTCGACTCGGACGGCGGTTCATCAATAAGTAAACGTTGGATTGTACAGCGCAAGTTACTTTGTTGGTGTCATGTTATTCTCAGCTCTATGAAGTCTGTATAAGCCCAGGAAAACTAGTTAATCGCGCGTACTTGTGCTAGTACCATGAGGAGGCCGGCAATCCCAGCGCGAAACCACTCGATGCTGCGCTCTTGACCATGGACAACACAATGCGTGTCCTCGCGGCTCATTAGCAGGAGTAATGATAGCGCGCACTCCAGCTGTGTGAGTGATTACTCCCAGAGATCGTCAATCAGCTCAATTTTGAACACGAAGATGATACGCGGCGCAATGGATTGGATTGGATTAATACACGGCACGGTCCGACTGACGAACGCCGGGTTCAGAGGAAGATTACGGTGTGTGTAGGGTCGATGAAGAACTTGTCGGGCGCGCAGCTGCCGATGGCACTGACATTGAAGTTCAGCCTGTGTGTTCACATTGAAGGTAGAGCAGAAACAGAATAGGTGAAGGGGAGGTGCGGCCAAGTGTTGACTGAAAGAGAAAAAGACTGGGACAAGTTCAAGTTGTTTTTGCCAACATAAGTATATTATTTAGCCACCTAAACCCCAGTTGCTCTTGCAGAAGCAAAGGAAAAGGGCCATCAAGCAGCAAGCTAGAAAAACCGCAGACTCAATTCGCTGCTCGAGACTGATTCCAGGCGGTTGTTGGAGACGGTTGGAAAGTACTGTCACGGTTTGTGTCACACACGGCGTCTTGCTTCAAGTTCGAACACCGATGTTTTCAACAGCACTTATCAGTGAATTTTGGCACCGCATGAATCCAACAAGCTTTTCCGTCTCCGAGAGGCAATCAAAGGCAGTCAGTACCTAGAGATTTTTCACGGGCCTTTAAATTTTGTGGGCGAGGATCCGGAAGTTCCTCTATACTTTGACTTCTTTCTCACAAGACCCACATGCGAATTTCCACTGGCTGCACCCTTCCACAGGCTCCAGCCCACGTCTCCTCACGTCCGCATAAACCCATTGGGTCGCATACTCATCCCTCTGGCGCCGTTCCACCACCTTTGCGAGCTCTTGCTGGAGTAAATCGACATCAAGTGTCGCTTGGTGGGCAGCTTTTGATTGCTGCTCACTCAGTGCCTCGCCCGGGGCCCTGTCGACCTGCATCTGAAGCAGAGCAATATACAGAATCGTCTCGTGGATACGGAGCTCTGCTGCGGCTTGCTCATATATACGCAGTCTCCGATGCGCCTGGAGGAAATGGAGGAGGAGTCGCGCCTGGGCCGCATCATCAGGGGGAGCCAACACTGCCCAGTCCGGTATCAACTAGGCAATAGTTAATCGTTGAATCGACCGCGAGGTGAAAACTCGCGATTATGTCATCCAGCCGCCTTGGTAGAGACTTTCTGGCTGCACCCGTCGTTCCACCCTTATATTGGTCGCTAGATTCGTCTGAGTCTGACATGCCGCCGCCTGAGTATTGAGTTCAACTGTGAGTTGTGAACAAAATGATTGTGGATGATCGTGTCACAGTGAACGGCGCCGTCCAAGGACAAATCTGGATATCATCTATGCAAGCAATCGGCAACTTAGCATACCACTTGAAATCGATATGAAGGAGCGTTCACAACACTCGTAACTTGAAAGTTGAGCTCAACGATTCCGAGAAATCAGGTGATGAATTGAAGAGTTAAGAATGCAGATCGTTGGCTCTGATACATGAGGTACTCGATTACCAGTTCCGGATTCCCTTGGGCAGTACCCAGATTCAACCAAGCGAGCAGTTGATCTAGATTCCTTCCAGTTACTTATCGAGTTGATGTTGTGACATGGTGACATCTACAATTCCACATCTATGACAAAGTCCTCCACCAAGTTCAATTGCAAAGCGCCTCACACTTGTATGGACTGCGATTTTCCTTCTGGCGATCGTCTTTCAAGTTACCCGTCGTGGGATTTGTCCGGCCACCGGCGTCATCTTATCGTCAAGGAAACTGAAATAGCATAAGACCGCTTCTTTCTCTCTTGCCTTATGCCACCACCACCTCCAGACGCGGATTCGAGCTCAGGCTTCCAGTATGAACCTCTGCGGGCGTCTGTCATTGACGTCTTCGAGCAACTAGGCGCTTTTGACGAAGACAGCGGGCTTGTGGAATGGATGTTCCCGGAGATTCACGAGGAGAAGCAGCTGCGGGCGAGGACGCGTGTGAAACTCACAGAGGTGTTTGACGAGCCACAGGAGCAGCCAGAAACGCCACGGAAATCAAGACTCGCCTCCCGCTTCTTCGGTATACGGACTAGAGCGCGGTCTAAATCCCAGGCACGATCCAAAAAGGAGAAGGAGACCATTACGCCATCGACCCCAAAGCAGAAAACGAGGTCGTCACCTAATTTGCGCAAAGCGGCCGACTTACCTTCCACTGACGGTCCCGAACTCGAGTCTCCGCCCTTGAATTCGGCTGCAACGACACCCGAGCATACCAAATCGCGTCGAATGTCAATTTTTCCTCGAAGACCGCCTCCACCACCTCTAATAGAGGGCCCACGACCGTCTTTATCTGACGAGGAATGGCAACAAATAACTATGACGGGTTCCATTGCGGATTACAATGTCACCAATCCATTCATTGGCCATCAAGACCCCCGTGCACCAGCGACGAGCAGCAGCAGTAGCAGCAGGAAGAGCAACGATGTGTGTTTTCTTCCATTGACCCTCTTCTCCAAGCTTATTTTGTCCATCAGACGACCTCGACTCCGAAACGCAATGGCCCATTCTCGCGCTTCACACACACGTTTTCACGGTCGACCCCGACTTCGCCCACACGCGAAGCCTCATCATCTCAGCCTCCGTTACCGACAAGCGATCCTGCAACACCCACCCGGAGCTCTCCACAGGTTGACCCCAGCCGAAAATCTGACTCAGAAATTGCATCGAGACATTCCAATGCTTCGACTGACACGCTCCAGGCAGTGCCCGCTGGAGACGGCGACGGTGACAGCCTTCCACAAGTGCGAATCCATGCGGACGACGAGCGATTGGAGACGACTTCGCAGATCGACCATGTGCGTATGAGTCTTTCTGACATTTCCGAAGGCGAAGTATCTGAAACGTCGACCATTTCGATGAAGCAGGAGCCGGAAAATGAGGACGCTGAGGAGGAAGAGCAGTACCTGGGCTCTGGCTCGGAATCGGAGGACGACTATGGAGTGCTGCTGAATAAGGATTCAGACCAGGTGGTGGATAGTGCACTCGCTCCAGCACCGCAAGAGGAAGAGGCGCCTGAGCGTCATACTTGATATGATTCTTGGATAGTTCAGTCATTTTCACATATAGAACAGTCTTCATTGTAATACTTCGTAGATTATTCATAATGTACCACTTGCAAGAAGTTCAAAGGATAAGATAGCGCTCAGAGTCAATCAGTCATCATTCAACATAGCGCTGATTGATCACTCTGTTCCAATTACACTCTTGGCGCACTGGCAGCTACAGCTAACCGTGGCACAAGACAAAACTCGTGTCATTGCTATCAAGCTTTTCAAGTCCAAACCTGCCTCTCTCCCCCACTTTGTGTTCGAGGTGATTCGCATTGCCTAGCGTCTGCCTTACTTAAGCAGCCGCACACATGGGACCGGTGGGTCCGAACGTATGAGTTTGTTGCTGCGGGACCTCATCGAGGTGGTGGGGGCGTGGGGCTTTTTCGTGACGCATCGTTCCAATTTTTTTTTACTTGGGGAAAATCAGAAATTTAGCGCTGAAAGTCACTGGCATCAAAAATCACTGATCGGGCGCTGATTGCTTGTCCCCTCACTTCAATCGTTGCTAAACTGCGTGTTGAGAGCTCGCAACTCAGCGCAGGCAGCCCCAGCACAAGCGAAGACTCATGTCATGACTACCGGGTTTTCTCTTCTGCAAATGCCTCGCTCCCCCATTTCGTGTTCGAGGTGATTCGCATACTTAGCGTTTACCTAAAGCGACCGTATCATGCAGGACCGCACGTTCTAGCCATTATAGTAAGAGTTTGCCGTGGTGCTGTGCGGGACCTCACAGAGGTGTGGGGGGCGCGGGGCCTTTTTTGCCAAATTGTTATTCCATTTTTTTAAAACTGGCTCGTTCCAATGCTTAATAGCGCATGTATCGCGAAGAGCGATGTCTTCCCACCGGCTGACCCGAGAGTCCAGCACAGTTCATAATTCAGTGCATTACTTCAGAACATTCCTATCTGTGATTGCCCCGCCCCCGATTTTGTGTAAAGAGGTGATTCGCATTCGTAGCGTCTGCCCTTCGCAACCGTGTCGTGCGGCTCGTACTGTAGCCACACAAATGGCTGCATGAGCTTAGTTACTATATCCGGGACCTTGCCAAAGGTATGGGGGGCGAGGCCTATCATTTTGTTTTCTATTCCGAACCCTTCAAAGCGATTGATATGCGATCATCTTGGCTACTCGAAGTCGATTACTGTCGTCTGGTGGTCCTTGACATACGCCCAAGAGCCACAATATGGGGCCATGTAGTTGAAGCCACCTCCGTCACACCCAACCTCCGACAAAGTTGTTTCACCCTCGCCGCCGTACGAATCTGTTATTCGGATTCTCCCAAGTGAACGAGGTCGTATCTGCACTTGCGCGTGCCCTGAGAAGCCCATGCTGTTGGCGTAGAGGAAGTCGGGACGTGATATTCTATGCGGCTCGGCAGAGTTGGAGTGGGTTAATGTTGGCAGTAATCGCTGACCATTATGTGCAGTATATGTGAGGGAGAGTTGGTGCAGTAAAGCGGCTGTTCCGAGATTGAGGTCAGGGGGTTGCTGGTACACACAAGCCCATAGGCGAAAACTGCCTTCTTCTAGAGGATCGGGGAAGATGTATAGCGCATATGGCACCTCAAACCGATTTGCCAAGTCTCTGGCGAACTGGTGGGTCAGAAGTGGAACGACCGTAGAAAGTGGTATGTGGTCTATCAGTCTATTGTTGCCAATGGGAACAAGTTCAAAGGCGTTTGTGTCGAATATTTTGAGCTGAACAGGATCTTCGCGGCGACTCTCTTCGTAACTGCCCATGATCGCGATGATGTCCCCATGTGGTGTGAGGACCCAATCCAACTGCTCCAATCCGCCTGGGTCGAGAGCGATAGCGGATTTTTCACGCCAGTTCACAAGAAGATAGCCTGGTATTCCTATGTTTAGTAGTACCAAGTCTTCGCATAAGCTCATAACGGGCACACTAGCCCGAACGGGTCCAAACGTCACATTCGTAAGGTTTATCTCGAGGTGGAGATGACTCGTTTCGGTTGTCTGTGGCTCACGATAGACCATAAGCTCGGCCATCTCCAAGTTGAACGTGCTGCATCAGTTGAACGCAAAGCATTGTGGTCGACGTTGACTTACAAGTTATCAGAATCTACGTATGTCATCGCAACGACCACAACTCCAGACGATTTGCGCTCGAACCCAGATTGTACGAGCGTGATATTCGGTATTTGTGGGGCCCGAAACCAGACCTTTTGACCGTGTTCAACATCCCAAAGTTCCGTCGTACCATGGTTATTTCGGAGGAGGTGACCACCAGGCACAAAGCGGACCACAGAGTAGCCAGTCGGATGGTCACATGGCGTATGAAGAGTAATGCAGCTTGATATTCGAGGGGAAATGGTTGTTTGACCTTGAGCTGACTGCCATGAGTCTGGACCATGGACAAGACGCTTCACAAGCTTGCTGAGTTCTGCTGTCGATAACTGGGACGGTTCGCGGGCGAATCTTTCGTCAATGAAGCCGTGTGATTTGAGCCGTTTGATTACGGAGACCCAGACCGCCTTTGAGGTGACAAGTGTGTGGAGAGGTTTGCAAGTCTAATGGGAGGAGATCATTGGCTGTCGATGCATGTTTCCTCCCAGATACCTGACTGATACAGTTCAAGCTTCTTATATCGCAATGTTGAGTGAGAATCTCATAAATCAGCTCTGTGGGCAAGCTGGAAAAGTTAATCATGCGGTGGGGGAACAACAGTGCACGTACGCGTGACGAACGTGACAACAAATCCTTTGGCTTTTGCCTCCACACTCTCTTTTACCATGCGCCAGACCGGCACCACGCTCATTTCGTTAGCTATCAAACTACTCGTCTGTCGCTTCAGTCTCGCACATTCTACCCCCCTCCCTTTACGCCCTTTTGCCCAACCTCGAGGCTTGGACCCCTTAACATTCAGCGATGCAAGCCAGTTCTTCGACCTGGCAACTCTCGGTCAAGATTCTGTCCCAGATGCAGCCACGCCGATGCCAGACACCCTAATCTCCAACTTAGTCACCGACACAGAGGTACTCTTTGAGCCGCCAACAACGGTCACCGTCCCCGCCACAACTTTCACCGATGTCATCACACTTTTACTCTCCAGTGCAGCGCCGTCTCCGACCTCACCCTTTTTTGCAACTCAAACAAGCCCACCCACGAGAGCAACATGGGCTGCGCCTGCTCAGATGTCTGACATGTCTTCATTCAACATTTCGTCTTTTGCCGCTGGACATCAAAACTTTCGTCTCGTCAACGGTATCCCGGCCAATGCAACTGGTTCTCCCTCCCCATCGCCGACTCCAAGCTCTGATGGTGGCCTTATTGGCCTTCTTGATGGAATTGGAGCGCTGCTTGAATCTGTTGCGACCCCGAAGAGCCCTCCTGCTGACAAAAGATACACGGCTTGGAGCAATGATACGACCGCCATGGAACTACTCTACCCTGCTGGCTCAGCGAACCCTTCGGCTCGTCCTCAAGGTGGTGCTGAATTCTACGCCTCGCCCTTGCCAATCACTGAAGCACAAACTGTCACTATGGCCTACAGCGTGTTTTTCCCAAATGGCTTCGACTGGGTTCGTGGCGGCAAACTTCCGGGACTGTATGGTGGTCGAAGAGGGTGTTCGGGTGGCGACTCAGCCTTGGATTGCTTCAGTACGAGATTGATGTGGCGGAAACGAGGGGAAGGAGAACTTTATTTGGTGTGTCTTTATGTTTGGGTGTCCTCCTCTTCATTGACGATTTTGCGCTAGTATGCCATGAAGGACAAGCAGACTAAGGCACTATGCGACGACCCTCAGTCTGAATGCAACGCTCAGTATGGTTTCTCCATCGGACGTGGTTCATTTCGCTTTGCAACGGGAATGTGGACACATGTGGAGCAGATTGTAACGCTTAATACCCCCGGCAAACAAGATGGCATCTTCACGCTCTTTGTCAATGGCATTCAAGTCATCCATCGCGAAGACATCTTCTACCGTGACGCGCCTGCTGGATCTCCTCAAACTTCGGCTCCTCCTTCAAAAACAACCCAAGACAGTGGTGGTGGGATTGGAGGACTCATACCAACCTTGGGACTAGGACCCATTCTCGGTGGTCTCGTCGGAATTGCTCGGCGCTCTGTTTTGCTTGCGGATCCGGTGCCAGTCTCAATCGCAGAACCGACAACGCCAATTGAGGAACTTCATCTTCTTGCAAGTCCTGGAGGTGTCATTCTTTCGCCCTATTTATCGCCTCCTCCGCTCGAGTTTCCTTCAGATCAACGTTCAAGTGATTCCACTTCCGCCGATCGAACAACATCGCCGTCTAGCGAGCAAGCTTCAAAATCGACATCTAAGCCAGTTGGGTTCGTTGGCATCTTTTTTAGGTTAGGCTTTTGTGATGAACTCATCGATACTGGCTAATATCTGCGTAGTACATTCTTCGGGGGACACGGCCCTACGTATACTACCCCCGTCGACCAATATGTGTGGTTTAGAGCCTTCAGCCTCACCTCTGATGCCTAATGAAATACTACAACGCTACAGCTTGATTTGTTCATTTCCCTGTCGTAAGGTAATAAGCAAGCCATCCTTACGAAAATCACGCAAGTCTTGGATTGTATCTTGCTCCAACGTCTCCCTACGGCCACAGAAGTCGAAAGTTATGGACGCTATGCGCGTTACTGCGATACCATACAATTCTGTGGCCCACCCTTGCCATCTTGATGTAATGATGTCCAGAAGAATGCCTTCGTCAAAGTTCAGGGAAGTTCGCAGCGTCAAATGCTCGAGAGCAGGTAACACGCAGTCTGAATCAGGATAAAGAATGAAGCGTCTGAGAAGCTTGTCTGTTATTACACGATTTTGGAGCTGCCGAGTGGTTCCGATGTCAGCGTCAAGGACCAGATTCTGGACGAGAGGAAGCGCTTCGAGGATCTGGATAATGTTGTCGTCCTTCATATATCCGGTGCCAAGCGAGAGGTGAGTGAGTTGCTGGTTGAGTTCGTTGCGTGAGAGGAAGTCGGTGAAGTCTTCGGGTGACCATTGCCCGATAAGCTGGAGCGATTTGAGCTGGGGGACGACGAGACGCTGGAAGAAAGACCGCGTGACAGTTTGGGGGTTCCTGACAACGGTGTTGGAAGAGTAGTTGATTCCCAAACGGAGCGACTCAAGATGACGAAGGGGAATGGCGGAGGATTCGGTGGAATCGAAGGATCCAGCGAACCGGAGTTGTTCCATGGCGCAATACTTGAGATTAGGGCATTTTTGTAACAACAACAAGCCATCGGGTGCGACCGCAGTGTCATATTGAATGTCTGTGATCTGGCTCCACGGGAGCTCCCAATGGGCCATTTTATCCTTCAAAATGACCCGTCGCAGTCTGGGAACGTGTCCCACTGGCAGGGGTATAGGCTTCACTGGAATGCCCGCCACTGGTGTGATTTCCTCTCCGATTTCCAGTGTTTCGAGCAGCGGAAACACAAGTGTGCTAAGCGCAATGGACAAATAAAAAGTGTATTTCGTGGAAATCAGGTTGAGTTTCCTCCAACGTTGTGTATGTTCAACGAGTGTTGAGATGAGGGCGTCAGAAACCGGTTGCCGAAGCGAGATTGACAGTGGTAGGTTAGACGACCGTTCGAGAAAGAGGGCAGCAAGGTCTTGATACTTTTCATGGGCCATAAACCGCGTTCTCCCCACCGATATATTCGACCACAACTCGGGAGTCGAAATGGTGATCTTTCTCCAGTGTTGACATATCTGGCCGGTGATTGGGATGACGTTTGGTTTGTGGTCAAGGCAAGCAAGGAATATTGCCTGCAAAATTTCTGGCGGTAGCTTGCGAATGGGAGCTAGAACACTACTGCAACATGCCTTGAATCTTATTAGCTCTTCTCTGCGTGTGAGAAGCGCCTCAAGCATGGCTCGAACTCGGGCAGCCTCAGACGTGTAACGCGCCAAATGATTGTCTATAGTCGACATTGTTTCAACAATCAGCTTGCTTTCCAGGAGCTCAGGAGAGTAGTTGCTTCGCAGAGCTGTGTTCACGGGGTTTGGATCGTAGATGGTGTGTTGGAACTGGTGGTTACATTGGCTGCAAAGGGTACTTGGCGACTCATAAGAGGTAATCTCCACTAGAAGGGCTAGTTATCAGTGTTGCGAGCATGAGGAAAAGCAGGATACAGACTTCAGCGTCGAGGTTACTGGTCAAGATTGGGATTCAACTGTGCCGCGGCGGTTGCCAGTGCTCAGCAAGTGCTCAGCATGATGTAATGACATGTGACTCTGACTAATATAGCACTGCCACCGGACTCTCTTCACAATGAACCTCTCCAGCTTATAGTGTGGAACGAGTCGGATTCTTCCACTATCGCCGCGCCGCCGATCTTTCCAGCTCTCTCCGAGGAACGAAATGTCATACTGGTGGCCACGCGACGAAGCGCCCTTCAAAACACAGAGATAACAAATATCCATCTCGTCCGTGTTTTCAAGACTCAATCGAGCAGATTGCTGTCACAATGGTCGTCGTCCCCAGGCTGAATTGTCGTTAGTAGCTTTTGGTCTTCGCGGCTTCTATCTTTAAAAGCAGTTGTTCTACTCGACATGGTTCACACCGACACTCCCAGAAGGTCGCACAAGAAACCTCCGATCGCGTAAATCCCACCTCTTCTCCCATGTCAATAGATGTTATGTCGCTTGACCTCCTGCCCAATGCATTGGATCCACCATAATCGACAGCTTCCGTCTGGTCTTATATAAACACGCAACCAAGTGTCGTTTTTTTGCCGCAACTGGATTCGCCTGGCCGCCATGCCTGTGGCTATCGTCAAACTGTAGGCTCTTTGCTCTGGGCTCATATAGCATACTTACAATTGCTAGAACGTTGCCTTTAGTAACGCTTTCTCCCTGCTAGCTCGCAATGAGCTTACAAAAAAAAACAGTTCATCGGCACCATCTTAAACTGGCTTTTATTGGGAGTTTTCTTGGTGCAGATATGCAAGTCTTTTCTTACGTTTCTGCTACTTGAAACTGTCATTGAACTCTACTTCCTAGATATCTACTACGCTGCATTTCCGCATGACTCTAGACGAGCCAAAATTGGTGTCGCAGCCGTTCTCGTCCTTGAACTCCTCGAAACTTTCTCCAACGTGAACGAACAGGCTCGCACCTTCGGCGCAGGTTGGGGAGACATGAAAGCTCTTGACACAGTAGGCATTGCGTGGCTGTCAGTTCCTCTAATTGGACCATTAGGCATGCTCTGAACCAATTCTGAAAAAAAAAACTAATCACATCCGACAGTGGCCTCGATTGGCCAGTGGTTCTTTGCGATGAGAATATATATCATTGGGCGAAGCATTTATCTGCCCATTGTGATTTGTTTGGTGTGCCTAGTTCCGTTCGCCCCTATCTTGTTCTTATGATTCATTTGCCTAGCTTTCGGTTTTGCAGCTTGCTGCTGGCACATGGACGGCCGTAAACATTGCCAAGGCTGGTAGATTTTCTTTACTTCAAGAGCGTAATGCCATCCCCACTCCCGTGTGTGATCTTCTCTCCCTTGGTCTTTTTTAAACGCTTCTCTTCAGATTTGGCTCGTTTCCGCTGCGCTCTGTGATGTACTTATCGTGGCCGGGATGGTTTACTACCTTATGAAGTCTCGTGTCCGCGAGTACAGCCGCATAAAATCTGCGATTTCCCGGATCCTGCTAGTGAGTTTCCGTGAGCTTTTAGTGTCATGGAAAGTGTTTTTTGATGCCCTTGCCTTAGCTTACGGTCGAGACGGGCGCCATTTGCGCGGTCTTGGTGCTTGTCGACCTGTACTTGTTCATCGCCTACAAAGGCACCAACATGCATCTTTCGCTTTGCATTGAGCTATCCAAAGTTTACTCTAACAGCATATTACTCGTGCGTCTCCTTTCGCTACGCCTTTCGACCACTCTCATTCTTCGTGAAAAGATATTCAACTCGCGTGCCCGAATAACTTACCAAAACAGCCAAGACTCTCATATTTCGATTCATGTGTCTGGTCTCACTCGTAATACTCGAGACCCGGCATATAGAGCGCCGTCCGGCCCGGGGGAAACAACAACTATACGCTTCGCTCATGCTAGTAGATTCACGACGACGACGACACAGAGCGAATCCGGAGCGGGCATGCTTCCTGACCCAGAAAAGGCCGTGGACGCTGGAGACGGACAACCAGCGAAAAACTCGGACACGTGTGCTGTATGACTAGTATTTCTCCAAGACTTTGTCGTAGACTTATCGCTACTGTACATATCATCTGTACTACCTTAAACATTACTTCGCATTGCCAAACCCTATGTGACCGTGTGACATGATATATGTGACTCGTGCAACTGGTTGTCTTGTTTTCTTCTGCCTCACCAGCAACATTGAACGCAACCCCTTCGAGGGTCCAAATTTTCGTACCATACCAGAACGCCATAGCAAGGCTTTTCTGCTAACGCCGCGAACTCCACAACCGTCGCCTATTGGCCACTTCTGAATCCAAGATGCAGCCGCCGCCCAGATGTCCAATCACCGACTCAATTCAACGAGCTAAATATTCCTGTAACAACTATTCAACAAATAGACGCTGCGTAGCACCCGCAACGCATTCAAACTCGGTTAAGCGCCACGTCAAGGAACGACGCAGAAGCTGATCTGGTTGCAGACGACCTGCCACCTCAGGCTATCCTTGCTGCTTTCTGTTGGACACAGTTGGAGGGAGGCCAACCACATCTTTTGTTGACGCGTTAACCTCGAAGAAGAAGCTAATTCTGCATTGAAACCGTCTGCCACCAAGAGCATCAGATTTGCTTCGACCTGCTTAAATGCAGGCTTGCTCTGCTAGTGGCAGTATTAAAAGTAACCTCCCGATAACGGCCGTCTTCTTACCACTGGCAAAGGCTTCCAATGTCTCAGGGTACTTCTTCTGTATGCTCAGAGCTGTAGATTACTGAGCATTCGCCAGGAAACCTAATCCCCAGTAACCGAACGATTGACGACAATTTTGGCGACCTTGTGACCGGCTTGCAACCGATCTACACCCCCGATGGATATTGGAGCTTCGTAGGTCCCAGGCCAATGCCAAGTATTTGCAATAACTGACACATCCAGGATTCGACTTGTTCAAGTTGTGTTTTCCGACCCGACCCCAAGCTTGCGTTCAATGGTAGCTGGCATGATAGCTCTCAGTTTGTCAATACAGCGCCAGTGTCTGTAACGCTGTCCTTCTCTGGTCAGTGTAACTGCTTTCTTTATTTCTCCAGAGTCTAGCTTACGAATATGGTTAGGAACCGCCATCTACGTGTTTTGCATCGTTCCGCCTATCATCCAGGGCACTATATCTCGGTATCGGTTGAACTACACCCTCGAAACCATCGCCGCGACCAGCAAAACGAGCACGATGACAGGAAACTTTTCGCTTGACCCAAGGAGCACAACGGACTACCAGTACAACGTACCTGTGGTTTCGATATCAGGATTGGACAACACCGCCCATACATTGCGCGTCTCCACCAATGATGCTTCGGTGTTTCTATTCGACTATGCAGTGTATACGTGCGCTTGTCATTTGATTGACTCCCTCAGCGCTAATTACTATATAGGACCCTAGAAGCGGCTTCTACTAGCAAGTCACATCATAAAAACAAGGGTGCAGTGGCTGCTGGGACTGTTGTGGGACTGCTGCTTGTTATTCTTATTGCCATCGGGTTTTACCTGGTCGTGCGGCAACGCAGGAAACGCGCTACAAGAGCTAGGACTTTCTCAATCGACGTCGATGGACTAGTAGTGCCACAGACAAGCGAGCGGCCCCACGTTCAAGGCCGACTGATATCTTTGGTACCCCAGAGATTTCTTGATGTCAATGGTCGAATGAGCCGCTCTGGAAGTGGTCCAGAGACACCACCACCGGTTTATGCTCCTACTAACAGTGCGACCATGTAAATAGTTTTGTCATTCTCCTCTATGCTACTAGATGAACGCGACGCGTCATGATGAGTTAGTAAGGTCACATGAACGCGCTGAACTTGGCGTTAAACCACGACTCGGAAACATGCCTCCCAAGGGCGGGAACGCAAAGAAGGAAAGTGGGCGGGCGAAGAAGGCGGAGAATGAGGCGAAGAAGAAGGACGCTGCAGAGGCTGAAAAGGTGCGCTCGCAGTAAATACACAGAGCTCTTGTTGACCTCACCAGGAACGTAAAGAAGCGGCTGCCTGGGCGGATGGGACCAAGGGGAAGGGAGCGAAAGAGGACAAAGAAGCGAAACGGCAGGCAGATCTGGCACGCAAAGCAGAAAATGCGCGATTGTTGGCGGAGGAGGAGAAGAGTGGGCCTGCCAAAGTCAAGGCTGCCCCCAAGGCTGGTGCCGCAAAGAAAGCGCAACAGCCTAAACCGGCCGGGCCAGGGGCGATTGCGGCTGGTGGTGGATTAGGTGATGCTGCACCAATCGACAAGGGGGAAACCCGGGAAGATGAAGAGCTTGTGGAATCCTTTGCGGCAACGGGAATCGATAATGCGCTTGACCTCCTCGAGGTCGTTAATGCGAAGACGGATAAAGCTAGTGTTGGCCAGCAGGCAGCGGGAATCGAGCGACATCCAGAGGTCCGTTACTCACGAGGCGTACTAGGCTACTTACTCATTCGGACATATAGCGACGGTTCAAGGTGCGGACATGCGCTTTTCGCGTTTATCTTTTACTCATCTCCTTTCCAGGCCGCCTTTGAGGCGTACCAAGACCGCGAATTACCCAATATTCGCGAAGAGGTGTGTTTGCCTTTGGTCCGACTGACTCATCTCATATCGACATTTACAGCACCCTGGACTAAGGCTACAGCAGTACAAGGCGCGTGTTGTAGGTGTGCCCCAGACTCCCGATCTGACTATTTGGTGCAGGATCTATTGTTCAAGGCTTTCCAAAAGTCACCCGAAAATCCGTGCGTGTTGCGGCATTATGTCTCGAGCTTATGGTTATCTGCATAGATTCAACCAAACTACGGTGGCTTATGACGCGACAAAGGAGGAGAAGGTGGATGCGCTGAAGCAGAAGAAGGCACAGGTCGAGCAGCGGTTGAGGGAGAAGTCAGCTTAGAATCATATCTCTTGATCTTATCAACGCCATCAATCCATCAATCACGCTTTGGCACGAGAACAACGCTTGCCCTTCTCGTCTACTTTCTACTTGTACCTTCACGAACTCCGTTACGCGTCTCCCTCTCTCTTCTTTCCTCTCCCCTCCCCCGCCCACACCTTTCGTTTCTGGTGACCGTCGTGTCTAATCTCTCACCATCGCATCGATTGCCTGTAAACGCTAACTATGGCCGACCAAATCAATAAGTGGTCTGCCGGGGCCCACTGTGCGCTATACCTCACACCAAGATAACTAACTCACCTTCGGGACACAGATGGCCCAGTGCTCTCTCAGACGGACCTCTACCTGCTCAACACCGACCTAGAGTTACATCCAATTATGGCTGGAAAAGACGGTGGATTCCATCTTGTGTTCAACGTGGTAACAGGTCTGTTGCACATGTTCCCCGACATGAACAGGCAGTCTGACCGCTGAGCAGGTCAAACATCGGGCTTCAACCCAGACGCGCGCGATCGTGATTTGCAGTTCACCGCGAAAGACCAGCCCGCGACGCTCCCACGTGTTTCCTCGCTCATCATCATAACTGAGGCCAGTCCGTGGTGCACAGTTGTCCAAAACGAGCGGGGAGTCACGATGGACGACATTTGCATCAAGTTGTATCGAGAGTGCGTCCAAAGCTCGCTGTTTCTGTTTACTCATGAAAAAACAGCTACTCAGAACATAACGTCACAGACGCCGAGTTTGCTGCACTCGCGCCGAGACTACAGGAGCAAGTGAAACGAATGGCTGCCCACAATGCGGCAGCGGGGGCTGGGCCTGGTGGAGCTTGGGGCAATTATTATGGGACCCCTGCGGCGCCTCCCGCTAGATTCAAGAGATCTGGTCATACACCTTATTTTTCTTTCGACCCTAATGCTGATTTTCTCGTAGACTGGCTTCGCGAACGGACATTTTTTGAAGGCTTGCGTAAGAATGACGGCTACGCAGTAAGTCGACTGGGCTTCAAGGCTCCGAATATATTCGTCATGGATCTGGTTGCATGATTTTTGTTTCTTTTTCAACTCCCTACCGTGTTGTATCGTGTACTTAACCCACAGAGCTTCATCTAATCACTGCACATGACCGAGCTCTTCTTGCCCAGTAATCGCATCACCCGTCGCATCTCAGTATTCTACCGAACCGCTTCTCCGCCAAACTGTCCTGCTCCTTCACGGCTCGTCTCACCAATACCGACATCTTATCCCTCCGTTACACGGGTGTCGTGCCCGGATTCGGCTTCACCTCCGTCCCTCCCTCCCGCAAATATGAATATACTTTTGCCAACCTTACCAAAACGACCGAATGTGTCCTCGAGGCACTGAACATATCTTCATTTGCGGTCTACGACTTCGACTACGTTCTCTTCAGGCTTGCGCTGCTTGACGAAGGGCGGCGATCAAGGCCATTATTTCCCAGAACGGAAACGCATATGAGGAAGGCTTGGGCCCAGCATGGGTCCCAATCAAGGCCTTCTGGGCAGCAGGCAAGCACGATGAGGTTGCGCGACACCGTGCTCACATCCGAGACGACCAAGTACAAATATACCTACGGGTCGCGATTCCCCGAGAAAAATCGAGCCAGAGTCGTATACCCTCGATTCGGCGCTGATGACACCGGGAAATATGGAAGAAGTGCAGTTGCCGCTGTTCAAAGACTATGAGAACAACGTGCTGCTATACCCCGACTTCCAGGAGTACTGCATGACCGGTCGTTTACACCTGACGGCGCTCGCGCATTCTTGAGAGATCTGCCTGACGCGAAAGTTGTCCTGCTCGACGCGGGGCATTTTGCGGGAGAAACTGACAATGACGTTATTGTGAGTCAGATGCTGGCTTGTACAGTGGTGACTTGTTGAATAAAAATAATGGATCATCTACACGACCGCTGCCAGATCGGTGCTATATTCTTTTTTCTCGTGGGCCACCGCGTCTTCACTGGATTGAGTTATAGTGCTGGATGTGCTCGAGTCGGCACGTGGCATTTCGGTTGGGTGGCCGGGTAGCGAAAGCGTCTTTAATTCCGGAATGTGGAGTGAGATATGCGCGTCTTGGGCGTCTCTATGCGTTATTCGTGCGCGTGAGTTGAATATCTGAGAAGAAAAGAGTTGAGTAGTTCGAGGCTGTTAAGATACGGCGTACAAGAAGAATACTATTCGAGTAGATCTTGGATAACTCGATGCAGAGCGCAAGATGCAGGTTAGTGCCCTTGAATGCAAGGAAGAGGTACAGGTCAGCGAGCACCACTGCCGTGCATATGGCGCCCGTCTCGACTGTAAGCTTTCTCGGATGTCAGCAAGGATCAGAAAGAGAAAAGGGAGGGAGTTACGAATAGGATGCGGGAGATGGCAGAGCTGATTCGGCTGAACTCGCGCTCTCGCGTTCTGATGAGATAGTAGACCATCCCGAACATAATGAGGAGGTCGCATAGGGAGGTGGAGGCGAGCCAAAGAGAAGTGGGGATGACGTTTCTGTCTTGGAGTAGAGAGAATCGGCCAGCCTTGGAGATGTTGATTCCAGTCCAGAATCCAGCTGCCAGCTGCACCGCCGAGGTCTGAGGTAGTCGGTCAAAAGTCCGGATGATGTGGGACTCGGATAACTTACCAGAGAAATTAGGACCGGGAGGTAGATGCTCTGGCTGATGAGGTATATCCTCCAGGCAAACACTCCTTGCCCAATGGATGCTACTAGACCAGTTTGTCAGCCTTTGGACAGCACAGAAGAATATGACGCACTCAAAGGCCCTATTATCGGAACCCCAAACCACGCCATACCAACTATATCCAACTCCTCCATGTCCCCCCATCGCAGGCCGAATGTGTTGACCATTTCGCGAGAATCAGTGATGGTCTCGAGTAGTTCGAGCAAGATAATGGCCGCTACGCCGAGTTTGGCCCACCGCGGGTCTTTAGGGAACGCAACGTAGTATATATCTAGGAAAGTCTTCAATGAGAACAATGAGTATTTGCAAGCCAACGCACATATTTGAACAAGAAGCACCCCAAATAGAAGCCAGTTCATAATGGTTCCAACAAACTGCGGGGGGTATTCAGTGCTGGAGCGCGCGGGGGGCGGAACGCTTGACCAAAGGTAATGTTCTGCAACGGTGTAAGCGACGGAAGGTAGATGGAAGCAGGAGCTGACATTTGAGCGAGAGGGACATGTTGAGCCATGGAAGCAACAAGTCTAGGTAAAAGCAAAGAGAAGAAGAAGAAGAAAAAACGAAAGCAAAAGGAAGAATAGAAGACGAAAAGAGCTCGAGGCACTTGATACTGTCGCCGATCTTGATAGGTCGATATCTACACCACGACATCTATTGATTGTCAGTTCTATCGTCCAATGGTCCGTGAGCGGGAAGCCAGATCGCAAGGAGTTGTATCAAGGAGTGCAAAAACTAGTTTGAGCTCTTCGACCCACGCCTGGTGAGAGCCATACCAAAAATGGATGGTCGCGGACCCTGTCATGACCCTCGGCGTGCATGAGTACTTAGAAGTGGCCTTGGATTTGTTTTCACGCGTTTTTGAGCTCGTTTACGTCTTTGGGCTTCGTCGTTGCTTCGTCGCCGTTGCCAGCATTTCGCTGTCACAGCCTGTGACAGCGAAATGCGTGTTCCGACTTCCCTCGACTTCCTTCCTCTTGCAACTCATAGGATTTTCGTTTTCTCAAAGAAACAAGAAATATTTCGACTAGGCTTGCCTTACTCGCCTTACCTCGCTTTCACTCATCCTTCAAGTGACGCAGCATCGGCGACTTGGCAAGCTGTAACTTTTTTTGCTCTTATTTCAAGTTAAATCCTGTTTCCCTCGTCGTATCTTGTCGTGACCCATCCATCTTCTCTCCAATGACTCACAGGATGAGTTCTACAAGTCATCGGCTGGTGCTCTTGGGGACTTCCGAACCGCTGGAATGATCACTTTGGTTGTAAGCTTTTCACGCAAGTGGTGTGCCTGGTCGCTTGACAACGATTCGAAACCATTCACCCTGCCCATACTGGAAGCTCTTTCTCTCAGGCTCAGCCAAATCCAGTCCAACGACTGTCTTCTGCCGATCATGTAATCAAGAAATCCGACTTATCTTTATCCATGTGGCGTTAGTGGTGGGATGCTTACAAGGAACGACGTCTAGTTCAGTGCTAGTGGTATATAAGGAGGTCCGTTCCACTCAGGGTACTGTGGAGAAGCTTGAATCCGTAGCTTTACACTCCCTTCCGCTCCTTCGAAGTGTCCCATGGCTTTTCCAATCGTGCAATTGTAAGTTCATCCGTTTCAAGTCATCGCCCACGCCCATACATACTCCATAGGACGTTGCCTCTTGTCAATGGCTCTTCCGATGTTCCCAATCAATATTGAATATCCAACAGTTCATTGGCGCAATGATCAACTGGTTCTTATTTGGGGCGCTTTTTGTGCAAATATGTATGTCCCGCGACCCAAAGTTGTGACTCTCTGAAACCTATCGGTCTAGACATATACTATACCGCATTCCCCAAAGACCCGCGATGGGCCAAGATTGGTGTTGCGGCCGTGCTCTTCCTCGAACTCGTCGAGACGCTTTCAGACGTTCATGACCTCGGGCGTACCTTTGGCTGGGGTTGGGGGGACATGGAATCCCTTGATGTTGTTGGCTGGGCGTGGTTCTCGGTACCTGTTCTCTCCCCAATCAGTATGTCAAGTTCTGCCTTGGAAAGTAGACTCACAAGACGAAATAGTCGCCTCAATCGGCCAAAGTTTCTTCAGTTACAGAATCTATCTCATCGGCCAGACCATCTGCATCCCCATCCTTATTTGCTTGGTGGGTCGAAAATGTGTTGGCATATATTCCTTATTGACCCCTCAGACATCGTTACTTCAACTTGGTGCCGGGCTTTGGAGTGCTGTCAATATCTGTTTAGCGGGCCGCTTTTCTCTTCTCCAGTCGCGCAACGACATGCTTGCAACAACCGTGTGTTTTTCCTACGTTTGCGCTGCTCAAATCTGACTCTCATCAGCTCTGGCTCGCGTCGACCTCGCTTTGCGACCTGATCATCGTATTTGGGATGGTATACTATCTCTCGAAATCACGACAACGCGAATTCGGTCGAATGAACTCGACAATTTCTCGAATCATCTATGTGCGTCAAAGATGCACCTCCTTTAAAGCTTCAGCTCAAACATTACAGCTCACTGTTGAAACCGGAGCTGTGTGCACAATTGTTGTTCTTGTCGACCTCTACCTCGTCATCGCCTTCAAGAGCACCAATATCCACCTCGCCTTGTGTATGGAGCTATCCAAAATCTACTCCAACAGTATATTGCTCGTACGTGCCTCTTTCCTCGCTGTTGTCCGCTCCTTCATCGGATGACAGATATTTAACTCACGCGCGACTATCAGCCACCAAGCCGCTCCCGACACTAATCTCTCGATCCACGTGTCGGGAATGGAGGCCAGGTCTACAAACACTGCGACTCTCCAATTCGCATTGAGAACAAATACGCGCTCTAGCACGACTAGTGACTTGGATTTGAACTTGTCGGGAGGACTTGATGGGGTCAAGGAATCCAAAAGAAATAGCTTGGTTGTCTAGGACTGAATCGTGTTATTGGCTATTGACCTCGCTTTGTGTGCTCCAAAATTATTTTTGTCTCATTGTCAACCTCCCTCTTCTAAAAATGACTCGAGAGTTGAAACTCGAATATCTCTGTACTGTACTGTTGCCAAGAAAAAAAAAAAACAATACATCACATGACCGTGTACCAACATGACCACCACATCGACCATGTCCAGTTTGCCAGTAGAACTGTTGATCGAGATATTCACCCATTCTTTACCGGAAACTCCCTCCAATCCCAGCATACACGACTCTCCTCTACTTCTGACACGGGTTTGTCGACTCTGGCACGATGTTGCGCTTGCTACACCATTATTATGGACAAGTTTCTCCGTCAATTTCGCGTTATACGAGGACACTTTACCGTTTCAAATTGCGAAGCTGTGGCTCTCGAGATCGCAAAATCTGCCTTTGTCTATCTATGTCGATGATTCTCTCGACGGCGATGACGATCCCGAGCCACAACGCTGGGCATTCTATGAGGAACTGTGTCGCCATGCTCATCGATGGCAGAATGCGGCTCTCAACCTGCCGTTCACTATTCTTTGGCGCCTTCCTATTCAGCAGCCGCTGGGGATGCTGGAGTCGCTTAAGATGGGGCGTGACGACTCTGGTCAGTCGGTCCCCAACAGAAAAGTATCAACCTTTATGACAGCCCCACGATTGAAATCTGTCGAGATCTGGCTGGACAACGACGAGGCAATGAACATCCAGGGAATCGGTCTTCCTTGGGCCCAGTTGACGGTCTTCCGTGGCCGACTGTTCACAAACGACGAGTGCTTATTCGTTTTGCTGCAGGCCCCCCAGCTCGTCGAATGTGATTTCAACGATATTGTGGACGGGTATGTTCCAGATGCAAACGTTGTCACCCCATTTCTTCGAGTGCTCCAGCTGGACGAGGCCAGTGGGCACAGCTGTGCGTGCATACTGTCGTTTCTCACTGCCCCGAACCTTAACAAATTTATTTGTGGAGCAAGAAAGCAAGACGACACTGACGACAACAGCCTATGGCCGCTCCGCGAATTCTTATCGCGGTCTTGCAGCTCCCTCACCCAGCTCCACATTTCCATGAATCAGTCGACCCGCGAGTGGGATAAACTCATGCTTTGCCTCCCTTTCATGTCGCTGCTGGAACACCTCGAGATATTCTGGTTCCACGAGGACTTCGACCTCACCCCACTCTCCGACGCCCTCCTGCCGCGATTGCGCACCCTCGTCTTCAACTCCCACACGGTGCCGGGAAACGTGACGGTCATGAACCTCTTGTCTCTTCTGTTAGTGCGGACCTCAGAAGAGTGGGTCGTGACAAATGGAGTGTGTTTGGGGCGATTTAAATTCACATGGCCCTTCATTTTTGTAGACCTTCATCCTGACGAAGATCCAGAGATCCAAAGCCGTGTTCGGTTGCTTCGGAAACGAGGGGTACATATCCACATGGGGGGAATGGAATGGGGATTTCACTTCTTTGATTGCTAATTAGGAGTGGGTTGCAACTTGACTCAGAGCTCAGAATGCATATGGTGGAAGCCATTAGGTAGATATCAAGTTTTGATAGGATAGAATAATGGATATGTACAGTAGTCTACCAACACTTGGTACAAAATAAGTTTGGCATCATATTGTCTCCGACTTCTATGTTTTTTTGCCTTTTCCTTTCAAACTCCGTTTTTGTTCGTCTTTCAATCGTTCAGCCAACGGCTTGGGCTTTTCCGATACCAAAGTCTCCTCCTCTGAAGTGTCTGGCTCGTGATAATTGACGGGTTTTTTTGCGCGAGTCGGCCGTTGAGAAGTTTGCGAAACTGATGTTGACGGGCGCTTGCTCGGTGACTCGTCCACTAGCTCTGGCGTGTCAGGCTTTTTGCGCTTGAATCCGTTGGAGGGTATGTCGTTTGGCGCAAAGTCGGGAGTAAGAGTCTCGCGGGCTGGTCGGAGGTAGGGACCGGTGGCCCCCTCGCGTTCCAAATCCGCAATAGCTTGCTCGATAGGACTAAGGAACTGAGCATATTGAATCTCTGCTTGTTCAACACTATAGTTTGGAAGGGGAGTTGGTTCAAGCATTTCCCTGGTCTCCATGACAGCATTGATCCTAGTCCGTAAGAACCGGTGCAAAGTATGCATGACCGGATACAAGATTTTGGTTTCATTTGGGAAGCGCGTTGGGAAGCGTCCGATGGCTCCCAACAGGAAAAAACCTTTCAATTCCGCCATACTGTCGTTGTCCGCGCTCGCAAGCCATCTTCGAAAAACAGAAGATTGGTGTGCTGCATCTAGGCCGCCAGCGTCGAAGTCAAAGAGCGCCTGGAACATAACGTAGTATATGGATTCAAGGTCGTCGATGGGTTGTATGTGCGAAAGACGCTGGTCGTCTCCGAAAAGAACGCGGACGGACTGGTATATTTGCGTGCCCTAGGATATTTCAGTTGCGTATTTTAGGTCGTCGCAAAGCCAACATACCGTTCTGAAGTCCAAAGCTTCCCCTGTTCCAGCAATCAAGCGGGCCATTCGCTTCGCGAGGTCCCAGTCGATGATAACACCACATTCGTCAGGCTTATCGTAAGCAAGCCGCAAATTCAGCAAGCTGATGTCGCTCTGGAGGACTCGTTTCTCCTCGGCTAAACGAAGGGTTGCTGCGCGATGACCTGTAATTTTCTTGTCAGTACGAAGACGCAATGAAGGAGCCAAAGCTCACCTTTGACGATGTCGCGGACCGCACACAGAAATTGGTGGGCGGAAACAGCCGTCTCTAGGGTTCCACCATATTCGACAACCACAATGCGCATTAAGAATCGGTTGGTCACTGTGGCAGGACCATCAGAGGAGGGGATCCCGTCGTGCTTCATTGCCTCTCCGTCCGAAAAACCTCGAAGGCCCGTCACTGAGAAACGATCATTCTCGTAGCAGAGCATTTGACCAATTCCAGTAATGCCAACGAGGTCTTGGAGGATTTCCGACTCGTAAACTCGCCCATCACCGCGCCAGTAGTCTTTGATGACATACGAAACACCTTCATATGTTGCGCGCCAACAGACGGTCGCTCGAGATCGGATCGTTCGACGAGCAAAGATTGGCTTGGGCTCAACGTCGAAGATATAGGGGACTTTGGCCTCGTTTTTGCGCCATTTTCGTGCCTCTTTGTCGTAGATTTGGGGAGGAATGACCTTCATGCGACGGATGTTGTTCTCCCAATAGATGGAGGTGTCGAATCCGATCAGAGCCTCGTCGAATGCGCTTCCCAGAAGCACTAGTTTGACGAAGAACACTGCGCCTTCTTGGGTGTGGTAGTTGATAGGCTGTGAGTAGTAGCAGCCGCCCCGGTCGAAGTGTAAGACGCGAATGAATTTTGGGGTGATAATGTTGACGCGGACGAAGATCCGATGGGGCTGCTGGACGAAAATTTCGCGAGCATAAACAGCCATTTGAGCCCGCTCTGCTTTGCCAAATGTAGGGTTGAGTTTATTGTCGTAGATGTCGCCGATATCGGAGTATAAAATACTCAACGGGAAGTCGGCAGAAGGGGTCGCGCATCCTCCAGTCAGGAGAATAGAGATGTCGGGCTGGCTGTGGAGAGCCTTCTCCTTTGCATCTTCAGTGTTGTGTGAAATACAGATGCGGTGAGTGTCCCTGGCCAAACGCCGTTTAATGACGATGCCACCTTCTTCCTGCTCGGACTGGTGGAATTCCGAGATGATATCGTTGAGCAACGAGACTGTCGGTGAGTAAAGCTCATTTTCGATGCTCGGCCGGGGAGGAATCTCCTTCCAATTTTCGTGTTCGAAGTCGTAATTTGCGTAGGAGCGAAGCCAAGTTCGGATCTTCTTGTCAGATGGGAGTTGAGCCGACTTGTAGAGGCTTTCGAGGTGTCTCTGAAGTGGCAAAGCATCTTTGTCTTCTGCTACCCATGCGTGAGCCAGCTCCTCTGTGACGCGGTTCTGAAGATGCTCAACAAGCTGATACTTGTAACCCCCGTCATTGGACGAGACGCGATGGGGAGTGGGGGGTGTAGCGGACCTGGTGTTTCCATTCGTAGCTTCGATGTTGCCAGTGTTAGAGGCCGACTTGCCACTCGTTGCTAGGAGGTCTTTCATCCGCTGGTAGCCAGAGTTTGTCGACTCAACAGCGCTTTCACGCGCACTATTCTCGAGGGCAGTCTTGCGTAGGGTTGTGGGTTTGGAAACAACCGGCCCAACGAACTCTGGGTCGGTGACGTCGAATCGGAATACAGCAGGGGAGAGCGCTGGTTGTGCCATGGTGTAAGAATGGGAAGGGGTTGTAAGGAAAGGAACAATGGGACACACCTTATATATACACCCCGAGTTGTCAAAGCGTAGTGGTTGAATCTGGGTGGCACGGCCGTGACCAACGCGTGACGTTTGATCATGTGACCGTCGCGCGCCATCAACCCCTTTAAGTGGCTACTTTTTTTTGGAGGAGCGTTTGCCGTAGTCGTCAGTCATTCAGGTATTAATGTGAGTGGATGCTTGTCAAGGCTTGGATCCCGCCCATGTCCAACAAAAAATCGTTCATGGATATAAGTAGTAGGTATAGTTTTACGACTGGAATATGTACTAGTAATTACTCGACGAAAACAAAGCTTGTGCGATTCTGCAGATCATCGTTCCGCGTGACGAGCTTAAGGTTGCGACCGCCATCGACTCGCTGGAAAACAGCAACACCGCCGACTGTGTTGGCCCCAGCAATGAGGAACTCATCTCCCCCGTCATCAACACGCCCAAGCGCCATACTGCGGATTTGCTGCAGGCCCGTCGGGATCTGGGCAACGAGAACAAGTTTTCCTGCGACGTTTTCCTCCGCGTCTTCAGCCTTGGGTTGGTCGGCATTGTTGTTGTTGGCTCCGTTGTTTGTGTTGTTGGCTCCGTTGTTGCCGCCCTTATTTCCATTGGCATTGCCGCCGTTGATGATAATGGGTCTGGGGAAGCCAGGCCACCCAACTCTCCCGCCTGGGCGGAAACGGCCTGCACGACGGACCATGCGGCGGTTATTTCCTGGTGTACCCTTGACAAACTCAAAGATGGCAATGGTGTCGCCCTTGGGGTCCGTAACGTTGGGGCTGATGTTGCGGTTGCTCACGTAGATAAGCTGGTTGGGGAACTTCTTCGAGACGGGTGAGAGGATGATCTCCGCGGCAGCAAACTGCGAGCCAGGGAGCGCGTCGGCGGGGACAATGCTGACGTTGGCGATTAATGGGTTGGTCGTTCCGTTAGGGCCGGCAGGGATGACTTGGGCGGTCAGCGCAGAGGTCTTCTCGTGTATAGTGAAGAGGATGTTGTCCTGGACCGCAATGTGCCGGGGCCCGGCGCCTTTGTCGATGTTGATCTGGCCTTGCACCTTGAAGTTGCCTGGCTTTCCGTTCCGCCCAATTCGCCAAATTTTGTCTGCACCGAGATCGGGCACCAGAATCTCGTTGCCGACCTCCAGCGACATGTGGGGGTTGGACGGTCCGCCGGCGGGGACAGGGAATGAGATTGCAGGCGAGTCGCGCAAGAATTTGAGCGGATTTTGCGGGTCAGTCGCAACAAACGAGCAGTCTGTTAAACAGTCAATCAACCTGATCCCCGTCTCGAAACAACGTTGTTACTCGGCGATCCGAAGTTCATGGCAGTAACCTCGCCACTCGAAAGCTGTACAGCAAATGTCGGGCTACAGCATGTTAGCTTGTCCACAGAGAGAGAGAGAGAAAAGTACCACTCACCCATTGCCGCCCGTGGTGACATTATCGATGTTCTGGAGTCCACCATCCGCATCAACTTTAAAACTCTGCAGGAACCCGCCTGGATTGAGTTCATTTACAGCGCTATTGGGATCGTTATTGCAAACGCGGTGGAACTAGTTATAACGCACTAGAGGATGCTCAGGTCTTTTGAGTTGGATGCAATCCAAGACGGATTCGTGCCAGTTTCAGATTGTTTCGTGAGGGTAAGGGTCCCAGCATCAGAGTCGAAAACATACTGTTTCACGTCAGGCGTCGGAGCGGGGTCCCTAGTTTTGCCACGCACCGTAGCAATGAAGGACGCAAAGCCTCCTGCTAATATCTGAGGCACTCTTTAGATATACTCTGGATAGACACACGGCGGGCAGCGCACCTTGAATAAAACCATGACTAGACTGTGTGTCGAAAAAAAAGAGAAAAGAGAGAGTGGAAGAAGGAGAAAAAGAGCGCAGCTCAGGCAATCCTAGCGAAAGAGACAATGGCCAGAATACAAGGGCAGAAATGGCGGCGCTGGTCCTATATATGCAAACGCCGATCGTGATGGTCGTCTTTGCCAAGATCTAGAGCACTGCTCGTTGCCAATGTCAACTCCAAGCCGACTCCCATCCATTTCCTGGGACCGGATCAAGCTATTGTTGAGGAAGAAAAAGCTCAAGAGGTGTCAGAAGCTTGAACATTGGTAAGAACGAAATCAAATACATAGAAACAGTGAGTGCACTGAAGCAACACTGAAGGGATAAACACTACCTCATGTCGACAGCAAAACATTGGCAGTGGGGCCTTTGATTGCAATACCGTCTGACTACAGACGGAATCGTTCGCCTTCTATGGTAGTACAATGTTAGTAACACTACAGGCTCGTCAATAAGGTAGTATTCATGTTTGGGGCAACGCGGCGGTCAAAAGAAATCGAGCCTGCGTGCGAGGGTAGCGCGGGGAGGGGGTAGCGCGTCGTAATGAAATGAGCATAGGTAGGCGTGGATAATGCGTGAGTGGATGCGTGAAAAAAGATGATGAGGTCCGTAGATGAGATGATATGCGTAAGGTGAGACGGGACGCTACCCCGTCTGGTCGTTGATGGACCCTGAAATCTGCGATGGGTCGGCCAGGATGGCCCGCCAGAAATAAATCGACATGGTCACCGAGATCATGGCCGGATAGTCGCGTCAGTGGCTTCCTGTGCATGTCCGGCTGTGGGAGGTGATTCGGATTCATCGGAAAACTCCTGGGCAGTCGCGAAGGTTTGCCCACTAGCACGGGAAGAGACCGTTGTAAAGAGTTCTAGTTGCTGACTGGACTCCAGCACTTCACCAGCTTCAGAAACAACTGTTGATGGTTCAGGAAGAAGCGTTGACGGACCAGCAACTTCCTCCCAACGAGGTGGCTCGGACTCATCGTCCTCGAGTCCAAGACCAACACGACTAGCGTTTGCACTAGCTTGGGCATACGCCACAGCGACATCACCAAAAGGTACCCCAAATCTGTTCAATCCTCCATCCTTGTTCCCAGAGATCATCTTGAACTGCTCTGGCGTCAGCCCTGCCTTGGGCAGTGACGTGAACTCGGTCTTGACGAGGGTGTGCGGGAGCGGAGAAGAGATTGATGATAAGGAGATGAGTGATGGGGAAGTAAGGTTGTTCGCTGATAGCGACTGGCTCGACTTCTTCCGTCTGAGCGAGAATAGTGTCGATGTCGATGTTGATGGGCGATGGCGTGAGCTGGAAGGAAGCGGTGTGGAAGGAGAAGCAGGAGAATGAGTACTATGAGTCGTTGACCTTGTACGGGTATGAGTAAGTGACAAATTGGCTGAACTCTCGCCAGGAGTGGGAAGGGAAACGGCCGTTGGCGCTGGCCTAAACATGGAGAAGAAGCCAGAACGTCGCTGGGGCACGACAGCAGGCTCGGGTTCTGACACTTCGGGGGGAGTATCGGTGGCCGAAATGCCCGGTGGGGGATAATGGTCATTGTCAACAACCTCGAAGTATGCAGGTGCCTCTCCACGTGGGTCAGGGCCGAGCAAGGGAGTGTCATGAGGAGACTGAGGCATGGGCGAATATCGTGAGTTATCCACAGTTGACTGTCGTCTTTGACTGGCGGCAGTTTCTTCTTCTTCTTCTCCACCCTCCTGCTCATCATGACCAACGGTACTGGGTGGCGGTATCGTGACATCTTCTTCGTCTGGCCCTCTTGTAACGACAAGCTCGAGTTCGCCTGGCTCTTTCATATAAGCAGGCAACGAGACCGTGCTAATCTGGGACGGTGTTCGGCGTGGTCGGCGTGTCCGCCTTGGCGGAGCAGTTGGGTTGGCGTTTATAGTTCCAGCAAGTTGCTCGGCCGTCAATTCCCGAGTTCCTGTTGCGGTGGTAGTCGAGGCGGCATTGGCAGAGTTGGCTAGGCCAGGAATCCGACTTCGCAGCCGCCGCGAGCACACAACTGTGCTCAGAACGAGCAAGACGCCAATGACGACCGCGACGGGTACCTGATAACGAACTTGTGAGACTAGCTCGCTTCGCATTTTTGGCCTGGTTAACTCACCCATGTCGAAGGAGCCAAGTTTGGGCTGTTATTGTTGCCAGTACCGAGCGCGCGAGGTAAAATGTACATGACGGAGGTGAACAGAAAAATAAAACCAAAAAGAAAAAGGCGAAGGGTCTGGGCAAGGAGGAAGAGACCAAAAGCCTCCTGAGGCTGTGCCAACTGTCAGAATGATCACCAAATTAGGTCGCTTACTCGCCGAAGAACGACAAATCCTCTTCAAATACAGATAGTAACCCGATGCGCAGTCTGAGTGTTCCGCATAAGACTTAGTTCTCTTCCAGGAGAATGTAAAAGATGTATCCAACAAAGCCAAGTATAAAGTGAAGAACAGCTCAAGGTACCACCTTGAAGCCACTCCGTTAGGTCCCCCCATATGATCATCCAGTCCTGCGAGAGGAAAATATGTTTCATAGAAACCGAAGCGCGGCATCACCGGCTGACCCTATTTCGCAATATCTGCTGCGAAGGTGCTAGACATTTCCCCAAGTTTGAAGGTAATGGCCAATGATTCCCTGTGGTGGTAGGTCATCCGCTGCGAAGGCACGGAATCGATTCTTCCCCCATCAGCTAGCAAAATAGGCTCACACTTGACGATGGCGCTTGCTTTTGGGAATCCTCGACTTGAACTCACTCATCAGTTGCACTAAAATTAAGAAGCGGTTTGTGTACCTCAAAAGAGTACTCAATCTGCAAGGATTCGTCCGGGTCTTCGTTTTCGTCTGACCGAGACCGCTTCGCCGCCTGCCGCGACATTACCTTCAACTTTTTCTCCAACACAGAAATCTACTCCCTAGTCAGGCCCGCACCCATACCAAGAGAATGTGAGGGCTAACGCACGCGATTATTTCGTCTCTCGATCTTAGCACGAAGTTGCTCTGCTTCGTTCTCCTTCTCGGCTACCACTTCATCCTGTTCTGCAATAACGCAAGACAACCGGCTATTTTCATCCTTCTCGGAGGCAACCGCGGCTTTCCGCCGTTCCGCTGACGCAGCCGCTTTCTTGTATTTCTGGTCTATCTCAGTAAGCGACCTCTTGAGTTGTTTGATTTCATGTCTCTGTCTTTCAACAGCAAGTAGTTGCTCTCGCAAGTCTTGCACCTCTTCAAGCAGAGTCGTATTGGCGTCTTTCAATTCCGTAAACAAGGGGGATATGCGTTCTTCCAGGTTCTTTGCCGCTTCCAACAGTTCTTGCTACAGCACAAGGTAAGCTGAAGAAAGACCAGCCACTCTGAACTCACCGCCACAGCGTCGCTAGCCCCTAGCCCTTTTGCCGCTTGCCTAATCTTCGCACCAGCCTTCTGCAAACTAGCAGGCGCGGTGTCACCATTGATCTTGCCCAAGTTCTCCGTTACCGACGTAGCCCGTTCCAGTGGACTTGCCGGGTCGACAAGAGTGAGATATATCTGAATCGGTTCTTTCCCGCGCTTTGGATTCCGGCAAATCACGCAGTTTGGGTTCGCGTGTGTCTTCGCGGTGCAGTCGATACAAAGACCGTGGCCTGCTCATGGTTGGTTGGCGATAAGTCAGAACAAATGCACTTGCCACAAGTGGTCAGGACGCGAAACATGTCGATATTAAACCGTTCCATGCACACATCACACTTGACTTTGGAGCGAGGCATCCGCGTTGTGAAAGGAGGGAGAAAGAACGAGGAAGGGTCACGCGATAGTCACATGACCAACAACCACAAGACACACGGAGTTCAACCGCGTTGTTCTGTCAAGCTGAGCAAACAGGTTCAAATCTATCAAACAAAAGAAAGCAAGGACAACGTGGCCACTAAGGACATACAAATTAGCCTACGTCCATAAGGTCCCAGCTTGCTCGCTCCTTGCCTTTGCCTTTGTCCACAACGTCACCAGAATCAACATCCATCGAATGCCTACCCAAAAGCATCGCGTTGACCGCCTCCTCCATTCCTTCGTATATACTCCTTTGAGGGAAACCCCAAAGTAGTCCTGGCCGCTCTGCCTGCATTTCATTCATCGTATCCTCCACCATATCAACGAACTGCCTGCGCATCTCAACGAAGTGCTTGAGTTGCTCAGATACAATCAAACGATTGTCGTCGTCTGGCCCAAGTCCCGATGCGGCTGGACATGGCGGTGGGAGTGGAGGAACGGAGTCTCCCGCGCCAGGTACTGGTGTTCCACTTGCGCTGGCATCGCCAAACTTCTTCTTCTTCTTGGGTACCTTGGGCTCGCTCTTCTTCTGCAGCTTGGTATACGTATTTGAGATATTGCGGTCTATTAGGTCCCGGTTCTCAAGGTATTCCTGGTAACCCAGCCGGCTCCTGGCAATTTCGACAAGCTTCGCTTTACGAAATTTGTTCCGCGCAACAACTTGTCTGAGCTCCCGTTGTGCGAACCGTAAAGCAGAAGCTATTGGATCGTCGACCTTCTCTGAATAGTCAGGCTATTGGATCTGGTTAGAACGAAACACAACAACATCCACAAACATGCATACCACTGTCTCCAAAAGCCCGTGATACCTCATCGTATCTCGTATTCGATTCTCAAGTTCCGTGACATTCAGCCTTTCTTTCCGAGCAGCAGCAGCTCCGCTCCCTCCAGGTCTGCCCTCCATAGCGTCTTCAGCAGCTTTGACACCCTTCCAAGCACTACCGTCACCCACAGGCAGCAATGCACTTAGAACACGCTCCGTCAATAAGCCATGACCATGTCCTTCTGTCACCAGATCAGCCTCATTCAGCGTTGATGGATCCCATTTCGGGGCCGGTGGTGCAAATATGTCAGCAGGCGCCTCGCCGAGCTGCCCAGCACCAGCTGGTAAGGATAGCCCATTCGCCAGAGCGTCTTGCTCGGCCCAGACATCGAGGTAATGGCGTCCCAATCGCGGCATGATAAATGGCTCAACTTCGTCGTTGGTATGCTCAAGATAGCCAATGTCCTCCTCTGTTATGGGGCGCAGAAATGGCTCAACCGAAGTATAGAATGTCGACACCGGCGTTTGCGTGGGTTGCTTGGCCATGCTAAAATCTTCCATGACGTCTGTCGGCTTACTCGGCCCGGGCTTGGGCCGCTCGTTGGGAATAGGGCGGGTTGGGAGGAGAGAAATAGGAGGAGGGATAGAAAAGTCGCCAACGCCATTGATCTGTGGAGTTGGCGTCGGTTTACGAGATGAACGGGTTGCAACTGGCATGCTGACCTTAGGAAGAGTAACAGACGATGGGGTCGACTTTTGAGCTTTCGGAGGATGGGTATGCGGTGCTGGGGGCGTGGATTTACGAGGTCTTTGCGCATCTAAAAGCCTATAAGCAGAGAAAGGCAACAAACAATGACCCATGCCTGGTTCCTGATCGCTTTCGTCCTCTCTTTTGCGCTTTTTCTTGTGCTTTTTCTTTAGTTCGTCACTGGAGAATATCAATGAACGCGGGTCGGTAACAAAGGAGAACACTAACGACAATGGTTGGGACGATAGACGAGGCTTAATGAGCTCTGGGTCCGGCGTGTCTTAAATAGAGGTTAAATAGATTCACATGATCGCGAAAACATGGAAAACTCACAGTCGCGCTCACGTTTGACCTTTTCCAACTGCTTGGCCTTTCCCTTCTCGCGTTCCTTTATCCTACGCATCGAGTCTTCAATTGTCTTCAAATCCTCGCCTGCCTTCTTGGCACGCTCCAACGTTCGCGTCTTCAACTGCCTCAGCTCCTCCTGCAATGACTCCAGCTCCTCAACACTGGGAACTACATCGGGTGGGGACTTGAATATTGCAGAGCGAATGGGAGATGTTGGACGACTGAATGGCAACAGCTTCGGTGTCGACGACGACATCTTCGGAAAAGTAGGTGAACCAGCGGATTAACCGCAGTGGCAAATGTAGAGCACGACCCAGTGCTTGCACGCAAGCTAACTGCAGCTATCCAGCCTTGAACAGAAAGCTGTGTGGTCGGAGAAGATGTGGAGTTGACTTTCGGGTTTGGCGTTGTTAGGGACCGGGTGTTCGCAGTCGGAAATGGGTGTGACTCCGCCCAGAGACGAGGTTGGGGGGAGCAAGATGATTGGAGACCGTGTAGAGCGTGGAGGACGGCAGCGAGACCACCAACGGCGTCTCAGGCGTGAGCCAATCAAGTGGAAAGGTCTCAAGGCTGATCAAATTGTTACGTAAAGTGTGATGATGCAGGGCCTCAATTTCGATTTCTGCTCGCACCGACAAAACTTTCTGCGTGGCTCCAGAAAGTACCACTCGCGACTGAAGACAGGTTTAATAGGTCGATGAAAAGCTATTATGAGCTACAATGCCGAGAACATCAAGCTCAACCCTATCCAGCCCAGTCCAGTGAAGCCAGCGTTCAGTCGCCAAAACGGCAATGGCTCAAAACATGTTGCCTACGAGCCCTCGGTCAATGAAGACGATGAAGACGAAGAAGAGGATGATTTGGTTATGGAAGATGTCAGTCGTGCTCTCCTCACGCCAGCAACTCCGCGCTTCGCTCAAAACAGGGAGGCACCGGCCTCACTATGGCTTCAAATACGGGGAATTGTAATCGAAGTGCGTATGTCCTCCATCTAATAATCCACCCACTCAAACCAGTCAAGAGTGCTCCAACACTTCTGTTCACCACAGCTGGCCTGCTATTCACCGGAGAGCTGCTAGACCATGTTTCTCGTTGGCGACCAATGCGTCAAGTCGACCAACTCATCATGATTGTGCCAGTCGTGCTCAATCTCAAAGGAAATCTCGAGATGAATCTTTCGGCACGACTTGGAACAGCAGCGAATGTTGGGGAACTAGACGACAAGAAAGCGAGGCAGGCCATCATCATTGGTAACCTCACACTCTTACAAGTCCAAGCCACTGTGGTGTCGTTTGTCGCTGCTGGGGTTTCTCTTCTCCTTGGACGCATACTACCACGGGCAATGGTGGAATCTGTTGTCACCAGAGCCGTCCGACCCTTGCCTCCAGCACATCCTCCAACTGCTGATGAGCCACGCAAATCTGGGTTTCCAACGTAAGCTCCAAATAATGTCACAGTCCTTTCTGACTTCCTAAAGCTTTTTGTTCGTTGCATCGTCTGCAATGACTGCGGCTTGTGCATCTAGTCTTCTCCTGGGCTCATTCATGTGTGCCCTTGTCGTTGCCTGCCGACGGTTTGGACTAGATCCTGGTTAGTATAGTTTACCATTCTTTTCACCCCCTTTTGACTTGAAGCCTAGATAATATCGCACCTCCGATTGCCTCCTGCTTGGGAGACCTGGTAACCCTGGTCCTCCTGTCACTTTTTGCATCAGCTCTTTTTCCAACCCTCCACACGCCTATTCCCTCCGTTATCCTTATTCTTATAATACTGTCCGCTATCTCTTGCGCGCTATATACACGTCGCAATCGTCTCGTCGCTCCTCTGCTTACTCAAGGCTGGGCCCCACTCTTTGGCGCCATGGTCATCTCATCTGGCACAGGAATCGTGCTCGACCTCTTTGTCAGCCGCTACTCCGGCTTTGCTCTCCTTGCGGTCGTAATAAGTGGGCTTCCCGGTGGTGTCGGCGCCATCTTTGCCTCTAGACTGTCGACGGCTCTTCACGCAGCAAAGCGTGAAGCAGACGGCGAACATCCCGTGACTCCCCAACCCAAACCCCCCTCCGACCGCGTCGTCATCCTTACCCTTCTCGCCGTCACTCTCCCCGTCGAAATAATATTCCTCGGAGTTCTCAAAGCTCTTGGCTGGCTACAACTCCCTATCCTCTTCGCTATCTTCTCAATCATATTCTTCTGCGTAGCGGCCACATCCTCACTCTTGATTGCCAAAGCCCTCGTTCGCTCCCTGTGGGCCAGAGGGTACGACCCCGATATGTATGCCCTGCCGATCCATTCGGCGTTGATGGACCTTATTGGTCAACTTCTGCTTGTGGCATGTTTCGAGATTGTGTCAGCATTGGGAGGCGATCTGAAGGTGCGACCGCCAGAGCCTGTTGAGGTATCCGAAGGGTTGATACGCGCATTGCATGGACTGAGGACGGTATAATGTATCTATAGAAGTATCTTAGAGTGGAAGGGTCATGATAATATGCTGGAGGAATGTTATTTGATGAGCTAACCCAGCTATAGCTCAGCAAACTGATGAACAAGGACTTCATTAAGAGGCCTCTTCAGAACACACGCAGAACCAAGTATATTTTTGATGTAGCCTGTTAGGCACACTACGACGATGTACTGAGTGAATTGAACGTGTCAAACCGCAACACGACGTACGCGTTTATTCAGAGGCTGAGAACTTGAACGGATGCTTTTACCAATATGCCAGTTGTAATTATTCCCATTGACAGTCCAACCTAGTTTCACTTGAGGGAGGGTGCAATGAATTCCAAATCCATAACTTACCACTGTTATTCCCATCGACAGTCCATCCCACGTTCTCACAATCGACAAGAGCCTGAGGTAGATCGTCACCCAAAAGCTAATTGGTGAATATCGGATAACTTACGCCGCCAGACCCCTTGCAAGACCCAGGAGATTTAGATTCCAGTGTGATGGAAGAGAAAAGGGTCTCACAATGTCGATGGCTTTGGCAGCCGCTATTTCTGGGTTGACTTCGCGGACGACTCGCATCTAGTATGGTGGGTAAGGATGACGCAGACGCAACGTGCATTCGCGCGTAATCACCTTGCTCGAGTCTATAACGGGTGCTGCCAGACTACTAGTAGTAATTGCCAGTGCAGCGAGCAGCATCCCAATGGTCTTCATTATTTCGGTGAGATCGCCAAAAGGATAGTGCTCGAAGGAGAAGGTTCAGGTTTATATATCAAGGGCAGGTCGAGCATGTATTGTCAGCAGCAGCAGACGCAGATGTCTACTTACTACACAGTAGTTTTGTGCCAGGTCAACGTTGGATGTGATCCAATTGTCGTCAAGTTGATGTTATTTGAATGGCTTGGATGGGCTTTCAGAAGGATAACGGTCAATGGCTGGGTATGAAGTTGAATAAACGAGTCCGAGCTCGAGATTCAACAATTGGTTCAGGCACACTAGAGAATTGACAGATACTAGAAAGACCGACACATATATACTGTCTGACAGACAAAGATTGAAGCAAGATTGGAATCTGCAGTCAGACGATAATCAAGAGCACATGAGTGGAAGAGGCAAGGAAGAGCGATCAAAGTGATGGGTCGAACGATCGGATCATGATCCAAGCGATCAACTTCCGAGGTGTCACGTGCGTTTAAAACTCCAACTCTACTTTGACGAATGAACTTTAACTATAGCGGAAGAAGGCCAGCGACGGATCTCAAGACCGTGCTCAAGACTGAAATTAAGTGTGGACAGTCCATTAACCTCCTTTATCTGGTTTCCTCACCCTGTTCCCCAGAGAGTGGCATTTCCGTGCGGTGTTTCTTCATCCTCCCTAACGGTCACTGAGTCGAACACTAGACATCTACTTCCATCAAACCAACGCCGAGGAGCGACAGTATGCACTGGAGCTCCGGGACGCAATTCTTTGCTTGCGTCGCGATGGCGCGTTTGTTGCTGTCCCACTCTTCCGTGTGAACGAAGTTCCCATGGGTCCACATCCAGTTGGTGAGTCTTCGCGTTGCTATCGCGCAATCGAATCAGTAACGAGGAATTTAGGGTCGTATGAAGTCTGGGTACCCTCAGAAACCTTTGCCTCTGTGTACTCGTATCTTTGTATGAACCGAGGTCCTCTCAGGTATTTGATGCGCTCCGCTCCGTTTGCAGCTACGTAACCATCGTCAACAGCATATTGGTCCACCCCATCACTCGAGAAGAGGTAGGTCTCTTTGTCCCATCTCGAAAGCATTGACATTTTTTGACAAAATATTGTAGCGAGCGTATGAAAGTTCTCTTCTGTCTGATGCCTGCTGATGTTGTCAGCGATCACGACTCCCGCAGCTCTTGGATCGGGCCCCCCTTCCCGCTCGATCTGACCAAACTTCCTATACTGACCGTTACCGTCCCTCTTCAATACCCGAGTCTAAGTACAACAAGAGTTGATCCAGTTCTGTCACCAACATTGAACATTTCTCTAGAGGTCGGGTATTCTTCCAACAATCCGTACATGAGCCTGGAAGATCGTGCTGCCCTTGGAGCCAACGTTGAGAAGATGCTTTTGAAGGAAAAGGACGCTGCGAGGGCTCCAATGGCTTCGTAAGCGGGCATTTTATTAGCATCAAGACATTAGTTGCCCGATACCAGGTGTGTGGAACATTCAAATAAATACTGCATAAATATAACCTGAACATAGTATAGATTTCCCTTCAACTCAGTTCCCACAAAGTTGTGTCAGTTGAAACTCTGTCAAACGATTTGATTAACGGCACATCCCATAACACAGCCATGCCACTCACGCATGAATGCACTGTCTTTCGAAAAGTGAGAGACTGACAACACAATCTCATCGTAGCCATTTCGTAAGTCAGCGACAACTGCAGCTGCCCCTGGGACTGTCTGGATGCGCGTAATCTCTTCGAACAACATGCCCGCTGTGGTCGACCAGATTGATCCAATAATAGGATCAATATGTGCCATGCTCTTCCAGTCGGCAGAGTGAATCGTCCACACGATCGATTTGCAGCTAGCGAGTGCCAACTCTCGGCATTGAGCATTAGCCATGAAGATGCGGTTAAGCTGGAGGGTGGCCACATGAGCGACGCTATGCGCCAAGATCACGCGCGGTTTGAACGCCGGTGGGTAACCAGCCAATGTGTTGGGCGAGTTGACGCGAAACGTTCTAATCCGTTCGTTCAGCTCGGAAAACCGTTGGAAGTATGCTGCAGAATCTCTCGACGACATGTCTGGTTCAAAAGTGTCAGTCGTCACGTTCTACATATCGTATTCAAGTCCTGCTTACTTGGCTGCCATTCTCGACTGATGCAGTCGGCCTTCTGCAGCAAAATGGCTGCCTTGGCGAGTACGCTGAGGCGCGACGGCTCTTTCTCGTTGGGAACATTTTCCATAAAAGCTCGAACAGTGTTCATTGGCGGAAAAATCGGGGGATTCTAATTGGTCGTCAACTGAGGAACATGAAGAAAGAATAATCCGCGCACTCGCTCGTATGTATCCATTTCCAACGGCCACGGTGTGTCGGCATTCAAAATCGACTCCGATCCAAAATGCGATGGGAAGTTGAGCATCGACGACCAGATGCCATCCAGCGCCACAACAGTCCAATACCCGATTATATACTCGCCTCGTTCAATAGAGTCACGGAAGGTAAATTGTGACCCCGTGCTTCCGATATGCGCCAACTTCCCAACGACAGCAAAGGAAACAGCTATGCTGAGATGATACTGGGCTTCGACCAGGCGGCCTTTGTGGAGGAAGTATTGACACAGGAGGATCTCGGTCTGGATACCGTAAAGGATTTTCAAACGATGCGACGATGCCGAGATGGTGGTCGAAGCTTGCACTGCTCGGGCTAAAAACTTGTTTTCCGGTTTCCTAAGCGACTCGGAGGGAGAAATGACGGCTGCCCAGAGACATATGCTATCCGTCAAGGCGGAAGGAGGTCGTTCGCGACTCCCGGCTGTTCCAAAGCACAAACTCCGGAATTTTGGAAGGTGAAGAAAGAACCCGATTTCCTCAGCCCGTGCGACAATGGTCTCCAACCTATGATTCCGGATGAGTGATCGCATCAACGTGATTAGAGAATCAGTTTCACGCGATCTGCAGAACTTGAGTTTGGGTTGAGTTTGTTTGAACACCGTTCCGTCCTGAATGGCTCAAAAACTTGGCAACGTAAATCAAGGTGCCCTACCTGAATGGTCCCTCCGTAGTGTTTGAAGCGGAAGACTCGAGTGTATCTGGAGGTCCATGATGCGATGTTCAACAAGCGCAATGTCGTTTTCGATACGTTGCATTCTCGAGGGTGTTTTGCTGTTCAATGTGCTGCCAAACTCGCAGTCCTCGTAGCGTTGCGCGCGATAGCAGGGTCCGCATATTGGACGAACACCATCGCATTTCTCATTTGACCAAAACTCAGACCAAAGCCCACATAATGATAGATAACCTACTATTTTTCGCCTCCTGAGAAAAGCCGATGTGAATAGCGTGTTCAAGTCAGTAGTGAGAGCACACACCTGCAGTCAAGACATGCTTGTCCCTTGGCTAATGAAGATGGAGCTAGTGTCATCGAGGAAGATTAAAAACAGGGAAGTGGACGCCGAGGGCATTTTATGTGTGCTTTGGCTGCACTGGACAATTGTTGGAAGGGATGTATTACAGTCACCGGCATATGCTGGGGAGGATGTGATATGTGCCCTGCCTTGAAAATAAAAGTATTGTGTGTTCATCGTAGCGTTTCAATAGCAGGCAGTACAGGTTAGAGTCCAGGCGTGTTGGTCTCTCGCACGCTCGCCAGACAACAGAGAGAAATGATAGGGGTCCCGTCAGCACAAGCAACGATTCCAGCTCGCTGTCGTCCGAGTCGTAGTCGGATGACATACTCTGACGAGCTGAGGCTGAAGCGAAACCAGGCGCGGAGTTGTCGGAGAGTAGGCCTGTCAAGCTGGTATGGCGTTGCGCTATCGACAAATTCACGGTAAGACGGCATCTATTTTCGGAACAGAACGAGAGAGAACGCACATTGACAGATTTAGGGGGCGAATCCAAGAGTTGAAAGTTTTGCGTGCATTGCCCGCCGATTAGGGCTTGGGTACGAGAAAGGAAATGGATCCGACTCAGAATAAGTTGGTTTCATGTCACAATAAGGACTTTGAACTACCAGGATGGCTGCCTAGTGGCCTCACGAATATGACTGCGAGGCGGTATCTCATCTTGTCGTGACAATCGACCACAGCCCCAGTTCATCAGCAAGAAAGCTTCGTCGCCATAGTGCGTGGGTGAGTAGCCTCTGGTACCCAGAAACACCAGAGCAAGTATCATTTGTCCGCATCCACATCTTGAATGGACGTCAACCATTTTGAGCTCAGGCTATGATGGCGATTCGGACTCCGACATCAAGCAGGCCAATTTTGATACGCCAAATGAGTTCTAAACGTCGCGACGGCAAGAATCATGGACCCACTTTCTGAATGACAAGTCGCCTGCAGTCTCTCACTGTAACTAAAGTTAGCCTGTTTGACCGGCCTGTCATTGTTGAGACCTCACCTCGCGTTTACAAAGCATCTTCGTTAGACAATGAGATGGGGGATCGATTCCCGCTGCGTGTGGAGAAACTTCAGAGTTCTGAGGGAAAGATGGCGGAATGCATTCAAACGATAATTAAAGGCCAATTGAGCTTTTTGCCCGGATACCAATGTTCCGCGGTAGTTGTTTCAGTCCCGTGTGTTGAAGGCAGTAAGGCGTTCAAGATTTTCAGTCTCTATTGAAGGTGAAGAAGCCGATGGTCAAGGAGTCGGAGAAGATAAACCCAGGTCAGCTGATGTCAGCAAATGTGACTGAGAGGACCCCTGATAATTGGGACCAATGTCGGATCCCAAGTTCGGACAAATTTAGGCTGAACTCGGTGTCAGGTAGGTGCCAAAATCGGACACAGCAGAGCCGAAATGTAGACAGGTTCTGGGCAATTTCGGACATTGCAATTCAGGATTGGGTGGAAGAGGGCGTCAAGTTCGGACACGGTCATAGCCCTAAATGCAATTTAGGCTTAATTGTCGGCTGCAGACAGCTCCTGGATGATTTTAGTCATTTTAGAAGCGCCGCAAATTGAGCAAAATCTTGTACTTCTTATGGCGAATTTTTTTATGATTTTTTGACACGTCGGAGGCAGTAGGAGGCAGTTTCGGACATTCTTGGAGATCGGAGGGGTACCAGAGCCGTTTTCGGACAGATTTTTGGCAGGGGGTCCGAAAAAAAGTTCGGACAAAGGTCAAATTTGGCTGATTTTGGGATTCGACATTGGTCCCAATTATCAAGGACACTGCCAACGCTAAAAGAAAGCAACCTTTTAGCCATATTTTTCTTTCCAGTCATTCTGAGCCAACCTCAAACATTTTGCAGTGCAGAGTGTATTGGAGACACGTGAGGAGAGTTTATAAAATTATTGGAGGTCTTTCTCCTTAGCGCTTTCGCCAGGTCGTACAATGCCCTCAATTTTTCTCGACGCCCCGATAGCCAAAACCTCGGCCTCCTCATCATCCATCTCATGGAACACTATCGCAAGCAGGTAAGTGGGGAACAACCAGTCGAAAAAACGACGCACATATCCAGATGAGCACGGCAGCAACAACACAAACCGCGCCAAGACCGACGAAGGGCCAGATGAGGTTGGGGTCAACAAACGAGGGCGAGATGATAAGCGTGAGCGCCGACGACAAAGCACTCATGAAGAGCACGATGGCGAAAATGACGCCTTTCATGCGCTGAGGCGCACGCGTATAAGCAATTTCGTAGCTCGTCACGTTTACGAAAAGCTGCGCAAAATATTAGATTCTCAATAATAATGAGGAGCAGAAAGTACCTCGCCGATTGCAGGCAGGGAGTAGAGGGGAATCTGGACCCAGACTGAAAACATATCAGTTTGCTGACTGATCCTTGAGCAGAAGACAGCGACCTGAGATGGGCGACACCCCGGTTCCGATGGAGCAGTCCGAAGCATAATAACCACAAGGAGAGGTTTCGTAGATGCGCCATTGAATGATCGCGCCAGTGGCCATGGCCAGTGCGGCGACGAGGAAGCCCGCAACGATACGTCGGATAGGGGAGAAATTAATGCCTATTTTTCGGAGCCAGGGATAGACGACAAAGTTGAGCAAGGGAGTCGCGAAAATGATGGTCAGGGCGTTGAAATTTCCCAAAAGGTCGTTCGGCGCCCCGTCAGTGCGAAGTGAAGCACCCTGGTTGTTTTGGATCGTTCCGAGACCGTCATCGGCACTGAAATTGTTAGTGCCAGCTCTAAAGATTTGAAAGTTGCGACATACAGACTGAAAATAGGCAGGAAAAGGAACAATTTGCAGGCAACAATTGTCCGTTTAAGTTCGTCGACGAATTCTAGGATTTCTCCCTAAGCACCCACAAGAACAGTGAATTGAGATGGAGCTGACCGTCGTCCCACGTTATCCAACCAGCCTTCTTGGTCTTCAGTCCACCAGCCGCCTCGATATTTGAAGGTTTAGCAACGTTCCAGTTATCTCCACCCTTCATCATGCCTTTAAAACCCGCACGCTCATGGAGAGTCCTTGAAAAAATTCAATTGCTTGGTATCAAGACGTAGTCCGATTGCTTACTTGAAAACTTTGAATGAATCGAGCACCACGGAGCCCTGCGGCGGGAGTCGAACAAGCTTGGAATAAACAACGACAAGAGTTATCGGCATGAGGATGTAGAGGATTCCTGGAAGGAGGTAGGCAAGCCAGAAGCCGATTCGTTTCTCGGAGTAGCTACAGAAAGATCAGTTTACAGCAGGAATGGTGATACATAGCAAGCATACCTGGTTGCAACCGAAAAGAAAGCGCCGACATTGACGGACCAGTAGTAAACCTTACAGGAATTTGAGTAATTGGCATGGAGATGTATTAGGAGGACACACCATCAGCATGCTTTGAATGGTCTTCATACCGACAAGATATTAGTTTCGGTTATGTGGGCGGTATGGGACGTACTGCTCCGGGGTCGATAATGACTTTCTCGCCTGTTGGGAGAGTCTTGACAGATTGAACGTGGACAACGGATTGATCAGCGATGATGGGTGCGATGCAGGCCTGGAGAATGAAGCATGAATATACTGGCTGGTCCGCGAATCGTCATGCAAACCTTGATAAACCCGGTTCCGAGAGCCAACAGAAGAACAGAGAGAATGAAGGGTCCCAGGGCATGTCCTCCTTGTATTACGGAAGGAATAGCCGCTGAAGGAAAGCTAAGTTGTAGTGACCAAGATCCAGATGTTGGTGAAACATACAGATGACCATGACGATGTGCGCCACCGCTCCAATAGCTGTACCGATAGCAATAGTCTTAAATCGGCCCCATTTGGTGTCGGCCATTATACCGCCTAGAATGGGGAGCGTATATGCTAGGAAAGAAAATGTCTTGGTGATTCCAGTTGCCGCAACAAGACCCATTCCCAAAGCTCCTGCGACGACCGTGAAAAAAGATCGACTAAGCAGGAAAGTCCAAACCTGCTGTCGCTTGTGTGCCTCGGGGAGGTGCTCCAGCTCCGTTACCATTCAAAGGTAAGGGTCGCTGGATAAAGTTCGCGAAAACGCCAGTGCATCCATAGTAGGATGCCCTCTGAGGAAGTTCAGTAAGACGAACGTATAGAGAGGGATGTTCCAAACGGACCTCCGCAAACTCGACCAGGCAGATGAGGTATGCCGCCCAGGGGATGGGGCCAGAAACAAGCCGTAGAGTCGCTGACAAGTCGTGCAATAAGAGTCGTGTGCACCGAAAGCATATATGGACTTACCTCGTTCCTCCTCCGTGGGTAGCCGTCCTTCTCCATGCTCAAGCTCTGCAACCACGTCCGAGCCATCGAGCGAAGACTTCTTATCCTCGTTCGGAGCCAGGACGCCCTTGACGTCGGGTCCACCAGTCTCGTAGTCGGTGACTACTGTTTGTGAGGCTGCTCAAACATGAGCTACAAACAAAGTTCCGGAGGGAAAACTTGCCCATGGGAGGAGTGGGTGGGAGGGCGAGATCGTACCTCAAAGAAGCTGTCGCTTAAAGAAGTTCAGGAAGAGCTTATCGCCATCGTGGTTCCGAATTTGCTGTGGCATCCCTGGGAGTTTGCGAGGCTGGAGCTGAAAAGAACAGAATACAAACCAGCAAGCGGGCCGGGAAGCTGATCCATCTGATCAGCGAGACGTGGAGATAATCATACGAAGCTGCCCATGAGACAGCTAGTTAGGCCCAACGGGCAAATCGGGTAGCAGCTGGGTAGATTTTAAGATCAATATACGGCACTTTTGGTTTGCTTTCGTTGCAGATGGTAGGCAAAACGAAGAGAGTCACGCGGTTATGACTCAGCGTCACACTACGAGTTCTTCGACTCTTCGACTGCGCAAATTTTTTCGTGGTCTTGGCAAATATTGTCTCTCACAGTTGGCCATACTCGGCTGTCTCGAGGCTGTCTCCACACGGTGGTTCTTTGCCGTCAAGGAACAGGTGCCTTCAACGACATGGACATGAAACCCCTCAAGTCAACGTCGACCACGTTAACGGGCGGCTATAGCGCCATTATGGCGACCTGCAGCGACATGTTGCCTACTTACCTTCATTAACATCTGGACTCGAAGTACCTTCCCCACACAGCAATCACCGCTTGGAGCCTCTGAATCCATTGACGACATGACAGTGAAATGCCATATGATGCAAATGAATCTCAGTATCATCCACACCGAGACCATCGCGGCATGCCCCGAGTCTAGCAACGTCTAGTCTGAGCCTCCGCGCTCACCACACAGTGGTATCGAATGAAATTCGGAGAGCCCTGATGCTTCGGTCTTCGAATTCAAAACGCTAAACCCGTTCCAGGAGCCATCGGCGCTGCTCCTCCACCCGCTTGGATCGGGAGAGGCCACATTTCACCACGTGGGGACAATCTTCGAATATCACCGATCCGCAAATCCACGTTTCTTTACATAAAGGACTATATCTTGACCAGCCCGTGTAGCCGCGTCCATTAGCATCCGTTACTGTCAATGCACCAAATGCACATGTGCACGCAACTTATCATTTTGTTCCATTTCGTTCCCTGGGCATTCTCCAAACCAATTCAAAGCAACGTAGCGGGCCCTTCCTATTCAGTGCAGCGTGCAGCTACTTCTAGGTGAGAGGATGAGATTTAAGGTGGGCTGGGGGTCGGGACCGGGACCGGGTTCTCCAACTCGAAACTGCTGATAGTTTCCCGTGGGTTACCTCCAAGTGACCTAGAAAGCGGGAAGTGGGACCACCCACGAGCTGCAGAGGGAAAAGGTGGGTGGGAAAAGAGCAGCTGTGGGAAGCGAAGCGCGTCGTTGCCCAGTCACGCATTAGGATTGAATCAGACAGTCAACAAGGTCCAACCATCCACAACCTCTTCCTCCAATACTTGGTCCGGTCGGTATAAACAATGGGAAGAACACAATAACAAGCTATGTACATAGACATAGTGTCAGGACACAAAATAAGCGACCAAGTTGGTATTATTTGTCAATGTAAGATTCTTGGATTTGGCGTTCGCAAGTCGGACCGTGCCGTGTAAAAATCCAATCCAATCCAATCCAGCTCCCGCTGAAACTCGGTTGAATCAGAAGGTCGGAATAATCATTGATCGCGGGCGTGGATGGTTTACCGCGGCCTAGCTGTACTCTCCCTCATCCATATCGTCCAAGAACCAATTCGCAGCAACATTATCTCGGAGTTCGCCCATGGGAAGCGCCATCAACACCTTCAGCTTCAACAGCTTTGCCATGGACTTAGCCGTCTTGTGGTAGTCACTTGGAACCCACGTCTCCCCCTGGAACCCGATTAGGCTTTGTATGTCCCGAACGTTCTGGTCTACCAAACGTAGCTCCTGACTCAACGCCTTCGTCACATGCACATCGTCCGCACTGAACTCGACGGGACATATACCTGGCGCCAACTTTCCCCAGTGCTCAGCCGTCTCAACCAATAGAGCCTTAAGATTGTGAGTCTCGCCCTCCCAAGGTGCAGTAGCTTCAGAGAAGAGGCGACGGATCATGATGGAGGCCGGGTCCCAAAGGGAGGCATGGTGGAGATTGTTCAGCTCTTTCGTCCCTTAGAAGTAGTGGTGATGGACGAGGCGAGCATGATGGAGTATCAATACTTCCAACAGCTCGGATTCTTTCAGCATATGCACATCTGGCGGAAATACCGGCGGGATGTGCGGGAGGTCCCGCGACTCTGGGTCACTGTAGTTCTGAAATTGTCTTGGTATACCGGCGATGAGAAAGCGGGGTAGGATGGACGCGTGTTGCCAGTCAAGCAGGCCTATAATATTCAGCGGGCCAGAGTTTGACACCATAATATTGCTTGGTCGGAGGTCATGATGACGGAGAGAGAAAGCCTGAAGGGAACGGTTGTCGGGAATAAGTGACGGGGCCATCGCAAGATAGAGCTGGAGATTCTTGATATGGTCCAAAGGTGACTGCTTCGCGAAATTGTACGCCTCCCTTCGCGCGCGCCGGAACGGAAGTAGCGGCCGCCCGAAACGTTCCAAGTATGCAAGTTCCTTGTGTGCGCCTGCGGCAAGTGCTGCCTCTGCGTTTTTATCTATGGGCAATGTCAATCGATTCCAAAAGGTTTAAGGAGACAGTACCCACATGGGCTACGGTCGACATCGAGCTGCGCTCTCCTCCCATACCACATTTCTTGCTTGACATCTGGGCCAATACAGAAGTGCTCGCCCTTGAGGGAAATCGGGATGCCCAGCTTCTCCCCTCCTACCTTCTCCAAATCGTCGACGTAATAAAGGCTCCCACCAGCCACGAAGGGAATGGACATTATCTGTGACTCGAGCTCAACGAGCTGACGCATGACGGAAGCGAGTTCCGCTTCATCCAACCGCCTCCACACATCGCTGAGCAGTGTGCCCTTGACGAACTCCATGAAAATGTACTCTGTCTTCGCAGCGTTGTCTGGTGTAGGAGAGTACCCATAGACCTTGGGCACAGGCAGGCCATGGACACGGAGAAAAGCCATAGTAGCGACCTCGCTGGCAACGGCATAGAATTTGGGTTCTATGACAGGGTATGGGATGCGCGCGAGGAGCTGGAACCCGTCTTTCATTGTAACGAGAAAGACACGGTTGAAGTCTCCTTCGTCAAGCTTCTCCATAGTGTTGACATCCTGAGATGTCCGACCGGTAGATTGTGCTGCAAGTCGACAGAGCTCATCATCGTTAAAGTCTTGTTTGCGTTCTGCAAGCCGAAGATCGTTGTTGACACTGTAGCTTCATTGAGCAACAACAGGTACAGAATATACTTCCAGCTTACAGCCATGATCCCGACGTATATTCGTGTGGAGAACGAAGCAGAGAAGTCTGAGTGGAGAACGATAAACGGGCTAATCGCAAGGGACACCGAAGAAGGAGTCTCGCACGCGTTAGGGGAAACTGCATATCACGTTTCATCAAGGGTATCACACTGAGTCACTGCTCTTGAGCAAGCCATGTCCATGTCTTGAATCTCGGTGTCGGGGTGCTGAAGGCTCGAGAGAAAGCGAGTCGGAAACAGGTTCAACTTCTTTGCTGACGTCGTGACCGCGCCGGTGGCTGCCGGTGGCGGTGACAAATTAATAATCATCACCAACTTTGCCGCTCTGGTCATGGGCGAGACTCCGGACTCAAAGCTACCACCAGGAATGGTCATAGGGCCGGACGGAAAGCCTTGTAAAGCGTGTACCAGTGGAGCCGCTTTTAAGGCTTGGCGGCCAACAGCAAAAGCAGCAGCAATTGGAAGCGGGACAGCCCTTGCAAGCACATCGACTGCAAAATCTTGTCCTCCCGATAAAGACCAGCTTGGCCACGCGACATGGACTTTCCTGCACACAACGGCTGCCTACTATCCGGCCAACCCGACCCCCAACCAACGCGCACAAATGCTTGCACTAATTGGCTCGCTGCCGGCATTATATCCGTGTTCCCATTGCGCAGAGGACTTTGGGGAAAGCGTGCAGCGGAATCCTCCGGATGTCAGTGGCAGGGCCGGGCTGAGTCGGTGGTTCTGTGAACGACACAATGAGGTCAACGAAAAGTTGGGCAAGGCCACTTTTGATTGCGCGAAAACGGACGAACGGTGGAAGGACGGGCCGGCGAATGGTTCTTGCGACTGAGAAGTACACCTCGCGTGGGATTGTGCATAGAGGCACTTTAACCTTGACCCAAATAACATATAGATTTATTATAGAATTCACTTGTTGCCTCTATCAACGCCATAATCAACGACCTCTCCGAAACTCGGAGTCATTGTGCTGCATCTGGTGTCTCTCGATGGTTTAAGACAGTCGTATCCTGTTGTACTTCTCCCTGAATCTCACGCTGCGGGAGGGCAACGCCCTGCTACTAGTAAGCCCGGCCTCAAGTGACCATAAGTAAGTATTGCCGTGCACAGTACTAGTAAGCACTACTGGTTTGGAGTATTATTACCCGCAATAAGTAATACTTTGTCGTCGGGCTTGCAACCAATGGACACTGCGCATGCAGTTTTTTTTCTTGAAAGGTCTGGTCTCGATCACATGCCATATCAACAGGTCACGCGTTGGTCACGGCCGTGCCACCCAGATTCAACCACTACGCTTTGACAACTCGGGGTGTATATATAAGGTGTGTCCCATTGTTCCTTGCCTTACAACCCCTTCCCATTCTTACACCATGGCAAAACCAGCGCTCTCCCCTGCTGTATTCCGATTCGACGTCACCGACCCAGAGTTCGTTGGGCCGGTTGTTTCCAAACCCACAACCCTACGCAAGACTGCCCTCGAGAATAGTGCGCGTGAAAGCGCTGTTGAATCGACAAACTCTGGCTACCAGGGGATGAAAGACCTCCTAGCAACGAGTGGCAAGTCGGCCTCTAACACTGGCAACATCGAAGCTACGAATGGAAACACCAGGTCCGCTACACCCCCCCACTCCCCATCGCGTCTCCTCCAATGATGGGGGCTACAAATATCAGCTCGTTGAGCATCTTCAGACCCGCGTCACAGAGGAGCTGGCTCACGCATGGGTAGAAGAAGACAAAGATGCTTTGCCACTTCAGAGACGCCTCGAAAGCCTCTACGAGTCGGCCCAGCTCCCATCCGAGGAGACAATCACCGCTTGGCTTCGCTCCTACGCAAATTACGACTTCGAACACGAAAATTGGAAGGAGATTCCTCCCCGGCCGAGCATCGAAAATGAGCTTTACTCACCGACGGTCTCGTTGCTCAACGATATCATCTCGGAATTCCACCAGTCCGAGCAGGAAGAAGGTGGCATCGTCCTTAAACGGCGTCTGGCCAGGGACACTCACCGCACCTGTGTTCCTCACAACGCCGAAGATGCAAAGGAGAAGACTCTCCACAGCCAGCCGGACATCTCTATTCTCCTTACTGGCGGATGCGCTACCCCTTCTGCCGACTTCCCGCTGAGTATTTTATACTCTGATATTGGGGAGGTCTACGACAACAAACTCAACCCCACCTTCGGCAAAGCAGAGCGGGCCCAAATGGCTGTTTATGCTCGCGAAATCTTCGTCCAACAGCCCCATCGGATCTTCGTCCGCGTCAATATTATCACCCCAAATTTCATTCGCGTCTTACATTTCGACCGCGGCGGTTGCTACTATTCACAGCCTATTGACTACCACACCAAGGAAGGCGCAGTGTTCTTCGTCAAACTGGTGCTTCTGGGAAGCGCATTCGACGAGGCTCTTATCGGATTCGACACCTCCATTTATTGGGAGAACAACATCCGTCGAATGAAGGTCATTCCTCCCCAAATCTACGACAAAGAGGCACGAAAATGGCGCAAAAACGAGGCCAACGTCCCATACATCTTCGACGTTGAGCCCAAGCCAATTTTTGCTCGTCGAACGATCCGATCTCGAGCGACCGTCTGTTGGCGCGCAACATACGAAGGCGTTTCGTATGTCATCAAGGACTACTGGCGCGGTGATGGGCGAGTTTACGAGTCGGAAATCCTCCAAGACCTCGTTGGCATTGCTGGAATTGGTCAAATGCTCTTCTACGAGAACGATCGCTTCTCGGTGACGGGACTCCGAGGTTTTTCGGACGGAGAGGCAATGAAGCACGACGGGATCCCCTCCTCTGATGGTCCTGCCACGGTGACCAACCGATTCTTAATGCGTATCGTGGTTGTCGAATATGGTGGGACGCTAGAGACTGCTGTTTGTCCTCACCAATTTCTGTGTGCGGTTCGCGACATCGTCAAAGGTGAGCTTTGGCTCCTTCATTGCGTCTTCGTACTGACAAGAAAATTACAGGTCATCGCGCAGCAACCCTTCGTTTAGCCGAGGAGAAAAGAGTGCTGCAAAGCGACATCAGCCTGCTGAATTTGCGCCTTGCATACGATAAACCTGACGAATGTGGTGTTATCATCGACTGGGACCTCGCGAAACGAATGGCGCGTTTGATTGCGGGGACAGGCGAAGCTTTGGACTTCAGAACGGTATGTTTGCTTTATGACAACCTAAAATACGCAACTGAAACTCTCCAGGGCACACAAATATACCAGTCCGTCCGAGTTCTTCGCGGAGACGACCAGCGTCTTTTGCACATCGAGCCCATTGACGACCTCGAATCTATCTACTACGTCATGTGTCAGGTTCTCCTTGAATATGGCGAGGACGGTAAAGCATTGGCCAGCCCTTCACTGTTTCAAGCATGGCTTAAGAGCCCGGATAATGAAAACCTGGCAAAGCTCAAGGATCTGTTTCTGAAGGACGACCTGAACCTTTCGGTTACCCGTTTCCCACAGGACGCCAACCTACTATTCTCGGCCATGTGGGGACTTCATGAATTCCTTCGTGAACGAATCTTTGCCATTACGAAGGCAACACACTTCCTACGACCAGTGCCCCTCCCAACGTATCATCCCGATCGGGCGGAGACGGAGTACGATAGATTCCTCTCTCCGATTGAGCAAGCTATCGCAGATTTGGAACAACAGGGCGCCGCTGGGCCCTACTCCCGACCATCTCGCGCAAACATCACTCTTGACTTTGCACCCAACGACATACCCTCTAACCGTTACAAGCGCAAACAGCCAGACTTCCCAGTGGACGAGTCACCGAGCAAGCGCCAGTCAACCTCAGCTTCGCACACTTCTCAACGGCCGACCCGCACAAAAAAAACCGTCAATTATCACGAGCCAGACACTTCAGAGGAGGAGACTTTGGTATCGGAAAAGCCCAAGCCCTTGGCTGAACGATTGAAATACGAACAGAAACGGAGTTTGAAGGGAAAAGGCAAACAAGCATAATAATAATAAGCCCTTATTACTGTACCATTGGACCACTGTATTTTTATACGACGATGTTTCTCGACACACATGTCAGATGCTCTTCCCTCATTGATCTCTCTGCGAGTCGAGGATGGCAATGACTAATCACGACGATCCTAGCGTCAGCGCCCATGTCCGAATGAGAAAATAACAGGTGCCGGCTGCGGGTGCACCATTCTTCCCTCAAGAACAGACTCAAATGTCCTATTCTAATTCTCCTGGGTCGCTATATTTCTCTCCGTAGGTCGCCAAACTCGTCACAACATCATTTTCTCGTCAATCCAACCGTCTTCTGCTGGTATCCACAATGGGCGTATGAAGAAGACAGCTCACCTTGAGGCCATCGGCAGAGTAATGGAGAGTTGCTCAAATGCTGCTCGGCTTGCAAAAAGCAGAAGGGCCGCCCATATCCGCAAACCGTCATGAGGAAATTCGGGCCTATTTTCAATATAAAAGGCACAGAGGCGGGCTCGTTGAGGTAGCAGTTGGGCTTCAGCTATTCTGACCGTCAGTCTCACTCGTTTCTCTATGAAAAGCCCATAAAATTGATGTTTTTGTAGGCGACAATGCTCACTTTCCGTTTCCTCAGTATCGCCGTTCTGGTCGTGTCTTCTCTGGCTGCTCCCTCCACGCCCTCCGGTCTTGTACACACTCCTCATGGCTTACGTGATGCGTCTGTCGTCCACGAAGTTCCCGGCGGCAGCAAAATACGACAGATCGATAGCAAGACTTTCCATGTCATCAGCAAGGAGGGCTCTGTCCTCAAGACCGTGAAAGTCAACCCAGAAGCGGATGCTCGAGCCCCATCGCCGACCACTGGTGACGCCCCAGTTCCCCTTCAAACCGGATGGGTTGCACTCGCACATTACTTTAATCGCGATGTACCAATTGGGTCCTTCGCGAGCACCTGGAGTGTCCCCCCGAATCCTGCAGCCAACCATGGTCAAGTTTTGTTCCTTTTCAATTGCATCGAGTAGGTTGTCTCATGGTGACGAATTCGCTGGACAATGACGAATGAAAAGGCCAGGTTCTGGTAACGCAATTCTGCAGCCTGTTCTCCAGGTTTGTGCTATTCAGTTCATATGGAACGCTGCTAAGTGTTCAACAGTGGGGCAGAAGTGCGGCAGGCGGTATGTACTTGTTGCAAGGATAAACTCCTAGCTAACGGAAGCGAGTCAGGCGGCGCATATTGGGCGATCGCAACCTGGTATCTGAGTCCTGCAGGGACCTTCCACACTCCGCTCATCAACGTGAACGTCGGACAAGTGCTTTCGGGCGGAATCGGACTTATCGGAGTTTCGAGCGCCGGTTTCAGCTATTTCGCCGCCTTCACCAATATCGGAGACAGCACCAGACTCGATGCGATCAACGGCGATGAGCTCAAGTGGGCCACTGTGACCCTCGAGTCGTATAATATCCAGAGTAAGGACGACTACCCCACGGGCTCGACGGTGTTTTCCCGCACCAACTTGCAGCTTACCAATGGAGGGTTCCCGAACATAAACTGGGCGACTGTGAGCGACACTGCGGATAACATCATTACTACGATACAGACACAGGGCTCGACGGCTGCAGTCATAACGATCACGTATTGAGAATTCATCATATCTTTCAACTTTTTTGTAGTAAAAAAGAAATCGGAAAAGTAAATGAGTGTTTCTTTCAAAGAGTCTACATAACTTGTCCTGATAACTGGCACGATCTGACTGACTGACAAGCACCAGCTTGTGAGTCGCTCAGTGCACGTGATACACATTTGTCACATGTGTCACAGTCACTTTCCTGCTCTCAACTCCTCCCGCCCATGACCGCCCTTCCTTCCACGCCGGTCATTCGAAGGCGACCCGCTCCTCTCCTTTCATCGCGTTCATATACGCGCTATAATACCGACTTCCGTGTCTCTCATGCAATCGTTCGTTCTGACGCGAAAGGTCCACTGAACAACTTGAATCCGTTTTCGCACTCAGAATATCGCCCTACGAAGCAACAGCCCCCTTTACACTTACTCTCCACCACAACTCCCACATTCCACATTATCAAAGGGCTCGACTCACACGCGTATGCTGATGCCTCCCAAGAGAAGAATCCCAAACCTCCAGCCCTTGAAGAACACGAGGAGAAAGAGAACCAAGGCTATCTGTCGCGCCGTACCGACAGCTGCTCTCCTTCTACACCATCTTCCAGTCTTGGAGTGATCGAAGAAGACGAACTTGAAGATGATACAAGCCCACCTCCCGCATCTTCTGACCCACTGTTTCCCGACATATCAAGCTCCTCTCCATATACGTCCGACTTACACTCACCTGTCGACAAACCTCAAGACCGCCTCCGCAAAGAACAAATCCCCAATTATCATCAGTTTGCCTCGGAGCTCAACGCGAGACTCCTCACGCTCGATAGACAACAGCAACACCCTCTTTCTGAGTCGCAGCTCCTCAAAAACAACACGTATAGCTCTACGCCTGACTACCCTTGCGAAGGATCTCCTCACCACAACTCGTTCGGGCCAATATCGCAACGCTCCAACCCGAAGGAGACATACGCCTCATTTTCGCCGCAACCTTCATCTACCGCAGGATATGAGGCAGATTCTGAGGTTTCTTTCACGTCAAGCTGGTACTATATGTCTGTTACAACCTTATTCAACTGCTACTCATAGATCTTCCAGTTCGTCAAGCCATGATACTCCAACTCAAACCTCTATGCACTCGTCGACCAAACGATTTTTTTCCTCGTTAGCCCACCACTCAAATGACTTGAATTGTGCCAAAAAGCCCAAACTCACGCCCTCGCGCTCTTCTTCTCGACCAACCGGCTCTACCAAGACTACATATCTCCCCACAGTCCCTGCTAGTATCCGCAAATCGTTGTCATTGCGCTCTGAAACCACCAATTCTGACTCTGAGGTTGGTTTCATATCTTCGAATGACGAGTTCGTTGAATGCTTACAGGCTGCTGAACTTGTACCCACTCAACTGAACTCCGCAACCTCGACGCCATCTGCAAATAAACCCAAGCTAGAGCCCTTCCATGTTCCTATTATTGCTCCTCCCATAGAGCACATCGCTCGGCTGCCAATTACCCAAGAAGTCGCAGCAAAAACTCGAATCAATAATTTCATCTTGCGTGAAGAACGGTGCAGAATTTCAGACGGAATGGAGGAAGTGCAACCATCAACAATAACGAACTTAGACAAGACTAACTGGGAGGGGAAACTCGGTATTGGTGCTGCACGTCGGCAGGTTGTGAAGTGGTTCCTCGAAGTGTGTTTCCAACCACTTTTTGTCCCAACTCAAGATCAAACAGGTGATGCCCTCTCGGTCAATGTACTCTAATTCCGGCGCTTCTTCCCGGTCGAATTCCTTCGCAAGTCAGGCCAGCGACAATGACATTCCCGGTCTCGTTGATCAACTCCAAATCTCGCCTGAGACACGGTTCTGCGGAGCTTATCTTTACTTGCGGTATTTCCACCTTCTCACGGGAAATCGAGAGGAGATTCGGCGTATCGAATCCTGGAAAGCTGCTGCCGTGCTTGAAGACTGCGATGAAGATGATGATCTCGAGGGCGAAGGCTGGCGTCTGGTAGTATGGGACACCGCCGTTGCCTGTCTCGCGATATCTGTGAAGGTACTCATTTCACCACTTGATAACATCACCCCGCATGAAGGTTAACAGTTGCATCGTGACTTCTTGGAGCCGTTGTGTCCCGTCATGTCTTGGGAGTTTGAGGAGCTGGCCCCGCATGACATTTTATTCGAGGACCTTGAGGCACGCATTTTGCTATTGTGCATATATTTATTAACCGTATGCCAGACCGCGCAACGCGACATCCTTGCCGGTCTCCAATATCGTCTCGGACATTCGCCCCAACTTCTGCTCGATGACTTGTGGTTGGCGCTTCCTTCATTGCGAGAGCTGCTGCATTTCCAAGGCGGCTGGAATTTTGTGCAGAAGGAAACTTGGTCGAGGCTTTACAAAGCTGTTCTAGGTGACATCGCACCTATGCTTGGCCTACTTGGTTCTGACCAATGCGTAGAGCCGGATGTCTTGAAGTTTTCTCTATCTGAACTAACGGCAGCTGCATTGATTATTAGCCTTATCTATGCGGTTAGTGTGCGAATAGACTTTCAGCAGCCACTGCGAGGACCCATGCGTGGGATGCGCGATCAAGACAAGATCACGACTAAAGCTGAACGAGAAGCAGCGGGCGTTGTTCAGGACATCCAGGCACTAACGGGTTTGTCTGATGTAAGGCATCATTTTGGTGGTCTAGCTATCTGTTAACGACGCAATAGGCAAGTTTACGCGTAGTTAGAGAATGGATCGCTCAATGTCGTTAACACGTGATCGCGACTTGCTAATGACGTCACTTATTCTACTTGCTTTAAACCACCATGACTCCACGACTGCCCCCACATATGCAAGAGGAAGAAGCCCCTGCGACTTCAAATCTCGTTGATATTGGCACAATACTGACCAATCCTGGAACCAGTACGCCTTGAGCAGTGCGTTGGAAGTGAAAGATGGAGTCAACGTGTTGCAGCATTCGCGCAATACACGGCTTCTGGAAAGGGCCTAGCATCATCCGCACGAGTGTTGCCCGATGGAAGGATCGTCGTTTCGCTCGACTTGAAGAAGAAACTACCAGATTTCCCAAAGGAGCACGTCCAAGAGGTGCAAGAGTTTGCTATCGACTCTAAAGAGTACAAATGTTGTCCGCCAATGAATATCGTGGTGATGATTGTCGGGAGTCGAGGTGGGTTCTTGTTTGGGGGCGGTTTGGACGCCTGCTGAAGCTAGCTAGGTGATGTCCAGCCATATGTCGCTCTTGGCAAGCTGCTGGCGAGCGATGGTCATCGTGTCCGCATTGCGACACACGAAACATTCCGGGATTTTGTCTCTGATGCCGGCCTTGAGTTCTTTAGTATCGGTGGCGACCCACAGCAGCTGATGAGCTACATGGTCAAAAGTAAGCAGTCTTTTCAGTCGTGTGTCGGCTCAACGGTCTATGTAGATCCGGGGCTGATACCAGGCATCACGTCGTTGACCAATGGCGACATTGGCCGGAAACGCAAGATGTTGAACGAGGTACTCGTGCCGCTATGAGTTCATCTGTCGACCAACCATGGTTAGATGATCTCGGGCTGCTGGTTATCTTGTCACTCGCCTTGTCAAACAACGGGCCGGACTTTCGCGGCGGACGCGCTTATCTCCAACCCTCCAGCGTTTGCACATGTCCACTGTGCCGAGGCGCTGGGGATACCCCTCTTGATGAGTTTCAGTGAATCACGGTTTATTTTCCTTCCTTGTCATCATCTTGATGGAGTAATAGCGATGCCTTGGAGCCCGACCACAGACTTCTCGCACCCACTCGTCAATATCAGCGCCACGAATGCCGAGAAGGGGCTATCTAACTACCTTACTTATGCACTGGCGGACATTCTAACATGGCAAGGGTCTGTCGCGCCCGTTTCACAGACGTTTGCCAGTGAACTGAACCAAAAAAAAATAGTGTCGGTGATCTCATCAACAATTTCCGAAAACAATCTCTTGGGCTGGAAACACTTTCGCTTCGATCAGGCCCCAGTTTGCTTGATCGAGTAAAGATTCCGTGGACATACTGTATGAGCCCTGCGCTGGTGCCAAAGCCAGATGACTGGAAGAACCATATTGACGTTGTTGGTTTCTATTTCCTGGATCTTGCCACAACCTTCAGGCCGCCGCATGACCTGGCTGCATTTTTAGCTGCTGGAGACCCCCCAGTCTATATCGGGTGAGTCGAAGCCAGTGTTTCACACGTATGTCGGCTTATTCGACAACGCCAGATTTGGCTCCGTCGTTGTCGACGATCCGAAAGCGATGACTAGTTGAGTACTTCGTAATTCAACTGGCTCATCTGACTGTCACCAGAAATCATATTCGAAGCCACAAAACAGGCTGGCGTCCGCGCACTCGTCTCGGCTGGATGGGTGTGTTTGTCTTATCTTATCAGCATCTAATCTAATCGTGATGACAGGGAGGATTGGGCGATGTCGATATTCCTTCACACATCTTCATCCTCGGAAACGTACCCCATGATTGGCTATTCGATGACGAGCGCGTCTCGGCGGTGGTGCACCACGGCGGCGCGGGAACTACTGCTATTGGGCTCGCGAAAGGGCGACCAACGGTGGTCGTCCCGTTCTTTGGCGACCAGGCATTCTGGGGTCGGTGTCTTTTGAAGTTGTCATCGCAACTTTAACGATTTTCAAAGGCCAAATGATTCATAAATCCGGAGCAGGACCAGAACCAATTCCGCACAAGGACTTGGGTATCGACAATCTCCGTGATGCACTCAAATTTGTAACCAGTCCCCATGCCAGAGCGGCTGCGAAACAACTTGCTGAGAAAATACGGTCTGAGGCAAGTGTTGACCATAATCCTTGGCTGGAGTATGAATACTGTGTGTAGGACGGCACCCGACGAGGGGTTGACAGCTTCTACCGACATTTACCGCTCCTCAATATGCGCTGTGATGTTGATTCGCAGCGTCTGGCCGTTTGGTGGTCAACCGAACTTGTGCGTGTGCCTTGACGAGGCTTGTTTCCACCTCAGGCGGTATGACAGTGCTTGAAATTAAGCGGCTTCGCGGCTCAGGTATTAGCAGACGAGCGAATGTTGGACATGAACTCGCTCGATCTGCACCGTGAGAGTTCACTCTTTCTGCTTTCTGATGACTTTTAACGCTCCGTTTACAGGGGCAAAGGAATACGAAACGCGAAAAGAAATATCGAATCCCGTTACAGGCGGAGCGAGCGCGATTTTCTGGACCGTGACGCATTACTACGCAGGCATTGCCCAGATTTTCTAGTAGGGACTCTCGGTTTTCAGTCGGAGTCAGATTCAATGATCAGAACAGCTCCCCCGTAAAAGGTGTAATCAAGACAACAACAGCGATTCCGCGCGGCGTGTTCAGCATTGTCGCATCGATACACGAGGGCATCTACAACATGCCGCGACTGTACGGCTCCAAGGTCCGCAAAGCGGGTAAGGTCACTGATTTTGCGAGTGGAATCAAGGAAGGCGGGAAGGTTGGTGGCTTTATTTTTTACAGCTTGCATAGTGCTCAAAGTGGGTGTCAGGGTCTGTTTTATGGGTATTACGACGGGATTACCGGACTGGTGCGCGAGCCATACGAGGGAGGAAAGAAGGAGGTAAGTCGATCTCTAACCAGTGAAGCTAAATAAAGCGTTCGCCAGGGGTTCGCCGGGGCGATCAAAGGCTCGCTTCGCAGCTGTGCGTGATCCGACCTGCGTCTACTGAGCGTCTGACGAATTCACGACAGTTGCAAACGCGACGATTCGCCCTGCAGGAGGCATCGCGGGAGCCATCGCACATCCCATCAACGGATTATGGAAAAGCGTGCAACCGCCGGCGACAGTTAAACGAGAAAACAACCTGAGGGAAGTGCGAATATCGGATGGAATTGATGCGGTGCGAAAAAGCACCCTTTCGGAGAAGAGGGAAATTGTTCGAGTGTTTAACGAGTTGAAAGCAGAGAAAGCAATTGCAGAGCGACAGAAGAAGTACACAGAGATGGCCGAGGCCGTTCTACGGGAGGCGCAAGAGGAGGAGGCCCGACGAAGGTCAAACGATAAACCTCAGGCTGGTGCTACCGTGGAGGAGGCTAACCGGTTGTCTTTGGACCAGGACGATGACGATCCCGAGTTTTCCCGCAACCTCGAGAGGGCCAAGCAACTCTCGCTCGTCGAGCAATAAGACAAGAAGTAGCACTTTTCGGAGTAAAATTTATGTGTTGGCGGCCTTGTCAACGATAGGCAGCGGTTGTGCTTCCACGGCTGGGGTTTGATCTGTAGTTTGTGATTCTGCATCGTCGAATTGCGATGGCTCTGGTGTCCCCTTGTTTGTCTCTTTACTTGGTGGCTTGCCTCTACTCGCACGTCCCTTGGCACGTGATCTCCGTTTGCGCGTAACAGACTCCTCGTCCTCTTCTTCTTCATCATCTTCACCGTCATCGTCTTCACGATATGATGCAGAGGGTCGCCCCCGGCCTCGCCCTGATCGACGTGGTCTACCAGCACGAGCCCGACGCGCAACTGGAACGATCCCACGACCTCGTGACGCACCTGAGAGTGGCGGTGTCGGCACATCGTCTTGGTCGTTGTCCTCGTCGCCCTCATAGTAGCTGTTGCGCGCAGTCACGCGATCGCTTCGTCTCTCCCCTGCCAATGCGGTGCTGACCTCCTCCATCCGTTCCTCGACTGAGCGCTCTTCGTCTTGCAAGAAGCCCTGGATGTCGGGTGGTATTTCCTGCATTTCCACACTCGGCGCGCCTTGCAAGTAGCGTAACTTATTCCGGATGCTGAGAGTTATACGCTGCAGGGACGCTGGGGAGTTCTGGTTGTCCACCTTGCCCGTGAGCGGTGGGTGTAACTTCCACTGCGAGTCTTTGAAGAATGCATCGTAGACGGTGGCCGGTAGCTCATTTGGTATTGACGCGCCGACTAGGACCGCGGTCTCGTAAGTCCAGCATCGGCTGACGTTTTTGATGGTATAGCCCCCACCTCCAACGACCAGAAGAGGCAAATTGTACTTTCGCACGAAGTTGACGCATTCACCGTGTGCTGCGATCGAAAGATTGAACGCGCCGAGTCGGTCACAGCCTAGAGAGTCGGCCCCGCATTGGAGGACAATAGCGGAGGGTCGGAAAGCTTGGACAGTGTCTTCGATCACTGTTTTGAAGACACTGAGATACATGTCATCGTCGATGCCGTCTTGCAGAGGAACGTTGAGAGAGAAATATTTCCCCAGGCCGTAGCCGTTGTCGTCGAGCTTGCCGGTCCCAGGAAAGAATTCGCCTGTGTACTTGTGGAAAGAGACCGTCATCACTCGGTTGGACTGGTAAAACGCTAGCTCAACCCCGTCGCCGTGGTGAATGTCGATGTCGATGTAGAGCACCCGCGGATGTACTCTGCAGTATCCTTTCAGTACAATGTGAGAAGAGAGCGGAATAAATACCGAAGGAGTTCCAGAATAGCTAGGACGATGTCGTTGATATAGCAAAAACCGCTTGCTTCACCGCGTTTAGCGTGATGTAAGCCCCCCGACCAATTGATGGCGATGTCCGTTGTCCCTGCACACAGTTTTCGCGCTCCAGCAAGAGACCCGCCAGCATACATTCGACAAAAGTCATAGAGGTCAGCAAAAATCGGACAGTCTTCCACGCAGTTGAACTGGTCGATCATCTGACGCATTTGAGACTGATTTTGGGGCGTGACTCTGTCCAAAAAAAGTTGAACAACACGGATTGATCTGGCTGAGAGACGCACTTGGACAAGAAATCAATATAGTCATGGTCGTGGTACATCTCGAGCTCGGCCTGGGTGGCAGCACGAACGTCGTATATGTGGTGTATCTGCTTATCAAGCCCATAGCCCATCACCAACGCGTTGGTCAGCGTTAACCGGTGAGGTTTCATTGGATGCCGTTCCTGCATCGAGGGTCAGCAGCTGTGGCAAGAGGTCTGGAAGCTGAACTGACGCCATAGTGATGCGCCCCGACTCCCTTGGGAAAATAATAAGATACAATGGGTCGGGAGTGTGCCTAAGTAGGGCTAAGTAGAATTTATGGAGACTATAGCCTCATACCGCAACACGCTCAGTTATTGGCTGGGCTGTTCCATGGTTTCCTCTGTCGAAGAAATAGGGTGAAGCAGAGAATGTTGTCGCCTGGCTTGAGCGGACCATCCAAGTTGAACTAAGGGGACCAAAATTCGTAAATGTCGTAGATGCAGTCCAGTTATGTGAAGCCACCGAAATGCGATGCGTGATTCCGCTCTGGAATATATAGACACAGTTCGGTTGAAGAAGAAGGTGGAGGTTGAGAGAAATCGGTGTTTGCCGGTGACAGCCGCTTGTCACGCTGAACATGAAGCCACAACTCATCCTCCTTGCCTTCGCTGGCGTCGTGTGTGCTTCTTCTGGCGACCGTTCTTACGAATTCAAGAATTGCCTAACAAAATGTCTGGATTCCCGGTGCTCACCGTCGAATACGGTCACTCTCTCTTTCCCCCTCCGTGTCACCCGATGGACTTGTGAAGACAACTGCAAATATACCTGCATGCACGACATCACCACGCGAGACAAACGACTTGGAGATAGAGTCCATCAATACTATGGAAAATGGCCGTTTTGGAGGTTGGCGGGAATGCAAGAGCCCGCGTCAGTCGCGTTTTCGCTTCTCAACTTTTGGGCACATTGGCGGGGGCTCGCGAGAGTGCGGAGGGATGTTCCAAATGGACACCCAATGAAGAGCTATTATGTTTTGTGGGCTTTCACCGGGCTGAATGCCTGGATCTGGTCTGCAGTATTTCACACGCGAGGTGTGTGATCTTGACGCTATGCTGCAAACTGTCTAATTCACTCCAGACTGGCCGATAACTGAAAAGTTGGACTACTTTTCTGCCGCTCTGACTATATTCTATGCGTTATATTACACCGTCATTCGACTCTTCCATCTGTACCCGACGGCAAGACGGAATAGACTCACTTTATCGACATTCAACTCTTCGGGAGACGAAGGTTCAGCACTGAAAGCCTGGTCAATCCTTTGCATCCTGGTCTATATCGCCCACGTTTCGTATCTGTTGTTCCTACCGCGATTCAACTATTTGTACAACATCCTCTTCAACGCCGTTGTTGGGCTCACTCATAACGCATTATGGGGCCTCTACGCTTTCCCCTCATCCATCCCGGTCTTCAAGCGATTCCCCAGCAGGCCGAAATCATATAGACCCCCTTTTTGTGACGGGTGCGGGAGTGTTAGTTGTATTCATGACGTTGGCAAGCGTCTTGGAATTGTTTGATTTCGCGCCATTCCTGCGCGTCATCGATGCCCATTCTTTGTGGCACCTTGCAACGGCTCCAATAGCAGCTGGGTGGTACACCTTCCTGATTCAGGACGCCAGGGAGGACAGTTGGAGGTCGCACATCAACTAGAAGTAGATCTAGAGTAGTAAATCTTGTAACTCGGGCACGTGAACCTACCTTCTTGCTCCCTGCCTCCTACATGATAGGCCAGAGCCTTCCCGAGTATTGGTTCATACTCGTGTCGATTTCTGGCCTTCGTCTGGTCGCTCCCGCCAGCATTGCCCTGATTACTGCTTACGCAGTCGGTTTCATCTCAGCCCCACAATGGCTGGTCGCCTACGCTGCTTGTGAAACCGTCTTTTTGGGGGTCTACACTTATCGACGATGGGAATTCAACAAGCCCCCACCACCCATCCCTCCACGACTCACACGTGCTCAACGACGAGCTTTATTCGAGAAATGTGCTTCACATCTAACGACTGACTATCCTACGGGCTGGTTCCTTCCTCATGACGCCATACTCAAACGCGACAACGTCCAGGACTGGATTCTTTGGGCATTGTTTGCCTCCACACCACAAGAGGCATCGCCGGAATGGATTGACGAAATTAACGAATATATATCGGTTGTGGAGGAGACGCTTGGACGCAAGTTGGAGCACGGACGAGACTTCGGGGCAGAGAGCCTCCGACTGTCGTTTGACCCCGTAAAGATGGTTCATAGACCGCTGATTTGGTATCTTGTGCGTGGATCGTTACCTTTTTCCATTATTTTGCTCATCTTGGCCGAAGACCGTTGCTTTAGTCGATATGACAACATCTATATTCCTAATCTCCCTTGGTTTCAAGCATTACGCGCCTCGAGCCTATTTCTCTGCTTTCCCACCACGGTTATTCACATCGCTATTCTCTCGACGCGCCGCAAACGAGCATTTCCCTTATTGGTATCGACCTCCCCGTGGAGATGCTCCGAGCAAACCGACACTGCTTTTTTTACATGGGATTGGGGTGTGTGTCCATCTTGTTGAGGCAGCAACTGACTGAGCTCAATAGATCGGTTTACACCCTTACGTCCCTCTATTCCGCGAATTACTACGATCAGACCCAACACAGTCGATTCTGCTCATGGAGTTTCTCCCCGTGAGCATGCGAATGACTCCTCCCATGCCTTCCTGTCGCATAACCCTCGAGTCGATCAATGCTGTTCTTGAAGACCTATCCGTTGACCAAGTTACCCTCGCAGCACACTCATATGGGACATTTATTAGCGCCTACATAATTCGCGCCTCTTCACCGTCCACCATCCCGGAAGACGAGCTCGATCCAGCCTTGATTCTTAACGAAAAGGTCGTCAAAATCGTGCTGGTCGACCCAATCCCATTCTTGCTCCATCTCCCATCGGTCGCATACAACTTCCTCTACCGCCCGCCCGGCAAGAATCGCGCCAACGAGTGGCAGCTGTGGTACTTCGCCTCCCGAGACGCGGATGTCGCGCGGGTGCTCAGTCGCGGGTTTTTCTGGGAGGAAGGGTGCTTGTGGCGAGAGGACTTGGACCATTTTAGTGCGCGCGGAAGACGGAAAGTGACAGTGGTGCTGGCTGGGAAGGACCAAATAGTGCCCGCGGCGCAGGTCAGAGAGTACCTGACCTGCGCCGAGCCGGGCGAGTGGTTTGTGCACGCTGGCGGGGGCTGTGAGCGCTGGGTTGCCAAATCGGGGCTGTTGGAGGTGGTCTGGTTTCCCAGACTCGACCATGCGACGGTATTTGAGAAGAAGGAACGGAGGAAGATGCTTATTCGTGCTGTTGGCTCGGCGGAGGAGCCAGTTTCTTATGGGGCGACCAACTGACGCTGTTGCAGTGTGTATACTTCACTTTCCTGTACAAACTTTGGATCGACCTACTTACGTCTCTGTAGCTATGTGATAAAACTCCGTTAATCACAAATACTTGAATAGTCGGAGTTCACAAGGTACCCCTATTACTGTACAGCCACCCGCTGTCAGTCTCAGAGGTCTGAGACTTTTTACTGCAGTCCGACCACAAACTACCATGTTACCAACTACCCTAATTAGAATGAGGTTATGGATTGTGTCCCGCCGGCCCAACCCAGCGCCGCCTCGTGGACACAGGGCATCCGCCCAAGTCAATCTCAAAACTGAGGTGATCCGTTAATGGCTGTTAATCTGCTTCAAGTTGTCCAAAAAGGTATGCTATTTTGTGTATACGATAGACTCACCAAGTTCCTATGTAGACCCTCTCATGGGAAAATATTAACAGTGCCTGAACCAATACTGAGGCGCCTTCAGTTCATCCCACTCTATCGCAAAAGCGAATACTTATCGGCAGGCGCCTGTAACAACAAGCTCTGTGGCTAGTACCGATGACAAAGGGAACGCAGCTTTCGCCTCGTCAATGATCAGAGTCTTGCGTTCAACTTGTTGATACTGCTTTTCAATTGTCTTCAAGTACTCAGTTTATAGTACAAACTGCTTGAAGCTGTCAGACCAAAAAAATAAAGATATATTCGCTACACATAATACACAATTGTGACCTTGCCGGTTGCGTACTCGAGGTAAGTTAAAGCACCGGAGTACAACGCGACAGTGGGCGTTACTGCTCTAGGAAGATGGACCAGTTCCATCTGACCCTGCACGTGATGTCGGTCAACCACCGATGCTGCCGCCGCCGCGTCTACGCGCGCGCTTCTCTGGGCAGCCACGGAATGTCCGGAGAAGCTAATTTGTGCGGCATGTCCAGAGGACACCACGCTCGGCGCGGACTGAGTTGAGTATAAGACTGGCGGTGTGGACGGGCTCTGGGGAGGGTAGACGAGCGACAGTCGGTGTAAATAAGACACTTTGGGACTGCGGCCATTAGTTGCAGATTGCACCAGCCAGATGCGGTAGGTGCCGTGTGCCAACGGGTTTGGATAGACGTAAATTGCCAGTTCCAGGCTGAGCCCGCCAGTAGACAGTTCTGTGCTGCTCGTTGGTTCGGCCACAGGTGACTGCAGCCTATGCTTGAGGAAGGGACGGAGCTCCTCCAGAAAGACGATTCGTGCGCTGTCAAGTAATGCGTCAGGGTCGACGACGGACAAGTGCGACCGAAGCGAAGCAGTGTCGAAGAAGCGTAGGCGGGTCTCAGAAAGCATCGCCATGAACGTTGCCCCGAGTGCGAGCTTAAAGGTGCGGTGGTGTGCCTTGAGAAATCCCGCGGTTCCGGTGCGCCAGTCGATGAGCAGAAATCCACCGACGATGGAGTGAAAAAGAACAAGGTCACCGGAGACGGCGAGAACTGTGAGGTCCAAAACATCGAAACCGCCGGGATACAGCTGGTGTTGGGTGTGAATGATGTTATCCAAGTTGCGCAGGTCGAGTTCGGAGACATCGACGTATACCCGCGGGGCACGGGAGGCACTACAGTACCAAAGAATAAGTGAGGGGAGAGGAGAACCAGGTAAGCTTACTTCGCGAACATCCCAGCTTGCAAGCAAGTTGCAGCGATCATTACGACTCCGAGTTCATTCTGCTCCAAGGCAAAGCTGAGTATTTCAAGCCCACTTTTGCTGAGCGGGCTCTGCCAAACCCGTTGGTTTCGCTCAACCTCCCAACACTCCAGTGTCCCGTCGTTGTTCAGCAGAAAATGGCGACCGTCGGGTAGAAGTCGGCAATAGGCCGGCCGAGCAGTGCAAGGCCCAAGGGAAACATATCGGAGAACTTCTGGAGTCAATTCTATGGCGCCAGGAAGTGGTCGCCACGACTTGGGGCCATGCAACACGCGCTGTGCGAGCCCTACCAACTCAGACAGAGAAAGTTGAGTTGGTTGAGGCACCAGTCGTCCATCGATGACCCCACGCAGTTTGAGGTCGATGATGAGGGAGATCCAGACCGATTTGGAGCAGGATATTTCATGTAGATGCTTGCAGGTCTCTTTCAAAATCAGCTTTTAATTGTCGGCTTGCAAAATCAAGTGAAGCATACCTCGCCTATGTTTATGACGCCGAATACATCACAGCAGAGCAGAATTTCGACTATGACCTCTGTCGGAAGTTCGGACAAGATCATAGTATAAGCCTGTGACCAATTCGGATCATAATGTGACGGCAAACGGACGCGTCGATTGCTGCTTAGTCGAATCCACCATCTTACTTACAACGAAAGACAATTCACACCCAGTCTTGTCGACATTGGTCAAAAATACGATGCCGTCCCCGATGGGTACTTACCATTTGGGAATGACCAGACGGAGCAAAAGACAACCAGGACCTCACCTCGAAAATGAGGGAGAAATGCAACCCAGTTAGCACCTGTGCGTTGTTCTTTTGAATCTGTTTCACCTACAACAGGTCAAGCCGTTGGCCCACTACCGCTGGAGAAGCCCTCAAAATAGAACAACTGTGAACCCGATGATCTGCTCCTGACTAGGTTAATCCAAGCTTCCTTGCCAGGTGTCTCGTGCTGGACTCGATGTCCAACTTGCAGGCACATAGGGATCCATCACGAACAATAGCGCACTCAAAGGAGTTCATATATATCTTCAATAACCTGGACCATGTACCTTGTACCTTGACCACACGCTCTCGACGTTCGTTACCCGCTCGCTCATTACGAAGGACATGGCGCCCTTTCTCTCGCTCATTTCACTCTACCTTGCGTCTGCAGCTGCAGCATCACACCTCGAACCTCACCATCGAGCACCTCCAGCGCAGTGTAGCAAGGGCCGTACCGCCAAAAATAGTCAATGTTGTGTGTGGTACGACGTGCTCGATGACATCCAGACAAATCTGTAAGTAAGCTTTCAATGTTCATGCACGGGATTTTGATAGTGCCTAGTTTCGAGGGTGGTAAATGCGGTATGGTGTTCCGCGAAACTACGGTCATCCAGCTGAACGCATGATAGACGATGAGGCTCACGATGCGCTCCGTGTCTGTCTGAACGGTCAATGCTCGCGATGTTACTGACTCGGAAGCTTAGCTCTCTTTCCACGATGCCATTGGTTATTCACCCTTGCTGAGATCGCAAGGAAAATTTCCTGGAGGCGGAGCTGATGGCTCTATCATCATGTTTGCTGATAAGGAGCTGCTTTATGGCGCGAACGTAAGTAGAGCAAATAATCTCTGATCGTGACTCACTATTTACAGGACGCTCTCGACGAAATTGTCGACGCTGAACGTAAGCTTGCAGACAGATACCACGTTTCTTATGGCGATATGTGCGGTCCACGAAATATCGTTAACAGCTCTCTGACACTTTTGATAGCATCCAGTTTATCGCTGTTGTCTCCGTCCGAAATTGTCCTGGCGGTCCCCTTATTCCGTTTTTTGCGGGTCGTCCCAATGCTACGAAATGGGCACCAGACGGGTTAGTTCCGGAAGCGTTTGATTCGGTGGGCAATTCTCTCCAAGGCCATATGAGTGCAACTAACTTGGCATCACCCTCAGGTAACCAAGATTCTGAACCGTGTCCACGATGCAGGTCTGACTGCTGATGACCTCGTGGACCTACTCGCGAGCCATAGCATTGGAAAGCAAGAGACTATTGACCCAGTGGGTATACTTAATGACTACGCGTGTGTGTCAATGACCGGCTCATCTTCCCAGAGCATTCCCGGTACCCCATTTGACACAACGCCTTCAATTCTCGACACCAACTTTTTCCTCGACACTCTCCTTCGCGGCATGGTCTGGCCCGGCAAAGGCTTCCACAAAGGCCAAGTACCCTCTCCATTCGGGGGAGAATTTCGCCTCCAATCAGACTTTGCAATCGCACGCGACCAACGCACTTCGTGCAGATGGCAAGGTTACATTAGTATGTTCCTGCCTATTCTTTCGCGACCCCCCTGCTAATATCACAATCTTTAGACCAACAGGCCGACATGTCGACTAACTTTGGAAAAGCGATGGCGAAGATGGCACTCCTCGGGCAAAACCCTGCTCGCCTCACTGACTGCTCCGACGTCATCCCCCCGCCAACCGGAAGCGCACCGCAAACCGCCAAGCTTCCTCGGGGCAAGACCGTTTTGGATTTGGAGCTCACCGTGCGTTTATGTTTACCTTTGGGAATTGCAGTTGAATCGTTCTCAGTGCCACAACGGTCAATTTGGCCTTCCTACCCTGGCAAATATAGGCGACCTTCGGAAACTCACCGGTTCGTGTTTTGCGATGCCACACTCTGTTTTGTTGCTCATAAGTGCTAGGATACATCTCTAAGCTACTTCACCTTTAATTTATGTTTCATTATTTGGGCTTTGGGCTCTGTATAGTCATGGTAGTATCTCTTTATGTATCTAGGGTTGGACTTCTATAATTATGCTTGGACAGAGATCACTGATGTAAGCATGCACGTGACCGCGGCTTCCGGCCCATCTTCCTGCCATGATCTTCTTCAGATTCTCTGTCGCCACACGCCGTTTAACCGGCTGCACAAGCCAAGTTTAAACTGTCTTATCACCGCCGGGACGCATAGATAACAGCTGGAGGATGAACCGCAGGTTACATTGGTCGGTTGGTCCAACTTGAACTCGAGTTGAACGCCAAACGTTGAGCCGTTGGCTCGAAAGGTTCAGGCTTTCTCTTGCAGTGAGTCTGGCACTCACCATGAATCCCTCCTCACCTTTATTGTCCAGGCTAAGACCCTGAATACATCGCATCGAATGACCATCTTTAGAAGACTGAGACGTGAGTACCAATCGTCATAATCTCCAGAAGATCGCCTCGGCGACTCGCACACCAAGTCTCCTTCTACCGATCTTGTTCCTGTCAGGCGCTGATAACTCGGACAACTAACTCAATGAACGATTCACGCGACACATCAGCAATCCAGCCTTCAAGAGTCAGCTTTGCGGAGAATCATCCGTCCCAGCAATAGAACAGCTTTGTGGCGAATCCCACCGGATGGATAACGCCGGCCAATCATCGCGCTAGATCCACCGCCTTAAAAATCATCCAGAACCTTTCACGGCATACTTTCTGGCTCTTCTCTCAGACTGCCCTTTCATGAGTGGAACTACTGGTGCTATAGATGTTGGAAAACTGTACGATTCACATTCCCCTCTCCACTCAGAGCTAATCTAATGCAGGACAATACCTTTGGTTCGTAGTTACATCAACGCCTTTCTTGCGCCAATGTCATGGACTCTCTAGTTTGTTGGCACTGTTATCAACTGGTTTCTACTTGGTGCATTGGTCGTGCAAGTTTACTTCTACTTCCTTGCGTTCCCAAGGGACCAAAGACTCAACAAACTCGTTGTCGGCTTTGCCTTCGTCGCGGAAATATTCCAGACATTTGGTGACACCCGCAATACCATTCGGTCTTTCGGCGCAGGATGGGGCAACTTTCATTCGCTGGATGAGGTCGGCTGGGCATGGTTTTCGGTGCCGGTTTTGGGAAGCTTGAGTACGCCATCATTCCTTCTCGGACACGAATACTCATCATCGTGACTAGTTGGATGCATTGGGCAGCTTTTCTTCGGGTGGAGAATACACGTTATTGGGAACGGTGCTCTTGTCGTCCCCATCCTCATTGGCGTGGTGCGTTCTACAGTGATCGAGAACGTCTTGTTTTTCTGAGAGCTTTTATCAGCTCGCGCTGCTGGAATTCGGTGCTGGTCTTTGGACCGGGGTCCTCATCAGTCGCGCGGGCAGGTTCTCGCGACTGACTTATGACGCCATGAAACCGCCTGTGGTTAGTTAGTACACTCCTCAATATTCAATAAAACTAACTCTTGTAGGCTTGGCTTAGTGCTACGGCAGCCGTCGACCTCATCATTGTCGCCGCAACAGTATACTATCTTCTGAAAGCGCGCCAACCTGGCTTTCGCGGCGCCACATACAATGCTGTCAACCGAATAATCAGGGTATAGTTCTTTATATTGGCAGCTTTCGTGGCTAACTTTGTTATTCAGGTCACCGTCGAGACGGGGGTGCCTTGCGCTATCTTTGCCATCATCGACCTGGCGTTGTTTGTGGCATTCAATGGCAACAATTACCATCTGGGAACATGCATCTGTACGAGCAATCCATTACTCCTTGTTTTACCTGCTGACTCGCTCGCAGGGCTCTCGAAGGTCTATTCCATCAGTATCCTTGTGGTAAGTTCCTCCTGCTCCGAGTCGCTTCTTGGCCTCGATTGAATGTGCATGACGTAGATCCTCAACTCTAGAATGACCATTCGACATGACTCAGGGACGTTTGAAGCCTCCGTCAACTTCTCCGATATGCGTTTCCAGAGTCGCCACTCTGCAGTCGCAGTCCCTCCCAGAGTCAATCTCCAACTTGAACGAAACCCGAGCAGATCGGAGTACTCGGACGGACTGACGGATACGTTGAACCAACCCAAAGTCGAAGCAGGACTTTCGTTGGCAACAAAAAGCGACGCTGTGCATGAGTGGGCTCAAGCGGTCTAGTACCCAAAAGCAAATGCCTAGATATTTATATGTAGTTTACTCGCGCTTTGCTGTATCACTAGCCACCACGTTATTCCTTGTTCAGTAGGTTGAAGCCAACACCATCTCCAGCCGCCCACGACTTGCGAGTAACCTCCGCGTCCACAAATTCGGTTACGCTCGCCAGCTTTCCATCTGGGCTGGAACGGAAAATGAAGATGTATTCGCAACCGAATACTTCATCAGTTGTGCCGTGTTGGAGCTGAATGTGGAGGTGCAACACGGCGGAGTCGCCGGCATCGACAGTATCCAGCACTTTCTGGGGGCGTGTAAGATTATGTAACGAGTATGGAACGGTCCTATACGTACGGTGGCCTTCAGTGACTTGTACAAGTTGCTGAGATTCCCAATGATGAGAAGGTAATCGTCTTTGTTGCGCGGCAACGCGCCAAGAGACTCTGGGAAGATTTTCCAGGTGAAGCTCTCTGAGAGAAGAGGCTCCAAGGCGGTTGGTCCTCCGCCAGTACTGAGGATATCGAGGAAGTGCTGGCCAAGTGAGAGGGCAGTCTTCGTGGTGGCTTCAGCTTGTGCCATGGCGGTATGGTGATTCAAAAGTGTTGAAGCTTCTTGTATTTATAGGCTGGAGCCATTCACCTGGCGGCTCATATCGCTCTCAAACGGGATCTTGCTCGGGTTACGTCGAGGGCAAGCACTGGCAGGATAGCCTGGATAGGCAATGTTTAACCTGAGAAGAGCTCAGAGAATGCTCGCCGAGTATCTTTGGGGCAAGATTTATGTTAGTGTAGCTGTATCCTGAACCGGGCAAAGTACGCATAGTCCGACAGTCAAACACGCTGGCGAGAGTTTGGGAAAGGTCCTAAGTTTGATCTTATCAATTGCTCAACTGATGGATTAGCTGGTCACGTTTTCGACTCGGAGCCGAATCGGCCACTTTTCGTCTTGGCGATTACTACATACTTTGTCCTCTCCCAACTCACAGCCGTTCCCTGTTCATGGTCCTGAAATGTTTCCTGAACCTTCCAACCTGTGTCGATGCCCCTATGCAGTCTCGTAGCATCCAGCTAGTCTAGCCGCCACCTTGATAGACCCGTGCTTCCATCTGCCGTAGACCTAAGAAGGAGCACACAATTTCCTGCGAAGTCAACGAGCACTACGATAAGGTAGACTCTTCCGAGTTCACTGAACGCCACCACATCACCATGATGCAACTCAGGTCCTCGATTTCGCCCTATATATCCGGCCCTGAGCAAACGGACCTCCATTGTTGTTTTGTCGATGTCTCTCTTCTCCCGACCCCTCGCACGTTGGCATGCTGGCAGTGGCAGGAGGAGAATTTTGCTGTGGTCCAGCCACTTACTTCATGCGCGGTTTTCGCCACAGGAGGACCATTCGCAACTGACAGCCGATTCAGACCGTTTTGTTTCTCCCTGGCAATCTGAATATTGCACGTGCTATATACAAACGATTGGACGGCAAAAAATCCGCACCCAGTCTAAACGGAGATCGAATAACTGACAAGAAAAGCAACCTTCTTTCGAACCTCTTGACCTTTTCCTCCATCTTGCTTCATGGACTCGGAATTGGCTGCGTCGGCGCCGCCGCCCGTACATGGCGAGGACGACAATGTTGTCTCGCGAGCAGTCGCTTTTCACGAAGAGCAGGAAACAGAGGAGAAGATTCGGCCCAAGGGTGCGTCGTTTGTTAACCCTAATCTCGCCCGGTGTTTAATGTCGTGTTAGGCGTCGAGCTCAAACACACATTGACGCAAGAGGACAAAGAGCTCGCCGCAGCCGGTTACGACCATCTTGAACAGAAGAAGAAGGCCGAAGAGGAGAGGGCCAGTGTTGACATCAGCGAGCACAATATTCCCCTTAGCGAACTCGGCGAGAAACTTTCCACTTCCATCAACGTCAAGGAACCCGGTACATCTCAAGGACTTTCCCCCGATGAGGCCGCTTCCCGCTTGAAGCGCGATGGTCCCAATGTTCTCACCCCACCCAAAAAGCGCTCGCCGCTACGCCAGGCGCGTGTTCACTACAACAGGGTCATCTTCCTCTGACTGAACATCCTTTAGTACATTGATCGTCTTTTGACTATGGTTTATCAAGGCCAACTATTTTCGGACACTATGCTGACGTGTCTTGCAGTTCAACGTCCTTCTTATCATTGCTGGCATTCTGGAATACATTTTGCTGGGTATCGATTTCCATGCCAACTTCGCGAACACATACCTGGGAGGCATCCTCATTGCTGTCGCCTTCCTCAATGCCTTCATTGACTGTAAGTTTCCGTTGAACGCTTTTTTTTTTCAAAAGATTTTACGCCTCTAGGGTACCAAACGCAAAAGTCTGAAGCGATTCTGGCCTCATTTTTGGCCATGATCCCCCCTTCTTGTCGTGTTGTCCGAGACGGTTCCATCATCTCTATCCCTGCGGCGGACCTGGTCAAAGGCGATGTTGTTCTTCTGCGCTCTGGCGACAAAACACCCGCCGATTTGGTTATATTCGCAGCCACGGACTTGAAGGTTGACAACAGTAGCTTGACCGGAGAATCAGAACCTCAGGAGCGTTTCCCAGTCGCAAGCGGAAGCACTGCCCGTGCCGTCGAAGCTCAAAACCTGGTATGTGGGATGTTGATCCCCAAAAAAAACTCTATGTTAATGGTTTCTCAAGGCGTTCAACTCAACCCTGGTCGTCAATGGTGAAGCTTGGGGAAGTACGTGACTGTTTTGTTGGGTCTTGGGTTGTGTTTGCTGATTTCTTCCAGTTGTCGTTCGCACGGGTGACCACACGTTCATCGGACAAATTGCGTCGTTGACGGGTGGCGAATCCGGTAACGAGAGTCCTCTCGCAGTCGAAATGTGCGTTCATTCTTAACTGGTTATGTTGCAAGGCAGTTAATGGCCTCGATAGCGCTCAATTTGTCATCAAAATCTCATGCATTGCCATTGTCTTCGCCGTCGTTTTCTTCGTTGTTGGGATTACAACGGCGTATAAAGGCAAAAGCGTCGCAGACCGTTACATTTGCTGTGTCTATTCTGGTCGCCTTTGTTCCGGAAGGTAACATTTTCTTCATTTACGAGTTGGTTCAATGTTTTGAGAAATTTATAGGCTTGCCGTCGGTAGTAACTTTACTTCTTTCCATTGCCGCGAAGCGTATGGCCGCGCAGAATGTGCTGGTGAAGGACCTCCAGGGTGTCGAAACTCTAGGATCGGTGCGTGACAGAACATTTTGCTGCCTTCTACTAGAAACTGAAAATGTCTGGTAGTTGACCCTGTTGGCCACGGACAAAACGGGAACTTTGACACGTAACCAAATGACCGTCACGAATCTCTGGAGCGGGGAGAAGATGTATTCGGCCTTCCAGTCCAACAATGACGAAGACACGACGGCGGCTTTCTCCTTGCAAGCTTCGGGGATGTCGGAGCTCGTCGATATCGCCGCACTCAACTCTCGTGTCAAGTTCGACAAGACCGATGTTCCGTTCGACCAGAGGCAGATCTTGGGAGATGCGACTGAGACGGGATTAACGCGTTTCGCCGGGAGGTATCTCAGTGGGGGATATGATGAACACCAGAAGAAATTCCCCAAGGTGTTTGAAGTGCCATTTAATTCGACTAACAAGTGGGCTTTGGTCATTGTAGGTCTTTCCCCGCTTCGAGCAATCTATCCGTCTGAATCCATCATTTAGCTGAATAAACCCCATGCGGATGGCAACCTCACCGCTTACATCAAAGGCGCTCCCGAACGTGTACTGGCCAAATGCTCAACATACCTCAAAGACGGCGCGCTTTTCCCCATCACTGATGACTTCCGAAAGTCTTACGACGATGCATATAACGTGGGATCAATATTAACCGAACCATGCTGTGTTGCTGATGTCCATACTTACTTAGTATATGGCCTCTCGCGGTCACCGTGTGATTGCCTGTGCACAGACACTTCTTCCGGGTTCCAAGTTTCCTGTAGACCATGAATTCACGAGAACGGAATTCCCGGAAACGGAGTACTGTTTTGTTGGGCTTGTGTCTTTGGAAGATCCACCGAAACACGGCGTGCGAGAAGCTATCGGGACGCTGCGGTTGGCGGGAATCAAGGTCATGATGGTTACCGGTTCGTTCAACCCATTGAGCGAAATTTTGGTCCGGAACTGAACCAGTATATTTCAGGTGACCACCCGAAGACGGCTGAGGCCATTGCGCGCAAGATCAACTTGATCATCGGCGACACACGGGAGACACTGGCAGCTCGCACAAATCGTTCCATCGACGAAATTTATGAGGACGAAGTTAATGCGGTGGTCATTCACGGCGACGACATCGACGGACTCCAAGGCTGGCAATGGGATCAGAGTACGTGCGAAGTCTTGGAGTCTGCATTGGTTAGCTTACCCTCCCTTCCAGTCTTTAGTAAAGAAGAGATCGTGTTTGCGCGAACATCGCCCAAGCACAAACTCGAGATCGGTGAGTATGCAGCTCTATTTGGCTTTGGTAGCTAATTGAACATATAGTTAAACGCGCCCAGGCGTTGGGGCATATCGTCGGAGTGTGCGTAACGTTCTCGACCATCATCTGAACGCTAAGCGACTTTTAGTACTGGTGATGGTGTCAACGACTCGCCTGCTCTCAAAAAGGCTGATCTGGGAATTGCGATGAATATATCCGGTGCGAAGCAGCATCCATTCATGCTAGTTGCTTTCCCTGACGCGAAATAGGCTCGGATGTCTCGAAAGAAGCCGCCAATATGATCTTGTTGGACGACAACTTTGCTTCGACAGTCAGTGCGTGCTGTTAGCCTTGTCCATGACCGTTCTTGTCTTAATGACTTGCAGAGGGTGTTGCTGAGGGCCGTCAAATATTCGTCAACCTCAAACGTTCAATTCAGTAGGTCTTTTGTTCGTGTCTGTGATCGGAAACTCATCTTGAAAAGATACACACTGTCACATAGTACCCCAGAGGTCATCCCGCAACTTCTATGTAAGTCGCCGCACTGGTTTCATCTTGGTAGACTAACTTAGGTAATTTCAGACGTTGTGGTCCCAATTCCCTTGCCGATCTCTGCCATCCTTATCTTGGTTATTGGTACGTTATCACTTTTTTTACTAGAGCGTAGAGCCGATTCGTTTCAAGATCTTGGTTTCGAGCTGTTCATCGCGGTAAGTTTCTGCCACCAAGTTCAGTTTCAAACATTTAACCTTTCATAGCTCTCGTTCGCGTGGGACAAGCCAGAAACGGTTGACGGACTGATGAGGATGGAGCCTCGTAAACCAGGTCCGTTATTTTCTTAGCATTATCACATCGCATTCTGACTCTGCTTTGTTAGTCAACGACCGATCAATCCTCTCGCTCAAACGGAAAGCTTTGCGCCGCACTAAGACACTTCGACGTGACCCCGAGACGCAGGACATAATAAAACCCAGTAAATTCTCCGTGCTGCTCGCTCAACTTCGGACGCCATTCACGCGAGAATACTGGGAAGACGCTATGGAAACCAAAGATGGGGAAACTCTCGTCGACTCCAAGCTGCTTTCATACGCATATCTCGAGGCTGGGATGATTGAAATGTTGGCTTGTTTGGTGGCGTATTTCGTCGTGTTTTTTAAGGCCGGGTTTTCCCCCAGCGACTTGCAGAAGGCGCAGAAGGCTGGATGTATGGCATTCATCTTGATAAACGTATTAGCCGACTGACGGACGACAGCATTTTTCCTCAAGTCAAGTCCCGACTTCATCAACTACAAGGGACAAGTGCTCTCCGCGTCGCAACAAGTGGAGGCCTTTGCGAGGGCGCAATCGATCAGTATGAGCTTTTTCTTTCTTTGTGCAACAGACAGCCTGTTTAACGTTCCCTTAGCTTACCTTTCGGTTTTCATCGTCCAATGCTTCAACGTAAATCTAATCAGATTCTTTGGAGCACTGATCAACGCCATTTTCAGGTCTTCGCTGTTAAAGCCAAATTCACGTTCCCCTTTGGCCGCAACGCAATTGGCAACAAGCTCAACTTCGCGGGTATCCTCGCGGGTGCTTGCCTGGGAATGTTTATTATCTACACGCCGCCGTTGCATGTCGTCTTTGGAGGGACCAAGGGCCTGTCTCCGCTATACTGGTTAATACCGGTGGCGTTTGGAGTGGTGTTGCTGGCGTGGGCATCATTGAGGGTTATCCTGTTGAGGAAGAGTATCGAGGAGGCCAGGGTAAAAGACATCAAGGGACTGATGATGTGTGCGTATTGTCCTGTCTTTTCCTCTTCTTGGTTCTGACTGTCTTGCAGTCCCGACCATGAGGACGATGAGTATGCGCTCTAAGCAACAGTGATGAACAAAAATGAAACGAGTTATTATGACCTTAGACTGGGGAGACGAGTAATGATGAGTTGACTAGAATGGGAAACTACGTCCCACCATATCCGTAGTTTGTACAACAACAGATACATTTGGACTGTTCGGTTTACATCGTAGTGGTACAGACAGCAATATGTACAAGCACGTTCACTTAGTGACGTGAGCAGCCGTGGGGGGCTATCAAGGAATGAGTTCAACGAAGATGTTGCTCTGAAAGGTCTCACAGCGTTGGCGATGCCCAAGACGCTTGCAAGGGCGTTGAACTCGGCGGTGGTGGGACGCGATTTGGCGGTGCAGACTGTTGTCGTGGATGAGCAGACGCTAAATGAGGAGAAGAGGAGGCAGCATACGGTCGATAACATGCTGCTCGCTTGTGCCAATTCTTCCGGCGATATCGCTATAGGACAGGCCTATTCTCGGTTTAGGGTATAGTGAGCCCGAGATGGGGGTTGCAGCTGACCGGATTTGTCCTTGGCAGCGGCGAGGGCAGTGCAGAGGGGATCGGGAGCCATTGTAGAGTGCGAAGGGAAGGACGAAGGCTATCGCGGGTCTTTATATAGTGGTTAGCGTGTAAGTTAGCTCGGCAGCTGTAATCGATGGGCGAAGAAGGAAGGTACCGGTGGGAGGCTCGATTCGGCTTTAGCTTTAAGCGGATAAGATAATGCGGAAGAACGGTGGTCATGTGATCGCGGTTCAGCTTTGGAGTTGGACGAAGGCTAAGATTGTGCTTGGCCCTTTTGTCGCCGGTTGCAAGGACGTATGCTGTTACATCGCCACATGAGGCCGTACTCCACGTTTTTTGCTGAATGCGCAGGTACTTGAAGTTTCGGATCAATTGCATGATTTCCGCATACCAAAAGGAGACAGTGATTGCTTGGTTGCACTTCGAGATTGGCATGAGGTCACTCCCTTGCCGTGGACGCAAACCAAATCGTTGCAGCTCGTCAAATTGTTGACATGGGCACAAGCCACGGGCGGATTTGCGCCGCTGTACGGAGTGCAAAACGAATAAAGGTGTGACCCACTGAGGCTACAGACCTTCCTTGCACTCCGATTACTCCCCCAGCGCTGCCAAGTCGAAATGGCTACTTTCACTGCTCATCCAAACGAGCCAGTCGTTCTTCCCAGCATCCACGAAATTCTCCCTCCACATCTCCTCCCCCCGCCGTCTGAGGCTGGCCACCCCTGCTGCTCTTGCTTTGCCCCTCACCTACCCAGCGCCTGAGTTACCATTTTCGAGTGATCCGGAGCCCATGACCTTGCCGCCGATCGCGTCGACCTCCAACTGGAGGCGATCTCCCGCTTTCGGCACCCCTTCACCGCCCCCGCCAACCCTCCATCCGCCCAATCTGCCGTCGGAACCCTCGCTCTCGCCTGCCCAGTCACACTCCGAGTTGTCCGGGTCGTCATCACATGATTCAGATGGCGACACCGAGATGAACGAGGCTAGCGAAGGGGAGGGTGATGCGGAGACAGCACCACGGCAAGGCAAGGGGAAGGGGAAGGGCGAGCCAAAGAAGCATGTGTGCATGATCTGCAGTCGACGCTTCAACCGTCCAAGTAGCCTGCGCATTCACGGCAACACCCATTCTGGCGCGATGCGTGAGTTGGGCTGTTGAGCTGTTGTTTTGTGTGTTGCTCACGTGCCCCAGCTTTCTCTTGTCCGCATCCTGGCTGTGGGCGGGCATTTAACGTGAAGTCAAATATGCGCCGGCATCTGAGAAACCACACCTCTGAGCCAGAGGATGCATCGGGGACGATGCTCCTTTTCCACAACACCTACCACTCCTCGTCTGGGCTGTCTACCTCGCTGCCTACCCCACTGGCGGGGACCGCAACGGTGGGCGTTACACCCTACGTCGATGCGGCATTTTCCGCTCAAGCCGCGTTGAGCGCCAAACGCCTTGCAAATCGCTCCCAGCCCCAATTTTTGCCAGCTAGCCCTTCGCCCCCCGTAGCAGTCGAAGCGGAGCGAGTAACTAGGGCACGGAGCGCACGTCGGATAGCCTAAGATAACAAGTTTGGCATATTATCATGTGATCGCGTCCTCTGTAAAATATTAATAATCATGGATCGACACATACTTGGGAATGGATTTCACTCGCCAGTTCTGTCTGGATCTGGTGGTTCATTTTTAACCTGGGGACTGTGCTGGATGGATGTGTGAGTCCTGCTCTGCCGCCATTCGATGGAGCAGGAGTTTTGCCTCAGAGTTGACTTCTGTGCTCATTTTGAACAAGAGCATCACTAAGAATCTTACAACCGCTGGCAGCGGTTGTTACCGAACGCACTCTAAACGTCGCCTCGAATTACTTGTCATCGTCATCTCTTCGGTGTTTTGGAAGTCGGCAGTCCAGTCGCTCCTATTGGCTCGGCGAGTGGCGAGCTTTACTGTAAGTACCTTACCAGTCACTCCATATGCATACCAGATTGACTTCAGTGTTGTGGCTTTATGTACTTCTTGAGCTCCAGAGGCTTATTTGAAGAGAAGGGGAATGAATTTGGATGGTGTCGACGCGGAAGACGGCGACCGAGCATCAAATGAAAAGACAGCTGGTTACGCTGCGTTGCTGAGTAAAAAAAACGCGAAGCCGCCCAGTTTGCGGCGGCGTTGCGCTATTGGATGATTCGTATCGCCGTCTAGCTGGGTAGTTTTGCTGATAGACCAATAATAGACGAGCATTGGGATCTAGATTCTACTGTGCAGTCCGTTGTGTCCAATGAGAGCAAGGTTCGAGAAGGTTCTGGGCGTTCGAAACTTGCGGTGAGCCCGTAACGCGGTAACAAGAGAGTGCAAGCGATGTCGCAAGGTTGTCAAGATTCTCGGCAATCCAAACCAGATAAGGGAGATTATTGACGGACATCGGCGTTTAGCCGTTAGCGCGCATCGCCACAGAAAATGGAATGGAGAGCAGAGATAAATGGTCTTGGTGGTACAGTACTTATGATGAGCAGAAGGGTAGGAGGGTGGACATAGGGGGGAGATTTGGAAGGGTACACGCGGTAAAAATGGCCTCTGCCGATGGGTAGATGAATGAGGAATTTATGACAAAGGCGGTTGCATCATGGGTGACGCGCTCTCTGAACGGTTTCGACGCTTCTTTCTGAAGCTTTTTTGACCCTAGCGTATTCTTGGAGACTGAGGGCGCAAGTGGGGTACATAGAAGTGAGTAGGCAGCGAGAACCTGGCCCCTCCAACGACTTTCGGTCCAGACTGGCGAAAAGAGGTACGACAAATTCTAAAAATTGCCGACCGATCAAATAGTCGGCATACCAAATGCGGACAATTTATAAAACACTGCTCTTGCTTTTCTTCCCTTGGCCTCGTTATCCCCCGCTCTCCCCCACCCGCCTGTGGACTCCCCGGCCTCTCCTCCCGCTTTTCTTTCGCGGTTGTCGTTGGCGTCACCTGTCCCGTGTCGTCGCCTGTCTTTTTGCTCGCACTCCTTAGTCAAACAACGCAGCGCTATTAAGCCTGCAATCACCGTCGCTCGTCAAGACACCAGACGAGCTTTCTCGCCGCGTCTCCCACGTATATAGGGACCCTTTGGTCTCTTTCTTCTCTTTCTCTGCCAGTCGAGGGAAGATTACCACTAGTGCGATCTTCCGCTGTTATTTTTTTTACTATTCCTCACATCCTTCTAGCCAATCTCTCATGATTGCAACTCTCGCCATGGCCTCGTCCATTAATTCAAACTCGGCTGGCGGTCCTCTACCAATCCTACCCCGGCGTGCACCTTTGGTCGCTCGGTCTTCATCATATCCCTCCTCAAGACCAACCCCGCCCCCAATAAAACTCGTAGTCCAGCACGCTACCCCTCCCTCAGACGACGAGTCTTCTACTTCAACTTCAGACGACCAATCCGTTATTACAATCCACTCAAAACGCAGTCGTGGTGTCCGTCCTCCTGAAGAGAGCACCCCTTTACCATTTCCCGCTCGTCGGCCTCCTTCACCGCCAGATGAGGTTACTCCCCGTCCTTCTGCGATGGCTCGGCCTCTCGTCTATTCACCAGGAGCAGGCAGTATCTCTGGTTTACGGGCTCTCTCCACACCCACTCTCCCTTCCCTAGCTCCTCGAACTTCAAAATCGACACAGGACGATACCACTCCGCGTGTCATCCGCAAAAAGTCTGGCGAACCCCTCAAGTCGTCACTCAAATCCTCCACCCCTCGTGTTCGAGGATCTTTGGAAGTGGTCATCAACGGTGGTTCCGCTGTGGGTAGTAAAAGCGCGCCAACCACGCCAACCAGTGGAGCACGTGCACGAGTCCACTTCAACTCGCAGCTCGAGCAGGTCAAATTGTTCCTCGCCGAGCAAAAGCCTCTGGCTGTGAGCCGAGACGGATCGCCAACCGACGATACGAGCGGAACAGAAGATTTCCCTGACTACATCTTTGGGCGAGATGCTCAAACAGATGACGAAGGGGCATTGGAGATGACTGTTGAGGTGCCGCCGCCAGGAGGAGAGCTGGATGTCAAGTTGCAAACACTTGTGTTGACAGAGGACAAAACCGGTGTCGCCGGGACTGTTGCAGTGCGCAATCTGGCGTTCGACAAGTGGGTAGCTGTCCGTTTTACGCTGGACGAATGGCAAACCACAAGCGAGGTTACGGCTCGATACTCACATTCACTTCCTGGTGGGATGGTCGACGTATTCGCATTCACCATCCGTCTAAACGACATTTTGGCGCGCATCGATGGTAAACAGATGGCGTTAGCGGTGCGTTTCAATGCGGCGGGTCGGGAAATGTGGGATAATAATCGCGGGAGGAATTATATGGCGGTGTTCAAACGGGTACGCGGGGGTTGTGAACAGTCGAAAAGGAGGAGTGGCGAGGTTGCTGCTGATTTGCGCACTCGATTGGAGCGCGTCGTCAAGATGCAGGAACAACAAGAAACACCGACAGTTCTTCGCGGGAACCAGAAGGTCGTCGAGCCCCCTGCAGCTGTTGGGTTTCGCAATGGTGACTCTTTAGCTGCCCGTTACGACTTCAATTCCTCTTCTCGTGACCCGTGGCGTCCTCATCAACGAGCTCAGTCGCATCCAAACTTGGACTCACCATCTCCGCCGCATACTTCCACTTGGCCGCGTTCACCCGCCATTGTCCTTCAAAAGCCTCGTTCCAACTTGGGGTCACCACGCGATGTATCTGACGATATAAACTTTCGACCGTCGCTCTATATCACTTCTCCTGAAGACCATCCATTCGCTGTGCCCAAGCCGAGTCGCCAACATCAACGCGGTTACTTCGACGTGCCATTACGAGATCCCGCATCGCTGCGACGGACACCTCCAGGCACGCCACGGTTTCGTGATTTGACGCCCATCGGGAATCCCGGACGCTATAACTCTTTCCCGCCCCTTGATGCTCGTGGTGTTGGTCTAGGTCTGGATGTGGCGGGGATGTCCATGTCACGGGAAGGCAATACGAGTGAGGACAGTACCCCCAGTTTCATTAGCAGCGACGGGTCAACGAGTGGGACTACATCTCCCATAAGCCCGCCGGACTTGGTGACCTTGGAGTCGAGACTAGCGATGACCTCTGAGCCAGAGTCGTCATCTACGTATCACAACTTTTTGGATAAGTGAGGTTACTTCTCCTTTTCTTGCAGTTCTCGTTACTGAACCAGTTATTTCAGATTCTGCTTCTACACTGGCGCCACAAGCGTTGAACCCATTCAACGCACCCACTCTGCCTCCAGCGTCGAAGAATTGTTGTCAACCAGTTCACCCCGTTCGCATGGTTTCGCGTCGACAAGCTCACCACTGCTGCGATTCGATGACAGCAGTAGCGGTTCATCGACACCAACTACAGCTCGCAGCATATCTTCTCCCACTCCCGTTGTTGCTTGACCTTTGTCGAGTTGGGTTTTTGCATCTATCTTTATCGCCTCTTCTCCCTTCATTCACCGACACACGGATATAGACTTGACTTGTAATGTACCATCAACTACACGACACACTCGACGGACAGCTCGCCTCGCGCATAATCTCATTCATCCATCAACCATCATCCCAGCATCATTCTGTTTTGTTACCTTCCCCATCCCGATCCTTGGCTGGCACATTCATTGCTGGATGTATTCGTAAACTCCCCCCCCGTTTCACCACACCAGTATCTTCGCACTTCTCCTCACTGTACTTTTAGCTGCCCCCTTCATATTTTTTTTTCGTTTTACGGCGCGCATGACCAGCTACGTCCTTATCATTATCGACTACTCCTAGCTTTACGATAAACGAAAACAGACTACGAATTTGCGATGCAGTTTTGAGTGTGTTGGTTCTGTGAGCTTGCCTCAAATAGGTTGGTGACGTGGAATGAGTCCAAGTTTAAGCTTGCTGCTTTTGAAGCTTACTTGGATTATAGAGCTCAACGCCCTTGCAATGAAGGATTCGAACAAACCTTGAAGAAACCTCAGACTCGGAATCTTTAATCGGGTTCTTTTGCTCATCAATTTGATCCTAAGCTATCGGATCACATCGTCAATCAAGGCACGCCGCCGGATCGCCTTACATAATGCCAATATGAAGAATTTGATGCGCCGGAGTGTGACATTTGGCACTTGATCTGCGCCTTCCATGTCGGAAGAGGAAACACTTTTCCCTCTTTTTGAAGATCATGGAGGCATCAACGGATGTGAGGATGCTTAAACTCAGAGCGGGGTGGTGATCCCTTTGGAAGATCAATCGCCACTAGGCTTACTCCTGACCTCGACAAATTACGATGGGCCAACGAAACATCGCGATGGCTTGCTGAGGCCAAGTGATAACCAACGATGGACCCATTTGGCAGTCATCCGCTCCAAAATGCCGTCCCCCCTTACGTTGCGCGTGGCGCAGATCCTTGGCCGACAAGGTTCCCGCTACCTGACACTGAACTTGCGTCTGACTCATGTGGAGGTGGTCCTCAGGTTTGTTTCGACTGTTTTTTGTTTTGAGCCGATGCACCATTTGCAGAATGGGGATATCAAATCAGAGATGTTCTATTCTTGCAGCTCCGGTCAGATGGCCAAGATAGGCGCGGCCAAGATGATTACGAGTAGGTACTACTCTTCTCTCTCCAACTTCTTCAATTGCGCCAGTATAGTGGGTAAGCCAGCGTCCAATTATATCATGAAGCACGGGATATTTATTTCTGGGTATATTCCGGGAACTCAGTGTTTTCGTTCACCCGGCCCTTCAATGATCTTGTCCCGGAAAGCGAATCAGGCAATGTGCGTACGGAATCACTGGAACTGTGTTACCCTCCTCGGTAGGTTTCACACGTCTCTTAGGGCTTTCATCAGACTTCGACTATGTTCTAGACGACCGTCCCCTCGGCCTCTGATCTGCAGCTGTTCAACACATGGAACCTCAGGCTACTTTAGCAACTTTTCACGGACGGGCGGCGATTTCCGAGCTTCTATCACTTTGTGGCCTCCACGGAATGACCGCTCGTATGAAGTCTAAGCCGTGATTTCTGTTATTGCTGTCCTCACTCAGGTCCAAAGGAAACTAGATCCCACAGTCATAACTTGAATATCAATCACTGACACTTCGAGTCTTCAAGCTTCAAGCTGACCAACCATATCTGCCATTGAACATGTGCAGCCACACTTACTCATATTGATTCCATCGACAACCTTGTTGGAGATCGCTGTCTCCGGCTACTTCAAGAAGCAGAATGGCGATATGCGGGTGCGATATCGATTTCCGACTGGGTCAGACATTTAAACAAGGACCGAAATTACTTGATCCTAACTACTAGTAAGCTCTGTGGACCCCAAGGTCTTATTTCCGACCCTCATATCCCGCGATGCTCTTCCACTTCCACTCTCACACGACTATATATGTAGCTTCGCTGTTCTCACTGGCGTTGTTCCGAGTCAAAATAGGTCGATGTCGTGTTTGGATTGCCTTCCTTATTCATCGTTTTGCTCAGTGCGATCCGATCTCTATCAACATCGCCATTGTTGCCTTCGCTGTACTTACTCTAGATCTGATTATAATAGCCCATAGTCAAGTTTGGCATTGGCAGGCCCAACTGAATTCATGATCAAGTCCTAAATCCGCGCTACATCCTCATCAATCTGACCGGTTGTTATATGCTAACCTGTAGGATTTCCCTAGTCTGATCGAGTGCCGCCGCCGTAAACCCGTCTAAGTAGTGTTGGGTTCTCTTGTGTTCAACTTGTGTTGTCCGAAGCCAAGAGTGACGAGATCCCACCGCAACGTTCGAACGAATCAAATTTGAATGAAGGAATGATAGCCAGTCAAATAGAACGTTACATTGACGAGGAGAGCTCTGCGTGGTTACTGTATCATCATTTATCGAAGTCGTTTTCGCAGTGAGCAGGTCGAGAAATGTGTCGACGGTTTGGCGGGTTACTCTTTTAGGTTACCAGGCAGATGCCATGCCGCAAACTTCCTCTGCCCCATTTGGATTACTGACTTGCCGTTACACATCATCATGTTTCTGAGATCTCGGAGCCAGATGGGCTGCTTACCTCCATTTTCTACCCGTGTTTCCTCCCATGGCTTTCCCCGCCATATATTAAGTCAAAAAGCACTCGTCACGACTCTTTTTGATCCCCCAAACTAACCCTCAAAGGCCTATCGAGCTGGATGAGTTCTTCTCAACCTTCGACACGTTCTGTGTCAACAAGCAAGGTTAGGCACCAGTGTATGCGAGCAGTTAGGCTGCTGACCCATTGTAGCCCCAAACTTCGCCAGCTCTTTCTGCGTCTTCGCCTTCTCCCACCCTTCCAGCTGGTTGGATCAAGCAATACGACCCTGCATCACAACGGCATTTCTATGTGTGTACTCTGGTGAAAAAATCCCGACTCCTTTTTAATAGGTATTTTCTTGCGTTTTAGGTCGATACAACCGTCCCTCGTTCAACGTGGTCTCATCCATACGAAGACGAGCAATATATTCGCGAGCATGGCCACTCACACGCAAAGCAGCATAATAGCATCCGCCGCCACAGCTCAGCCAGTCAGGGAATCGCGTCACCAGTCATTGTTGCTCACCAGCAACAACAAAAGCCGCAACACCACCATCACCACCACCGTCGCGATTGCCCTCCAGATGAACCGCAAGAGCCTGCCCGCAAGAAAGCTAGGTTGAGTATTCACTCGCCCGAGAATTTCCAGTCGCCTGGCACCCCGAGAGAGGATCTCACGGCATGTTACTCCATCTTCTTCCTCAATAGAGATTTCATTTTCGATTGCAGCGCGAGTTCGAAGGCTTATTACGACGCGACTTTTCCTTCGCCGGTCAATACTGCCATGCGGCCACAATGACTTCGGCTGCGAACCCCGGGCTCAGTATCAAGGGTATTGGTGTGGTGGGGCTTCCGCTCAGCGACCGTGACGCGGACCTTGTTCGTCAAGTCATATCTCCATCATCGACCCCAGACCAGACTGTCGGAAATGCCTGGGAGTTGGGAGCGCAATTGATTGAATGTATGAATCCTGCCTGGTCTGCGTACCTGGAGGAGGTGGTTTTGAAGGACATATGGCGGAAACTGACGCCACATGCGAGTGGTTTGCGGCTCAAGCTTCAGAGTTTGATTTTATGGGAGCAATCGCACAAGTGAGTGGCTACTCTGGCACGAAACAAGTCAAATTCCTAATGTAAAACAGTCCTATGTTATACGAGTGGTAAGCACATTATCAGGGGTAGCTTCGTTCACTCATCAGTGATAGTACTCAATCTCAACAATCAGACTCGACCGAATTTGCCAGCGTTCATGTCATTCTCCCATCCACGTACACTGGAGGACACGTACAGCTCTCTTTCGCCAGTTCTTCCGAGCATTATGATTTGTCGCCAACATCAAGGTGAGTCTATCTTTGCCTCATTGTCCCACCACTTCTAAGCGTTGTCAGTTTCTCGACTTCTTTCGTGGCATGGTATCACGGTGTCGAATGCCAAATCAAGCCCATCGAATCAGGTCGCCGATTGGCCCTGTCTTACCGTTTGGTGGTCTCAGAGGGGCCGCGGCCAACGCTTCCCGTGATGACCGACAAGCTACAAGATCTCCGTCGTTTTCTTCGCAAATGGTCGAATTTCCAAGAGTACGAGCCGGATAGCGTTCCTACCATTATCGCCTATACGCTTGCCTACGAATATCATGACGACGATCTTCGTGGTGACACTCTCAAACTTGAAGATCGACACAAAATTATCCATCTCAAGTCGCTTTGTGATGAGCTTGGCTTCCAGCTTGGGCTCGCTACCCTCGATGACCACTTGATTGGCACCGCAGACGAATCAGCAAGTCGGGATGCCCAAGGGCGACCGAAGCGAATGCTGCGCGTTAACAATCGACGTCTTAACATCAAGGAGGTATACGACTTTGACGGTTTGCCCATCCAGGGCATGGCAAAGCTCGAACTGGAGGAGGGAGATTTGGTGCCGCCCCCAGAGTCTGCGCCTGACTTGGTCGTGTATGACGCGAAAAACCCGCATGTCATCGAATTTCGTATGTTGCAGCGCTAATTTGGTTTTCCGTGCTCTAACTGGCGGTCTAGACCACTCTCGCACGGTGATCGTGATATTCGAGAAACGACGGACGGTGGAAATGCTACTTCACACTCGAAAGACGCCTTACGCGCTGGAGAGGCTGCACAATGTCGACCGTCGCAACTCTTCACTCATCGAGCGAAAAATCGTGTCCTACGTTTTGTCCTCCCTCTATCACCAACAGCCATACAACTTCGATGCCCAGGCCAGGCTGGCGGAGATCTCTCTTGGCTGGCACGACGCCAAGTTGTGGAACGAGACTGCTCGTAGTTCAGTGGCGCATGGGCCGATGCTGGCTTCTCTTGACCAAATTCGATGGCTCGATGCTTGGAAGCAGTTCACTTTCTCACGGATCCGTGAGAGCATCGAGCAGATCTGGGAAAAGAAGGGGGCACACAAAGGACTCGAGTTCTACCTCGTTGCCGACCCGGACATATATGCCCGGGTGGCCGACAACAGCAATGCGCTGGAGGAGATCCGGCATTGGTCAGGTGATCAACTTCAGCGCTGTTTGGATGGCCTGCAGAACCTGGAGCGCGAGCATGTCCCGCTTTTCATCAGCGCCATACGCAAAAAGGGCATCATGTTCTTCTGGGAAATGTGAGTTGTCTGTTTTGTAGCAATTCCTGTCACTGACTTTTGGTGGCAGAATTATGCGAGCAATAATCCGTGTACCCAACGCGTACGAGTTCTGGCTCGACTTTCTTGGCTCGCTCTACACTCTGCGCCTTGAAATGCTGCCGAAAGAACACGACTCGAAGAAGTTTAACGAAATCACTGACGAAGGACTCGATTCGATACTCAGCGACTTTGGCATGGTGGTCAGGTCGGGCAACATTCCCTTGCGCGGGCAACGGCTTTCGGAGATCATCGGGCTTTGCCTCTCGATTCGACGACTCGATATGTGCCGACGAGTGCTGTTCATGACCGTCCCGCGCGACCAGAGCGAGGAATGGATCCCCGTGGTGACCAGTCCTGGTTATGTGCCCCAATTGCGGCGGACTTTGCATGAACACGGGATGGAAGTGTACCACAAGCCATTCTGCGACTTCTTCAGCGCGGCCATCGGGTGTTTCCTCCACTTTGTTGTCGGGGCCTACAGCAATTCAACCCGCAAAATATGCGGCTCCTGCACTGTTTGCTCGGCGCTCGATGACTTCCTGGTCTCTCCGAATCTTACCCAGGCTCATTTTGTTGGGACCAAGTCGCAGGCGGAGCACCTCGAGGCGCATTTGGTGCCGAACCCCGATGTGGCCAGCTTCCACTCTTACACCGACACGAATGCTGGCACGATCACCGTTGTCAGCAAGCTGCGCAACCCGGCCACGGACCCGCACTGGCTCAAGCGGAAGAATGCGGCCCTGGAGTTCTTGGCCACGGTGGGGGACATGAAGATCATTGACCGCATCATGGGGAGACGGTACAACGACGCGATGCTCGCTATAGAGGGCAAGGGATTGTTTGTCCACCTCGAGGACGGCTCCCGCGCGGGTAGCCACAATTCGTCGAGGGGCATTGCCATTCATCATCAGGTCCAGGGTCGGTGGGCAGCGACAAGTGTGACGGATGAGCCTATGCAGAATGGCCGGTGATTCATATGTACCAAGCTATGTTTGTGTGTGTGTTGCTTTGGGCTATGCGCCATGTATTTTTCTTAATTGTAGCATTAGCAGCTTTCCCAGTAACATTTCCTACCCAAACATTTTTGCATTATGGCTGTGCTTTAGCCAGCTTGAAGCATTGTTATAAACATGTTTGATTTGGTGACAATAAATGGAACAAAGTCGGTTGGGTTCCACCCGGGTTCAGAAGGACCTAGTTAAACCTAGATATATTCTTTGTGTATCTACATTTGAACGGTTCCTGTTTGACCTGACAAGCTCTGGACAACGACGATTTACGTGGGGAAGCTGAGAACGGCTTTCCGACTCCTCTTCGCATTACGAAGAGGTTGGCGTTGCATGTCCTTGTCGTGGGAGGCACTTCACATGACGACCGGGGTGAAGAGTGACTGATCACAATGGTGGAGACTATATACACACGTAGCATACTACAAGACACGTGTAAGTATGTAGTACCCGCTACGCTTTCTGATTCGGGACCACTGCGGTAATCATATCCTATCGACAAGATGAATTAATTTGGCTACCACATCTTGAATCGGAAAGGTCTGCATTAGGCCTGTTGCTAGGATTTGGAGACTGAGCAAGACAGCCCTGAGCCCTCAGCTCGAACCGTGATGCTGCGGGTGTTGACCTAGTGAAGCGACAGCCTCGACCGGTTCGGCCGGTGTAATGATAATCGTAGACGCAGATTGGCGTGTCTTGATATGCCTGTGCTGCTGCTGCTATAGCGTGCTGCTATAGCAAAGGCAATCCCTAGACACTTCCCGGGCAATATCAGTCCTATGAGCGGTTGTAGTCGTGTTGTGTCCGACACACGGCAACGCCTCGTCTGCATCGGTGGAACAAGTCAAGCACACCTCTACATATGTATAGCAACGGGTCCGGAACGGAATAGAGTCACAGTAATCGGCGCTGAGCCTTAGCTGTCGGTCTGGTTTCCAAAGAGAACGTGAAACTGTGGGGTGTTTTTCCATCCGAGGGACGGCGCAGTGCTGGTTCAGGGGCTCTGGCATCGTGTTCCGTCACTCTACAGCATTTCTCTCGGAGACATGGTGGTTTCCTGACTGCGGAGTGCTAAGCTTCTCGGTGCATAGGCCGGGGATCGGCCTGAGAGGGCGGTGTGTAAATCCAAGAATGTCGAGTGGACAGCTGCCCTGCCTGGCCAGCAGCACGAGAGTACTGAGACGAGAGTGGATTTTGAGACTTGACTTCATCTTGCATGAGGTCGAGGCGCCAAGTGTTCTGGCTGTTGATAATAACATCTTAGCCACAAGTACTTGGTTTCGCATTGCTATGGTCATGCACAGGTCAAGCAGTTCCAGCGCAGTTGACAGGTTCAACTTGAAGTGGGAATGTCGGCAGAAAGCTGTGTCGTCACGTGTGACCGTGACATGAACTTCTTAAACGCAGAAAATTTTGTTGGTCTGACGCAGTGGCCCCACTCTCGCTCATGACGATGCCTTTCTTTATCTCTCTGCCCTCGACGTCGCCCGCCTCCCCCACTGGTCTCCAGGCTACCAATACGCTCGCAATAACCTCAATTCCTAAACACTTTTTCGAGCCAACGTTGCTCCGGGTTTTGCGGGACCACTTTGCGACGTATGGGGACATCAACCGCTGGGTTCCGCTTCCCAACTTCTCGCGTATCATCGTCATCTATGCCTCGAACGAGTCAGCGGAGATGGCGAAGATATATAGCGACCCCATTGTGCTGGAGCAGACTAGCGATCGGTAGGTTCTTGCGCGTTACTAGTTGGACTGGGTCTTATTGCACGCTAGATCGCGGATAACCCTCAGGGTATACAGAGCCGACCCAAATCCTCTGCTGCCTCCAGGCGAAGCCATCGATGTGCCAGCAGCCAACTACCTCCAGCCACCCAAAGTCGACAAGAACTTCCTCATCAGCCCACCAGGGTCCCCCCCAATTGGCTGGGAGCAAGTCAGAGAAGACCCGCCGAACGCTGCCCCGCTGGCCGATGACCTCATCGCGGCATTGCGCAGACTCCAAGTGCACGACCGGGAGAAATCAGGGGGCTTGGAGGTTCTGATCGACCCAGAGGACGGTGATGCTGGCGTTGGGATCTATGTCGAGGACTGTGGGAGTGACGATGACGAGTCAGAGAACGAAGACGACTGGGTTTATGGACAACCTCCGCCTTTCAGAACGCGCTGGGCAGCGACCGCATTGCCTCCGGCTATAGACAACACCGCATAATTCGTGAGTGCGCATCTCCGGTTCCGCCTTTCTGGATGATACCCATTCAGACCTGTTCCGACGTTCTGATTGAGGACACCTCTTATATTGCCTTTTATATCTGATCCTTTTTCTTTTTCTGATCTTTGTGCGCTCAGTGGCTGATTCTTTTGTCCCAGTGTATCGATAAAACCTCTTGTATCACAAATGGTGAGTTGTTCATTCCTTTCAATTCAGGACGAAAATCCATCAGACCTGTTCTGACTTCTCTGGAGACAACCATTATTGCCTTTTTTTTCTGATTCTTCTCTTGCCTTTTCTTGGAGATGGTGCTGATCATTTTCTACAGACTTTTACGGACCACATTAGTGTACTTATGTATCAAGTATCTTTTACTCACTGAGGAAGGGACATTCAAATGTAACATGGACTTGCATTATTGATGACAATCCCACTCTCAATCCCAAGCCAACTCGTTACTCAATCTTCCGCCGACCCTCGCTCGAAATTGTTGCTTGTCCATCTGTAGCACGTTCCCAAGCAAAAAACAAGGCTATATGGGGTCGTCAGACGGGGGCATAGAGCGCCAAGAAACACGCACCGTCTCGAATCGACCGGCGATATGAATGGAGACAAGTAAGGCTGTCAAAGTGATGAGTCTTCGCCACGAGCGCCATTTCGACCCACGCGATGGAAGACAACCGAGCGAGCCATCTTTGCTGGCGGATCGAACCTGACAGCCAACCCAACGCGTGAGCGAGAAACGCCGAATCCAATGCGTTTCATGGCCTGAAAAACAATGAATGCAAGGCCATTGGGGAAGAGAGCCACAAACCTTCTCGAAGTCCGACCAGCGCACATCAGGGGCTGGCTCATCCGAGGCGGCCGCGCTGCCAGATTTCAAAGGGAGAATGCGTTGGAATACCTAGCCATGCTGTTGGAAGCGCGACCGCAGAAATCAAGCGCCCGACCTTGAAATTCTTTTTGCCGATGGTGAACTTTTTGGGTAAGTAGTCTGGGAGCGACTCCCCCCAGTCCATTAGGTCCGAGTCCACATTGATTTCGATGCCAGTTTTCCCGCCAAAGAACTCCTCTTCGACCTCGTCAGCCCACGACATGGCCTGCGAGTTCTCGGCGAACAAATCCTTTTCGGTGACCTCTTCCACCTTCGTCTCCTCTGTGTCGTTTCCCGTACCTGGCATCGTCCACAAGTCGTTAATGGGATCCAGGTCAGGATCGAGGTCGAAGTCGAACTTGAGATCAACCGTTTCTATCCAGTCAGAGTGGGCGCGCGGCTGGCCCCAGAATGGAGGAAACGGTCTTCCTTCTGCCTTATATTTCGCCACACCGTCCTTGTAATGCGACGAAAATACCATCTTGATGGGGCTGATCCGGACCGGGCTTTCCGGGTCGTAAAGGCGCAACGCATCCGGCGCGCCACCCTCAACTCTATGCACCTTCTCCAGCCCTCGACCGACGTTCCACAACACCCCCTCGATTTGCTTCCATGCTGCATCGAACAACAAGAGGCCCGCAACTCCTTTGGCGTCCCCTTTGAAGCCGACCTCTGCGTAGTCTGCTCGAAGGCGTTCCCCTTCCTTGAGGGCCGCGGCCAGCTCGGGCGACTCCGCGTCATGCCTGATTTTGTCCATCAGGGCCAGCCAATATCTTATCGGCGTCTTTCCAGTCGCCTTTTGACGCCACGTGTTCCCGATGGACCGGACAACAGTGTAGGCATGCGACCAATCCGTAGTCTTGTTCCGGGGGACCCGCTTCAGCCTTTTGGCATCCATAAACGTGGTGTTGTGGACAAATTCCGGGTCTTGAAAAGTGCTGTCTTGCGATATTGCGTATTTGACGAGTTTTTGACCGAATGGTGTCTCGACTAGCTGACTTTTGCATTCGACCACTGAGTAGCGAAGTATCAGACAAGAACAAACAGTGCGGAAGGGCATACCGGGTTCGACATTGCTCAGTTCCCTGTACGCATCTTCGCTGAACTTGCTCACTTCCGAAGGATTCTCGCTCTAAAATGCTCAGACTGATGTTGTGTCGGGCGTACGAGTATTGCGAACCAGAAATTTCGCCAGACGATCCATAAACCACACGTCCTGCGAGAAATCACTCTCCGTGAACTGCACGACCAGGCGGTCGAGCTCGCTCGAGTATCCGTGCTCTTGAACATATTTTTGGTTGACCTTGATGCGTGGTTCCCCGGTAGCAGTCTAGCGTGGTCAGTAAACGTGCCATGAACTATAGTGACACTAACTCGGTAACGCGTGAAAAACGGGCGGAAGTATGGACTATAACTGATCATCTCTGCCAGTCTGTGCCAGCGCTCGTTGCAGAGGTAGGACACAAAGCAGAGGCACGAGACGAGACGCCACAAGATAGAGCGATCGTTCTTATATGCGTCCTCGATGGCAGCGGTACTGGAAAGCTTCTTTTCCATTAGCTTGTTCAATGTCACTGCGACGGAGAACCACGTCATGTTGGATATCTAGAATTATTAGACTTCACATCGAGAGAGAGCCCCAGGTAACGCACTGTCAGGATGAACATCTGTGACTGAAATGCAAGCTCTCTCTGATAGAGCATCCCGTTGTCTTCATTTGAGTCTTTGTTGTCCAAGATGATTGACGGGGAATACAGCGCAAGCATGTCCACGAAGGCTTTGTGATCGAAGCGCAACTCGTCAGCAGTATCCGCACCGAGTTGCTATGGGCGCTATCTCAGTCAGCGTCGCAGCACAGCAAATTACTTACCATCTCGGACGAGGCAATCGCTCGAATGACGCGCCAATCGATGTCGGGAACATTGCTCCCACTCATAACGGCTGCATCACGACGCTATACGTGAGCCATTATTAACCAACGCACCAATTGAAAATGGGTGGGAGCGTACCGTGATCCAGTCAGCCAAAGATTCACCGCGATGGCGCTTCGGTGCGGGCGCAACTCGAGGAGGTGAGCATAAATTCAACCGGAAAGCAAATTGAAAGTATTCGCGCATCGCTTTTTCAGACACACCTGGTCCTCATAAGCTTTGATGTTTGAAAGAAGAGGGTACCAACCCAAGTCCAGCTGAGAACAGGCTTAACATTAGCGTGTTCCATGTCCGTGAGATAGACGCACCGCCGCCAGATAGAAGTGTGCTTCTTTGCTGGCTGGTAAAGGTTTTAAGTTCCTCGCCTCTGCTGGGCTAGCCAACTCGGTAAACTTCTCTTGCGCTCGCTCACGGCCGTATTCGTTAGTTATCCTGGTGGAGAGTTGAGGAAGCTTAGGGCACGCTTTATTGGACGTACCATTCTTGAAAAGCCTTCTTCCCTTCGAGGGACGACCGGCAATAAACGACCATATTGCTGAGCCACTCCGCAAGGAACGGTGTCGTTCCCCACCTCTTGGCGCGTTGTATGTGGAGGGAGGACATCTTAGTCTATGATGAAGCCGTCAAGCGAGACCCTGGTCGACCCTGAGTCCGTCGCTTAAACGCTCAAATAAACTTTGTGCATCGATAATCCATTCTGATGTGTTCGGTTTTGACTGGAAATCCCGTAGGAATCTGTGATGTTGAAAGTCGGTGTGAGCCCTGTATGAAGTTATCTACTTTGCCTTACAAACAAACCTTGTGGAGTTTGAACGACCCTTGTATGTTCTACTACTGTACCTGCGTATGGCGCGTCATCTGGGTGAACACTTCGAGTCACGGGACTGTGACAGTCACGCTTATCGTCAACAGAGGTCAACAGAACTGAAAGACGGTTCACTGAGTTCAGAACTTGAACAGCCCCCTACTCTATCACAACATGGCAAATTTCAGTGGCATGAGCCCATAAACTTGGACACACAAACCTCTCGTCACCTACTGCAAGCTTAAACGCCTTCGACCTCCATTCGTCCGACGTCCACAGGAACTGCTGCTGGCATCCGCCTGTTCTCATGCTCGACTTCGCTCAACGACCGTCAGAAGCGGGTTAGCCCTAAAGTGCGCCGCCTATACCCCTTTGCGATTTATCCACCTTGAACTGGGCTCCAGGTTCATGTCGTCAATGGACTCCGAACTAGAATCCTCCGCTCAGTCGTTATTGCTCAGTTGCACAATCGCTACATCCGTCGTAGGAGTAGAAAAGGACTATATTGCTGCATTTGGCGCCTTGCAGTCGGAATACGGCTTCCCAGGAAATTTTGCTGTCAGCTCTCCATCCAATCCCACATTCCAAGACGCTTGCCAAGACCCATTGGGCCTCGTTCCCTGGAAGCCATTTATCCAACTGCTCAAGCGGATGTCTACGACAGTTATCCGGTTAGCAGCAAAGGCACTGAACGACGGAGCAACTTTGGGTCTGCTCTCGTTTCGTTCATCTTAGCCTTGATGATGCTGACCCTTTCAACAGAAAAAGAACTACTCGAGGATTGACAGAGTTTCGTAGCAATAATACAATTTGATTTCACCCGCTCCGTGCTTTTGCGTCTGCTATCAGACTATCAGCCGCCTTCTCTGACATCTACGATGGACAAATCAGCTCTCTTCACCACAATATGGACTCGATACCAACCATATACATCGGCGTCGTCACAAAGTACCCCGGCACATTCGCCCACGAGCTCAGATCGACCACGCGCAAGCGACTTGTCTTCCTAACCTGGAAGTCGCCGTCCAGTACCGCCTGAGGGTCTATCGAAAGTGATTCAGCGCCGGAAACAAAAATCTGAAACTCCCGTCCGACCTCCATCTGCCCCCATCGCATTCGTGCAACATGCGTGATGTCCGAAAATGTGGTCCAAGACGTGTTGAGTCAAATTTGCTCCGGCGGGAGGGAACGCCTGCTCTTCCACGAATGTAGCAATGCCAGGCGAGTCATTGACTAACGCCTGCATTCGCTGGAGGCCCAGGACCAACGCTTGTAGGTCACGTGTCCCAGCATCATCAGGGGCTTCGAAATGTCGTTTGGCGATGTCGAGCGCGTCCTGAGGATGGGATCCAGTGAGCTTGACGGAGCCTCTTGAAGACGGATGTGTGAGGAGAACAATCGCCGAGAATCCATTTGGGTTGTCAATGACTTTTTGAGTCATGCCTGTTTTTTCTCTGGGGGTTAGCGGGCCTTGGAAACCGGGAGGGCTAACCGTGAACAATTCCCTCGAAATATGCGGGCGCGATGTACGTAAATATATCAGGCGCCGTCGCAGACGCGTCGCGGTTCGACTTGTCGACGATGGCGTTCAAAACTGGGTTGAATGAATAGATGTTGTGGTGGTCTGACGTGATCCAGTCCTCCAAGCACGGGTCAAGGGTCGGGTCAGAAAGAAACTTGCAGCCCTCGAGAAGGACAAAGTCGTTCTTCATCTTCCAGGCAATAGCGATCTCGTCGTGGTCTAGGGCGGAAATATTCATTTGTCATCGCGTTTGGCAGCGCGCTTTACCTTGCAGATTGGACCCTACTCCGGGTGCATCAACCACTGTGTCAATACCAAATTGGGCGAGTTGCGCTGGATCGCCGATTCCCGATAGCTATATAGACCATTGGTTCTGTGCATTTCACCCGATTGTAGAATACCATGAGCTGATATGTTCGTTAGCGAAGACGGTGAGATTCTAGGAGAGCCACGCACAATCTGGGGACTTTGGAATACGCCCGCAGAAAGGATGACTTCGTGTCTTGCCATCACCTGTCGGACTGCGAGGTTTTGCTTGCCCTGAAAATGTCCAGACACAGCAAGCGCCGCACCCGGCGCAATTTCGACGCCATAGGCTGTGGGAAGGCTGTCCGAGCCATTGCACAAGAGGACCTTCGTCACGAGGGTGTCGAGGGTGATGTTTAGATTGCTCCGGGCCGCCTTTGCGGCGTTCAGTCGATTATAAACGGATGAACGGATGTGGTTGGTGTCGATGGTGAAGCTTGGGGAGGTGATGCCGGCTGTACCGTCCGAAGCGAGGTCGTTCAGGTCTGATATCGTCGGGTGACCGGAGAGTAGAGTGAGCGTTGCGAAGATTGAGAGTAACTGTGGATCCAACACGTCTTCGACGGGTTCAGAACAAAGGAAGAGTAAAGAAAGAAAACACACACCTAGATTGTGCAACAGGTTTAGATCGGGCAGCAAGGTCGTCTCCATCCACCCATTAAACCCATGGTTGGCGACATCCAAGAGCGCATACTCATTTTTCTCGATCTTTTTGAAATAGTTCTGCATGTTGTCTCTGGACCAAGACGGGTCGCTGAACATGCTCGCGAGAGCGTCAAAGTCCCCACGCGTTCCGGCAATTATGTTGATCATGGCATTGTGGATCTTGAGCAATAAACTTGATCTGCATTTGGGCGGGAAATGGGAAAGACATACTGTTGAGCCTCCAAGGGCAGCTGCACGCGGGTACCAAGATACTTGTGACCCTGGAGTGCTATACTCCGTGACATTGTACCCCAACGACGTTGCCAAATCTATCAACGTTAGCTCAATAACAAGACCAGAAACAACACACCTTCAGTCGCTCTCGGCCAATACGCAGGTAGAGTCGAGTTAAACCCAGTCACATTGTTTCCGGCGTCGACAAGGAAGACTATGATTGTCTTGAGTTTCAAAGTCGATCCGCTGCGCTGCAGCTCACCAGAATACCCGTTTTCTGCCAGCCGCGCAGCAAGAGGGCCACCACCCGCTCCCGCACCAACGACCACAAAGTCGAATACATCGCTCTGCGAGGAAGGGTCCGGGCATGGTTGGAGAGACGGACTCGGAGCCGCGTTGCCGCCGATTCCGAGCCAGAGCAGGATGGCCAGTGCCAGTGCAAAGTCTTGCCAGTGGACACCCATTCGTGAGGTGAGGACGAGTTTACCTCATGTCAGCGTCTAGTTATAGCGAGTCGCGGCGCTGTCCGGCTGAGACCAACTTGCAAGCGACCTGCCATTGGAACGGAAGAATTTACAAGACTTGCATGGATTACCAGTAGTATTTCACTTCGAGTTGTTGAGCAGATCTTCACTCTAGATGAGCAGGTATGCGAATAGGCAGCAGGCCGAGTTGATTTAAATTCACTACTGAGCACTTGGAATTTCCTATAGCTAGCCGCTGCGAACATCGAAGTTGAGCTACTATTAGGACTCAGGTTCCAAGTTGCTCCACTATTCACACACTTAGACGCCGGCTTTTATTGACGTTTCCAAAAGTTGTCGCACCATTATTGGCCCTCTTGAGCGAAGGCAAGATGTGGTTGGTGACTAATTATAAGAACATCTGATTGGGAAGGGTAGTTTCTTTACTTCGTGTATGTTGCGAATTCAAGGGAAATTGTTGTGCGTGTGAACTAGTTGAGGTCGCGAAGAGTCAGATGAGCGGGTAGAGTTCAGAATGGAAGTAAGAGCCAAGTGTTGTGACGGCAGATGTGCCTGTGAACGGCAAGGTAGTAAGAACACAGAAGGTACTTGTACGAAATGGTGCTCACTATCAGGATCCTGTTGATTTTCACTCTTGTTTCACTCAGAAAGGTACGAGGAGTAGCCCGTGCTACGCACGGGCGCGTTGCAAAAGTTATGTCCCAAATTAGGAAATCCTAACTGAGCCTTCCCATTGGCTCATCAGAGCTGTCACATATACTCTATGTATAGTAAGTTTTGGGAGACATTGGGGTAGATGGAGCAAAAAGGAAACAATAAGATAAACCCAGAACGAGCTGAGGAAGCGAGAAATCAGTGAAAGCAGCATTGTTGGGCATCAACACGGATCCCTCTAGTAAAAGGCGAGAGGGATGTCATGATTGCAGATGCCCAAGCCACTGGAGGAGAATTACAAACGCTGGCATGCGCTGAACTAAGTCATGTACTGTGTTCGGTGCAGCGGTGGATGATGCGATCATCATGCACTATACCAAAAGCCCGAGTTGCGGAAGGAATCGGATCAAGCAGCAGATGTGTAATAATTGACCGGTGCCTGTCACCACGTCAAATAATTACTATCCGAGGTCGCTAGTGTGGGTCTGTCGGATCAGGGTACAAGTACTGTGCCAGAGAGTGTACAATATCGCCAGGTCAGCAGTATAGATGCCCAGAAAACTCAGTCGATCAATGGTCGAATAAACATGCATGGGGGGAATAGGGTCAAGCTGAAAGCACTTATAACGTGACAGGTCCGGCGCCGGCGTGTGAACTTGAATGTGACACAGATCCTCTAACTTTCAAGGTCTTTCAGCGCTTCAATCACCCAGGTCCATTACCCTCCCTAAAGTCCAGACCATCCAGTGCTCTTGACTCGGCGTTTACCTCGAGTCATCAGCGGAAACTGACCATCCCAGATTCCCAGCCTGACGATCATCTCCACTTCGATTGTCAAGAAGCTAAAGAAAGAGGGCAACATACATGCACTGTCTAACACCATGCTGGTGCTCAGCGTGCCGGGGCTGGGTATGTCCGTCTCCACTACTGCATGCGTGACCGTCTCAACACGAAAAGCGGCGCTCAAGTCAACCATGCCATGGTTTATACTGAAACTTGACTTTCTGACGGTCAAAACTTCGAGTTTGGGTTGGACTCAGTTGCTATTCTTAGCATCACCCTCAATCAGCTATGACGCAAGTTCAACTCATGACCTCTCTCTCTTCCATCACCATCTGCTCGCTGGATTCGCTGTCGTCCTGCCGAGGCTCACGCTTATCTCACTCCGTACCCAAGTAACCTCAAGTAGGCAGCTCAACGCTTGTTCGATGATCCAAATTTGTTCCGAATCCGCACTCGACCATGCTTAGATTCTCGTTATGAAACCCTGGACTGCTCTGTTGGGCTCTATTCGAGGCCCATTCTAAATACACCGCCCGTAGACTGGTCCCCGGTGCGGCACCGACACTGAATAAACTACGCTTTTGATTACATTCGTATCGACAACGCCGCATCACGGGGGGATGTAACCCAGTGATACTCCGGCGCGTAGGAAGCCAACTATGACGGCAAGAGGTCCTCCTGGTCTGCTTTAAAAGCAGAATGACTAGTCCTACTACTGCAGCCGCCTGGTCCTCAACAGCCTCTCAACGTCTGTCCATCTCTCCCCCCCTACCCAAGTGACCCAACCCACTGATAATCCGTGCAGTGCTCCACAATGTTCGCTCTCCGTTTCTTCAGCATCGCCATTCTAGCCATTTCCTCTTTTGCGGCTCCCTCTACCCCGCCTGGCCAAGTTGTCACACCAAAAGGTCTCCGTGACGCATCCACCGTCCATGAAATACCTTCAGGAGGAAAAGTTAAGCATGTCGGCAACTCGACGGTCCACATCATCAGCAACACGGGGTCGGTCCTCAAAGTGGTCAAGCTCAAACCCGAGCTCGAGGCAGCAGTTCCAACCCCTACTTCCGATGCCCCAATTCCATTGCAGACCGGTTGGGTAGCATATGCCCACTACTTCAACAACGATGTCCCAATCGGCTCGTTCAAGACTACCTGGACTGTTCCGCCCACGCCGGCTGCAAACCATGGCCAAACTCTGTTCCTTTTCAACAGCATTGAGTATGTAACCCGCTTTCAATCACGGTCCCGAATTCTCATCTTTCATTCTAGACCAGGCAGCTTTGACGGAATCATGCAACCCGTTTTACAGGTCTGTACATCTTCTCTGTCTGCCCTTCATAAGTTGATCGTGTCCTAGTGGGGACCTAGCGCAGCTGGAGGTGCGATTTCATCCACCCCCACAAAAATGAACAGGAATATGTACTGACTAAATTGATTGTAGGTGGCGCACAATGGATGCTTGCTTCCTGGTATCTTTACCCTGGAGGGACATTCTTCACACCCCTCGTTGGCGTTTCTGTTGGCCAGACGCTTCAAGGTGAAGTCCAGCTTGTTGGCGCATCTGGCGGAACCTTCAACTACCTCTCCTCCTTCACCAATGTCGGGGGCACAGCACTCGAGGTCGATGGTGGTGAGGAGTTGAAATGGGCTACACTTACCCTTGAGGCGTACGGCGTTACCACTCGTAACGACTACCCGGCAGGCTCGACCGTCTTCTCCGCGACCAACCTCGAGCTGACGAATGGTGGGTTCCCTAACATCAACTGGGCCACTGTGAGCGACACCGCGGATGGTATTATCACGACGGTGAACACCGAGGGCTCGACAGCGGCCGTTGTCACGATTACTTACTGAGGATTGTGTATTACTAGTGTGTAGGGCAATAGGCTGTAACTCTTCAACAAGTACTAATCATCTCTCTGGCCATATCCTCCCCCACGCAAATAAGCTTTCGGAATCTTCTGGACTGTCTGTGTCTTTATCAACTCCAGTCGGGAATCTCTAAAACAGGAAATGTCGGCAGGGAAAGCGGTCGCTCCTCCTTGAGCTGGAACTTCTCCATGAACCGCCTATACTGGTCCTCCGTCGCTACCCCTCTCAACCGCTGTCTCGCCTTCTCAAGCCTGGCCTTGTGCATCTTGAGCGCTGCCGCATAGCCCGCATTGAACTCGTGATCGCGTTTCTTCATCATCTTGAGCATCGCCAGCTTAGACGCGCTCTTTCGATGCATTTCGTTGACGCTGGTAATGATGACATCGCGTTCGCGCAAGAGAGGAGTGAGTTTGGGCTGCAGTTTCGCTGCCTTTGCGTGGAGCTTGCGCAGTTGCTTCTTGTCGGCAGAGGCGGGTGGCGAGGGCATGCCGGTGATACCACGGTTGGCCGGGTGGGGAGCAGAGAGTGGTTGGAGTGTGGGCGAAAGAGCTGCCGCCAGCGCGAGAGAAAGAGACGGGAGTCGAGGTTCAACGGTAAAGGCAGATTGGCGACGGAAAGAAGGCTTGGAGTTCAATGCTGTCGAGCTCCTTGTTGGCGAGGATTGCTCGATATCTGTGGTGGTAGAAAAAGAACGAGTGGCAGTTTGGTTGGACCGAGGCAGAACGAGTGGAGATATGATGCAGCCATGGGGCAGCATGAAGGATGGGTCGTCGTCTTGCTTGGTGAGTTGCAAAAACTTCTTCATGGTCGTTCAGAAGAAAGAGGAAGATGAGTGACATCACGTTGATGATTCACAAGCTAGCGACAAAAGACAGACTATTTCCATTACACCCCTCTAGTCACGACGAGGACGCAGAACACGAGTCGCTATAGTGAATGTTATCGGCACTGTGATAAAACGATAAACAGGAACGAACAGTTGGTTTGGCTATTGTACTTTGGCTTTTTCATCGCTGGTTCGCCCTCGCCTACCGCTACACACAGCTGTTGTGAACATTTTGACGAGCGAGTTTTTGTACCCACCATTCACAATGTCGCGGAAGGGCCGTTTCGCTGGCGAGGCTGGATTGCGGATCTTGAGCTTGTCTACTTCCAGTATCTCCGCGTACGCTGGATTTGGGTTCAGTATGAGACGAGGGCGTGGTTAGGACTCACCCAACATGCCGTCCGTGACCAAAGCGAGTTCCTTGAGAGTGGCGTGCCGCGCAGAGGTGACGGGCAGCGAGGCGAGCCAGTCTGGGTCAGACGCTTCTTCGAGATATTCCTTTTCGCAAAGTTCGATTTTCCCCGTCATATATTCAACGTAGAGATCGGTGTTGTACAAGTCTTGCTGAGGCTCCATAGTACTGGGTGAACGGCGGGTATAGTTGGAAGGAAGGGCGACGACAAGACTCGAAATACCTCTGTGACATTGTGACAGGTATTATGATAGTTTACAGATCTAGAGGTCGTCAACGCTCGAAAAAAGTCCGGCCCCTGGGTTCGGATTCTTCCTTTTCTTGTTCCACCTCCTCCGTCTCTGTGACGGCGTCTGCAAGCCCCGCCGTCGACCTCTCAAAGCTGCGAGTTATTGGTGGCCAATCATGAGCCACCGATTGCTGTCCAGGGGATGTAACACTGTTTGGCCACCACTCGGGCGTAACTGGGCGGGTGGACGTGTCGTTTTGTGCCGGTGGGTCATCGATAGAAGTCAAATCAATGATTGGCACCGGTGTCGCAGCAAGAGCAGTTGCACGCTCAATTGTGTCGTCTGCCCAAGCTTCAAAGGGCCCTTCGTCGAGAACTGGGTCACTGGGTAGTGGTGGAGGTGAAGTGCGATTTGTCCAAGTGAAGAATCTGGATAGGGGGATGCTCCGTCGAGGAGGGTCCTCAGTGATTGCTTCCGACTGAACCCGTCTTCGGGCTCTACGCAGCTCTGCCAAGTCCTGTATGCGACGCGGGGGGTAGCCAAACTGAATGTCGTCAGAAGGGGTTCTGATTCGACGAGTAGTCGGTTGAGGCAGTGGTGGCGACACAGCTGTGTGAATGAAAACATAGTGCGCGCGTGAGAGGCTGGAAAAATGCGACAGAAACGCAGTATGCCGCTCGCAAGGCTTGAAGAAAGCACCAACCGGGTTTCCACTATGATGTTGGTGAGATGCAGGACACGAGGCATGTCTGGACTCACCAAACAGTGCAACCAACTCCAGTTCTTGTGCATCCGCAGCTTTCTTTCCCTAATCTCAGCTGCCGTCTGGCATCCGGAGTAAAATACCCATCATCTAAGTGGGAAAGGCATCCAACGCCTTCTGGTAGACCAGTCCAGCGTTCGTCAGGGTGTGCCTCAGTGTGAATGCGTGTTCCACAGCCAGTTGACCGACGCTGGCGCTTTCGAGGGGGGGCTGTATTTTGCTCATCAGGCACAACCTGAGGCCTCCAAGGCCGATGCTGGTCCGCCAATTCCACCGAAATGTCTGCTCCACAAAACAAGGCCACGGGTGGTCTGGCTTTCGTGGGATCATAGCGATCTAATCTTCGACGACGACGTCTACGAGAGTCTTCTGCAGAGCGAAGAATGTCGATTAATTCTATTGAATCGTCGGAAGCAAACGCAAATGGACTGGGAGGTGAGGAGGAGGACATGACGGGAGATGTCAACAAGTGTTCCGGCTAACTCCGGTGACCTCTGCCTTCAACCACATTCTCCTCACTCCTTCGGTCCAGACAACGCCCACCAATCTATCTTCCGTCTTGGTTCTTGAAAATGAGATCGCCTTGCATTTGATCGTCGAATTCTGCCATGTCATTATAAGACTGCACCCCTTGACCCCTACTCTATCGTTGCTCTTCGACATATCTCTCCCCCCCGCGCCTGGGGCTAATACGCAACATGACTGCTTTCAATGCAGTTCCTATGTGCGGTTTTGCTTGCATTTTCTTCTGAAGCTAATATGTGATCAGTACGCTCCCTTTGGTACATATCTCTAACTCAGTCATTCATGACCCTTACTTCATCGAGGACAGTTGATGGGTACAATCTTAAACTGGGCTCTTCTCGGTGCTCTCGTCGTTCAGATAGGTATGCGCTATGAATCCAAAACAAAACCTTGCTCATTTTGCGCAGCCATCTACTTCATCGCTTTCCCAAAGGATGCTCTGCATTCCAAACTGCTGGTCGGACTTATTGTCGCCGCCGAATCTCTGCAGACTATGACCGGCACTCGGAATATCATTCGCTGGTGTGGAGTCGGTTGGGGCCGCCCTGAAATCTTGGATGAAGTTGGATTTGCCTGGTTTGATACGCCAGTCCTTGGCAGTATCAGTGCGTTGTCAACGATTGCCTTGACGTTGACTTATGCGCGTTTTTCCTAGTTTCATGCGCTGGCCAACTCTATTTTGGGTGGCGCATCTACATCATCAGCCGTAAGCTATTCGTGCCAATGGCCATCGCCGTTGTACGCGCCATGCAGCTCTTTGATGACTCCCTAAAGTCCCAACAGATCACCGTCTTTCAAATGTCCATGGGGATCTGGACCGGTGTTGAGATCAACCGCGCTGGGCATTTCTCCATGCTCCACTTCCGCAAGATACCTGCAGTTCGTTTTTCTGCCGTATTGTTCGATGAATAACTCAGTCTTCCAGATGTGGCTCGCTAGCACTGCTGCTTGTGACCTGCTTATCGTCGCTAGCACTTGTTTCTACTTGCTTGTAGTTCGCACTCGTGGCCTCAACCCCACGACTGACCACGTTATATCACGCATCGTCAGGATTACCGCCGAAACAGGCTTGCTGTGTGCCATCGCTGCGATTGCTGACCTGATCATATTCGCGACCTTCCCACATCGTAACTTCCACCTTGCCATTTGTCTCTGGTTGTCCAAAGTGTACTCCAACAGCATCTTACTCGTTCGTTTTTTTTTGTTTCAGAACATCTGCGGTATCTGACATGATCCAGATACTGAATTCTCGCGCCAGCATCTCGCATGGCTCGGTATGCCAGCACGACACTGTGCATTTGGGCAGGAGTCCAAGTGGAATATCGAGTGGACTAGTCTTCGCTGGTAGCTATAATCTTTCCGGCGCAAGCACTCCTACTGTTCGTAGTGAATATGCTGTAGAGAAGAATGAGGCTTAGGCCCACTTTAATCCAACCCAATTTAATCCACCTTGTCGTTTCCGGGAGAACAGTCAAGACCCAACGGGATATCCGCCGGATCAACCTTCGGTCAAAATAGTTATAGCTCTGTTGGCATCACACGAACCTTCCCTTCGAACGACAACGACCTCCCGCGTCATGTTCAGCACCACGACCAAGAAGACGCTCGTCTCCATTGCGGGCACTCTCGGGGCCTATGTCCTCTTCAAGCTGTTTCAGTTGCTCCATCGCGAGTTCCACTCGCCTTTGCGGCTTCTCCCAGGCCCGAAGTCGACCAATTGGATATTTGGCAACCTTCGTGATATCTTCAAGGCGGTAGGGGCATATAAAACCTCGTCCATTTTGTTGACTTTCCCAGGAAAATTCAGTGCTGCATGAGCAATGGGTGAAAGAGTATGGCTCTACAATCCAGTACAAGATCTTCTTTGGAGTGGGTACTCGAGGCTCGTGCGAAGCCCTCTGCTACATGTTGACGGTTTGCTATAGGCACGGAGACTATATACTGTCGATCCCAAGGCGCTCAACCATTTCCTCACCAACAGCTACATATACCAGAAGCCAGAGCCGCAGCGCTTTGGCTTATCGCGGCTCCTCGGACGGGGTATGGCTCCAAACAACTTTGTGATGGTGACTTCGCTGACTTGACTAAGGTATCATTGTTGCAGAAGGTGACGATCATAAGAAACAGGCAAACCTCTCAAGTTGTTCACTGTAAAGAGTGCTGATGTCATTGCAGCGGAGAGTTATGGTTTGTTCTCATTGAGGCAAAAGTCGTGACTCGGAAGACTCAACAACCACAGAACCCCGCATTCGGCTATCCTCAAGTTCGTGAATTGACCCCGATATTCATCGACAAGTCCAACGAGGTCAGTGGTGCCATGAACTTCGGTCTGTTAACAGACTCCTCAGCTGCGGGATGTATGGGCTGCGGAAATCCGCAAATCTGAGAATGGTGTGGCGCGCATCAACGTTCTGTCGTGGTTAGGCAAGGCGACTCTGGACATCATTGGGCTCGCAGGTTTGGCTATCCAGTCTTAACATGGAGCTGATACCGACCATGACAAGGTTTCAACTACCACTTCAATTCACTGGCCTCCGAGGAGGAGAGCGAGCTCGGCAAGGCGTTGAACGTTATCTTCAGCAGCACAGGTCACTTCAACGTGCTTGCGCTTCTGCAGATCCTGGTTCCTGCCTTCCGAGTTGTGGTGCGTTAACGCATTTAGGAGTGAAATCAAACACTGATTGTGCATTTTAGCCAACAAAAGTCGATAGCACGATGGACGGCGCGCAACAAACGATGATGCGTATCGCACGGGAGCTGCTGCAGGGCAGCAAACAGGAAATGGCCGACAGTGGGACGTTTGAGAAGGGCTCTGGGCCACGCTCAAGAGATTTGTTGTCCTTGCTGGTCCGTGCCAACACTGCGAAGGATATTCCGCCTAGTCAGCAGCTATCTGACACAGAGGTTATGGCTCGTCAGTGCTCATAATTGTGCAGCGGCTTGTTTTGCTGACAAGAAGCAGAAATTCCGACGTTCTTTTTGGCGGGGCACGAAACGACTAGGTAGGGCTCACGTTTCATGAACGGGCGTTGATCAATATATAGCACGGCAACGACATGGGCTCTATTCGCGCTGACCCAGAACAAAGCGGCACAGACGAGACTGCGGGAGGAACTCCTCGCTGTCCCATCAGAGTCGCCCACAATGGACGAAATCAATGCATTGCCGTATCTCGACTGCGTTGTTCGAGAGACATTGCGCATTCATGCCCCATTGCCATCCACAGGTGCGTTGCGTTTGCGCCAAACGATGCTTCATATTGGAGAGCAAGCATAGTCCGTGAGGCCACCCAAGACGATGTGGTCCCACTCGAAACTCCGTTCACGGACAAAAACGGCGTTGTGCACGACACTATTCGTGTTACTAAAGGACAGACAATGTCAGTCGTTACTCCCAAGTCCGCAGAATACTCATTGTTCTTGGCAGCATGATCCCAATTCTTGTGATGAACCGCGACGAGCGGGTTTGGGGCCCAGATGCTCGAGAATTCATGTCGGTGTTTATTTTTTGGACCAAAGATGGCCGGTTGACGATAGATGTAGCCCCGAGCGATGGGAAAGGGAAACCATATCCAATTCCATCCCCGGCGTCTGGGGACACATGCTCACATTCTTAGGGGGTCCACGAGCATGCATCGTGAGTGTTTTGCTTTTGCTTTTGCGTATCTTGACTATTCAGGGCTACCGTTTTTCCATTGTCGAGTATGTGATCAATTCCCCCTCTGTTACATGCTGATCAGGTTCCAGGACCAAATGCTTACTTTTTGCTCTCGTGCGCGCATTCGAGTTTGACTTGGCTGTTCCTCTTGAAGATGTTGCAAAGAAAACGAGTGTTACGCAGCGGCCGTATCTGAGGAGCGAGCCAAACGCAGGTGGCCAGCTGCCACTGCTCATTCGCCCCTACGTAGCCCAATAAGCACCGTAGCGTAGCGATTAGTAATTTATACCACCTGACGTGCTTCTTGCGCCTTTCGCTATGGCTACGAGCACGCTCGACCATATTGTGCATCTTACCCCGCCTGGCACAGTCCAGCAAACGGCAGAGCAGTGGCGCAAACTTGGGTTCAAGTAACCCTCCTTTACCGTGTTCTACTGGATCATGACATCATGGGATCTAGCGTAATCGACGGGGGCGTGCATACTGTGGTTCCCGCTGATTGGGTAATTTCCCATTGACTGGGTAATCGCAAAGTCCTAGCATAGTTTTTTGCATAGTGCTTCCGGTATCATCCGGGATGGGTTTCGTAGCCTATTAAGTATATCCTTACAAAAAATTAGAGGTATCCGTGAGGAGATGGTGTGCCGGCGCAGTGGCCGATCATGCGACTCGTGTAATATTTGGGTCCAAACTTCGTATTTGAGCTCTCCTGAGTGTGTACTGGGAAATAAATATGCCACAAAGGTATAAGCGGCCTTATATGCCACCCTGAAGTCTAAATTTTGACCCCAAGACATTTCTTCTTCGTTATCTTGAGCCATTGCTAGATTTGATGGGCCCGTGACAGGGTGTCACATTTGTCTCAATTTCAACGCTACGGAGCGACTGGTGCATAGAAATAGGTATCAACACACTCAATGTGACTTATTAGGCATATAGAGGTTGCCCAGGTGTTCCAGATAATAACCTCCCCCTTCAACAACAGAAAATGGGTATCTGGACCCAAATATTACACAAGTCGCATGATCGGCCACTGCGCCGGCACACCATCTCCTCACGGATACCTCTAATTTTTTGTAAGGATATACTTAATAGGCTACGAAACCCATCCCGGATGATACCGGAAGCACTATGCAAAAAACTATGCTAGGACTTTGCGATTACCCAGTCAATGGGAAATTACCCAATCAGCGGGAACCACAGTACCGATGGGTTCACAGCAAATGCGCTGGTTGTAAGCGTTGGGGGACAGTAATAAAGGAGGACATGGATGACATGGTTTCTAGATCATTGACGACCATACATATCTTGAGCTCCTCTCGTTCACCCACCCAGCAGACTCTTACCCACCTTCGTCGCCGCGGCACCAGCACAAATGGGCAGCCCGTGCTCCGGGTTGGATCGACTATGCTTTCCTGGGGAATGGTATTCTTGATGAAGGCCCGCAACGAATTTCGGATGTGATCAACGGCCGGTGGAGGCGGGAGACAAAGTTGTACAACGAAGAAGTTGGTGGCGGGCGCACAAGGGAAGATGGGGTGAAGCTTGAGTGGGTTATCAGCGCGCCGGCGGAAAACCACGGTCTTTTGCCCTTCTTTTGCGGGGATGTGACGGATCGGCAGTTGCGGGTGAAGCGGGGTTGAACGAATCGTCGTCGAGCTGAACGAGCATTTTAGGTTCCAACAAGGCCAGATTCGAATACCACGCACCCTTCTGGTGCCCGAGGAGTTGCACACATTCGTATTCTCGTCAAGAGTGACGAGTTTCAACTTGTTGCTGACCAGTTGAGCGCGGTTATCGACGCGAAGCCGTTTGAACGGCTGGAAGGGACAGCCAAGTGGCATCTGTCCACACTTAATGGGCTGCGTTCGCCGACGTTGGTCGTCAGCATACCAGAAAGTGGAGAGGAGGAGGACTTTTTGAGAGAGAATACAGAGCCGAACATTTACGAGGTTGCATTCTGGGTCGGAGAGAAGGGGAAGTTGGGGAGCGTCTTGTCGCCGTTTGGCAGGATTGTTTGGGTAAAGTAGTCTGCTCAACACAAAAACCACGAATTTTAGCTCGGTGGATATTAACTTCTAAGCACGAACTTGAGCTCGAATGCACTGGCTATTGGCTTCTCGTCTTGATTATTTTGAATCCTGAACAAGATGCTTTCTCTGGGTCGATTTTCGGAGAGTGTCAATGATTGGTAGCACAACGTGTAGAGTGCGTGGGGGGCATTTGAGAGAAAGGTGACCGATCAAAAAAAATTCCAACTCCGTTGTCTCCTTTTCTCCTACCAATCTCGTCAAAATACCAGGCTGCAAGAACTACTCGTCACCAAGCACTACATAATCCAGCGCTGCGGTTATTGGAAGCCACTTGCGTCGACATCGCCAGTATCGATTGAAACGGCGCCCGAGAATACAAGAAGTTCAGCAGTAGTATTTCCGTCTTTTTGGGGAACGGGAACGACTGTCTTCCCGTGGGCAATTGGAACCTAAGCAACTTGAGGATGATCTAGTGAGTGGCTATCTCGCCGTTGAGTGTGTAGACTGTTCTGACCTATCTTGCAAGTCTTTTCCATTCACACCAGCCTGCTCGGCGAAGGCACGCGTCCCACCTGTGCGGTGCGAAGCTTAAATAGTGATGCGGAGGGGATGGCTGATTACGCGCTATCGTCGTGGTGTTCAATCCTGGCCCCATTTTGCGCGTCGTCAAAACCTTAACTGGTTCACACAAATAAACCAGCGCGTTCTTTAACCCAGAAGGTCATCTAACGCTAATCCAGGAAACTTGGCCTCTGGCGGTTCGATAACTATGTCGTTTTCTATGTCGCGTTTACCGAGAACATCGTTGCTGATGGGCATTCAGCCTGAGCATTCATGGGTTCGAAGAGCTCGCTGTGTTGCAAGGCATTCTCCATCTCTTTCCAAAGTAAGTGTTGGCGTAAACTGGAGTCGATCTGACCCACGCGGTAGAAGCTTCTCCCTCCTGTCGTTCCTGGAATACTTTGACTCCCAGACTCTTGCTCCAATCTATGCTCGTTCACAACGCAAAATATTCTGCTGGCGCTGATGGTTCTTCTTCTTCTCGTTGGCATTCGGCGATCCTTCGCTACCTACCTATGTGTTGTGGGTTTAACGACTGTCTTGCCGTGGAAGATATGCCTCGCGAAGATATGATTCTACGAAAAACTGATCGGTAAGTCTCGCATTTCGGTTCATTTGACCTACGTGGATAGAAGATTCTGTTGCAGTCGTTTCCAACTCTGGGCATAGTCTTGTGTAGTCCCTTGGTATGCAATCTACCTTCGAGAGATCCGTCCGACGATATGATACCGCAAATGAAGCTCATTTCTCTGCCTGCAATGGAATGACTAAGACTCGAGTTTGGTACCTGTTGTCCCGTAAGACACAACGCACATGTGGTCCACCTACCTGTTCCTTTGGCTTCATTTCATCTCCTCCAGTTTCAAGTTGTTCTGATTCGTTTAGGCACATGAAAATCCACAAGCCAGTTGCACGTCTTGATTGCCGATGAAGACAGACGAAAACTCAAATGCTGGAGCAATCGTTATAGCGGAGGGCAAGCGGAGGGGTTCGGTACGATAGATGATGGGTGCAGAGAGTGTTTTGTGCGTACTATACGCAACGCGCCGACCTTTTACCAACTAATAAACCGTGAGACACTCAATTTTCGTGTGAGAGGATGATGCGCCAGATGACACGTCCAGAAATGAGTCGAATGGGAGCCATCAAGTCAAGTCACTTCGCGGTCAACTTGTCTGAAAGCGGGAACTCTGCGCTGCAAATGCAACTGTCCAGTCACTACACCCACACAGCTTCGGATTTCACTCTTACCTCCGATTTTTTTGCTCGTTCCCCTAACTGACGATCGAGGACAAGAAAACAATTAAAGTATGGATCAGCGGGATCATAAACATCGACATGCGGAAATGTCAGATCGCCGACGGAGGTCTGTACCAAATCCACCGAACAATGATGGCAATCGAGGCGGCCATCAAAGAGGTAAGACACGTTATCGTGACCTGCCTCACGGAGAACGGCCATCATGGACACCAAGCTAGCCAAACCAATCTCCACTTGTGCTCGGTGTCGGGCCAAAAAGATCGTGAGTTGTGGGATTTTCCCCATTGTTCGATGCTTCACTGACTGTTTGGTGGCTTGAAGAAGTGTGACGGAGAGCAGCCGTGTGGGCCCTGTTCTCGAGCAAGAATCGAGGTTGATTGCAACTATACCGTTGTGCCGAATCTATCCCATGGACCAGAACTGCGCAAAGGAGCTGCTTGTACTGCTTGCAGGTACGATATCACTCGTCATCTGGGGTTAAGCGCTCATAGAGTTTGTATTAGACGGAAAAAGAAGGTTTGTTGCAATTCCTTCCGAAAGCTTACCTCATGTCTCCCAGAAATGCAGTGGGGACTGGCCATGTAGGACGTGTGTTGCGTCGAAGAAGGAGGATGAATGTAAATTCAACGACAACAGCCAGATGAGCTTCACTCGTGCCTTGATTGAACGGACACTCGAGCTTGAGCAACTACTTGCTCAGGCCAAGACAGCACCACAGCCTGAATCAACCTACCCCCAGGGGACCTCAGTCCAACTAGACGAGATGTTTGCAGCACATTCTCCGCCTCCCCCAACTTCACGGATGTATTTCGATGCCCGTAACATTTCCACGCCCAGCGCAGTTGGACCACCACCCGTCTACATGGCAGACGACTCAGAGCTTGACTATTCATACCAAGCGATTTCCCCCTCCACATCCCTCCCACCAGCTTCGGAAACCCTCGAAGAGAAGATGCTGCGTTTGTAAGTGTCTACGGCACCGATTAATTGCGTCGACCCTGATCCTATTTCTAATATTAGACGAAAAAAATTCCTGGCCAAGCGACTTCAGTTCGGCTTTGTGCTCCCAGCCCATAAGTTCCAGGCAATCGTTCATGGAGACTTGTCTGGAACCGTTGTTCACCCAGTGCTTGTGCATCTTTGTCATCTTTGGGGTGCAATGCTCGACTACTGTGAAACTCATCAAACATGGACGTATGCTACTGACAGAAATGGTGACGAAGTCATGCATATGCGACTGGTGCTCGGTGGTATCGAGGGCATGTTGGGGCCACCTCCGGACCTATCGACGCGTGTTCTGGTCCATCTCAGCCTATCACTTTACTTCTTTCACAAGCAAGATTTCCAGCGCGGACAAGAATTCCTCAGCATCGCAGGGCAGGCAGCGTTGGAAAACGACATGGACCTCGCAGTGCTAAACAGTACTCCCATCAACGATGGAAATAGTGGGTCGGGCATGTACTCGTTGCTCCCGATTACAGAGGCGGACGAGCTTAGATCGGTGTTTTCGAAGCTCATTTGGGTCGGTTTGAGCTCAAAGATAGTGATCGGAACCCCCTACGACATTGACCAGCGACTAGTATCGTCGTTTGAGCGTCTACTGGTGTGTCTTCAGCCTTTAATAGATGCCAACCACTCAATATATCTGTAGCCCTCGAAACTACCCAACAATGCTGACATCAATTTTCAACGGGCGAAGAGCAATCTCCTTCTGAGAAGAACGAGGCAGTTAACGACGAGTTGGAGTAATTGTACGTTCATTTCACTGTTTGCGACCTTTCTTGTCGGCTAACACAGGCAAGCCCAAGCAACGCCTACCGCGTGGTTTGATGAATACTGGCGACTCATCGAACAACTACACGGCTATCTGGGTTTCCTGAACCCAGTTCAGATTCGGGTGTCGTTCATGCCCGAGTCGCATACGACGGACATTGTTCTCAAGCTTTGCTTGACAATGGCTCTGACGAGCCTGGCGGACCTTTATGGCGTTTTCGCGCCAAATCATCCGGAGTCCTCCTCGAGGTACCGCGATGCTGTGTTGGAGATTGTAAGCATCAGCAGTACCTTCACACTGGAGGACTGCTATCACCTCGATCCCATTCTTCCAGTATGTGTCTGCTTGAGTAGGTTTTCGTTGTTCATATTTCGTAGGTTTGCTGGGCTGTCGCAACGAAGCGGATTCTAGATAACACCGTCGTTTATGAGAACCAGCAATCCTTGATCGAGGCGATCCGGAGTTGCAACCAGAATCTAGTCCGATATGTTCCATTAGTGGCAGATTTTGAGGCAAACTTACATATTCGTTGATTTTCTGTATATGTCTTCAAGCTCTGTATCATCTGCGAATGACTGACATCACTCTCATTCGAACGACCACCAAGTAATCGGTTCTTACCCTACTGGGCGTGGCTTTCTCCTTTTTCTGCCGAGTCGAACGTTACCTGAGTTTCTCGATCGTTGCAATGCTCATTTCGGCGAAAATCAAGCCAAGATTCAAGAGTGTTCTCATCGTCAACTTGCAAGCAGGGATAACTGAAGCGTTACTCGATGCTCACCTCGGATGTTAAAACTATCATTCAATCTGGTCGGTGCGCGGGCAGTACTTCGTCAACGAGGCCTGGCTTCCCTTTTAGTCCCTTGATTCGATTGACTTTGGGCGATTGATTTGCGGGCATCGCCATCGTCGTTGGTTGCATGCAAGTACTATAGCGCTCAGCGGAAGGCGATAAGTAAGAACAAGATGACTTGTGGTTGACGTTGTTCTTTAATACCACCCTCCACCCTTCACGGAGATGAGCTTGCCGACCTCGAGACCAAGTGATCGACAAAACAGAGGGGGCGGTATGAAAAGTCTCCGTTCTATTTAAATTCTCACTCTATCAGTCTTCAGGCAGACGTGTTTGTTGTGTTCGATTGAATTTGTTGGAGAGGTTAAGGTGGATGAAGACTGGCATAGGGAATGGAACGACAGCGGTTAACTCAAGATACGCGCGGACTCCGGTCTGACGTTGTCTCCTTATCTTCAAACGTTGGCCCCACACGGCGATAGTGGGGTTTTTGATGGATTTGTGGGGTGCATCAGCGTTCCCCGCAACAGGTGATGGAGGCAGACGTTGTTTCAAGCAGCCCTGAGCTCCTGTAGTCATCTCATAACAGGGTGGCGAATTACATTTTGGTTGGATAGTGACAAAACATGCGGCGTGATCGCTTCGGCAATGTGGCCACGGCTAGAGACTACGATTAGAAAGGGCTCGAGTTGGCTGCGCACCACGACGTTGAGTCAAGCAAGCCGCGACCGAACCCAGTCAGAAAATCGGCTCAAGGGCCCCAGAGGCATCTCGGCATCGTCCAAGTGGGGCTGTGTGTCACAGTGTGACCGTGACGAAAAACTGACCTAATATAGCCGAGCTTGGCGGTGTGCTTTCTTCCCTTTCCCTTTCTCCCCCTTAGAGGTTTGTCGCCGGCTGTGGCTCCACTGCTTGCTGACGCGCCTTAGGCCTTTGAGCCACCTAGATACTGCCTATAGAGCGTTCCCTGTCCTTGTTGGCCCTCGTATAGACTTATCTCCTAGAGTTTTCCACCATACCACCTCTAAAGGTGTGTTTGTACGCATTTTGTGGAGCATACTTGCTGACTGGCTACGATGTAGACATCTGAAATGCCCGCTGCCACTCCCGCCCCCGTTTCCCTCAAGGAATTTGACGTCGCCAGCCTTTTCGTCGCCGACAAAGCCACTCGCGAGTCCACTGCCACCAGCCTCGTTGCCCTTGCCCAGAAGGGTCCCTCCGCCATCACTGGTGTCACTGATGCCATCGTCAAGGCCCTCGCCGACAAAAAGTCACCCGCCGCCCGTGAGGGTGCTGCTGACGCCATCACAACGCTTTCCAAACAAGGCGGTGTAAAAGCCATCGAGCCTACCTTCATCAGCTCCGGCATTTATGCCGCTCTCCTTGAGGGCTTCGCTGACAAAATGCCTGCAGCCCGAAATGCTGCTGTTTCCGCTGTGCGCGAGTTCGTTGCAGCTATGAACCCCTGGGCTACTGCCCTTATTCTCCCGCCCCTTCTTCAACAAATCAAAACTGCCGGCAAATGGCAGATCAAGACTGGCTCCCTCGAGGTTCTCAACCAACTCGTTGTCAGTGCGCCAACCCAGACTGCCCGTCTCATGCCCGAGATCGTACCTGTTCTCTCCGAAGTTATTTGGGACACCAAAGCCGACGTGAAGAAGGCGGCCCGTGATTCGCTTACGAAGGCCACCGCTCTCGTCTCCAACAAGGACATCGAACGTTTTATCCCGGCTCTTATCAAAGCCTTAATTAATCCCGTAGAAGAGGTCCCGAACACCATCGCCCTCCTCTCGGCCACCACATTCGTTTCTGAAGTAGACTCCCCAACCCTCTCCCTCATGGTTCCCCTCCTGGCCCGTGGTCTGAACGAGAAGCTCACTGCTACTAAGCGTAAGGTCGCGGTGTGAGTGTTTTTGATCAACTTGTTATCTGCATCATGATTTGTCTGATCTTGTTCTGCAGTATTGTTGACAACATGTCTAAGCTTGTCGACTCGCCGATCACCGTCCGCCCCTTCCTGCCCAAGCTTCTCCCAGGTCTTATCAAGGTCGAGACGACCATCGGTGACCCCGAAGCTCGTGGTGTTATCGGCAAGGCCATCGCCACTCTTCGCCAGGTTGGAGAAGTCCCGACCGGTGACGCTTCCGATCTCCCGCCCCTCAAGCTTGCCGAACCAAGCAGCTTGATCTCAACCCTTTCCGCCATTTACAAGAAACTTGGCGGTGAAGTTCCTACCTCTGACGCCACTGTCGTCTACACCGCCTCACTCGCGGCCAACCTTGTCAACCTCAAGAACTTTGACGTTCCCGAGTGGGATGGCCTTGCGCCATACCTCGCATTTGTTGCTCCTTCTCCTGAGCCCGTCTCTGTTACCCGCGAGTGGGTCGTTCGCTCCGCGGTTGAAGACGATGACACTGCTGAGGTGCCTGAGGATGAGGAGGAAGGCGAAGATCTATGCAACTGCCAGTTCTCACTAGCCTATGGTGCCAAAATCCTGCTCAACACCGCTACTCTCCGTCTCAAGCGTGGCCACCGCTACGGTCTGTGCGGCAAGAACGGTACCGGCAAGTCCACCCTCATGCGTGCTATTTGCAATGGGTTCGTAGTTCGCTGTATTTTCCCGTTATCACCAGTTAACATTTGTTTAGACAAGTCGAGGGCTTCCCGTCGCCTGACGAAGTCCGTACCTTCTATGTTGAGCATGACATTGATGGCAGCGAGGAGGATACCTCTGTTCTCGAGTTCATCCTCAGCGACAAGCGCATTCTCGCCACCAAGGACGAGGTCATCACCACCCTCGCCTCCGTCGGCTTCAATGACGAGCGTCAAGGCAATGCCATCGGTAGCTTGTCCGGTGGTTGGAAGATGAAGCTTGCTTTGGCTCGTGCAATGCTTTTCCGCGCTGACATCCTGCTTTTGGATGAGCCCACTAACCATCTCGATGTCGTCAACATCGCCTGGCTCGAGAACTACCTTACCGGTCTCAAGACTTGCACCTCCAGTACGTCTATTGTTCTTGGCTAATGTTTTATTTGCTGACCACTCGCTTAGTCATCGTGTCTCACGACTCGAGCTTCCTCAACAACACCATCACCGACGTCCTCCACCTAAACCGCTTCAAACTTCGCCGCTACCGTGGCAACCTCGAGAAGTTCGTCCAGGCCGTGCCCGAGGCCAAATCCTACTATACTCTCGAGGCTGCTGAGGACTACAAGTTCAAGCTGCCCGACCCCCCTCTCCTCGAAGGTGTCAAGACCAAGGAGAAGGCCCTTCTTAAGATGCGTAAAGTTGGGTTCCAATACCCCACCCAGGTCAACCAGCAGCTCTATGACATTACGCTGCAAGTTTCGCTCAAGTCCCGTGTCGCCGTTCTCGGTCCCAACGGTTCCGGCAAGAGTACCCTTGTCAAACTGCTCATCGGCGACATGGAGCCCAACAAGGGTGGTGAAATCTGGAAGCACCCCAACTTGGTCATCGGTTACGTTGCCCAACACGCGTTCCACCATATCGACCACCACCTCGACAAGACGCCCCTCGAGTACATGCTGTGGCGTTACCAGACTGGTGAAGATTTGGAGGAGATGACCAAGGCCAACCGTATCATCAGCGAGGAGGAGGCCAAGCGCATGAAGGATGGTGCTGTTATCGTCATTGAGGGCCAGAAGCGCCTCATCGATGAGATTCTCGCCCGCAAGAAGCTCAAGCAGTCTTACGAGTACGAGGTTTCGCTCAAGGGCCTCAGCTCGTCTGAAAACATCTGGCTGCCGCGTGACGACCTTGTCAAGCGTGGTTTCGAGAAGGTTGGTGCACTCAGGTTAATTTTTGTCCTCTCTCTCTAATGCCTCATACAGAAAGTCCTTGAAGTCGACACTCGTGAGGCCCAGCGTCTTGGTCTCCTGCGCCCTCTCGTCCGACGTGAAATCGAGAAGCACTTTGCCGATTTCGGTCTCGAGCCAGAGTTTGTCAGCCACAACACCATGCGTGGTCTCTCTGGAGGACAAAAGGTCAAGATTGTCCTTGGTGCTGCTACCTGGCGCCGCCCCCACGTTGTCTGCCTTGACGAGCCGACCAGTAAGTCGATTCATCTCTCAGTCGACATCAGTTAATCAATTCTTCCCAGACTACCTCGATCGTGAATCGCTTGCCGCTCTCATCGAAGCACTCAAGGTCTTCGAGGGTGGTGTGCTTGTCATCACGCACAACCGTGACTTCTCCGAGTCCCTTTGCGAGGAGTACGTATCAAATGTGGTTTATCTTTGCTTTTTTGCTTAACCACTTTGCAGAGTCTGGGCCATGAGGGATGGACGTCTGGAGGCTTCCGGCCATAACTGGGTTGAGGGCCAAGGCTCGGGTCCTCGCATTGACAAGAAGGATGGGGAAGACGACGACCAGTACGATGCGATGGGCAACAAGATCGACACGAAAAAGACCAAGAAACTGACTGCTGGCGAGGCGCGCAAGGCCAAGAAGGAGCGCATGGCCCGCAAGAAGCGCGGCGAGGAGGTCACCGACGACGAGCTGTAAATTGTTCCGGATGGCTTGTTGTATTGTGGTGTACTCTCTCTTGCTCTGTTGTCAGTGTCTCTTTTTTTACCTTGTCTGCCCTACTACTACATATCGTATCATTTCCTATTCTATACTGGCTGTATCCTCTATCCTCGAGTGCGGAAAATTCTATTTGTCTATGCTCTATTCTTCCGAGTGGACCTTCATATGCATGCTTTATGTGTTAGGTCATGTGCCATGATTCCTTGTCCGCTTTCAAGTTTTCGACGTCACAAGGTGTCGCATAAGACAGCGAAGGAGCGCTGGCCACGGCGGTTCGGCACCCTGGGGCCGATGTGGATAATAAAAGGCAACGGAAGGATACTTCGTGGAGCCGCCGACCTCTTCTGAGTCAGGAATGGGGGGCCTACAAGCTGCAAATGCCGCCCGACGCGCTGAACTTGCTGGTCCGGCTGGGATTCGAGGGTTAATGCAGAACCCTCGCTTGTTTAGGCTGGCTATTATCACCACGTACGTCGAGCTAAATTTTCCATTCTTATTTCCTGACCAACGATTAGACTTGGTGCATTGTGTTATGGCTATGAGCAGGGTGCCTACTCCCAGGTTCTTGTCATGGATGCATTTGTCAACGACAGGAGATTCGCTCGCATTGCGAACGACTCCTCATTCAAGGGTTGGAGTGTTTCGTGGGCTTTTTCTGTTCTCGTTATACGCTTGTAGTTAATACTCGGCAAGGACACTCGGTCTTGGTGGTTGGGCAGGAGCTTTATCGAATGTAACCCACTCTCAAAGAGACAGTCAGCAAGGCTAATTTATATCTAGGGATACTTATGCGACATTATATCTCGACGGTGGACACTTTTTGTGGGGGCTATGATTTGCCTGTTGGGGACGGCTTTGACGACCGGAGCACAAAATGCGGCTTGGATGGTTTGCCCTTCATATAATGTCTCGCCGAATCTCATTTTAGTACCATCAGTTCGTGGGGAGATTCTTTATCGGCTGGGCAGTGGGAAGTCTTTCTGCAGCCGTTCCATTGTGGGCTGCTTGTGATCTGACCGAAACCCCCTTCTGACTTGCTTGCTAGGTACAATTCGGAGATTTCACCACCAGAGCTACGTGGCACTGTTGTCTCCATCCAGCAATTAGCGATTGTGACTGGCATCTGCATATCATTCTGGTGAGCCTGCGGCCGCTACTTTCGCCTACTGCTAACTGCCTAAACCAGGGTCGGATTTGGCACCAACTTCATCTCAGAGACGAACTCCGCCTCGTGGCGCGTCTGTCTCGCCGGTCAGGGAGTCCCCTCGTTGGCGTTGGCGCTGCTTAGCTTCACGCTTCCCTACACGCCACGATGGCTCATTCGGAGAGGGCGCAATGAAGAGGCGTTGAGCACGTTAGCATGGTTAAGGAAGATGCCAGAGGACTCTGAGATAGTCCAATTGGAGTATACCGAGATTCAAGCAGAGGCGCTGTTTGGTGGGTTTTGATTTCCTTTCATGTCATAGCCAAGTACTGATTACGCGAAAGAGGCGGAGACCACAGCTGAACGATTCCCTGGTCTCACGAGCAAAGACGCATGGACACAGTTCAAGCTCCAGATCGCGCAATTTGGGGAGTTATTCACGACCATTCATATGTTCCGACGAACAGCAGGTGTGTTGAACTGTTGCTAATCGATCGAATAATCACGCTGTGTAGTCGCGTGTCTCACGCAGTTCTTCCAACAAATGTAAGAACACTTTTCTGCGGAAGGAACATATTTCTCATAGCTTGCAGGTCTGGCATTGATGCCATTGTCTACTATGCTCCATCAATCTTCTCCTCGCTCGGTTTACCGGGGAAAACAGTTTCTCTACTCGCAGCAGGTGTCATTGGTGGTACGCCGCTCCCATTTGCTAAAGAATCAAAACCTCAAGGACTGCTCCCAGTTGTATTCATCATATCCACACTCCCGGCAATCGCTACCATCGACCGAGTGGGTCGCCGTCCGCTGCTTATCATCGGAGGTAGCGGAATGGCCCTCATGTTGATTCTGGTTGCGGCATTAACGGCCACGTACCAACCGGATTGGAACAACTCCGCTGCGGGGTGGACGACAGCGACGTTTATATGGATTTATGTCGCGTTCTTTGGCACTTCATGGGGTAAGTCAAAGACAAGCCTTCTCAGTGTGGTAGCAGATTGACGCTGGTTCAGGTCCGGTTTCATGGACGGTATGACTGGTTTAGTGAGGCTGAACCAAACTCAATTGAGAATAGGTCATCTCAGAAGTCTTCCCTTTGTCGACTCGGGCTCACGGAGTTGCGCTGGGTGCTTCTGCGAATTGGATGACCAACGTAAGTTGTTTCTGGCTTTGTTTCCGGTTTTGAACTACTCTATAGTTTGTGGTCGGAATAGTTGTTCCCGATATGCTCAAGGCCATTACCTATGGCACCTATCTGTGCGTGTCCAACGGCTTTATATTCGCCAACTGAATATCTGAATAGATTCTTCCTCATGTTCATGTTGATGGGGATTGCCTTTGCTTATTGGGTACTTCCAGAGACGTTCGGAAAGTCACTCGAAGAGATGGTCTGTCTCGCTCGTGCCTGATTGGTCTTTGTGGTTGACTTCGAGTTCCATAGGACCTCGCATTCGGCTCTGGCGAAGGACAAGAAGACATGGCTCGCATGGAGCGCATTCTGCTGGCGTTGAGTAACAAGGAGAAAAAGCATCCGCGGGAGTCCGATGATGTGGGAAGCTCAAAAGCCGAGGCCTAAGTATGTAGTGGGTCCTGGTGGGTCCCTTGGGGGCAGCAGGCATGATTGTTTGCCAAGTTGTATTTCAACCTATCTCATTCAGTTCCTGTCTGGGGCTGCCCACGTCTGCTGCCAATGGTTGAGAGTTTCAAATTGAATTCGACTGACAACAGTCGTATTGAGATATGTGGGGAGTAACAACTGCTTGCCTACCATCAGCATTTCCCCCGCATTTTCAGACATTTTTAGACAAGGCCGCGGAGGCAAGCCGGGTTCTAAATCGACGGCGTTTAATCTTCGAGCAAGAGTAGAAGTACAGAAGCTTCGATGCCCTCCCATTCCACGCTTGTTGCAAGGCAAACAGGAACAAGCACTGAGTTCATGAGGGCTTTAGGAGAGTACGCCGAAAATACGCGTGCTTTGATCGGCCAGTAAAAGAGCGACCGGCTTGATCGCCTTTATGAAACAGTCTGCCATGTGGGTGGCACTGGTGCTGAGAAAAGACGCGTCGGACCATGAACTCGACAGTTGTGGGTCCAGATAACACTTTCCGGGCCCAAATCCTGCGCTAATTTGCTGCTTTTTGCACGAAATACGACTCGATCGTCAAGATGCAATTATGTAACGCGGAAGTCACATGCTCATTCGTATTTATCCAGCGCGTCCATCTTGACCTTATTTTTCTTTCGCCCGTCCGCTTCCGCTGCCCTATATGGGCGACAGCCTCCAATGGGCCTACCTCGAAGACCTCCCTGCTGGCACCCGGCTTACTCCTGACGATGGTCCGTGGCCGCGAGCCTATTACCTCCTTGAAGATGAAGAGATTTGGGAAGAATTCGAGCGCGTCGCTGACCCCTCAACTGTCCTTTTTTCACGCGACAAGGGCTGGCGGGCGGACGGAGTCAACTTCCAACCTGCACCGACAACAAACACTCAAGACCGATATGTCTTGAAGCAACTGAATATTCACGGGCGGCGCTGGACCTTGACGGGTGTTTTCGATGGTGGGCCACACAGCGAACGGTCGAGCGGAGGTTGAAACTGCCTCACAGGTCATCTCGGTGATGAAACCGTTGAACATGTCGCGCACCATCTGCCTATTATTGTCGAGGAGTTTTTGTCGGAACACCTCAAGCAGCCACAAATTTCCCCCGCGTTCATCTCCAATCTATTCTCCCGCTCAATTGTCGCGTTTGACGACGCAATAGCTGGCGACATCCTGGACTTATTCGGAGGGTCAGACAGGCTGGACGAATACTCGGACCATGAAATCAGCGAGATTATTAACGACCAACACAAGGGGGGTGACAACTACAGAAAAGCCCGGCTGTGCATGTACGGGACGACCGCTCTTGTCGCTCTAACTGACCCCGACCACGAGAATTTGTGGGTGGCTAACCTCGGAGATTGCCAGGCTGGTGGGGACTCTGCTATTCCGATCAAATTTGCAGTCAAATTGATACATCTACAGTTCTCGTGTCACCGAAAGCCACTGAAGGCTGGGACGTAGAGTTTATTACTGCCGAACATAACGGCGCCAACGACGCGGAAATCGCACGTGTCCACAGAGAGCATCCTGGTGAGCCGGAATGCGTCGTAGATCGGCGAGTCCTCGGCGCGTTGGCACCCACTCGAGGTAAGTTGTTCTGTCTTTGAATGGCAAATATAAAAAACTATTTTCAGGACTGGGTGATGTCCCATTCAAACAGCCACCCGCATTCACTCGCCGTATACTGTACAACTTGGCCCCGGGTTTCAGCGATACCGCGGCTTGGGAACGCTGTCTCGAGCGGAACATAACTCCGCCATATATCTCAGCTGCTCCAGAAGTCACACACCGTCGCCTCCCGCGACGGAATTCCCGCTCATCCCCACGGCCCCGATATCTCATTCTCGCGACTGATGGATTTGCCGAGCTGTGCCGCGGCCATGATGCTGGCGAAGAAAGCGTGTTGGTCGAGTGGGCGATGCGGGAAGACAAGGACCAAATCAAGAGCCTCCCCGATTTGGAAACGCAGGACAATCTCGCCTGCAGATTACTGCGCCAAGCCCTCGGTGGCGAGGATCGGGCAGCTGTCTCCGCGATGCTTACTTTGGACGTCGAGGACAGTGCCTGGGTGGACGACACCGCTGTTGTGGTGCAAACACTGTGATATTTGCTTTCGTTTTTGGTATATTCTTCGGGTATAATAATCTGGGTAACAAGTAATTGCATACATATATTCATGTAATTTCTCAATATAACATGACCATTTCTGGAAGTTGGTACCTTCCTCAGACTGCTCTTCCCCAGACCCTCTTGAACTCTTTGCAACACTATTAGGCACATCAGTGCTGATACACAGTAACCCCCCTAGACAGTCAGTCCTGGCCTATCCTCTTGGGTTGCTGGTGCTGGGCTATGAGGGCCCTGAACATGTCATGGATAACACCCAGCCTGTTCTCTTGGGTGCTACTTACTCCTAGACTCCTCCCTATTCCCATATTACCCCCAGTTGGGCTTGGTGTCACTTCCTACATGTTTGTTCCCTCTTTCTAACATGCATGCTCCCTGTCATCACATGCTGTGTGTCTTAGGCCCTTGGTGGCCTGACACTAGCGCCGGAGAGGCTTGGAGAGGATAGGCTGAGTCTTATCTATAACACAGTGCCTGGACCACACAGATCTGATTGCCTCCCCTATAGCTACATAGTGATGAGGAGAGGAAATATACTAGTAGGGTGCAGTTTTTAACTATGTTGAGATTCAAAAAAATAGTTTATAATGCCAAGAGCCCCAAAATGATGTTTATAAACAGGTTTGTAAACCAGCCTATCAAACACAGGATTTTCATATCTTTTCTTTTAGTGGTACTTAACAGATCTAATTGTTAGCGATAGCGGGAATCACGGGCGCGCGGTGATGCACAGATCTCGCATGTGATTGCGGGACTGGCCGGAGCTCAGGTTAGGGCTGTGCTGGAGGATCACTTAAGTAGCGGTGTCTGTCAGGGGAAACCCTGATGCCGTCACTTGATCCCATCAAGCGCCACGTCTCCGCTCGCGTCTCCGCACCCTGACGCTCTCCCTCCACTGCCTGCACCACATCCCACATCCAGTGATCCCTAGTCTTCGACTTCCCTGGCCACTCCCCTCCGGAAGTCCCTCCGGAATCAGCATCAGGGATCACTAATGCCATCGGAGACCTCTCCGGATGTGAACACACCACTTCCCTCTGAGACCTTAAGCCTATGGCCTTCTAGCCTCTCTGGGCTGTTACTTATCAAGGTCTCCCTACGATCTCTATCCGCTGGACCTTTTGGGTGTCCCCAACCTATGTCAGCGTTCGGGCTTACGTTCGGATGGCTGAGCTTTGCCATGGCTCCGCTCTCCACTCCGCCACCACGGCCCCCGTCATCGGGTCTTTCCCTGGGTGAGGCCTACTGCCGTTAAGGCTCGTGCCCACTGCAGCGCCCCAGGCTGCACGCCCTCACACCTCCACCTCTCTGGAGACGTCCGGGGACGTCTCCGAGTGACCCCCTGTCGCTACCCTCCGGTGGTCATGGCTGGCCGCCATTCCCATTGGTCCTCTTCGACACTCCCTGGCCCTTGGGCTAGACCAGACTCCTTCCCTTTCCACTCCACGCCTTCCCTCTCCGTTTCTGGCCGTCACGTTGATAAGCCGCATTTTGGAACACACATAGAAAACCACTGTTTTCGTTCGTTTCATGGGTACAGCACACGTCTAGGAACTGGCATAAGTCCCAAATGGCCAGTTAGGGAGATATCTGCGAGGAGGCGTTTTCGACTTCGACCGTTGTTGACAGCAACTGGCCGTTCAGAACGACTCTTACAACAACCAAAAACCACAGCAGAGCCCAACCAACATAGAGGATCCATCCAATCCTTTATATATACCAAAAGGGAGTGTAAACTAAAAGGCATATTCGGTCTGGCACACGTTGGGACTCGAACTCAGAACGCTCCGATGAAGGTTCAACCAGGCTTCGAACAGATCAGTCCCTGACAGTATTGGAACGCGGTTTCGGAACTTACGCAAGGACAAGGACATGTGGAGGTGCGGTTAAACGGGAAATATGACTCAGTGGAAACGAGGGCTTGGCTGCAGATCGCGGCGACCTTAACCTGTAACCGTCCAACTGAACAACTCAACAATAGATTGCAATTATCTCGTTAGAAGAGTTGCCTAACGGTGTCTGGCGGTTAGCCTCAAGTTATGGGTATCGATGGAAAGCTAGGAAGTGGAGCAACATGACGATAACAACAACGGTTAGCGGACCGTTCACAAAAACGCATAGACGGTTGCAATAAAGGAGGATTTACAAAGGTCATTGACACCAAACACGCGCTACCGGTCATCTAGACCTGGATTTTCGACTCTGGGCCTTATGGCGAAACGATACCTTACAAATTATGCACATGGACCATCATTCTGTTGTGGCAATTTACCTGATCTTATCATTTTCTGTTTTAGTATTTATATCTCTGTCCTGTATTTGAGCAATTCACGGATTGCCCCGTTACTATTAGGTGCATCTGGGGATCTAGCTTGTCAATATCATCCTGCTAGCTCTTTCATTCAAGTAAAAAGGCGTTGTGATCGAAGGGTTGAGGGTTCCGGTTGCCGTATAAAAGAGTTTCGGTTGGCATACACTTGGTTTCGGTTGGCGGTCGAGAGTTTAAGGCAGTTAGTTCCTGACTTGAGACGACTACTTGGGTTTAAGGCAGTTAGTTCCTGATCCAAACGAGTATAAACGGTTCTGGGCATCGTATTGACGCTTTCCTATTGCGGGTTTTCGTCGATAGTACGCTTAAGGACAACCACAAAACGAATCTTTAATAAGATTTCATTCGATCTACCCTACAACCTTGCACACCCGTGTACAGGCTCTGTTCCCAGGGTTCTGCACTCATATTAGGAGACAGTTATTGGTGGTTGTTGGACGTTTGGAACGGTGTTATACGGTTATCGCTCAGACAGAACGACTATTTGTTGTTTTGTTGTTGGGTTTTAGTTGTGTAGAGTCCGTCTCTCATCTCCGGTCTCCCCACCCGTCATCCACCCTCATCAACGTCATGGTCACACACCCAGAGTCGATTCCGATTTCAATTCCGATTCCGGTTGTCACGTCACGGTCACAAGCAGAGACGCCCAGAGGTAGCCTGGACCTCCCGAAGCCCTTCTTGGGCCTTCTAGGGATGCCTGGGTCCCTTGGCATCACGGTCCCAAACCTGCCTCTCCGGAGCTTCGAGGGCTACTCGACACTCACCTAGGGTCCATTAGCGACACCTGACTTCTCCAACCCGTCATCCGTCGCTACGCAGTCACTCTATCATTACTCCGGTCACTAGTATATAGTAGTGCACCTGGGCAGAGGGCTCCTTGGCTTGTTCTCTAAGGATTCCCCCTCTGCTCAGCTGAGTCTGTAGTGTCCCTTCCTGTTGTAGTAGTTCACTAAGGATTCCCCCTCTGCTCAGGACTCTGATTTCAAGCCTTGCAAGGTTGCCCTTACAGTGTCCGCATGGCAGGTAGCCATGCTTTTATCTCCCCCTACATTCTCTTTGTACCCTTGGGTAGTGGTCAAGCTATTTGTCTGTTGGCACTTGATCAGGAGCGTGTGGCGTGGTCTTATAGAGCCGATTTCTGACACTGATACAGTTAACAAACTTATCCTACTATATCCACATAAAAGGCAGAGGGTTTGGACCTTCAAGGGAGGGAAAGATATGTGTGCAGCCATCTCCCAGGGAAATGTACATCTACACGCTGTCCATGACAGTGTAGGGATCTGCTCCCCCCCACTGCGAGGCAGTGTGCAGGGCCCACTAAAACCCTGGGCATTTCTAGCTCGCTCTTTTGTCATGGATAAGACCCGGCCCATCTGCTCCAGCACTGGTGTCAGGCTACTGAGGGCCCACAATACACAGCACATGACAACGGGGAATAGGTGCCCCAGTAGGAGGAACACTGGAGCTGCTGGGGCAGCGTCCATAGCCGTTACCATTTAGCTTAGTCATCATCACTGTACCTTGCCTTATTCCATTCGCTTGCCCACCTAGACCACCCCACCATCCTCAATGCACATGTGGGAAGCATGTGACTGAGAACGATGTGTCGAGCCGTCGCCAAGCCCAACTTGACACAAGGGGACTGGGAGGAGTGCTAGGAGATCAGGAGTAGCACCTGGCCCACAAGAGATGTACGATTGTCCCCTCTGTGGCCAGGAATGGGGGGCGAGTGGGAGCAGGAGAGGTCAAGGGTGTCCGATCACCCCTCAGCAGGCCCGTGTATATAAGGTGTGATAGCATATACTGTACTCTATCACTTAGATTGTCTATTGTACTGCTTCTCTCTATGCAAGGAGGCATCACCAACTCATCGGGCCCGAAACGACCTGATTCAACCCTGACCCCGACCTCGATAAGAGACCGCTTTAATAGGCCCTTTTAGTTTGATTCTACTCTGCTCGCTTCGCTTGTGGGCCCAATGATCCATCTGTTACATCCTCTCTCTCTTGCCAGATCTCTTGCTGCTTTTTGTAAGGGCAACCCTGGAGACTCCGACAAAAGCCTAGCAGGGGAGGATCCAAAGTATGAATAAAAGCTACGGAAATACACGGAGGGACTGACCTAGCAGGGGAGGATCCAAAGAGAAGAAACTCTAAGGGTCCGCCTGCTAGGGCGCCAACTATATACTGGTCGTCCGTAACTGCCGACGTAGAGTGCAGAGGGCCTGAGCGGCATCGCAGGCCTTGTCCCAAGGTGATCGTTGGGAGGGTCTTGACAGATCGGTGATTGTGCGGGCGAAGGAGGCCAAGGACGAGGGGTTGGGGTAGGTTGGAGCGTCTGAGGGGGCAGCGGTCAGATGCGCCTCAGATGCGTTCGGACAGTCCGAAGAAGGCCGAAGTGGGGGTTCCCCTGACACTTTTGCGACCACTGTCTTGTCTCCTGTGTGGAAGGTTGTCATCACTGTGTGTGTGGCGTAGTTCTGCCACCAGACATTGTAGCAGCTCACAATCTTGTACACCAATGTAGCCTTTGCTCAGGTGGTTTCTTGTTTATTCTGCTCACTAGCTCATTTGTCAGGATTTTCATATCCTATCCCAATGTACACTGAATTCTGATATTTTTTTGACTCTTTTTCCCTCTTCTAA